CCCCCCCCCCCCCCCCCCCCCCCCCCCCCCCCCCCCCCCCCCCCCCCCCCCCCCCCCCCCCCCCCCCCCCCCCCCCCCCCCCCCCCCCCCCCCCCCCCATATGCACGAGCAGCGGTGGCAACAACAACAAAGAGGAGAAAAGAAACGCAAGAAAATGAAAGATAGACTAAGAATGATTCTATTCATTCTCGATGCACGCTGCTCCCCAATTTTGCTATTAACAAAAACGGCATGATATGAATAGACTATCATCCTTACTTTATTTATTTTTTTTGACAGTATTCTACATCGAACTATTCATTAAGCAATGTAGGTGCGAAACACGGAACAAAGAACGCACAATTTTTTTTCAAATAAAATTACAATCCTTTCTCTTTTCTTCGTACTCTATTGTTGTTTATGTGACACAGATAAGAGACGTTCGATGATTGTATGGATCGATTTCACTTCTTTTTTATTTCGCTCAGCCATCTGGGCATTTCTCTTGTTTTCTCTCTCTCTCTAGCTTTTGTATGAATATATCAATTTTTTGTTTAAAACAATTCTTTACTCCTGGATTCGACACTTGTTTTGTTTCAATCTATGGTAAGAGAATAAACAAAACCTTTCAAATGTCTTCATTATATTTATTAATGAAGTAATAATTTTTAGTTCGATTCTTATTTGGTAGTTTTTTTCTTTCTTTCTCTTTCTTTTCATTAAATTTCAGTGTTTCTTCTATTTTCTGTACCTTGGTCGAATCATGAGATACTCATTAAAATAAACGCAATGGAAAGCAGAGAAATATAGTGTTATTGCCGATTATGAACACGATCAGCAATCACTTGAGGATTGGTTTTGGCCAATAGTTTTCTTTCTACAGTTTTGTAATCAATTGGACATTTATGTTCATTTGAATAACGACAATTCGAACAAAAATGTCCACCACATACACATGGATATTGTAAAATACCCATTGGTTTTTTACAATTCGGGCAACGAGCTTTTTTTGAAGCATAATTTTTTGTTATCGATTTTGATTGACGTGATAATGATAGATTTTCAATAGGTGATGAAATCGATACAGTTGGTTCGACGACAATTTCATCTTCGTCTTTCATCTCAGTATAATTCTCTTGTTGTTGCTGTTGCTGTTGTTGTTGTTCCTTAATTTTTTTCTTTTGTTCTGTATAACATTGAGAACAAAATCCATCGAAGGACGTATTTCCGAAGAAACTACAATTATTTTTACATAATTGAGGTACAATATTAGTGGTTCCACCTGTTGTTGATGTCATCTTTTTTAAAATTATTATTACAATCAGTATTAGCCTAAGTTTAATTGTATTTTATAAATTGACTATCCAAATATAAGACTAGTAGAAGAATAAATAGTGATTAAAATAAGGACAATAAGAAGCAGAAATAAAGATATAAGACATGACGAAAATAAATTTACGAAAAATAAAAACGCGCGACTTATTTTAATCTTACCACCTTACAGACATTTGGTTTTTAACCAGGTAATGTTTTGTGGCAATCATCCGATGTTTAATTATAACTTCAATATATGTTTTATTCAATTGAATTTTTTTGGAGTAGAAAGAAATGCAAACGGCTTCTTTTCTTTTCTTTTCTTTTCTTTACTTTATTCTTTGCTACTGCTGTTGTTGTTCTCACCTGTTCTCAAAATGTATTACATCAATAGAAACTTCATTTGATTATTGTGACTCGTGCTACGCACAGATGAGAATAAGACAAAACAGTGGGAAAAAAAGAAAGAAAGAAAATAGAGCAATCTATAAAAATGAGTTATTTCTTTTTTTACAATCTTAAAGTATGAGTGTCGCCTTTTCGGTTTAATGCAAACAATATTATGGTTCTATACAATGACTATAACGTTTAAAAATCAGTAAAAGACGAACAGAACAGAAAAATGACAGTTTACTTAGCAAAGTTATTCGACCTCGATTGCATTGCGGCTGTTATTGAAAAATATTACGAGAAGAAAAAAGAAAAATCCCTAGTAATAAAAATGAATTCAATAATGAATAAAATTCAACTTAAAAAATATTCATTACTATTCTTGATGCACAAGTGGAAACGTGTTTGAACAAATGATATCAATTGTGGCATTGCCATAATTACGATGCAGTTATCAATAATTACTGACAAGGCAGTAAACATGTATCTTTATTATTAGAGAGAAATTGAACAGAAAATTATTTTTCTTTTAGCATGCCTATTACTTAGTTGACACTGAGAGCTTTTTCTTGTCTGTACAAATAGAATGTCGCTGTTTTTTTCTGATTTCGATTGAAACAAGAGATTACCAATAAGAAAAACAATATAATATCTTAATTAATATTCTACTAGTTATAGTATATAATAAAATTTGCTTTCATACCATTACGAATTTCTCTAATATGATGGAGATTTAAAAAATAAACGAAATACCACGGTCAATATAGATTTCGATTTAAATTCTTGATCCAGGTAACTTTTTAAATAAATTTTGAAGATTTTATGTCTAATTTTGATTGTATGAATATATCAAGATGATACAATGACATTTGCATACTTCTTTTATTCATATAGCTTTACAATATAAAACAAACAAGATGACACTACATCCATAGGACTTGAATGAAACATTCATTAGGCTAAAAACAAAAGAATTCGATAACGTATCTCTTTGCCATTGTATAACCGTTAGGATATTTCACTTTTATCCAAAAATTGATTTAAAAAACAACGAGAATATAAAGCTATATTTATTTCAGCGAATCAGAAATTTAAAAAGGCACAAAGCTTTCATCAAAAACTAAAAATTATTGATTATTGTAATTATATAGAACTAAATTAAAAAACTCGATATAAACTTAAATCATTTTCAGCTGCAATGGCTAGAATATTTGAACTGAATAAATTTGCTCGATACGGTATTGAATTATACAAAATATTATCTTTAAATTTCCCATCTTTTGTAACATGATAAATACGTAAATTAGTTCCATCAATAACAAGCCATTCATTATAATTGACGGGACAACAAGTAAATAAACGAATATTAGTTCCAACACTCAATGTAAGTAGCCAAATTGTATCAAATGTTTTTATTGATTTCAATTCCATACGTTTCTGATGTTTTTCTGAATCATTAATCATTAGAGCAATTGTTTCATTATTATATTTAATATCATTAATACCATCATGAGATTTACACAAAAATGGAGGTTTCCAGTGGTTAACTAGTGGAAGTGAAGGTGAAAGATTAAATTCAAATATTGATGAACCCCATTCACATGTTGATACATATAAAGATTCATTGGAACATGTACAAGAAAACCAAATTGGTTTAGCAGGATCCTTCAGACAACCATGCAATTGTAAGAGTTCATCAACTAAATAAATACCAGTTGCTGTTATAATTATAAATGAAATCAATGTTTTTGACCAACAAATATCACGTATCCAATCATGAGGCCAAACAATTTGTTTTGCTATTGTAAAATCTCGATTAATTAAACATAAATATGGACATTGATGCATTAATAAATATTGATCGTTACTTGCTAAGGCTGACGAGCTTTGATTAGAATAGTTAAATCGCAACAGATCGTTTGAAATATTTTGAAAACTAAAGTCTTTTTCAATATAAACATAACTATCATTTATAGTTAATGGTCGAGTGTTAACGTTAATGGATAGATGTTCAATATTATTTAAATCTTGTTCAATTGAATCTAACACTATTTTTATTGAATCAGGATGATCTTTATTCGCTTTATTTTGATCATTAAGTTGAGATAGCTTGTTTTCTACCTTTGTTTTTGTTTCTTCATACTTAGTTCTGATCTCTTTGGTATGTGCTTCGAGTTCTTGAAATTTTCGTTGATAAATTGAATCAATTTTTTTATGACAATCTTCTTGCCACCGAGATAGTTGCTCATTTGCATCAGCAATTGTCTGATCGATATTAGATTCTGTAAGTCGGCTCATGAATAAATTTACCATCTTGTTGTTTGAATCCACTTGTGAATTACTCATACTGTTTAAATTTAAACTCTTTTCTACGCAGAACTTCGTGCCTGGGATGATAAGAGCGTTGATAAGGTATAAAATGTGCCTCTATTAATCAATGCTTTTAAAAGAATTGTCACATCGTGGAAAAAAAGAACTGTTGTGGCTATTATTCTGTTGTCAAATAAAGAAGAAAACGGAGAAGGCAAGGAGAAATATTCACCGTTCTTCGCGAACAAATTCCATTTTAAAGCACGTCATCAAATGAAAGTCAATAGCAACAGAAAAGAAAAATACACCATTTTCCCGAAAACCCTGCCTCAACCGATGTGAATCATTGTACAAAGATAGGATGATGATGGCAATTAAAGCTTATCTTCTTTGTAGACTAACAACTACGACGGATACAACGAAGATGTCTATGGCCACATGAAGAAACTCTGATACGTTCTGGAGTATTTACACTGTCTGTGTCTATGAGCATAAAGTAATTTTAATAACGGAAAAAAATAGAAGATCATCGTTGGCTCCTATGTGCCCAATAATCTCAAAACTAACGATTAAATATTCATTTCCAATTGTTATAAAAATGACAAACTTCGATGGTTTTTGATTTAAAAAACAATATACACACATGATGATAGTGTATATAATTACTCATAAAAGAAAAGTTAGGTAAAATTATAGCTAACCGAAAATATTTTGCATGAATCGAAAATAGGTGATGTCCCTCACTATCTATATTTTTGTGCCCTAGTGATTTCAGAAGTTCTTGATAATCGCCTGCATCAACAGTATCAGAAGCTCAGCTGTTTATCTTACATTCAGTACTTGCGTTGTGTAATTTGCTTTGAAACTCAATAAAAATAAAGACCCAGTTTATCAAATAAACTTTCATTATTGTCTTGATTTTATTATCATGATTAAATTATGAAATAGACTGTCACTATTCTTTCATTCGAATATTAAAACTAAATATGCTTGATAGTAGATAATCGCTTCCATTACATTTGAAGACTATAATATTTAGTTCCGAACGAGTGTTCAAGTAGAGCATCGACTAGTAACATAACTCCTCTTTATAAGATACGATTGGAAGTACTTCATTGCAATGAATACAATTTGTTCGTGTGAATACTAACGCTTAATAGAAAAGAAATATAACTCTTTTTTATCGCACGAATCATATGATTTTCATTTAAAATTGGGAAAGATACACATTCGATACATATTTTTGCTATTTATTACTTTTAAGTTTACTGAAGGAAGTAACTAAAGAAAAAAAAGCATAAAAAATCTACCGTGATAAATAGGTGATTTATCAAATACGATTATGTTACAAATAATGTCCTTGATGTTAATCTTTCAGCAGAGAATTTTACCTTAACATGATTATTATTTAAATATTGTATTATATTCTAATACAACTAAATGGTATTCGAGTTTCACTCGACTACAACATGCGGTGCGAAGCACACGAGCCGAATATTCGAAAGTAGTGAGAATAACATTTAAAAAATATATGATCCACTTTAAGATTCATTAGAATCGATTATTTTTTTAAATTTCCGTATACCAATTTTGAATAAAAATTTCGCATTCACTATTCTTAAATCAACCATTTTGAATTTCATCACTAGGAGATCTTTTTGAAAATGTAACAACCAGTTTTCTAACGGTTTTTTTATTGAAGGAATAATTATTTTCATGAATCACTATCTTGAATCAGATGTAAAGCAATAGACTATTGTTTAACAACTATTGATGACGTCATTTTAATTAGCGCAAAACTATCAAACAATAAAACCTTTCAAAAGCTTCATTTTCGAATCATATTTCTAGGCAAACGAAACTTACTATTGTGAATCGGAAAAAAGATGTAGCAAGCTCGACTTCTTTAGTTTCATATCTAGTTTGAATGAATTTTCTATCATTTACGGTTCTTTGGATCATCGCGCTACTTAATCTGATTTTTTATGCGTACTCAAGTTAGAAAGAAACAAAAAAAACTAGATGGTATTCAAGTTTTACTCGAATACAAAATGCGATGCGAACCAGGAATCTCGATCNAACTCGCGACGGACTACAGAAATGCTTCTGCTTCGCATCGCATTAAAAAAAAACTCGCGACGGACTACAGAAATGCTTCTGCTTCGCATCGCATTAATTAAAAACTCGCGACGGACTACATAAATGCTGTGCTTCGCACCGCATTAATTAAATTGACAAAAGAAAGACAGGTGAATATTTATTATAATTGATATCAACATTTTGTTTTTCTTCTTAAACTGGCAGGTTATTATTTTATAGAAAAATCATTTTTGAGAATTCTTAAATGATCAAAAACAGTGAGATTTCTGGTTAAGGACTACATTTCACTGATAATAGGATATACTTATCATACGCTTTGACATTTTGCTTTCGAACAAACATTTGAGAAAATCAGTAATATGAATCGATTTACTTAAGAGAAAAGAAAATATGAGCAGTTTGAAAAATGATTGAAACATTATATTTGCAATGTAATTAATTCAAAAATCTCTTCCGTATATATAAAGGAAACATCCAAATTTATTTTGTCTTTCTTGGAATAAATTTCGTTCGGAATTCAAATCGTATCTATCAATCTTTAATAGCATCAACTTTATTAACAATTCTATTCAAATGCTTAGTTACTCTATTGAAGTTTAAAGATTTGCGTTCAAAATGATGTCGCATGCCGTTGATCAGGCAATATACTAGAATTCTGCGGGAACAGTTGATGTTGGTTCCCGGTTTCTGTTTCTACATGCCCGATCGCACAAAATAAACTTTCCTTTCCGTTTCCGTGTTCCCGATATCATTAAAAAAACATTTTCTCGTTTCCCTTTTATTATTCCGGTAAGACTTTCTCCATTTTCATTACCATTTCATCTTTTATGTTTCAGAAACACTATCTCGAAATGAGATAAACATCTTGCGACATCAAGCATTTTACAATCTGACATGATATCATTAAAAATAGATTTATATTCAGACACTATCCATCTGACAAATCATACAATTGTGGTTTGCTACAGAGATGTCCACAGGGCAGGGCAGGGTGGGAAGCCGTACCCTGCAGGGTAAAAAGTCAGCTGTTTGAATTTCAGTTTTGAAGAAATACTTTTAGTTTCCAAGTATCGAAAATAAAAAGTAGACTCCAGGGAGCGACAGCAACTGATAAGTAGAACTTCCGATTTATATTGACCACCGTATGAACACGGTAGAATCAAGATAATTATAAATAGTGACCATAAAAGACGTAGAATATCTTAAGTAAGAATGGAGAATTCGAATATTTTCAGAATGGTTTACTCCAAAGGACTACCAAACAAGGACAAACTATTTTCCAAGTAGAACTCACTGAGCTCTGTTCAGCCTAGATACCAATCGTACTCAAAATCTTCCTAAAAAAACTGAAAGCCACAAAAATCATAAAAAAGCCATAGAAGACTCAACTAATTTTGCTAAATCCCGTCGCAATTGGCCAGGACGAATTTTTCAACCTAGTCGCAGTGGCTTCCAGTCAATAGAGCGGGTGAAGATCTGTTTAGAAACCACCGTGGTTGCCTCTGGAAGTTGCTATTGTGCAATCGCGAAAGGATTTAGCAAAAACCTAGGAATTTGAACCTGATTTCTATGGGTTTGAAATGTTAAATCGAGCTCAAAAGATGTATAATCGATAGAGTACGGCAAGATCTACATGAAAAATAGTATGAGTCCTTGTAACGTTCATCTGGGCGAATCACTATGGATTTTACCGAAATTGTTTCAGTTTCGTATGGTTTTTCTGGATTTTAGCTTTCTGCCAGGTAGTTTTTCAGTAGAATTCATATACAGGCTGGATAGATCCTGTCATGTTCTCCTTCAGAAGCATTTTGTCTGTTTTGAAAAGCTGTTCGGAACAAATCCATTCAGAAAATACTCGGATCCAGTTCAAATATATTCGCCGTATGCCAGCTCAGCAGGGTACTCTACCCTGCCCTGGTCGGGGTGCAGGGCAGGAGCAGTATAAATTTTAAATTTTTGCATTTTTTCAAGAGGGCAGGGCACAAAAAAATCACCCTGTGGGCATCTCTGGTTTGCTATTTAAAATAGTTTCCTACGATGAAATTTCGTCTATATTAATGGTTCGTTTATTTTATGTCGTCAGAGATGACCGTAATGATAAAGAAAATGATGATTGTCAAAATGTATAAGTTAATAAATAGCGAATGAATTGGTGTAATGATTTCTTTACTAGATAATTGTTTTTGTGTTCGTTAATGATATACCAAAATAGTTATTTTTCGAAACACACACTTTGAAATATTGTTTCCATTTTCGTGCTTCTGATTTCAAAAATCTTCACGGGAATCTCCGGATTCCCAATTCAAATTCAAATTTAAATTCAAATTTCTGCGGAAAACAGAAGTAGGAATCTATCGCAAAAAATCGTTCCTATACATGTCTCTACAATATATTCATCAATTTTCAAGCATTACATGTATCATTAAATGCTCTAGCACAAAATTCGCAGATGTCGTTAGTCTATCGCTGCCTATTTTTAGCATGATAATAGGTTTTAATTGAAAAGATTTTGATTACGTTTAACACTACAAAATCTTCTATTATATTATATATTGAATTTTTCAATTGAAGAACTATTGAGAATCTCAGTAGACAATAGCGATTGGTTGGTCTTTGTCTGCGAAATTCAATTCTATTGATGACACTATTTTATTTTATTTTATTTTATTTTATTTTATTTTTTGGATTCACTTTTTTGTCAATCATTAGTATAAAAAATGTTACCCCGTTCTTCATCATTTACTTCATCTTGTACTGAATCTATCACTGAAAATCCAAAACCAACAGGAAGTTTTCGTCATCACGAATCATTACAAAATCTTCAACAATCTCAAAGACAAAATCGGCCTATGCTTTCACGTCCATTAAATATAAAAAATAGTAATCAAAATCATTTACCAACCATATCTCAAAATGTAAAACGAACGACAACAATGACAACTACTACTACAATTCTTGTATCAACAGAAAATTTGCCGGTAAATCCTCTAAATAATGAGAAAAAACACGATCAACAATTTGATACAATCAGGCGTACAATCATTCAAGACGATATTGAAAATATTCAAGAACGCTTAAATGATATGCTTATATCTGTTCCATTAATAAATGATAATGAAACATTATTAATAGCAACGGAACAAACATCAACAACGCAATATTTTACACCAAAAATTTCGATTGATGAACATGGAAAGAAAAAATTTGATGATCAGGATAGTCAGTTAGATAACGACGAAAATCAAAGTGATGATGATGATGATGATATGCATCGTAAATATTTCTTTTTTAGTTAAAAATATTGATTAGTAACATTTATTTTAGCTATGACTGCTGGAACAGAATCAGCAGCACATCCATTTTTTGATGTTCTATCAACAACATCGTATGAAAAAGAAGTTGTCAAGTATTTACTTAGTTTAGAAGAACGTTTTATGAATGAAAATGAAAAATTACGTTCGATGAAACGTCTTCGTGAATCAACAAATAATTTGAAACCAATTCTACCTGTATCAGTATCGGGAAGTAACTCAACTGTTTTAATTACGCCAAAAGTTCGATGTAAACTTATTGATTGGATCATATCTGTACATGATTATCATCGATTAAATGCAGGTAAACAAGAACAGCTCTGTTAAGGTTTCAATTTTTATAAATATTTAATAATTGATTATAGCTATTCTTTGCCGAACTATTCATTTGATTGATAGAATCTTACTTTTGAATGATCAAATGACAAAATTAGATTTACAACTTCGAGCGGTTAAGTAAGAAGATTTATGTTTCTTTTCAAAAATGTTAAGTTTCACAAAAATACCATGCTACTTAGGCATTCAAATTTATTCAATTGTATTTTTCATAAATGTTACCAATCATAAAACAGAAGATCAGTCTAGTTTTTAGAAGATTTCAAATCGAAATTATAATTTAGATATCTAACTGAAGTTTGCTATCTAGTATATTTCAATACGAAATATAGTCGATAGAGAATGAGAGAAACATTTTGGCTAATATTAAATATAGGAGCTTATAAATCTAAAAAATAACTGCAAAAAATAGATTTGAAGAGTTTCTTATTAAAAATAAATGTGAAGTACTTGCTTTCTGAGAAAATCTTTCCATATATTTAACATTTTATATGATGAATAAATAGTCGTTTTCATTCAAAATTGATAGGTTCCCTTTATATCATTGATGACTTAAGATATAGGCATGTTAAAATCAGTATTAAATAGAGTAGGGTGTGGGTGGTTGCCTGACTGTTAATTCGAACTATCTTGATATACAGCTATTCGCTCGTATGAAAGGATTGAAATTTACGTAAAAGATAAATATCTGTGCTAGAATTAAATTTACTAAACGAAATTCGATTAATATTTAGCTGCTTTACAATTGCATGTAAGCTTGAATCACGTCGTGTACCTGATACAAATTCATTGTTATCTCTATTTGATGCTCGTCATCACGTAACTCCCATACTTTTAAATCATGGTGAAAAACAATTATTAACACAACTTGATTTTGAACTTGGTAAGTTTCAAGTTTTTGTTGTTTCGAATGATTATTTATCTTATTTTACTTTGAATTCAATAGAATATCCGTTGGCAATACATTTTCTTTGTTATTATCTTCGGTTTTTGCCTTTTCATTTTATTATTTATTCATTATCAAAATATATGATTGAATGTGTTCTATGCGATGATACCTTATCGGAACAAATGCCCGGTTCATTATTAGCTGCTACTGCATTGCTCTTAGCATTAAAATTTACACGTCAATCAGATAAACCAGAAATAGTTAAACGTTTCTATAAACATCAACCATATAAACATGATGAATTAGAAAAACGAACTGAACAAATTCTCAAGCTCATGCAAAATGTTCCAAGATCTATATATCATACAAATGTACGTGAAAAATATAAACGAAATGAATTTGATCGTGTTGCTAATTATCAATATAATAATGATCTCGGTAAATTATAAAACAATAATAATTGATTTCTAACTATTTATTTATTTTTAATTATTATTATCTTTTTAGTGGTACCTGTTTCATAAGATTAAAAATAATATAACAACGACAATATGTATGACTTTTGTTCTATAGCTTATTTAAAAAAAAACTTCAGAAAATAAATCTTTGTTCTTATTTGATTTCTCCTTTATATATATACATTACTTTTTCCTTGTCTTCTTGTTGATAGTTATTCGCTCTTTTTTTGTTGTTATTATTACTCTACACAATGGTGTGCCAGCAACATCCAAAGTTCAATGTTTTTTTAAAAATATCGATTTCCCTGTGAACCTATGTATGTATTTGCGTGTGTTTGTGCATATAGTGTAAGAAAGGTCACAGGAGTAACGTTAAACATGAATGGAAGATTAGATCTGTTAAAGATAAGCGATGTGTTCTTTTTTTTTTGATTGAAAGTAAATTCATCATTCTGTTCGTCTTTATTTTGAATTCAATAGAGAAGTAACAGTACTATATTCTTGTAGTTTTATTTGAATTGATCAATGAAACACGAATCATTTTAACATACTAATCAATTCTTATATAGTGCAATATGAAAATAATATATACTTTTTACTATGAATATCTCATCGATATTTGAACAATTCTATGTTGAAGCTGACATAAATTAATCATGAGGCGTCAAAAATATCCCATGGGATTATCATAGAATTAGAACGAAAAAGATGATTTATTGGCAAACAAATAAATAAAAATAAAAAAATATATATGTAGCAGTAACTATTGCATTTAAAATTATTGATCCAACTGATTGTATCTATTTTCTTATTGCGAGCAAATAGTTTATATAAATGAAAGTCACGCTATTGCTGTCTTGAAACATAATTCGAAATAAGTACTCCTATTGAATAATGTGGAGTTTTCAATCTTTGATAGTATTTAGATACTTCTTTTTTGTTTCATTAGGAATCTTTTTCAATAAACAAATAGTTTACAATTATGAATACATCAATGAAAATTTTTATGTCCGTTAGCACTCTTATTCAAAGTAATTCTTTGATGAATTATTAAATCTTTGTTAGACATCATTATTCATTTTAAAATCTTGTATGGAATTTTTGTCCAATTAAAAATCATTAAATCAAACGATAATTGTTTTGACTAGGGGATAATGAACAAAAGAATCCTTTTGTATAGAATATTCATGGATGATGTAATGGTTCAATTGCAATACACAAAAGAATAGCTAATGATGTCAAGGGTCGTTTATTTCACTCGAAAGGCAAAAGAAGCTTATTATCAAAGTAGCCAATTGATTCAATGACATGCATTTAAACAGGATGTAACATAATTCCATTCTTCTCTCCACACACATAGCTAGTACATCGTGATCGGTATAAAGCACTAATTCTTTAAAAGTTAAAATATTTATGTGATAGCATGAATAATAATTGCGGAAACATCGGATTCGCATCCGATTGTTACGTGTACTGCAAAAACTGAGTCGATTTATATATGTTGTGAATAATACTGAGAAAAAAATTCCTCTACCCCCTCCCATCAGGGATGGTCTGGTCAATAATGACAATTTTTTCGATAACTCAGCCATATCTTGACGGATTCCTCTCATCTTCGAACTCGACTGAGATATTGATGAGATCATTCTGTGTACAAAATTTCATGACAATCGGATCAGCCTTTCAGGAGCTATCGTGTAAACCGCCGGACACACTGCCCAATTCTATAGTGTATTCACTTTTGTTTTTTGAGTACACAATAAAAAAGGAAGAAGAAAAACTAGATTTCTACTTCAATGCCACATATAGGACTAGAATAAAATATATTCCATACTCTGACATTATTCTCATGATAGATACGTCATTCTATTTATAAAAAGAACGCAATGCCCTAAATTTCTTTTACAATATTATGGTAAATGCATACAGATTGAAGGAAACCATAGATTTCATTATTTATTGATTGCAAACTTGCTCAATTTGCATTTTCATTGCCATCAATAGAATAGTATTGTGAATTCTTTGTTTAAGAAAAAGAAACAAATTATTTGACAATAAATAAAGTTTTTTTTTGTTTCTTAGTATGCCCTTCAGACATTATTTGATTGTTCTTTTCGTGATCCCATTCTTTTTACTACGTAAAGGTAACTGATTTTGTAGAGAAAAAAAACTGTGCCATTGTCTCATTTTACTCTCAAAGTGGCAAAAAGCAATAAGAATTTTTCTAATATGTCATATTCATTGAAGATTGGTCCTTCAACATATTATGTTTCGAGTCATATGAAAAATTTAAATAATAACAATTATTTTCTTGTCAAAGATGTACATAGTCGATCTAAATCAGTTAACGACTCAATGACATCATCGCTTCGTAGTCAACGTTCGAGATCTCTAAAACGATCAGTTTCACCTGAAAGTCGACCAAGCACACGTCACTATGGTAGACTAATTAATGCCATTAATCTGCCTACTAAACAACAACAACAACAAATATCAAATCAGATATATCATCGTCGGCACACTCAATCAAAATTTAGAACACCTATTCAAGTATCAGATAGAATTATGACAACTGATAAGAAAATATTGATTGATAAAGTGTATCAAAAAGCTGTAAAAGAAGAAACATCTTCTAGTAAATCAATTAAGAAGAAACGAAAACCATCTACTGAAACAATAATAGGCAAGCAAAAACAAGAAATAATTCAATTGTTTAATGAACAAAAACAATCTCTGACACTGTTGCTAGAAGAAAATATTCGTACAATGACTACATCATCAATTAATGTTATTAAACAGATTGTAACCGAAGCATTACACGCTCAAGAACAAACATCAACAAAAAAACTCGAACATACTTTAATTCAAACAATACATCAAGAATTACAACAAATTACGCCAAGAAATATTGATAAAACTCAGATAAATTCGCTTGATGTTGATACACTGAATCGATTAGAAGATATTCTTACACAAACTATAGAGAAATATATTACAACATCAAATGAAAATGACAATACTGCTTTAAATCATTTGTTCACTGAACAAAAACAAGTTTTAATTGAAGCGCTTACTCAACAACGATCAAAACCTTCTATCGATATTATCAAGCAAGCAGTTATCGATGCTCTTAGTGAACAAAATTCTCAATCAGTAACTAGTAATACTAAAAGAAATATAACAAATCGTTGTGAGACGACTACTAAGATTACTAATAATGAAATTCAAATTATTGTTAATCTAAATCAAACACGTATTGATACAGCTTTTCGTCAACAACGTGATACAATAGTTGCTAATCGATATTTACGTGATACTGTAAGACAATTGTCACATGTTCGTTCAATGTCTTCTCTTGTGAAAAAAATTCAAGCATGCAGTACAAATGACTTTGAAAATGCTTGGTTACTCTTTTGTTGGATAGGTCAAAATATATCTTATGATTTCGATTGTGAAAATCATTCAGCTGAAAGTGTTTTTCAAAATCGAACAGGATCATGTGAAGGTTTTGTTAATGTATTTTATGAATGTTGTTCATTATTGAATATTCAATGTACAAAAATTTCAGGCTATACCAAAGAAAATTTCCTTAGAAAAGTTGAAGATTTAAAAAAATTTTCACATTCATGGAATTCTATTGTACTTGATAATTACACTTATTTAGTTGATCCAGCATGGGGTGCTGGTGCTAATAATAACAATCAATTTCAAGATTATTATTTTTTAACATCAGCCGATGAGTTTATTTATACTCATTATTCAAATGACTATCAATTACTTCAACCAGCAATAACTAAACAGGAATTTCTTAGTTTACCTGTAATGAAATCAAATTACTATCGGTTAAACTTGAGTTTATTAACACCAAAACAAGTTTTTAATCAAACCAATGAAAATATAATTAAAATCTCTCTAAAAACACCAGCATATGTTGATTTATTTGCATCATTGATAAGCGATAATATTGAATATCCACGTCATTTACATACATTCTGCCAACGTGATATAAATCAAACAGATACAATGAATTGTTTTTTTGCTCCACCCAATAATGGGCTTTATGAGATAAAAATTTTTTCAAAAACCAATAACGAAAAAAAATATGAAGATGCTATTTATATGCGATTAAATGTATCAAATATGATTCAAGCTATTACTTTTCCAATAATCTATCAATCATTTATTGAATATAAATGTATTTTAGTAGAACCATTTCGACGTCATATACAAGAAAATGAAGATTTAGTTATTCATATGAAAATACCTGATGCTATTAAAATTAAAATTAAAAATGGTGATGATTATATTATACCGAATAAAGACGAATATAAAAATGGAGTATTGAAAACAAAAGTTCATATTCAAGGTGATCTTCATGTATGTGCACAGTGGAATGATAAAACTAATCAACCAATATCAACAATTTGCATTTTCACTGTTACATGAAACTAATTTTTGTTTGTTTGTTTGTTTCGTTTTTTGTTTGGTTTCAAATGCATTATTCAAAAGAAAAAGCTGTTTCATATGATTTATTTATAATCGATTCGTTGCAAATAAGAAAAAAATAGGATAGTCGTCAAAATACGGCCATAAATCGCACTGGATTACATGTACAAAAAGGACGATAGTATAGACATATACATACATACATACATACATACATATGTACATATGTGACTTGATATAAAATGAAGCCGACGGAAAGAAGATACGTGTTATTCGTTGTATAGGTTCATAATGATGATTTGTGTCTGGCTCGTTCTTCTTTACACGCATATAACTAGTGCAAACATTAACAATGTATCGTATACTATACGAATTTATTCTAATTTAGCAGAAATAATTCGACCTCTTGATAAATTACCACTTGAGTTTGCTGACGATGATTGGAATCATATACGATCTGATTCAATTACACTATTCGGTGGAAATGTTAATATCAAATTACAAACTATAACAGAACAAAAAAAAGCGCTTAACGGTACCGAAGTTTACATTCGTTCACCAATATCATCAGATGCAGCAATTAAATTAATCAAGGGAATTATTATTGATGAAGCAAATAATATAGTTAAAATACACGATGAATCTATTGCTGGCCAACAAGCTTTATATATTACCGTGCCGTATAATCAAATTTATTATCTTGAAGAACCAACCAAACCAAAACATTATGTTAATTTTACATATACAGCTTCAGATTCAAATCTATTTGTAAGTTATCTTCAATCGAATCTCAATTGGCGAACACAATATCAATTAAATTTAAATCATAATGAAAGTGATCTTATTGCAATGGCTAACATTCGAAACGACGCAAGATCATCAGTATTTATTGATCAAGCTGAACTTATTTGTGGAGACATTAATTTACAAATACATCAAATACAATATGATCGATCATTTCGAAAATATCGATCAGGTAGTGAATCACATAATCAACAACAAGCAAATTCGATGCAAACAGTATTTGCCGACACAATGAGCCCAGTCATTGTTGAACAAGGAAAAGAATTAGCAGGTCTATATGTTTTTTCAATCGAGCAACCATTCATAATTAATGGAAAAGCAAATTATCTCTTACCAATGTTTCATCCACAAGTTTCTGTTGAACGATTCGGATTAATTTCAAAAACATTTTCAACTATGCCGATGCATGGTAAAGCTCAACGTTCATATCGTCTTCGATCTGATCAATATCTTTCTCATGGAAAGTAAGTGAAAATTATGTTTTCCCATGTATAAAAGTAACTTTTTTTCTATGCTTCTTTTTTTCAAAACTAGTTGTATTATAAGAGAATATGATCGAGTTGTCGGTGAAATATCACTACCAAATTTAGCTGCCAATGACAAATATGAATTTTCAATTGGTGAAGATGCTAATATTATCTATAAAGAAAATGCCGTATTAATATCGTTGAGTACTTTCAATGAAACTGAATCAATGATGAAAGATTCATTAGAAAAGAATCTACCACTTGGAGCACCCATTACACGTGCGAGGTACATTTATACGATACATTTACAAGTGAAAAATTTTAAAACTCGTGAAGTTCAAATTGAATATGAACAAAAAGGATTTCATTCTTATAATACCGTTAAATTGGTAACAATTGATAACGATCAATTCATTCAAGATGGTTCCTCAATTAAATCAAATATAACATTACAAGCAAATACAACTGAAAATTACATTTATACTGTTGAATTAATTCGTTAGATAATCACTGTAGTTGCATCTTTCAATATTTTTTCTTTCTTTTCTGTAAATAAACATATTTAATCAATAGAATGGTATGGGGGTAAATCAGCGAAAAAAATTTTAGTGAAACTTTTTGAGCAAATGCAAAGCAGCGAAAAAAGTTTGAGCGAAGACATATACGCTGAAGATGTTTTTCGCTGTTATAATTTTCGCGCTTTTTTCGCCGAAAATACATTTCGCTATTTTTATTTTCGCTCAATGGGAACCATATCATGTTAACTCAATTTCTTGTAAATTTTTGGCTCATAAATTTTTTTGTTTTAAAGAGTTATTGACAAATTAGTCCCCAAAATAGTGGTTCTCGTAAGGTACCGATTTCTCGAACTGCCAAAGACGTAGAGAGCTACTTTGTTTTTTAAATAAAAGAAGAAACCTATGTCTAGAAATAGGTGTAGCATTTATTCGAAATTCGATTGTGTTCGGATTTCCGAGACATTCTACTACAAAAACTCGGAATTTAGTGCTTTTTGACATCAGCGTTATCCAGTTATCTCGGCAAACAAATCGAATTTCGAAAAAACGCTACATACATTTCTAGGTATAGGTTTCTTCTTTTATTTAAAAAAAAAGTAGCTCGCTAGCTCTTATAGTCTGAGAAATCGGTTCCGAACTCTCCAAAAAAGTGATTTTGAGAAAACCAATCAACAAGTTGTATGAAACAATTTTTAATTTCATTATGAATGGCACGACTTCTATACTGCAATTTCGTCATGTATACAGGATTTTAAGCAGAAATGACTACTTTCCACTAATTAATTAATATAACAGAACGCATATCTGTTTCTCATTAGATGAAATCTACCAGCTTGTGGACCAATATCACATCCCCGTAGCTAAGGAAAATTTCTGAAAAAATCTTATATTTCTACTACTACTCCCAGAAAGCCGCTATTTTCACCACCAAAAACCATTCAAACTGCAATGAATCACACATAATCTGAAAGGGGACACTTTGGGCTCTCAGTATATGTGCTTATGTCAAAATCGATTTTCTGAGGGGGGAGGGGGGAAGACCCTTAATCAAGCATTCATGTGTACATAAATGAGCAAAGATATTTTGTTCATTATTTTATGATTACATCCAAATGATAGACTAAATAAAGTGATCTCAATATTATAGTTTAAATCATAATATCAATCGAGAAATTAAACATTAGTCATGTTCGTTGCAGTTACTATTTACGATGAAAAATAAATATCGACTTAATGTACACGAAAATTTTATTTCGTATGTTGCAAAATTATCAACATGAAACTTAAATATTAATTTTACTTTGAAGACAATAAATTGGAAAATATCTTTTTAGTTATTTTTGATTGAATTTTAGCTGATGAATAATATATGTAGATGAGGATAATATTAATAGTTTATACTTTTTTTGTCTATACAGACAACATACATATACGATTAATGCTAAAACAAATTATCTGTAATTCATATTTCGTTCGTCATATTAAGTGACATGAATTAATTTGAAGAAGGTTTCTGGGAGATATTGAATGACGAGGCTAGTATTATCAAAAATTTGATCAATGTCTTACTCATTAAAGCTAGGTCAAATTATGTTTTTCATCGTTTATATATGCCTATATTAGTCTTCTTCTTATTGTTGTTATTGTTTTTTAATTAGCTAAATTATAATGAGAATACGATCACGTGGTCGGTCACACATCATTAATGAGTTTAGTTGCAAAGATAAACAATAATATTCCTTTCGGAAAGATGTTGATATTATCTATGAAGAAAATCTGTTATTGATTCCATCGACGCATTTTTCACAAGATTGAACACAATTACTCACTTCATAGATGTATTTATTCTTACTTCATCTTTTGACGACATACATGGATGTATAAAGTATTTTGATACATTTGTCCAATTAATGTGAAGGGTGAATAGAAATTCAATCCTTTGAAGTAGAATATCATCTAGTGAAAAAAGAATTATTTTATTCAAGATGATTTCTCAATCTCATAAAAGACGGATTTGAGATCTTAATGGTACTGCTTATCTATTTATTTTTACTTCCAAACGATTCGTTTAAATTTCAGCTAATTGTTATTTCTTAAGATGTCTTACAATTTTAACTCTATTAATGTGTGTTCCAATAGAATATATATATATATATATCAAGTATGCGTGATATGAGAAACTGATAAGTCTGAATTTTTTAAATGGATGTCGACAGCATTAAGATCCTGAGTTAATCTTTCAAATATTTTCTTTATCGAATAGAAACAGTTTTAGACATGTATTTAATTCCATGTCTATTAAAAGTTAAACTCGAACAGTCTTTATCAGAATATTAACAATCAAGAATAACTGCTTTCTTAAGCGCTATATCAGAGAGTTGCAAATCATCCTCGTCGATTCGGAGCTTCTGTTGCATCATTTTTTTACCGTTCAGTAATATAAATCATTTGATAAGGTTGACAAAAGTCTCGAATCAATTATAAGTTTTTTAAATTGTTTTTTTTTTTCAAAAATGTGCTCGTGATTGTAACTGATGTGAATGGAATGGCAACGAAGTTCTTAGACTTGTAAAAATTATGGTTTTGGTGACAAAGACAATGAATATTGCAAATTTGAAGGCAAACGTACATTCATGTTATTAGAAAACTCACTATTGAATGACGTGTTGCTATATCAACAACAAAATAGAATATTGTTGAACAGCTTGTAGATTTTTCAGAAATGAGATCAATGTTTTTTTCTTTCTTTAGAATCGTATATAAAGATTCTTTGTTTTATGAGATAGAAATCTATTAAAAAAAGCAATACCTCAAAGCGATTAATAGGTCTACGATTTCACGGACGAAAAGTTATGATGATTGAAGGCAGAATGCACATTTTAGGCTCATGTAAAGTAATGTTAACTTGTCTTTTTAGCAGTTGTCAATTGAAAACATTGAAAAAAATCTGTTTCTAACGAAATGCCTAAGCTATTCATCCGTTGTTTTCATTTTCGTTCATTTTTTATGTTTTATTTTTCTTGTCTTTCCCCAACTTGACGTTTCTCCGGCGTTGATAGTTAGGATACGAAACATTATGTACATAGTACAGTGCATGAAAAAAACATAATTTCAATCTAAATAAGAAGATTATTTTGTACTGAGAGAATTCAACGAAAATGAAAGATTTTATCTACTAAGACGTGTAGAAGATAGAAAACAAACTCATTCGAATTCTTCCTCCTGTGAACATTTACTACTATTCTCTATCTCGTTGATTAGTTTTCTCAGTTCGAAATCTCACAATATTAAGCTACGAATCTTTATCCCTTTTAAATAGTTTAATGAAAATCCATTGCAATCTTACAAAGAAGTATATCATTTTGTTCGTTTACTTTGTTCACACACACACACACAGCAAGAAACGATACACACGAAAAAAAAACGAAATACGCAGAGCTATTTTCAAAAACGAAAAAGAACCCAAAAGTCAAAAAAGAGAAAAAGAGATCTTCATAACAACAAGAAAAAAAAACGGAGAAAGTGAGAACGATAACAGATATATGGCATAGATGTGTATTATTTGTGGTTGTTATTATTATTATTGTTCTGCTTGTTTTTTCTTAAATTACAAAATGAAAAACGAAAAAAAGAAAAGAAAACAGTTCTTTCTCTCAATTGCACGGTACACAAAAAGGGGAAGAACGGGTAAACGTGAAGCAATAACGAATAGATGTTTTTTTTTAGTTGTTCGTTTACAAAGAGAACATAAGCCGGATAAAATGAAAGAAAATCCAAGAAGAAAAGATTTACAGAAATGATAGACATATACTAAACCAGATGTACACAAAACACGTTACAAGCATTGTTCTTTGTCATGAGAAAAGAAAAAGAAAAGAGAAAAAACCAAATCTATGAAAAAAGAATCGCACTCACATACACACGTACATATACATATATAGAAACTACACTGCACTGCACTGCACTGCACACATATATAGATATATTTTATACATACACGCATAAAGTGTGTCATGGGATTTTGTTCGTTATTTTCGCATATGCGAGATGTAAGTAAGGAAACCGAGCGACCATTGCGATACAAAAATAAGGATTGCAACAAAACTGTTCGATAGAGTAGATGTGTAGACTAGCTCAACACACACACACACACACACACACACACACACATATATATAAGAGAGAGAGAGAGAGAGAGACAGAGGGTGAAAAGATATCTGAACGTGAGCTTCGAAAGATACATGCGAATACAAATTTATATATAGAGATAAATATTAATCAGCTATTATAGCTGTTGCTGCTGTTGCTGCTGTAGAACTTGTATTATCAACAGGTTTAAGTCGTAATGATACTTCTAATGGTTTGGTAACACGATGACGACAAGGTAAATAAACCATACATGGCACAAATAAATCTTTATATACATCATCATCACTTTCAACTAAGAAAGGTTGCATAGACAACAGACGACTATTATTATTATTATTATTGTTGTTGTTGTTGTTGTTGTCATTTGACGCTGATTTAGTCGTTACTGTTGATATTAATGAGGATGAATAATTATTCATATCTTTTGATAGATTGATATTTTCCGATTCATTACTATCAGTTATATGACCATTTAAATCATTATCATTTGTTGATGAATATTTTCTTGTTGAAATAAGATTCATATCAGTTGGAATAATAGATGTTGATGTTAAAATATTTGAAGATAATGAAAATGTTGCTTTCGATGATTGAGAATCTGAAGATGGAGATAATTGAGATGTTGATCCTGACGTTCCAGATGGTTGAATTAAACGTAAATCATCCACAGATATATTGTGTACATTACGCATATGAGCACGTAAAAAATATTTGTTACACAATTCCTACAATTGATTATAGAAGATTATTATTATTATTTATATATTAAAACAAAGTTTAATTTCAAACTAACATCGAAATTTTATGTTTCTAGACTTATATTTATGAATAATATTAATTCTTTTTTTTTATAGGCTATTGATTATGAATAGCGAATAAATTTTAAATGAGAAAAATAAATAAGCAATCAATGCTCTAATATAACAATTTCTTGTACAATAATAATTGTATTAGTTGAGTTTAAAAAAAAAAGAATACATATTCTGCAAACAATCTATGTTTGTCAAGCTACAATGTATCAAATAAAATTTAGAGAATACACTTGGAACGTGACATATATATATATAGAGCTTTATTTGAGTGGATTGACCTTATTGGTCCTAACCACTTTAGGAACGTGACATGAACTCTTAGTCAGTATGTATTAAAACTAGTTTCATAAGACTCTTGTAAGTTACAGAGTATTAGATGAAACCATTTATCTTCTTGACCTGTTCTAGAAAAATATGCTCATAAATATCTACTAATTACATCTATCTATTATGTATGCGAAAAGATCATCACCGAGTAGAAGATATGAATGTTTGCTGACTACCTTGAGTTCATCTGAATCTCAATGATGTTCATTGTTCTATTACGTATTCATAACATTTAGTCGAACCATATCCTTTTAGGTATGCATTGGAAACAGCCACAGTGCAGTTCATCGATAAAATCAGTCAATCATGTACCATCACTATTTCTATCATATTGTAGTTCAAAGTCTCTATGTGAAGATTCATGCATGATATCAAATGTCACAAAAATAGAGAATAATAAGATCATGAAATAAGACTAGATTAATTTAATTTGAACGAGTTATGCGTTATTTTCTTTTTCTTGTAAGAAAATCTTTTCTCAAGTCTTCGTTTTCCCATGTGAACTTCAACTGAACAACAACAAGAACAGCAAGAGATAGTTTTAAAAGTGACTGTATTAAGTTTTATTAAGAGTTAAATGAATTGACAAAATAATTATTCCTCAAAATGCTTTGTTTTTTTTTTAGAAAATCAATTTTTACTTTTTTTTAGTTGATTCTTATTCGGGAGTTGATATTTATCATATTATTGATTTACTAACCTTTTTACATACTTGACAGGTAACACGTAACTGAACTTGTGGTGTTTGTTTTAAACGAACATTATTATTTCCTGTAAGATTACCATTTGTTAATGGCCTTTTAATTGTATTTGTGACTAATATATTTTTATTACTTGAGGGTGTATTTGTCGTTCCATTGAATAATGTTATTGGCGGCTGTTGAATTCCATGTACATTATTCATATGGACATGAAGAAATTTTGTTGGAAACGATTTTGAACAAATCTCACAAATACTTGATGTTGCTTGCTCAATTAAACCGTTACTTGTAATATTATTATTATTATTATTGTTATTATTATTTGTACCAATAAATGTATTAACTGAATTTGTTAAAGTATCTGGACTTGGTATAACACCTGGTTCTGCATTTGATGTATTCATTTCATCGACAACAAGCTGTAGCGGACTGCCATCCATCGATGAAATTGAATGCTGTTGTTGTTCAATATTATCGTCAGTAGTTTCAGAATTTGTCATTGGAATTGATGATGAAGTTACCATTGGATCAGGTCCAACACCGTGTACTTTAAGTTTGTGTGTTTTAAGAAAATATTTATTACATACTTGCTATTAAAATAAAAATATAGTGTTTTGTTCTTGTATTCAACAGAAGAAGAAAGTTAATTTACCTTATGACATATATCACACGAAACTCGATCAGCCATTTTAGCAGCAAAGTATGTATCAACTATGCCTGGTATAACAGCTGAAGGATTTGGTGATGTCATTGTGTCAATAGGTGATGATGCCTTAATAACTGTCGTTGTTATTGTTGTTGATGATGATGATGATGGTATTTCATTTGTTTCTAGTTTTATTTTTTTAACTGTATTACTATTTAATGTACCATTAGACGATTTAACTAAATTTGACATTTTTGTTCGTTGCTGTTGTTGAGTATCATAATTTTGTATATCTGATGTTATTTGATGTTTATTCATTAAATGTAATTGTAGATAATCATTTGTTTGAAACTTTTTTCCACATAAATGACATGTACTTATTTGAGATTTTGTTGTTGATGATGTTGATGATGTTGCTGTTGATGTTGGTGTTGTTGACCCGTGTGTTACTGTGTTTAATTGATTAGCAAAAACATTAGCTACATCTGACGCAACAGTTAAAAGTGATGGTGTAAATTGAGCTTTTGATAATGATAATGACGATGATGTTGATTCATTTGAATTATCTGTGTGACGACGTTTATTTGATGATAATAAGGTTTGTTCTGAGTTTGTTTGAGATTGAACAAGAGGAGAAAAAATTGGATTAAGTAACATACCAAGACTCTGTTGAACAGATGATGCTGAAAAATAAAACAAAGATAATAATCGAAAATAGTTTCTTTTCTTTTCTTTTTTTCGTTTAAATTACCATTAAATGTAACATTTGGAAATGAAGATGGTAATTGTATAGAAGGAGAATTTTGTTGAGATGATGTTGACGGTGGAGAATTTTTTGTTCCTAATGAATTATTATCAATACGTTTATATGGTTTTATATTACAATCAGTTTGAACACCGTGCACATCTAATTTATGTTTCTAAATAGAAGAGAATAAAAATTTGATAGAAAATTTAATAAACAAGTAAATACATATATGTATATGATTAGATTTGGCTCATGATCAAGTTGAAATTCAAATAGTTATTAAACTAATATTTCTATATTTACTTGATTTTCTAATCCTTGTATAGAAAAAAAGACGAAGAAGAATCTCTCAAGGCCCTCAAGATAGGAGTATGGCGTTCGTGTATTTTTTTTGTTTGTTTTTAAATTGTTTGATGAGAAAAAGCCATGAAACTTTTGAATCAATTTAAAAAATTTCATGATCAGGACTAGATCACCTGTTTTTATTACATTCTTACAATAAATAAACTGTAACTTAATACTCATTATAAAAATATGAATAATAATAAATTTGCCTTTTGGATTTTTACATACTAACGAGTGTACGATTTGAAAAGCCTTAGAAACAAATATTTCTTTCATAACTTACCCGTAAATAGTACTTATTACAAAAATGTTTTTGACAAATATCACAGAAATCCTCAAGTAATTTAGCTGAAGATTGTCGTGATAAATTTGCCGTTGTTGTTGTTGTTGATGATGGTGTCGGTGGTAGATTTGATATTTGTGTTGATGATGATGCTTGCTGTTGAAAATCTAAACTAGTCGTTGGAGAATTTGTTATCATATCGTGTTGATCATCATCATCATTATCATTTAATATTGCTACAGAATTAATATTTTTATTATCATTACATAATATCGTTGCAATTTTCTGTGGAAGATTAATTAATGAATTTGAATTGGTTCCATCCTGCTCGTCATCATCATCATCGTCATCGTCATCATCATCATCACCATCATCATTATTATTATTATTATTATTATTATTATTATCATTATTATCATCTTGTTCATGATCATGATGATGATTATCATTGTTATCTTCATCACCGGCTATAACACCATTCATTTCATGTCTTAATGAAGAAAGTTCATTTTCATTTTCATCATCATTATTTTGATGATTTTGAATCATATCAGATGATGGTGAGTTTGGCGACGATGAAAAATCTTCATGACCATTGTGTAATAATGTTGATATTACAGTAAATGGATGTTGAAGATTTGAATCATTGTTTGTATCAGTATTGCCTTGTAAAGATGAAAGATTTGGAGTTGAAACAGTTGGTACAACAGATTGATGATCGAAAATACCATGTTTATTAGCCAAACTAAATAAATAGAAAAATAAAAATAAAATTAGTTGGAACAATGAATTATAGAAACGTCATTTTCATAAAGAAAACTCTTCATAATACTATTTTTCGGATAGAAAAATCATATCAATATTGTCAAGAACTCTAGTCTATAAAAGCATTAAACTTTCGTTTTTCCAGAATTTATAAGTTGAAGAAAAAATTCTCGCTTTTTTTAAGAGAATTAATTCTGTATAATTAAGAGAAGATTTTATTCTTACATGTCGAATGATGATAAAAAAAACGAGACGTTGACCTTCTCGATATTTGAAATATGAAAAATACCATAGAGATTTAATTTTTCTCAAATCCTTTTTTGTACCAAGATTCTCTATATAAATTATCATTGCAATTATTTATATGAGTTATTACTACGAGAGAAAAAAACAATCATAATTAAATCTGTGAGATCAAGTGTCAAACACGTTGTTTATATTTATAAATTTTAATCTACACAATGCTATAAATAGCTTTTCAAATGTGAATCTATTATTCTATTTAAATTTCTTAAGTATGTAATATAATATGAACATTAAATTTACAATTTTTTCAAAATCTATAGAGAAGTTGTTAAGACGAAATTTAAGAGATAGACTAATAGAAAAGAAAACTATGATCCATCTATAATTCTAATACTTACTGAGTTTTTAGAAAATATTTGTTGCAGAATTCCTAAAACATAAAAAATTCATTGTATTTAAATTCATTGTTTTTTTTGTTTATTTCTGTTTTAACCTTTCGACAAATTGCACAAAACGCATCAGCATGAAATATTCTTGTTGGCATTGTAATACTGCCATTATTATCGCTACCATCACTTTGATGTTTTCGCTTCAATGAACGTGATTTTCCTGTTGTATTTATTGAACGTGAGCGATTTGTGGAATTTAATCCATGTTTATTTGTTTCATCCATTTTTAAACTAAAATCAAGTATACCAATCGTTTCATTATTATGATCAATATGTTCGTGTTGTTCATTTTCTTCAACTAACATTCTTTGAATATTTTCATCTAAATTTGTTTTATCAATTGAATGTGATTGATGCTGATGTGATGAACGTCTTGAACGATTAATAATATCTTCCATTGCATAATGTTCGCCTGTTGAATGAGATGATAACGAACCATCTTCACAATTTAAACTAACACGATCTGAATCATCGTCGCCTATTCCACTTTCTTGTTGTTCTGCAGCTACATGATATTGAGTTAATGGTGGAAGAATTGAAGATGAATTATTTGTATCGCATGTCGATGTACTTTCAAGAACAACATGTTCAAGTCTAAATTTAATTAAAAATAATAACGAAATATGTTAATTAAATATGAATATCTATTCATAACTAATATGAATCTAATTTTGTTTTTATGTAATATTCTCAATGCTCAATTGTTCGATCGAGTGAGTTTTATAAACTTGATTATCTATGAAATACATGAATAGTTATGTTTTTCAAGTAAAAATTTAATTGGAATTTATCAAAGATAAACCAAAAGAATAGTTGATTTCAATAAATTATTCAATAAATGTTTGTTTGGACATTCTATTAATATTAAATAAGACTGAGATAGAACAAAAAGAAACTCATTTTTCTATTTTCCTTTAGGCTGAAAAAAATGAAGAAGAGTACAAAATGTATAAATAAAATTGCTACTTTTGTCTTTTTTTTTAGTATTTCTTGGTCCGAAGGGAATTTATAAATTGATTCTCATAAATCTTGCCATGTCAACATTGAAATGAGCTTATCCAATGAAAAGATTGATATATCTATTTAATACTAAAGATTGAAATGAAAATTTCTATAAAAGAAATCTTATTTTCAGATTTAATATGATCTTACATTTATGCTAAGTTAATTAAATCTTAATGTGTATTTAAAAAGTCGCGAAAAAATATTTTTAACTGTTACGAATTTTATTAAAAAGAAATAGTAAGAACAACAACAGCTGGTTATCAATATATGGTTTATACATCAGTTTTTTAATATTTTTTCTTTCTTCTCAAAAGCTTCAATGTCGTTCATTGGCGCATGTATTTGCATTTGAATGAGTTTGTTTCCCGCTCTCTTTTCCTTTATTTATGAGTTTTTTTTGTTGATTTGTTTCTTCATATTCTTTTTTTTTTGTCTATCCATCTATCTGTCTGCTTCTCTTATTGCCGTTCGCCCGTTGTTAGAAGCAAATACTTGATGAGTTTCGTTTCCGTTTATGTGTGCATTGTCAGTGCGTCTCATCAATAATCCTAACATATACACACAGTTTCATTTTTTTTTCTTTTTCTTCTTCATTCTGATCTTCTTTTCTCAGAGTAGAACTATTAACATTAGTGAAACGAATGGGAGCCCTAGCATCCTATCATTTGTGTAAATTTGTATGTGTGCGTTTCTTTCTCTCTAAACATTCATTTTTTTTATTAGAACTTATTGTAATTTCGGACACACACACGCACATATATAGAACCAATGGATTGTAGGAGAACGAGATAAATGTTTATAGAAAAAGTTCGAGCCTACGACTATTAATATTGATTTTATTATTCTCGTTTGATTATAAATGGATCTGTAAAATTTTTATAACAATAACCATCTGTTAAAGGTCTGCTTTTGTGAAAAATTAAAATTCCCCTCCCGCCGTTCTCAAGAAAAAAGAAGGAAAATGAAACAATATTGAACTTACCTATTCGGTTTGCTTTGTTTTCGGCGGCTACTACTATTATTTATCGGTATTGTTGGTGGTGTTTGTTGATCAGTAGTTGTATTTGTTGATTCCATCATTACTTTTGTTCGGTTTAGGTTTTAAAATTTAAATATTATTGTGGCTCCATTTATATCGTGCTGTCATAGTGAAATTTTCGTTTTTTTAGAATTTTTAAAATTTTTTTCAGTCAATTTTCAAATGACTGAATCTGAAAGAAATAGAAGAAAAATGAGTCTAAATTGAAATTCAGATATTTTCTTTCTTTTTCTGTTCTTTTCCTTTTTTCAGCGAATCCCAATAGTAGAAAAAGAAAAGTCAATTCTTTCATTATTGGCTTCGAGTTTTTTTTCCTTGTATTCTATTGATGACCGCCACATAAAGACCGAATCTAATTATATGGCGATAAGATAGATAGAGAAAAAAGTGCATGTGATGATTGAAATCTTGAGAGGATGATACTTGTTTTTTTTTATGTATTTATGCCATTCTAATGATGAGCGGCATCTCGGTTTTAAATCTTAAGCACACATATGGCATTAAAAAACGATTATTATCATTCTTAATCCTCATATCTCAAAAAGACAACTATTTTCTGCACATCCACTCACCCTTTCTAAATTCAAATAAAACAAACAAAAAAAAAAGAAGATTCAAATAAACACTGTTGTCAAGCATACTAATATATAACACGCATCGATGACAATATAATATAAAAAGCGATGTGAAATGAATGAATGAATAAATCGAATATATATAGATATATATATATATAAAACAGTATTTGTATTGTTTCTATCTTTTTTCTCTCTTCTCATTCTTTATTACTTTTTTTTATCATCACTCTTTCTTTTTTTTTTTATATAAGACAGACTTATTGTTTGCATTAGTTTTTTTTCATGAAGGTGGACTGACTATGATGAAAATGATGATTGCAAATTTTTTTTCAATGCGCAGTTAATGTCGATATTTTACCTTCAAGAAGCAAATCAAAAAAAAAAAAAGACGAACACGTACAAGCAGAAAAAACCTTATAAAAGAGAAAGCGAAGGCTAACAGACCCAACTGAGTTTCGCTTGAATGACTTTTATAAAAAAAAAAAAAAAAAAAAAAAAAAATTTTTTTTTTTTTTTGAAATTAAATTTTTTTGTGTTTATTTTTTTTAATAAAAAAAAAAAAAAAAAAAAAAATTTTGTTGTTTTTTTGAAATTACCTTTTTTAGTGGTTGATCGATGATGAGAAAAGAAAAGAAAAAAAATGCACATATTGCTAAAATGTATATTATACAAGGACATCAATTATAAAAATATTATTAATATGGATTAGATAAAGAAGAAATCTGCTTTCATTGCTTCAAACAAACTAACTTTCTATCGTTTTGTCTTATTCTACGATAGTTCCTTAACTTAATGAATTTCTTCTTCCCTTTTGCTTTTGCGTATTCAGTTTTTTTTCATCTCTATTTTCTATCGTTCTAGCATCGGTCTCAGATTAATTTGGTTACACAGCAAAAAAAGGAAGGACTAGTCTGTCTCTCTCTCTCTCATCATTTTATTTTAAAACACATCGACACAGAAAAAGAAAGAACTTTGACTATAAGCAAAAGGAATAGTAGATTAAAGATGTCTATATATATTTATATTCTCCCTCTTATCTTGTCGTCGAAATAAATGAATTAGTAAACGAGAACAAAAAAAACTTAGGGATAGCGGATGTATGCTCTGTCTAAATTTAAAAGAAAAAATTACTTTTTTTTACTTTTAATTAAAGACTTAAAGACAAGAGAAAAGTCTATTTAAACAAAGTTTCTGAACATCAATCGATTTTACCGGAAAATTGAGCCGTCGTTCTTTACTTCTAGATCCACTATAATGTGACCATTATTATCAGTAATTCTTTATTATAGCACTCGAGAAAACGATGGAATCGATGAGAAAAAAAATGTAAAGAAACATACTCGGTTATACTATCTTTCTAGAAATAAATATATTTGCTTGGTTAGGATGTAAGAAGAAAAAAAAATCTCTTCGACATTTACTATACAAACTAATGCAGTCAATGCTTGTACATATACTCTTATTTAGCTCGAACTTTTCTCTCTCTCTCTTGGCGTATAAAGAAAAGAAAAAAAAACGAGAATTTTCCTAAAATAATATTCCGAACAAACAGAATAAGAAAAGAAGAAATATCAAGATAGAACGCGAACGATGAATCGGTTAAAGAAACAGAGAGGAACATCATTTCTATTCTTTTTTTCTTCTATTCTACATATAAAAAAAATAAGATGTAATCCAGAAGAATACTATGCGCAGTTTACTAATGTACTGATATCGGCTCGCTTATGAGTTCAGTTCTTCTTTCCATTCTCACATTCTCAAGAATATGTTTATATATATATATATATATATATATATTTATATATGATCGTGTTAACCGTCAATCGTTGTGATACATTGAACGAGCGAAGAAACGAACAAGAAAAAGAAAGAAGATAAATAATTGTAAAAAAGTTCGATGTGAACGAGAAAGAACGCTCGTGCGCGAGCAAAAGTTCAACTCATCTTCTAGATCAATTGATTGATTGAGAAAAGCATTTTGGTCAATAATAATAACGCATCTGTACAGATATTTCTTTTCTCTCATAAATTGAAGAAGCAAAAATGGCAGCTACCGGAAAAGAGAAAAGATGAAGATGAGAATAGGACCAAAACAATTTTTTCTTTATTATCAAGACGAAGAAGAAAAAGAAGTAGTATAACTATGATCGTAAAGGATAATCCGTATTCGTTCTTTTCTCAGTACATACAAACAACTTAACCAGATAAGAAAAAAAAAACCAAAGACAGAAAACAAGAGGAGATGAAACAGATGTGTCAAGATTAGATTTTCTAGTATACAGAACGGAAAAGTTATTGATTATTCTAAATACTAAACTGAATATCTTTTCTATTCTATCTCTTGTTTTATGTCCATCCAGATGATGATAGATATTATATTTACATTTTTTTTCCGAAAAAAAGAAAAATGATCATTCCAGATGTGTATACAATGTTTGAATAATCAAAAAATGAGAGAATTCAATCAATCATGAGGAAAAGAAAACAAATATGAATGAATATTATATTTATTTTAATTTTTCAAATATTATAACCATTTTTGATCTTCTCGATGTATTTCTTTGAGACATTTAAATAAAATAAATAGTCAAAAAGAAAAAGAAGAAAAGAACGAAGTTATAATCGATGCAATTTTACATTCTTACATACACTTACTTGTTATTTTCAAATGAAGTGAGGCCGGTGTTAGTTGCTTCTCCCTGTCTGTCTCTGTCTCTCTCTCGCTCTTCTCACACATCGGCATCTGTTCTGTTTCATTTGACTTTCAAATCAAAAAAAGAGAATACAAGAGCGAAAAAATGTACGCAAGATGAGGACGATGCTATTAAAATACACATAGACACAAAATGTTAAAAAAAAATGACTGTTATCTTTTAAAAAAAGAAAAAAAGAAACTTGCTCTTTATTCTCCCGTTTTATGAGAGTCGATGAGTGATGATTAAAATTTTTTCTTCATTTTTGCATTTCTACAGTCCTGTTTTTTCTCACTTAATCAACAATACAGAATGAATGAATGGTTACTGAGTGTTGTTAAAAAAAAGTGCACACACGCGCTTCCCGAGAGTCCCCTTCACCTCTTTCAACAAAAACGTCGTGTTCTTTATGAGTGAGAAAAAGAAAAAAAATTTAATTTTGTTCCATCCTTTCTTTCTCTCACATACTACTATTATTTGATATTGTCTGTCAAGTGTGTATGTTCCTTTTTTTCTCTCTCGAGCCCGGTGAACAACAGCGACCGCATGCAAACTTGAAGCCATGTTCAATCATGTCTTGAAATTAGAAAATGTCAACATATATATATACAACATACGTCACCTCAACTCGGAATTCTTATCAATACAAGTTGAGAACGTTTTCTTTCTTACATTCAATATTCTCATTGTTGTTATTGTTTAAAAAAAAAGAGGCGCTCTCAACTTTGATTTGAATGGCAAAGAAAACGGAAGAAGAACAGACAAAACCTGCTGCCATCAAAATATATGTACGAAGAATCGAATAGAATGAAAAGAGCACATAAAACGCATAAATCGATTCTATACTTAAACTTGCAAATAAAAAACTTTCGCTCTCTCTCTCTCTCTCTCTCTTTCATTCCCCTTATATTCACATCAAAAATATATTAAAAAAAAACTAAGAGAGAACTGTCACCATCGCTATTGCTGCTTTTATTCACATACACACACAATTTCAATGTTTCTGTTCTCCGGACATGATGCCCGCCTACTTGAGTGAGAAAGAACTCGATAGAGACGAAGAGAAATGAAAGAGCGAGCAAGTCGATTGAAGAAATAAGAAAATGAAATATAACAACACATACATAGTATATATATATATATATGTATTTATATATATATATATTGAAAGGAAAAAAGTTCAAGAATCAGCAACATCAGACTTGCCCGTCAAAAAAAAGAAAAAAGAAATCGCTCTAATGAGATCGGATACTGTTGTGTTATTGTTATTCTAAAAACATTGAAAAGACATGAAAAATGATCAATTTCTACAGTAATCTAAGAAAATGGCATTATTTGCTAGTTCAATTTATTATTTTCAATTGCTGAACAGAGATTACTATCATCATTACTGATCTGCGTGTCGCACCTTCTATTATAAACACCCGAGGGAAAATAGAGATAACAGTAAACTTTTTAGAAATAGCTCGACATGTTTCAATCAACAAGTGTCTAGTGCGTGTGTGCATCCACCATACAATCATCAGGGGCTAGAGCCAACATAAGAGTCGTTGTCATCGAAAATTTTCATATTATTAGATTTTTCTCGCTCTCTTAGCTGTTAGCAAGAAAAAAATTTGTCGATTATACTCTTCCAAATAAATGTATAAGACCAAGTAAAGAGAAATAGAAAAAAAGAGAGAAACGATGAAGACTACAATTGACAAGACAATTGTGTATTAAAAGAGAAAAAAGTTTACGGAAATGAGAGAGAGCAACACACACGCCGATTGAAATCTCATCGCAACGCGGTAGTGGATCATCCGAGCGCACCCCCTAATGTGTACGTCACGCGATCGTTTGCCATTTTTTTTCTTTTTAAAACGACCGAACACAAGAAAAGGATAAGAATGAGAAGCAAAAAATTGTCTATTCTTTATGAGATGGCGAATGAATTACTAAAAAAAAAAGAGCAACACAGACAAGAAATAATTGAGAATTAGATATAGCATAAAAAAAAAAGAGCAGCAGGATATCTTTTGCATGCAATAAAAACATACGGGAAGACCTCAAACAGAGATAGATAAAAGTAACTCTTAATATTACTTAAACGATGTCTAACTTAAAGAAATACAAAATGTGTTTCAAGTTTTCTTTTTTATTCTTTCTTAGTTTTTTTTGATTCATAATTAAGAAACTCGAGATCTTTTTTTTTATTGTATGCATGTTTGCAGGAAGTCAAATATGAGTGTTTGACTTCTCTTTCGACAGGCTCTTTGCCTTCGTTGTGTCTTCCGCTGGAGTCGTCTTCTTCTAATGATTGCTCTTCAAACCTGAAGGCGTAATGACTCTGAAAATTGGCCTCTGCATTACGATTCAACAACGACGACATCTTCTACAATTTATTCAAGCATACATGATACCAATACCAATACGAGAAATGCTCGAGGAGATAATATATTGTCAGCATTCGCTTTACTTCAATTTGTCCTGCCATTCTAATCCTACCTGAGTTTTTTTCTCGAATGCGCAAATTTCATTCAATCAATTTTATATATATGTTGGGTCTAGCGTATGAAAAAGAAGAACTCATCTTTTCTCCTTCTCTCTGTCTCTCGCGCGCGCTTTTTTAACTAGTCCAAAATATTATTTATGCATTAGCTCAAAACATAGTAAAAGAAAAAAAAAGAAAGAAAAACTCGACGACAAGATATGGAATAATAGTGATGGTGGTCTCATTTCATTTTTGATCTCTAGTTGCATTGCTACTATGTAGTCGAGTCCAACACGCGACAAATTAATTTTCTAACAATAACATAAGCATGCAAAGTTCTCTATTTTTTGCTTCGTTTTTTTTTGTCTGTTGATTCTTTTGTTTCATAGTCTGATTTTGTTGAACGGTCGACATGTCTATCGTTCAATTATTGATTAAAGTATCAATTACATTTATACTACTGTGAAAGCCCGAGCTTACCAAATTTGAATGCATAAAACTGCAATGTTGAATTGATAGTGAAGAAGTTGTTGAAAAATACGATGAATTTTCCTTCTCTTCTATTTGTTCGTCTTCTCGTTTTTTTTCTTCGTCTTCTTTTTTTTTGTTATATGTGCGTTCTGATCTTGTTTCAAGACTGAACTATCTATCGAGAAAATAGAACACTATCCTATCAAATAAATTCGCAGTTGTAAGTTCTAGTCGAGTAGAATGGGTGTTAGACAGAATTTTTTTCTCTTCGTTCCATCTTTTTTTCTCTCTCTCTCTCTACTTCTCGTCTCATCTTGAATGGAAAACAGAGTTTCAAATTCCGGATGGCACTCTAACTACAGTAGCTGCGCATAGCACCATTACTACTTACTTGTGCTCAGCACACAAAGAGAAGAGCTCGTTCGGGAATGGAAAAAAAAGAGAGAGAACTAAATGATAAACTCGATCATTCCTTCGAGTTTTTTTTTTTTTTTTGTTAGATAGAACTCTTATTGCTGCTTGCTACACTTGTTTGTTAGCACTCTATTCGATAAAAAAGAAAAAAATCCAAAAAAATTCTTTTCCTCTTTTTCTTACTTCTTCTTTGTCATCCTATTCAATAATATGCGATAGAATTCAAACGAAGGTTCTACTCGCCAAGCTTTGTAAGCAATATATATATATATATATATTGCTAACTCGGCCACACAGACACAGGAAATACGCGATGAGTTTCTGCAAAAGCGATTCAAAATGACCGAGTGAACAAGAATAAAGAGAGAAAGAGACATAAAAGTAAACGAAGAGAAAAAATGAATTGATGATGATGTTTTATCTATTTCTATAGTACGGATAGTTCAAGAAAGGGAAAAAAAGTTGAAGAATACATTGCACTGCAGATTAACAGCAATTAGTAAAAACGATAGCATCGTCAATTTTCATTTGTTGAATTAAGAACTAAAAGATTTATATAAATTTTTAAACAAAATAAACAATTGTTAAATGAATATTTTATGATACCTATTCTTTTACATCGTCTTATGTTCTATTAAAGTTTCAATTAACATTCAAGAATTTATTCCTTATCTTACTGTTTTTCTATTTCATCAAATAGGTCTTTCATCTATAAAAAGAAAAAAGAGAAAAGAAAAAGAAAAAAGAAATACAAATATTCGATTATAAAAATAGCACTAGAAGATAAATGTAATACACATTTAATAGTAAAAGGAAATAATCGAAAAATCTCATGTTTAATATTCATGTATTTTTCAACACTAAGAACCAAATTAAAGAAAATCTTCCGTATATATATATAAATGTTTCCTTTTCTTCTCTTTTCCTTTCTTTTTTATAATTGAAGGTTTCCTCTTGATGTTTATTACACATTTTTTATATTTGTAACCATCATCGCAACTATTGTCGTCGTTTTTATAGTTTTTTTCTTCTCTTAACGATTTTTTTTATTCAAAGAATGAAATAATATAATGATTAAGGGGCACGACTCTGAAAAATTCATTTCCAAAACACTTAAAAAGAAACAATGCCGAAATATGTGATTGTACGCACATCGATAGATCATCTTCATAGATTCTGTCAGCTTTTCAGGAAACAATCAGACTGTTACTTGGCTGCTTTTTTATTTCTTTTCTCGAACCTTTTTTTTTTACTTCACTATGAAAAGAGGCACACATTCATACATGATATAATCGATGCATGTCGTAAAGGAGACAATCGATAAAAAAAATGAATGAACAGAAGAAATAGACAGACAGTTCGACAAGACATATAAATAAAAAAAAGTAACAAAAAAGAAAAAGGTAAGATCGATTTTGATTTATTAGAAGGAAACTTTTTCTAGGTGTGTTATGTTAAAAAATTCATGTTAGACAGCTGAAGTTATGCAAGCAAAGCGAAAAAGACCATTTGTTAGAATCGATAGATGACGATGTCGGGTATACATAACAGTAATGCATACAAAAAAAAAAGTTAACACTTGCAAGAATGAGTCAAGTGGAGACAAGAGAGAGAGAGAGAAAATGAGCGCGCGGGAAATCAATTCAAAAAGCATTAGACCTACGGCAATGTTAAGCGATTTTTGAAAAGAATAGAACAAAAAACTGTGAGAGGAAGAATGTTGTCAGTATGAATGAATAGGGGGCAAAAAACAGCATATACACCGCACTCAAGTACTCTAAAGTTTGACGTGAGAGTCGATGAATAGGGATTAAAAAATGTTCAACATTAGAAAAGTATGAAACAGATGTGCGAATTAAATCAGACAGAGAAACAGAGGAAATACATTTGATGCAATTAAACAAAAGAATAAGACATAAAGCGAACAATAAAGAAAAGAAAAAAACAAAAATGATCTCTGACTGATGGCTATTCAATTGTTCTTTTCTATTTGTCTAATTGAATATAAAGTTATTTGTTTAATGTTTGAGTTTAAGTTTATCAACATCTTCTGCTAATTTATCGGTTGTTGCCGGAGTTGGTTTACTGCCAGGTTTAATACCTTTCTTTTCAAGTTGTTTCGCTACGGTCTCTTTGCACTCATCAAATTCTTTTTCAACAGCTACATCATATGCATCTTTGCCTAAGAAAAATAAAAATAAAATATAAATTTGATGAAAGAATTTTTCTTTTTTATGGTTTCTTTTTTTCTTACCTTCATTGTTTCGAACAGTAAGGTCAGCACCTACTCGAATAAGAGTTCCCAAAATACGTGGTTTATTAAAAAAACAAGCAACCATAGCAGCCGTATTATTTTTTAAATCTTGTGCGTTAACTTTAGCACCATGACTTAAAAGTAAATCTACGCATTCAGGACTATCAACAATACCTAAATATTATTTTACAAAAGAAAAAATAAACAGAAAACAAAATTTATGATGTATGTTTATAAGATTACTCACCAGCACTAGCAAAATGAAGTGCTGTACCACCTTGATCATTACGATGATTAACGTTTGTTTCTTTATGATCAATTAAAATTCTTTTAGAATGAAAAATAAGATTAATCAAAAAGAAAAAATGAATTCATTTTTGTTCTTCATATCTTACTGAACAATTTTTCTTCGATTATGCCGAGCAGCAATGCTCAGTGGTGTATCACCCATAAACGCAACATTTGGATCTGCATGTGCATCCATTAAAACTTCAACACATTCGGGTCGATCATGAATAACAGCTCTAGATATATGAGAACTACTATTGAAAAAGAAACAGTAGAAATGTTATTTTACTTATGAATAGCTGCCATTGAACTTCGATCCAAATGGTTAACTTGTGCACCATGTTTAATTAATAAACGAATTAGATCAGCACGATCTTTTTGCTATTGAGAAAATAGAATATTGATTGTGATGAATATTATTATGGATAGGCTTACGCGTAAACTTTGTCCATGATATTCAGCATCGCATAAGACATGAATAGGTGTTAAATGATGTTCACTTTCAGTTTGGTTTGGATCAGCACCATTCTATAATTATAAATCAATTAATGAATGTCGATGCTTTATTATTCTTTATTTTTCCCTACTTACTTCAATGAAAAAACGAATAATATCAACGTCACCTTCGAAACAAGCGATGATTAATGGGGATACCTGAGCAATAGGTGTGCCGGTTTGTTCATGTAAAATTTCACAATTAATACTTGGGTCTTAAATAGAAGAGTGTTTAAAAAACCATTGATGAAATAATTTGTGGCTTTTCCTCATACTTGTGCCTTTTCTAATTAAATCACGAAGACCTTTAAGTTTTTCTTCAACATTTGTTTGTGTTCGATCAGTATTCCAAATAGCAATTAATAATGGATGATGTTTATCTTTAAAAGCTCGATCTGTTGAAGAACCATTACTTATTGCCGAATGATGACTTGTAGATGGTTTTTCTTCGCGATGTTCACGATGGTTTTCTTTTTCACGATGAGCATCCTTTGAAGTACGTGATGATCGATGTTCAGTATGACTACTAAAAATGAATTTATAAACATTTTTTATTTTCTTACTTAATTGCAAGAATCATCTTAGTTTTAATTGATAATCTTACCTAGTTTTTGTGCTACTATAGGGAAAAATAACAAGTATGAAAATTTACTTCGTTCGTTTTGCATATAAATTTACCTCATTTTTTTGTGGGTTTGAAAGACGTATGTATGTATGTAGGTGAATATATGTAAGTGAACGTATGAGTGCAAGCAAAATGGTTTGCCGTCAAAGATAGATATATCGTCGATGCGCACGCAAGAATACACCGAGTGGAATTATTCAAGCGTGACCGTACATACGTACACAGTCACTATCAATATATACATATATTCACTAGTATTTGGTGATATGAAAAGGCCGACAAAAAGACAAAAAAAAACGAGTCAAAAGAGAATGAGAAAAAGATGTATATACGTATAAACGAACATTATGCATCAATATGTAATCTATGGAAATTTTCAAAATTTGAGTGACTCTTTGCATTTATTGAATGATTTCAATAGTATATGGTTAGAGATTGTTATCTATGCAATGCGAAAGATTGAAATTGAAATTAATGTATTCATAATTGTCTAATAAAACAATAACCTTTAGTTTTGGTTTTGACTAAAAATGTTTTTTGTTTATTTTCATTGAATATAAATAAAACAAAGAATAACAACTAAAATAATGTGATACAACAGAAGAAAAAAAAGCAGAGTAATATGAATGGAAATTTTATTTTCCTTTTTTTCTCTTTTTAGAATAGAAGAATTATTCAGATCAGAACAAACAGTTGAAAATTACAACGATAACAACACATACGAAATGATTTAAAATCAATGATCATTTATCGATACACATTAAAGAGTAATTAAAAAGAATATATATATATGTGTTTGATCGTGTTCGATTTGTCATTGTAAGGTATGAATACTTGATATCAATAAAGAATAGAATCTACGATAGTATTTTGATTGTCATCAGTGAACTGAAGAGTTTCAATCGATCTCTAAATCAATTGTTTTAGTTTTAAATGAATGATGTTTTTATTTTCGAATTCGAATTTAAATAGATTATAGTGCAATCTTAAAATTGATTTGAATCATTAGAAGAAATTCATTTTCATTTATGAGTATTTTTATTCGTAACGAGTTTTTCAGCATCAACAAATAATTTTCAATTGATTTAATGATTAAATTATTAATGTGTTTTTCTATGTAACAAATAATTAGTTTTTATTTATTTGCGTGTCAAAGTTTGATCAATTAAAATCTTTCTCTGTAATGACTAGGCATGCGTGTGCATCAGAATGAAAGAAATGAGACACATAATATTCGTCACGCTGGTTTTGCCCAATATATATGGTTTACTTTTTGCTGCGAAAAAAAGATATGCCTGTCATTAGTTCAACCTTATGTGCGTTTACTTAGATAGCGAGCGACATGGATAATTATCAATAATAGAATGGTTACGCGTTATTAGGTACGATCGATCATTCGTAATAGATGTCTTACATGCATTATGCGAGTGGGAAATACAAAAGAAAAAAGCATGCTTCTTCTGTTTTGTTGGAATATGTTCAATATTTGAAATCATTTCTTTTTCTATACGTAATGTATGTACTTTTTTCATGTTTGACAAGAGCAACTAAAATAAATTAATGTTTCTGAAAGATCTATTCATGTTGAATAGCCTATTTGTTCCTGCAATAGAGGTTAATAAGTCAACAACGTACGATTACATTTTAATACTGCAGCGTTCAATTTTTTCTTATGTAGATTTGTGTAAATGTCTATAGAGATCAAGAGCAATATAAAGTAAATAAACATTTCACTATCACTTTTATACGATGATTATTCGATAATCAAAGCTTATGTTTAATAGTCTGCCGATTTATTCTTCGCCATGTTCTATGTTGCTGTCATTTTTCAATACTGTTGTTCTATTTGGCCAGTTATAATTCATACCTAATACTATACTTCAATTGTTCTTGCTATATCAATGTAGTGAAAAGCTTTGTATCAACGTAAAATGGAACAGCTAACAGTTTTTTATTATCATTCTATTATCGATAGCTATGTTTTGAGAATCAAAAAGTAGAATATGTGAAAATAGAAATTTCAGTAATAAATGAAATAAATTACTATAACTATTGTACAATAATATTTTTCTTTAAAATACTAACGTAAGAGATTCATTATTTCTTCATATTTATACTTTGACTTTGATCATATAGCTACTTTATGCAGTTGTCGTATGGCTGGGAGCATAAAATAAAAACTTACAGTCCCTATAAGATCTTGATTTTTACAGCAACATTCACTCGTATACTCAAACATTCTAATTTTTTTTATCAAGATTCGATCGATGGTATATTTCATCATTTGCGTAATGTATTATGGAGTACAGCTGATTTTTACGATAAAATATTTCTTATAGCATTTTTATTTCGCGCAATGATCAATAGAAATAAAGCGAAGAAATATGATCGATTTCCGTTGTTCCCGAGAAAATAATTCCCTGAAGGATTCATCAATTTTCAGAAAGAAATTCATCTTGTATTTCAGTATCACAAAGGAAATTAATTGAATTCTTCTCTTGCTTTGATGTGAATGTTACATGGATGATAAAAGATTACCAAGTACTGGTCTTCTTTCTCTCATTTTTATTACAATGCTACTATATTCTCAATTTAGTATTTGACTAGAGGTAAATAATTTATTAATGAATTTGATAAAATATATATTTTTTTTGTTCAGTCATTTCCAACAACTATTTTGGCAGTTATGAAAATGATCAGAACACTGGTAGAGCAAAATAGAAAGAATTAAAGCAATGTTTCACCATACCAAAATAAATGTGTTTAAATACAAAAACAATTTTATATTAGACATGCATGATTAAACTAAGAAACAGGATCGTCTCATTCGTATAGCACTCATTCATCATTAGGTAGAGATGAAGATTTTCGTTAGAGCAGTAATTGAAAATCATACTGTATATTTATGTAAATAAGAAGAGTACTCTTCAATCTTTGATCTCTCTACATAAATTCTCAATAGAAAATGAAAATCAATGAGAATAATGAAGATCTTGATAGATATAATGATTGAGACGCATTCTTTTCTGTTTTCATTGATCGTTCTTGTTTACATTGACGAAGACTTACGTATGTTTCAAGCATTATTACTGACATGCTATGTGGACATTTATAGAAATTTATTCATACAATAAACATTTCTATCCATGTTAGAACAGCTTTATATTTATTTTGACACCTATAAAAGCATCTTTGATTTCGCTTCGAAAAATAATCACTGTTTTCCACCAATCGAATTATTATTCTCTACTATGTGAAGATTTTATAGATCATCTTCATAATAAATCTGATTCATAAGTCAAAGACCTACACGTGCTTGGGGAAATGGTAGCATCACTTGATTCTCCTAGATTGATAGATGATGTCAATTTTTATTTATTCTGAATGCGTAAAACAAAATCAATAGAATAACGCTTAACTTTATCATTTTCTTCGGGCATATCGTTTCGTCTTGTATTTCATGATTCTTTTTACGAATTGTTCTATAACTTGCATTTTCTATCTTCTAAACGAATCACGTTTGTTTGTTTGTGTTTTCTGTTGGCCATTATCATTGATTTGATTACAAGATAAAAGTATGTAGAGAAGTTAGTAAACATCGAAACTTTTCGCTATTATCAACTTTTACTGTACGAAGTGTTCATTGAGTAATGAACCTTTCATTTGAAAACTATCGAAAATTCTTCATATAAATGATGCTAAGCTAATGTAAGAATCAATAATTTCCATTATAATAATGTATTGTTCATAGTGTACTCATACAAGCTTTGAGAATATAAGTACTCTACATAGTTTCTGATTGAGAAAAACCATTTTCGATTAACCATCAACTTCATTGTAATTATGCATTTTCTCTTCAAGTTATTTTTTTATTATAAGAAAAGCTTATAATGAAATTGAATAGATAGTGGAATGATCATTGTTTTGTTTTTCTAAAGCGTTGTTATTGTTTTGATCATTTTTTACGCTAGAGCAACATACTACCAAACATAAGAAACAAGTAATATTTTATTTAAAAATTTATCTCGAGCTAACGAGGGACCATTTCCAAGTGATTCACACCGTTTGGTCTAATATTTTGCTCATAGGAAGGACTCAATGAGACTGAAAGAAAGACCTAATGGCACGAAATCTTTTAGTCTTTTCCTAGTCTCATTGGGTCCTTCCTATGAGCAAAACATTAGACCAAACGGTGCGAATCACTTGGGAATGTTCTCTCGTAAGTGACATAACTGAGAAGATTCTACAATTTTTCGACTAAAGCAATTACTTTTCTTTTGAGTTATTATCTTTTCAAAAACTTAAAATTTGTCAGAGGATTTCTTCAGTGTACTCCGGTGTTGATCATTGAAACAATCAAATACGAAGTAATTGTTGTGATTGAAAAAACCTTCGAATCTTTATATAATCAAGTGAAGAGAATTTTTCATATTCATCAACTATTTCTTTATTATTCTCGATAATAGACTGTATATTTGTAAAAATTAAGTCAAATCATCATAGAATCATAGAAAAGACCTATGAATGTAATTCTTATTGAAATTCTTATTGAAATTCTTCTAACCGAAACTTCTATTTTCTCATCGCAAAACTACCAGCCTGGTATTGATGAAATAACTCGAGTGTGACCACCATCGTTTGATTCTAGATCAAAAGTTAGGTGTCGAAATTAGGACGTCACCAGAAAAAATTGTACGGGGGGNTTATTTTAACAAAAATGAAAAATGTACAGTGAAGCTTTCGACCTTTTTCACAAGGTCATTTCAACACTAAACTGTATTAAAGAAAATACAGACTATATATACAATTTATTCTTTGTTGTGCTGTTCTATTCCGAACATTGCAATGCTAAGGGGCGAAAGGCTGTTGTCGCACTGCAATGTTCGGAATAGAACAGAACAACAAAGAATAAATTGTATATATAGTCTGTATTTTCTTTAATACAGTTTAGTGTTGAAATGACCTTGTGAAAAAGGTCGAAAGCTTCACTGTACATTTTTCATTTTTGTTAAAATAAAGAAATATATAAATGATTGATGAATTAGTTTATCTCGCACTTAGTTTATTCAATTACGTCTCATCAAACAACGTTAATATTTTAAAGATAATCTAATATCCATATATTTTTCTTTTTTTTCCTTTTATCTTTCTTGCTTTTCTGATGTATTCTATTACTAGATAATTATTTTCCGCGTCATTTCTATGATTAAAAAATGCAGTTTGATAGAAATGAGCACACTATTCGATAGAACTAGCGAACGACTCATTTCACACTCCATCCAACATATTCGGCATATATATTTTTACAATCATTATTCGTTCTTAACCTCTTCATGTTTTGTTTTATATATGTATTTGTGTTTGCGAACGCTTATATATCCCTTCGTTTAGTATCTATTTGCCGATAGAGAAACTTGAAAAACAGTAATCTGCATATTAATCAGATTGCTTCATGGACTCTACTAGCTTTGCTTCTGTGATCAACCGACAGTGAAGTCAAACGAGAGGAAAAACGAGTGTATCTAAGTGTTTTTGGCAGAATCGAGTTAGTCTTTCAAAACTCAATTTGAAACTAGATCAATGTATGCTGAATAATCGTTTCCTCTTTACTGTTCTATTACTATTATTGTTCTGATAGTTACAACAATTATCATCAGGAAAATGAACACTGTGTAATTATTTTATAATATAAAAGTGAGAGAGAGAGAGAGAGAGAGAGAGGGGAAGGGAAGGAGAAAGGATTGTTGGCGTTTGAATTCCTTCCAGTTTTCTTTTATTTATTGAAGTATCTTTTCCTATTCTGTTGTTTTCGACTCCAAAAATTAAAATATATATTTACTTATATTGGAAAAATAGAAAAGAACTGACAACATATATTTTCAATATAATTTCAAGTTAGTTAGAGAACACTTTATTATTCAGATAACATTCTTATTCACAACAAGTAAATTTTTGTAGGCTTCACTTTTATAGAGGATTTATAAAACAAAAAAACGATCATTTTTATTGATAATTCAGATAGAGAATAACTAATTGCACTATTATTTTTTTTCATCCCATTGATAAATACAATAGAAAATTTTACATTAACGAGCCAAATATTCAGTTGACTTAAGTTGGCATCTTATTATTTGCCTCGTACACAAGCACGCAAAATTTTATCAGAGACTAACGTCAATAAATCATTGACAGTCTCTCTATTAACATGACATTTTCATACGATTGTACATCATCATCTTTGAGTTTTAGTAAGAATAGATTTAAATGGCATAAATAGTTAAAAAGATAATGAATTAATCTATAAAACAATAATAATACAAAACCAATAGTTCATCAGTTACGATTATTTCATTTTTTATATTAACATTGAACAATAAATGGAAACTGTAAGATATTTTTGAAGTGTTCATTTCATTAGAGATAAGCTCTTTTAGACTCGTTAGTGAACTATTGTATCTTGTGCACTTAGGATTCTTTAAACTAACGGGATGACTTTTGTAATAGGAAGCACCAGAAAAGGCCATATATTCTTATATTTACGAAAGATCTTATTAAGCTTATCCATATGCTATTTAAGCAGCGAATAGATGAGGAAAGGGATGACACATGGCTTCGAATAAATCATGAAATATGATTATAGTAAAAAAGACGATAGCGAAAAACAAGACAAACAGACTCGAGTTAGACTATCGGCGAAGAAAAAAAAACAGAAATTTGCCTATAATAAGAGAAAAAAAGAAGAAAAGGGCCAGATGAATAGTACTGCTGTATATCGTTCACACATTATTTCCTTCTGTCTCATTTTTTTGTCAATAATAGCTGACTACTTGTTAGTACTGGTAAGTTTGACAACGTCATTTTAAAACCTACATACTCAGAGAACAATAACATAGATTGAAGAAAGAAAATATAAGTATTCAAATGACAGCTTGAAAATACAAAAGAAGAATATATTCTCAACGGTTTACTAGTGGAATTGGACCATTTGCTCTGAATAATTTGTATGTCATACATTAATATATTCATGCTATTATTCAAATCGACAATGATTATGATGATGATGATCATAAACGTTACATTTTAGTTAGTGATAGTATCTTTATGATTTTTCTTTCTGTTTTCACTTTATAAAGAAAGAAAAATACCCTGGAGAGTAACACGAATAGATCTTTGTATACTGAATAAATTAAATAGTAAAAATATTAAAAAAAGACACGTACTTGATCATTTTCTATTTCATGAACGTGCCTATTCGTCTTCCTTTTTTTAATTACCGGAACTGCATTATTGAAATTAAATAAATTGACTATTCAGGTAAATGCTACTTTTTTTTTTATCAATATGCTTGTTTTTTTAAATTTATCTTTTAAATAAGTAAAACTAGATTTAATATATATACAGTGGTCGTCAAAATTATCCAACCAACTAAAAAAATATTTTTGTTTGTTCTATATTTGACAAAAACAAGTGGTTGGAGGTTTGCAACTTTAGCCATGTTGTAGACCACAGTGTCTAATATGTTTGTGTTTATTTTGATATCAGAACTTCGCGTTGTTGATTTTTTTATTAAAATGAAAAAGTATGTCATACATTTCAAGCGTCAAAATAATCCGCCCATTTGTATTTTTGTTCTATCTTTGCGCTCATCTAAATATTAAGTTTTCTTTGTGCTACACCATTCGAAAGCGAAAAATGTTTTCTACACGATTTGCTATTTTGTTTTGATTGGTATACAGAAAAAGTCTAAAAAATAGTGCTTTGAGCAACCAGCTATGACTTAATGAGTAAAAGGCTGTAGACAGACAATTTTTTCTACTAACATCCAAACCCAAATATAATGGATAATGCACTGTTAAAAAGAGCATTAAGAACTACATTAAATAAGACGTTTAAGTGAATACGGTGTGACGCCTAGTTGAGATGACCAGATGCAAAGTGTACACCAAATCGGTATAGCTGTCCACATATTGCCTCTTCATCCGGCTGAAAAATCATTTGGAATTTTTTTAAAAGCCCTTAGTTTAGTAGAGAATTGTTTTCTTTGTATAGGCGACTTCTAACAATCTGAAACAGATTGCATTCTCAAGGTTGACCATGAATTTTCCAGCAAATATGACAAAAATAAAAATTCACCGAAGCACCTCATCACAACCTAGATTCATATTAAATGAACTCTGAGTAGAATTTTAACGCACGATGTATCAATGGATACAACATTGAATTTCAAGTGAAATTCCAGGTTTAATCTGATTCAATAAGTTTCTATTTCATCTAGTATGTATTCAAATTCTAGTTCACGGTAGGAGTGATTTTTATTTTTGTCATATTTGTTGGAAAATTCATGGTCAACCTTGAGAATGCAATCTGTTTCAGATTGTTAGAAGTCGCCTATACAAAGAAAACAATTCTCTACTAAACTAAGGGCTTTTAAAAAAATTCCAAATGATTTTTCAGCCGGATGAAGAGGCAATATGTGGACAGCTATACCGATTTGGTGTACACTTTGCATCTGGTCATCTCAACTAGGCGTCACACCGTATTCACTTAAACGTCTTATTTAATGTAGTTCTTAATGCTCTTTTTAACAGTGCATTATCCATTATATTTGGGTTTGGATGTTAGTAGAAAAAATTGTCTGTCTACAGCCTTTTACTCATTAAGTCATAGCTGGTTGCTCAAAGCACTATTTTTTAGACTTTTTCTGTATACCAATCAAAACAAAATAGCAAATCGTGTAGAAAACATTTTTCGCTTTCGAATGGTGTAGCACAAAGAAAACTTAATATTTAGATGAGCGCAAAGATAGAACAAAAATACAAATGGGCGGATTATTTTGACGCTTGAAATGTATGACATACTTTTTCATTTTAATAAAAAAATCAACAACGCGAGGTTCTGATATCAAAATAAACACAAACATATTAGACACTGTGGCAAGGGGGGAAAAGCTGATTTAAATCACAGTAAAACTCAACTTACAATCAATAGAAATTAACTGTATTGGAATGAGTTTGCGTGAGTTTTGGTGCCTTTGAATGATTTTCAGTAATAATTTATGATTTGGAATAGTTTTTAGTTCGTTTAGCAAGTTTTTCGTTTTCTCAAACTCATTTTAAATCAGCTAAACTCAGAAAAATCATGAAACTCATAAATCGCTTTTTCCCCCTTGCTCCAACCACTTGTTTTTGTCAAATATAGAACAAACAAAAATATTTTTTTAGGTGGTTGGATAATTTTGACGGTCACTGTATATTATGAATCTATTTTTACAAGTAATCAAGTAAATGACCTTAAAGAATTTAGAAAAAAATGGATTTCGAGTGCGTGTATGATAAAGATACATAATACTATTAGAATTTTATCGATTGTTTGGACAGTTAATACACACGTAGAATCGTATAAATTCACGTATATGCTTTTCATGCTTTTTCTATTTTTCTTTAGGTTAAAACTAGTCCAAAAACATTTATTTTTATGTTGTCATTATTATGAACACTCTTGATTAGATATGTTTCGATTATTTTAATAATGAAAAATTCTTTAAAAATACTAGCTAATAATAATAATAATACTCATTCAAAAAAATACAATTATAAACAATTATCATCGAATACCAAAATCAATTTTGAAGAAAATATGTCAATATTAACGACGAATAATAAAAATTATCAAGAAAAAAAGAACAACGATAATCATAAGGATGATGATGAAGAAGATGATGATGATGATGATGATGATGATGATGATGATGATGATGATGGCGATGATGATGATGATGATGATGATGATGATGATGATGATGACGATGATGAAAATTCAAAACTTGTTTCCATTAAAATAGAAAATAATCAAGAAGAAAATAAAGAGCAACAATCATCAACCACAAAACTACGGTCTATATTACGAAAACGAAGTGAGAGAATGATTTTCATGGATGTTTATAGTGAGATTTTTACAAACATTTATTATTCTAGATGAAAATATCAACAATGATGAAGAGAAAGATTCTGATTACACAGGCGACGAGAACGAGCAAGAAAGTAATGACAGTAACAAAAGAATGGAAGAGAAAAGTAAAAACAATGAACAACGACATCGTAGCCGCAATTATTCTCGTCATATACAAAGGAATCGATTTTTTCGAACATCACCATCCACACCCATCACTCTTCCATTAGATATAGCTAAAAAGGAAACTAGAACAACAACGTCAGCAACTGCGATATCACTACATGACAATGATCACTCTTCTAATCGTAGTGCATCCGTGAAATTCACAAAAGATCAACCGACTATCATTCATAGAAGCTCATCAACGCCTCAACTTGGTGGACTTGATACTCAACCTCGCTCATCGATTACATACATAAATATGAGAGAAGATAGATCAATAGCAATACCCATAACAACTACAACTGAATCAACGAATAGTATAAATACTGAATATCGTCCAGTATATGTATCACCATTAAAATATCGACCATTAGTTGGTTTATCGCCTAATCATAATCGCCTATTACTTGAAAAACGTGTTTCATTACTTGGCAAACCTATTGTTTTACATCAGATTCAAAGACGCTCAGCATCCTATCGACATACCCAATTGCGTATATACAACTTTTTAGAACGGCCACATGGTTTTAAAGCTGGTATTTATCATACATTTGTGTAAGTAATTTATATTCTCTATTTTCATCTGTTCTGATATGAATATAAAATAATTTTGTTCGAAAAGAAAACAAAAAAAGTTGCTTCATTTACTTTTTAATCGATAAACAATAGAAAATAATGAAACGATAGTAGCAAGATCAATTTGGTCAACATCCTGCATAGATAATAAAAACAGAGAATGAGAAAAAAAAACTATTCAGCTCATATAGTGCTTGTTTTAATTGAAACGAATTGGGCCCTAAGGACTAGAATTACAAGCATAAGTCATCTCAGACTAGATTTCGGTAACAAATCTTCTTTTTTCTTGCGTATTTCCCTGTGGAACCATCGAAACAAGTGTGCAGCACACCGTGATATATTGTAAAAAGAAATTATTGATTTCATGCAGCTTTTAATCTTTTTGTGTTATCAATATATAAATCAATAAGATTACACCCTTAACTGTAAACGCGGTTTTATGTAATTCGTATTTAAGATATTGCATTCATAAGATTATGAATCAGAAGGAAGAGAAAAAGATGCATGTATTTTACTGTAGAATCTTATCAATTTTGCTTCTATTCTTCTGATTCTCACTAATTGTGTGATTTTTATATGTATATAAATGAAAGTCAAAGGGAAAAATCAAAAATTGTTTACTTGTTCAACTTTGTATGCTAGAAAGCTGAAATCGGTGTTTAAACTTTTTACGCTTAGTTAATTGTGTATTCATGCACAGATACTTATTATGTCAGCTCGTGCATTTTGCATGTATAGTGTAATTGTAGAAAAACAGGAATCGACGAAAGGAAGTGTAATGGAAAAACATGTTTTCATAAGCGTAGTGATGTTTTCTGATTAACACATGTTCATTTGACTAATAAGGAAATAGGATTTTAAATACATTTCTATATTTTTCAAGATGTTGTCAAGTGTAATGCAAATGAAAATTTTGATAGATTGATATTAATTAATAACCATATATCTTTTATCTTATTTTCAAGTTTTTATACTCTTGTCTATACTCCTAACATCTCTGACTAGTGTTGTTTTTAATAGGAATCTTTCTTTGAGACGCTTGTATTAAATTTTTTAAATTTCTCCTTGAGCATAAAATATAAACTTGCTTTTCTCAAGAGAATGAACCACTTATTCATATGTGCCTAAATGAGTAATCGATTCATAAATTACTCTTCTAACCCATATTCATTATAAAATAGTTTAATACACCACAAGCAAAAAGCTAATTTTGATGATAATAACTACTAATGACGATATTATTAGTTGCTCGATACATTGATAGAACAAAGTAGTTAAAAGTGATTTGGCACGCATTCATTTTCACAAAAAAATTTCTTAATAGCCAAGATGCTATACGAAGTTAGAAAAATGATAAGCGATGAAACACATTGAATATTCAAATATTTATTGCCATCATTTTACCAGGTTGTGATGTATACTGTACAATGTTTTCAAGTCAAATTTGTTTAGATCAGTATTCAAAAAGAAAAACTTTATATAAATTCTATGACGAATCTTCTAACGATAAATCATATGTATATTATTATTTTTAAGTTCAACAAATCCACTAAAATCTCACGCAGACCCCAACCTATTTCATTAGATTGTTTTCAGTAAATCATATTGTATGAAACATTTCATCTGTCAGCTATACTCGAGTGAATATCAATGGAGTGCTCATCAGCATAACTGCCAATTATAGTTAACTATCATTGAGATGAGTAGATTTTCGTAAAATATAAGTAAAATAGTGCTGACTACCTGAAAGTGCTCTTGGACTATAGTGAGATTCACTCTGTTATTTTATATTAATAAAATTTAACTGAATCATACCCATTTAGATGTTTTCTTTTAGACACTCGATGTAATATATTGATAAATTTAGTCAATCATATGCAATAGTTCTTTGTATTTATAGCATATCAAAATATATTCAAGTACGCGATAGTAGTGCATGGTTTTAAACGCATCATAAATATAAAATAATAAGGCTAGGACAAAATGTTAGATGAATATAGCGTAACAGGTTCTCTCTATAGGAAAAAGCACTTTTGAAAGATTGAACGTTTGAGAAAAATCAGTCAGTGAAAATGAGACCTTTTTAAAATCTCTAATTTTTAGTAGGACATTCTTTATAGATTACTTCTTATAAATACAAATGACAAGTAAAAATATATTTTAAAATATTCAATATTTATTATTCTAAAATCTATAGGTTTCTCACCGTTTTCGTATGCTTATTTCTATCGGTGGTGGTTACAATGCCTGAATACGAATCAATAACGACAACTTTATTATTACAAACAGTAAATATTTGTTAAATAGAATAACTAATTTGCTAATTATGTTTAATTGATTTGACTTTTTCAAGGAAATTCTTGTTGTTACATGGCTTGCAATCGAATTAGCATTACGTATATGGAGTGCAGGTTGTCGTTCTCGTTATCAAACATTGATGGGTCGTTTACGCTTTATGAAAAATCCTTTTTGTGCTCTTGGTTCGTATTTAAAGCAGTCTAAATGAAGATTTCATTTCGAAGTTTTTCTATAGATTTTGTTGTAATCATGGCAACTGTGGTAACACTTTGTCTAAATACTCGAGGTGGCAATGGAGTTTTTGCTGCTTCAGCATTACGTGGTTTACGTTTTTTTCAAATTCTCCGTATGTTAAGAATGGATCGCCGTGGTGGTACTTGGAAATTATTAGGCTCTGTTGTTTATGCTCATAGACAAGTTTGCTTTGATTAGTTTTTTTTATTAAAAACATTTACTTTTGCTATTGAAGGAACTTATTACCACAATTTATATTGGTTTTTTAGTACTGATTTTTTCGTCATTTATTATGTTTCTTGTTGAAAAAGATGTTGTTATAGAAACAAAAGAGACTTTCATCAATAATGCAACAAACCTATTAACGACTGGTTCGATTACAAATTTAATTGATACAGATCGACATAAATTTGAAACATTTGCAGATGCACTATGGTGGGGTATTGTATGTGACAATTAATTTTTCTTTCGCATCTTTCTGTAACTAAATTCTATATTACTTACAGATTACACTATGTACTGTGGGCTACGGTGATAAAGTACCATCATCCTATTTGGGCAAATTGGTTGCTGCTATATGTTCGTTTATTGGCATTAGTTTCTTTGCTCTGCCTGCGGTATTTTGCTTAGGAATAAATCTAGTTTTAATTTTAGTTTTAATTTTAATTTTAATGAATATTAAAGGGTATTCTTGGCTCTGGCTTTGCATTAAAAGTTCAACAACAACAGCGTCAAAAGCATTATAAACGTCGAAAGATTCCTGCAGTTTTATTAATACAAAATCTATGGCGTGTCTATGCAGCTGATGAGAAATCTCTATCGAAAGCAACTTGGAAAGTACATGTACGTCCACCACGCAAAGAAACAAATGATTCTTCAACATCTCAACCAAATCCTCATCTAGCGTATGTTCTCTATTCTTTTATCTCTATAAACTCTTTAAGATGCAAAGTGGCTTCTTGTATTTCAGTTCTGATTCAACTAGTGAATGATATGAGCATGCCTATTATAGTATTATTGCTTGAAAAATTTTCATTGTGGGCGTATTCAAAGTCGAGCATTCTCTACCACGCGACATGAACACGTTTTTCAAGATGAGGAGTCTCATTGATTAAGAGGATGTGCATCATTTGAAATACATTCTCAAGTCATCATTCATACTTTTGCTTGTTATTGTTGAATGCAAAATTTTGACATATCGTTTTCTTGGGTTCTTGTTGAATAATGGCACCTATACTATCGATTTCCTATTTATCATCTACGTTATCTTCGTAACAGTACTAATTCCTATATTGCATTTTAATTCTTTCCATCATTTACGTAATTGCATATAAATATATGTGCACATCGTGTGAGCGTTTCAAAAGTTCATATTTCTGACCGTATAGAACCTTCCCGATGTTGTTAAAAGCTCAAAAAATGAGACCTATTCAATTAATTCATTTTTGTTTTTAAAAATTCATTTAGGTCATTTAGAATGCGTAATAATCAGTCATTTTTAAATCGAGTTAGTTTTCGACGCCGCACACCAACAAGAGAAGCTGCAACGATATCTGTAAATAATCCAAATATGAAACTTTCACCGAATTCAGCAATGGCTGCGATGCGTTCTTGTATTGACACGCTTTCAGAAACAGTTAGTATTACACCGCCAATAAGTATGAACGCACCAAACGAAGGATCATCATCTGGTAGATTATTTTTTTCTGCTTGAAGATAGTTAAATTTTTTGCTTTATTTCATAAATTAAATAGATAATGAAGATTATCACTCATTCTATGCAAATGACGTTCAATCCTTAACACCAGCACATCGACATGCAATTCGATTCACAAGAAAAGTTAAATATTTTGTAGCAAGACGAAAATTTCGTGAAGCTTTACGACCATACGATGTTACCGATGTAATCGAACAATATTCAACCGGAAATGTTGATATACTTGCTAGAATGAAATATCTTCAAGCTAGGTAAAATATAATATATAGAATGAAAATCATTGCTTTCATGCATAGCATCTATTCTAGATTGGATAAAGTATTGGGTACATCGAAGTCACTGGATAGTTATGAATCAGGTCCAAGTTTAGCATCAAGAATATGTAAAATTGAAAGACAGGTAAATATTTAAAGAAACTTTTCCAACTATTTGAACTATATCCTGATTGTGCACAAATATTGTCAATCAACGAAGGAAAAATGTTGACAAAACGAAATCAGGAGGAAATAGACAAAATTTGAATGATAGCATTTTAGAATCAACACAATATTAATTAATTGAATAGAAAATTCGAAAAATTTTTAATTGCTAGTTTTTTCAATAGTATTCAAAAAATCCTGAATTAATCTCTCTCGAATTATGATACGTATTTACAGAGTATCTGTTTTCGTTTGTTTCTGCAAGGAGAACTTTTTGTTATCATTCTATTAGATTCAACCCTGATGGCATTTTTTCTCGAGTCCAGGAAAACGTTTTTGCAATCAAGAATACACGATCACTTCCTGTCATCTAATCTCTTTTTCACTTCTTATAGTTATCATCAGTATCAATGGGAAAAAAAGAATAGTAAATTGATTTTGAGATTCGATTTGACTCTCTGTGTGTCATATGAAGCCTTTCCACGGTAAAAATAAAGAAATTAATTTTCTTCAGACTTATTCAAATTAAGACAAATGCATCAAAGCATACCCTGAGGGCCTGATCTTTTACATATATCATGATTTTTTTCTTCTATTCAGTATTTCTTTATTTTTCCGAAAATTTCCGATGATCTCTAGTTATAATCTACTTGAAGAAGTTGTAGACAATGACAGAGAAATTTTGTTAAATGAATTCTACCTGTATTATATACTACGACAATCTTTATAATAGGAACGCCATTTTATTCAAAACATTCACCTTTTGGCTCCTCCAAAATATATAAATTCAATGCAGATCTTTGTCATATCCTGCATTCTGACATGCGCTTTCAAATGCATCAAAAGAAAACTGCAATATATGAAATGAGAACTCACAGAAAATTTGTTATTTGTTGAATGCTTTATTTTTGAGATTTTTTCTTGGCTACCTCATCCCAGTGTCCATATTTTTTTGCAACTTTGACATAAATTTAATATAACCAAACTTAAAATCGATATTTAATGAGCGCAAACCTTTCACATGAATCGATTTTCTTATGATTAATAAAATTTTATTACATTAGAAATAGCATATTCAAATAGTAAACTAGAGCTATGTGATAAAATAACATTGAAACATGTGAATATATCTTAATATTAACTTAGTTTCTTCAGAACATATTTTAATTCATTTCAACACAACACAACAAAACTAAGAAAACGTCATTTTGAAAATGCAGTAAGACTCAATGAGTTTGGCATTATTCACAAGCGTAGACAGGCATATTTCAAAATAGAAATTCCTATTCAAGCTGAACTATATGTTGTTGTTGTTGTTTACAATCCAATTGAACATTTTAAAAGCCGCAGTCGAACCAGTAACACATTTATAATGAAAAATATGACTTTTAGAATTGTTGAAACAGTTTTCTGACTCATGTTTGAATGACTGTTAAAGACGTTTATTGAGTATAGCAAAAAGATAAATAGATTAATTTAAAAAAGATACCCCCATGCTTAGATGAGTTGTCAGTTCAATATATGATATAAAGTTGTTTAGCATTAAATTGCAATTAAATAGTGTATTGATAAAACAGAAATTCGATGATTTAAATAATCGATCGATCAGTTTACAAATCAAACTCTGTCACACTACAATAAGAATCGATGCTTGAATTTATTCTACAGAACACAATTTAAATATTTTACTTTATAGATCGATAGTTTGGATCTAAAAGTTGATAAACTTTGTCAATTGACAAATAATCTATTAGAACATGGTATTCAACATCAAACATTAACTTCAATACCAGCTTCAATAGGATTTCGTAACATAAATCGATATCGAACTGGTAACCCTTTGCGTGTTTACCGTCGTCAACGACGTCAAATTCAGCCTCAAACTGTGACATCAGCATCATCACCATCAACAACTGTAGCTACTTCGTCGAGACACAATTCATTTCAATCAAAGTTACCACCACCATCTATACCATCATCATTAGCAGCAAGAGATCACTCCCGTGAAAGTCCAGTTAGCCTTTATTGCCTTTTTCAAGATAATATTACTCCCTCGAAAACTTCTCATGTCTAATAATTCTGTATTTTTTTTCTTGCTAATAGTGGTGTTCATTTATCTCTCTACAAAAGACATTATTCTATTTTCGAAGTTGCTTACTGCTTCATGTGACTGGTGCCTTGTCTGGTTGTTATAATTTACTTTCTATGTTACTCACTGTTCTTTTTTCTCTCGTCTTCGGTCAAGAATATAAGAAGCAAAAAATAAAGCACGAATCACTGTCGATAATCTTCTTTTTACTTCCCTAACGGTTGTTTATGTTCAATCGGAACAGTTAGTAGCAAGTTGAAGTTAGTATCTATACATCTTTTTTTCAATTTCGTTTATTGAAAATTAAAAAAAAATAGCATGAGAACAAACAAATTCTAATTAGTTTTAGAAAAACAAAAATATCGGAATTAAACATGTCTATAGAATGCCTAAGATTCGTTGAGATTTTGATTTTTTACAATGACAATGTGAACAAGGTTTCTTTTGTTGTTGAACTAAAATAATATGATCAATATGAATTTGATAGTGGTGAGTTGAACGATGTTGTCGCCGTTTTCTATGAATTTTATGATGAACAACAATTTTGGAACGCGGAGAAATCGAAACAGGAATTGTTTGTTGTTCGATTTGATCCATTGAACGTGGATTTGGCGTTGAAGCACGAGGAAATATTTTAATATTTGTTGCCTGTGGAGTACTCGTACCATTGTAGAGAGTATCGACTGATGAGCGAAAACGTTGGTAGCCTTGAGATTGTGCCATTAAAATATTATCTGAATAGGACAAAAACATCAAATAAAATTGTTCAAAATGAATAAATATTCTTTTACTTATTCTCTCAAATCCAGTTGCTATACAAAATTGCGAAACATTGCATAGAGACGAGTACTTAGTAACTTGATAAATAAACTACTACATGGTCTTCTTCAATATATGAAGCCAATTTAGTATGTATGAGCTCGAACTTGTAACAAGTATGGATTAGTATTGTCTAAGACTAGCTTTGATTTGTATCAAACCTATTGGTCATCAGCATTGAAGGAATTCAATCAACTATTCTGATGCTCACACACTTATATGGTTATAGACTATGACTACTTCGCAAATAGAATAGAAAAATTCGAGCAAGTAGTAATGGATTTAGTAAACTTGTGAATAGATGACATTAATAGTCAAAAACTTGATTTTTGAAGTACATACTAAGTATTATAACCTGGTTTTATTGTTGTTTTTTTTACTGGAAAAAACAATATTTAAAAGAAATTGAAGACTGTCGCTTCAAGAAATATCCCTAATGCTATGAAGATAGTATCAACCATTCTATATAAGACAGGAGACTTGTGTTTTTAAATAGAAGTCTGCAATTTACCTAAACGCTACGTTTATACAAAAATTATCGATAATTAAATAGAACACGAAATCAGCTTAGATTCCAAATTATCATTCATCATTTAATTAATAATAACCTATGAAAATACAAAATCGACTTACTTTTGAGTTGCTTCTTTATAGTGAAGAAGGCGTGTCGATTAAATTGAGCGTATGATGATGTGTCTATATCAGTGAATGTGCGAGTCAACTATCTAATTGAGATTGACACTTCTCCCTCTCTGTATAATTTTTTCTTTCTCCTCCTTCCTTTCTCTCTCTCTCTCTCTGTCTCTATTTTCTCATGTCTTGTTCATCTTCTTTTTCTTCCGTAAATTAATTATGCAATCAAATGAGCAATGTCTATAATATGCGAAGTACCACGTGTCCGAGTGTTATTGCATGCATAAATTTCAAAATATATATAGTCGCCGGTGCTAGTCAAGTGTTTCGAACTGTTTGACGGAAGTCCCAGGCGATATAGTGAAATTGAAATGTGTCACCCTTGACCTAGAGAAAATAGCATGGAAAACATAAAAATTTAAATGAGTAAATATTAAGAATGCAGTTATGTATAAAACAAGATAACAATTAGAGAGAGCAACACTATTTCGTTGTTATGATGATGCAATCAAAAAGAACAGCTGCAATAATGTCTCATTCATACAATAACTTATCAACAACAGCATTGAACATATATGTCAGTATGGATATGTGACAGCTTTTTTTTATTGTTGAGTAAACCTGAAAGTGATGAAGCTGAGAGAAGGAATTATGATGAATATCAAATAGTATCGACAAAAAAAAAGTAATAACTTTGATGTATTTCATTTAAAAATAGGTGTGAACAACGTGTTCACTATGAGAAAGAATATTATCATGATGTAATCAAATTGAAAATCAAATAACTTTTTAAAAGATCAAACTCAACTCTATTGAAACATAAGAAATGGTTCATAAGAAAGTAATATGAAATTTATTCTTGACTTTTTCTTTTCGCAAACAATAAAATAAGATTCAAAAAGTTTTAGCTAAAGAAAATATCTTTATTATTACTTTTCATAGTGAAGAAAAATTTCTTAGAGATGATTTCGGACTTCATTATCGGAATATCATGATTTGAAAACTTATTTCTATTTTTTAAATTGACAAAAGACTACAATAGACTATAATAAAAAATATTCTATATGCAATAAACAATATGATTGTAAAATGAATCTATTTACAGATGATTGAAAAAGTATTAAGAGAAAATTTTCATTTATTTTTCAACATTTCTACGACGCCGAGAAAAATATAAAAATAAAATTGATTAGTTGCATTTTTAGGAAGTGGCTTTTTAACTTTTCTGTTGAACAAGTCTTCTTTATTGCACATACAATATTACCAATTTATCCGATAGAATTAAAGGCAGTATTGTTCTCGAGAAAAAAATGATGATAGAATCGAGAGTTTCACTAGAATCATTCAGTAATGCCTGCTCTCTCTTCCTAAGTACATTTTCCATATTTTATTGAGCAGTGCTTACTCTTTTTTATTCATTATAAATGAAATTGTGTTCGCTTCTATTTTGAACATTCATTTATAATCTCGATGATGTAAACTCAAAAACGTTGTTAAAAGTTTTTTAAATTCATAACTACAATGGATGTATAATTCTAATCTCTAGTCATCGTTTCGAAGTTCTATATAAACAATAAAATGAATTAATTAATAGGTTCTTTGATGATTTTTGATCACTTGTTCAACAATTTTTTTTTCAAATAACTGTTCATTTGATTCAATTACCAGAAGAGAAAATTCATCACATTCTCAATATATCTTAAATCATCTCTAAAAATCAATTGTCTACTGTTTTGACTTCTTCAAGTTAACATAGACTGAGTTCTATCTTTTGTAAGAACGAGAAAATTCTCTCCAATTACATGAAATCATCATTTGATTGTTTTCATTTGATGTTATCAAATATAATCAATCTTAAAATGAAAAAATTGTCATATTCATGCTAATCAACAAAAGAATAATATTGATTCGATTATAACATGTGAATGAACACTCCGATCCAAAAGAAAATGAAGTAGAGAAACAAGTGATACAATTCAAAAACCTGATTATTTAAACAATAATAGACAATTTTTGTTTCGTTGAAAGAAAAAGTAAAATATGATTTTGTAAATCGATAGTCATTGATCATATATGTTAATGTATGCCTGTAACCCTAGCAGTTGAAGAAAAACAAAGGAAAGATGTTCATTCTTATTCTTGGTGAAACTTTTTTTTCGTTCTCTTCTAATGTCTTTTTTCTACTCGGATTTTTAGTACATAAAGGTAGACAACATCTACCGAGTTTTTTCTTCTTTTCTTTTTTCTATCGGTTATTGTTGCGTCCTTCCTTAAAGTAAACCGTGCCGCGTCATTCCTCGTTGCCATGGTACGCTGTTCTGTTGTGTGAATGTCGTTACTCTTTTTTTCATTCGCTTTCAAATAAAATTGAAATGAAAACACATAAAACGTTTTTCTTTTTCTCTTTTTTTTGTAGTAGTAACAGATACTTCTTTTGCTTTTGCTTTATGTATATATTTTTTCTAGACGAAATTATCTATCAAAAAGCTTCAAAAAAACTATAATCATGACACGTATGGCTTTTGATACACGCACGCAAAATGCGTGGAAAGAATTAATAGAAAAAGAAGCAATGACTCGTGTTTCTTGGCATCAAACCTTCAAACCAAATCCCAATGATGATGAATGGTTTAAGCGTGGATTTTATACACAAGCTACAGCTAAACCAATCGGTCGTTCTTTACCGACAATTGTTTTCCCTCCACGTCCGAAACCACGCTATGATGCAAATGATTCATTAGATGAATTAGCAAAAAAACTCGATATTGAACACAATTCAAATGCATTGAAAGAAATGTATCCGATTAAGAAAAAAGAAAAGGATATTTTATTCGACGGTTTTTCAAAAGAAGAAAAAGGCCGTTATAAATATTTAAATTTACGTAAACAAATTCAACCTGAACATAAATTTCAATATCCAGTATCGAGTACGATGGAATATGGATGGAAATTAGGTGAAACTGGACAACATTTTAAAGCACCAACATATGCCCGAGGAAAAATTGTTGAAGAATCATTCTATCGTCGTAATGGTGTTTTCGAATAAATCTTTTTACTTTGTTTGCTTAACTATTTTTATTTTTTCTCTTCTATAAGTGCTGCTCTGTTCATTGTATAGAAAAAGAAATCGATGGGTTCATCACAACAAGATTTGTAAACATATTTTTGTTTATCATATGAAATCAAAACAAAAATTTGAATCATCCTTATTTCTTAAGCCTTATATTGCAATGTGTTGCATAGCTATCAAACCCTAGAATAATAATAAAAATATAAAATAAGGATTAAAAACCAAGGACGCTGATTGTGGTTGTCTCTTGCTTTAGTGCTTCGTTATCGTTAGCTCTTGATTAGGGATATAACGATAGAGCTGGTATTTTACTGTGTATATATATATATATATATATATATGTATATGAATATAAGTTTGTTTAAGTGTATATATAAATATATATATTATAATGATAATAATGTTAAAGCAGTTAATAACAAATATCAAGTTGTAAGTAGAGAAAAATAAGAACGAATGACAAAAAGTGGGGAAAAACAGTATATATATATATATATAATAGAAAATTAATCACGTGAGTAGGTTTATCCGACAAATGACGTAATAGAGATGTTAAAGAAACATATAAACTTATGTAAACAGTTTAGTGTCAGTTAACGACGTCTACTGACGCTAACAGTTACTGGTGTTACATGTTAATATAAATCAGATCTAAACGTCTATGATCCCAGACACACCGAAAAAGTGAATTAACGTTAAAGTTGAATTAAGCAGTGTGATTGGCGCATTACGATTTAAGTCATCTTTTTGAAATGATTTAAATTTTAATGCATCAATCACGTTGCTCATTTCAACTTTAACTTTAACTTAATCTACTTTTTCGGTGTGTCTGGGGTCTATAAGACCTTGTCTACACTGGAAAAGTTTAATGCTGAATTAAGAAACATGGTTGGTTGAAAAAGTTAATTCAGATTTAATGCACTTTTCTTTTGAAGACTGAACTAAAGTTAGTGCGCCAATCGATAAAGAACCTGATGGGCTGACTAATTAGAATCTCGGACAGGCCTCAATGAGGTCGCTGTATATTATCGATAAATAGATATATTATAAAGAACAGAAGCTGAAGTAAAAAAATTAATAACCCTAGAATATTGAACGCAACTATAGTTGAAAGAAATAAGTTAGAAAAGTAGATATTTTGGCGACAAACTTCGTCATTTCCCAGGTCGACTGATCCGACATCGGATCCGATAGGAACCTGGAAATATCCTACAATCCGATACAATTCTATTGGATTCCGGGTCGAGGAATCGATGTCGGAATCCTATGAACTTCCGATGACATGCAACAGTTTTTCCTTGGAATTCATAGAAATCCGACACTGAGGATCCGACATCGATTCCTCGACCCGGAATCCAATGAGAATTCTGTAAGATTTGACAGGATCCGATAAAATCCTATTGGATTCCAGTCGGATCAGATGGGTTCCGATAGGTGCCTACTGTCGAATTGCTCGACCTGGGTTGTCGTTAATCATCAAAAAGAGACAGACGCGACTTTTTCTTTACTGAACATGTGCTAAGTTTATACATTCAGACTACATTGTAGTGGTTACTTCTCAATTCTGATTGATGCATTAAACTTATATGTGTAGACGCACGTAGATTTAATTCGAATTAATGCCGCATTATCTTTCTAGTGTAGACAAGCCCTAAATACTATTTCCTTGAGTAGCTGTCTAATTCGAGTTCGAATATAAATGGAGAAAAGGAAAAGTTAAACTAAAACTAAACCTAGGAATAGATTTAGTTTTAGTTTCACTTTCCGATATATGCGACATACGAATACATATATACTCTTCAGCCGCACCCACATTTGAGCATTCACCCATAGTATCCATCACCCACAACCACACTTGAAGTATTCCGGATACCCCCTCTGCACCCCTTCCAGGTACCCTTCACCCGCATCCGCACCATCACACCCACAGTTACCCCTTAGTCCCCCTCAGCCCATGCCCACTCCATCTTAAACTAAATATAAAACTAAATCTATTTCTATCACTTATTTTCGAATTGATACCATGCAGTTGGGTGTCCATTTATATTCGAATTCGAACTAGGCATCTCATGATTTCCTTCTACTTATTTCCATGTTTGACAACAAAAAAATCTCACTACTATCGAGTACTTTCAATCTAAATCGATATTGTAACAAAAATGTTACAATTCAACTGTACCAAATACGATGACTGATGCACGTATCTGAAAATCTCATTCAATAATAAAGAAGATCATCGAATGATTTGCATCTATTGAAAAAAATATCTAAAGAAATTTTCTATCATAAAAATCGGCAAAGAACATTTACAACAGAGATATGTCCAGGACCAAAATTTCAAGAATTTTCAAAATCAGACTGCAATCGATAGAAAATATGTTGTGAAAATCAACAACATGTGACAGAGAAGTGGTTGAGATTGCGACATGCATTGAATGAAGACCATTATTCGAGTCTATCTTGCAGATTTTAGTTAAATAATCAATCATTTCGAATAAAATAAATCGTAAATCATATGAAGCAGAATATAATTCAAAAATAAATAAATAGAAAACAAACTATTTGTCGAATAACTACTGAATATCACACTAAGTGTTCCTCAGATATTCAAGAAACTTTTTCGATAAATGTTAAATATTGTTTCACAAAAAAAGTTCCAGAAGTTCTGGTATTCATATTGAACTTTGACTGAGTTATAGAACTTGCATGATGCCTATATTAGATTTAGAGAAGTTTCATTTAAGATTTCAGGTTTGTGGAAATTATTAAATCTTGCATTTTCTTTTCATTTGATATGATTGTACGATAATAATAAAAATTGAAGCTCATAAATCTATATTTGGTACAAGTGATTCAAATATATAATGATGAGACTCTCATCATGAGAGTGCTCACATTGGTTAACAACATGAATGTATAGATCTGTTATTCGTTTTTGGTCGTCAGCAACATTGTATAAGCTATTCTAGCAATAATATAAGATTGATGTTTTGTATATAAGTTCTGCTCAAATTTTTGATATGATATTTAACGAAATGTTGAATATATTTGTTACTAATTTAAGAGTATTCAAATAATTTTATTTGCTATCATTATTTGTTGATTATTTTTCATTCATTTATTTCTAATTTTGTTATACATTTGTTCACTATAATCTATCAAAAGTACCCAGTATTCAACTAAATTTACAATGATGTTTACTATTAAAAATTCTTTATCCAATCTTATTAAGAACTTCTTTTGTCAATGTTACAATATAGTTTTTCTTGTTGTTTAACATTAGACTTGTCAAATCATACTCGATATTGAATAGTTACCCAATCATTGTAAAAGTTTCAAAGTACTATTAACAAATAATGTCCTTGAAAAGCGAGAGTTTTTCATTTCTTTTCTGTTGTTGTTCCTTTCTCGCTGGAGTTAATAACGTGAACGATGTTAAACATGAGCCTTACCAAAAATACGCTCGTTTCGAGTGATGTATGCGATCGTCAAATTTTACTTGTTCCAATAAAGAAATAGATTTCAACATGCTTACAAAAGGCTTCTATGTTGCTTGCTTATTAATTCAAAAAATAAAAATAATACATATTCATCAACAAAGATGAGACAAATTCATTTATTAAATTATAAATCAATTAACACAAGTCCTCCTTTTGTCATTATTTTCATCGTAGAAAAACGCTTTAGCTCAGTTTTATCTCCTACTTTGTCATAGTTATTACTTTCTTCTTTTGAGCCTCTTTTCATTTTCATGAGAATGCTTATTTGCCAGTATTTTCCACCGTTTATCATATGATGCTACTGATGAAAGAAACAAATCTCAAAATTTAACGTCAATAACTTTAGATTTTTAAGCAAACATTGATTTATTATACTAAAACGTACATTCAATGATAATTTAAATTTTAGATCATTAGACAGTTTGTTGAGTGCAATATTGGCAGAAGTTTTTAGATAGTACAAATAATTAGTCTAAAAGACAAATAATAAAATCGTAAACAGAAATCGTGATACTATTACAGGAACGAGAGTAAAGAAAAGTGGTTTTCATAAGACAATAATCGTATGACTTAACTGATTTCGTCAAGAAAGATTATTTTTTAAGAAACTTTGTTCTTTATTTAATTCTGATTTCAAAACACAAAACGATATCACCGAGTATGGGCAACGTAGTGAGAAAGGACTATGACACCCAAAAGAGAAGAAAAAGACAAAAAACATATTTTACGCGTAAAAAATGTTATAATCGTTGTACGATTCTATTAGTTGTAGTGGACTGATATTCTCTAGACGTGTCCGTGTAGAAAGGATTTTCAGTGGAGCGTTGCGCTAAAGCTGTTGGTGTTGTACTTAAGTATTGTTGTGCATAATCGCGCATTGATGAATATAGATTTTCGTATTGATCCTGAATAGTAAACGAGCAAAATGATTATTTTTAATTGGTAAAAAAAGAACCAAAAAAAATTTACTTGATCGATAAATTGTGGTCGAGTAGAACGTATAAGACGGACAATTTTAAATGGGTCAATAATTTGTTCCGTTTGCATTTTATCAATTGCATTGCATAGAGCAGCAAAATAACCGGACCATGTTGCACCATTTCTTAATGTAATTAATCAACTGTTGAAAACAAATTAATAACTAAAAATGAGTCGAACTTACAAACATTGAAGAATAACATTTTGTCCAGTAAATGTGCGCATTTCTTTTAAAAAACGTTTTACAACAAGTAGTAAATGTGAATAATCTTTTATTTGAAATTGTCTTATTGATCTTGTTCGATCCGTAGTCTGTTGTTTTAATAATAAATATGATTAAAAAAAAATTGTACATAACAATACGTACGAATGCGCTTTTATTTGTAAATTTCAATTCGAAAACTCGTTCAATTAATTGTTCATCTTCTTTTTGTGACATTAGAACTATTTCGAATGGCCCGTAACATATTAGTTGTCCAACATTTGTAGGCCAATAATATATATTTTTCTAAACAAGTATAAAATGATATTTTCATTAAGCAGACGACTATGAAGTTATCACATGTTTCTTACTGAATCGCGAGATATAGATTCCAACAACATTATAATTGATACGTTATGATCATAGACGAGACGCCAGAAATCAATGCATGTGTGAGGTAATGGATATTGTGTAACAATATAGTTGGGTGTTTGTCGATAGGACTAGAAATTAAATATAAAATAGATACTTTAATATAATTGAAAAATAAATAAAATCGATTGTTCTTCGTTTCTTCTCCTTTATCAAGTTAATGAATATGGAATGATAGAATTATGTTTCTCTTTTCTGTGAATAGTTAAGATCAGCGAATATCTCCATTGCAAACTCTCTTATCGAATATAAGATTTTAGGAAGAAAAAAGTTGAAAAACTAAACTTAGTAGATTGACTGAAATGCATAGTGATGTACATAGAAATGGCATGTATGAGAAAATAATTTATTTGCTCATGATTGTTTTCGTATGTTGGAAAAAAATGACTTCATAATCATGTATCATAATATTTTAATAAACACACGTAAACAACAATCAGTAATCTATAAATGAATTTAAGTGTATCATAAAATTTGTAAAACTAAGGACAAAAACTGTTCTCATTTATTGTATACATAAAAGATGTTGTAAATGCAATCTTTCGCGTGACAAAGTTAAGAATTTTATTAGAAAACCAGTCGAATCAATTTGCTCTTGGTATTTTTTACAGTGTTCTTACTGAACAGTAAAAATTGTTTTAGCAGACTTGCTAAAAAAAGGAAAATTCTCAGTGCAAGTCGAGGCTAAAACTATTGAAATTTTCATTAAAGGAAAAAATATAACTTTTGTATTGTTTTAATTCTTACAAGAAAACTCACAGAAACTCATATGATTTTTCTCAAAAAGAATCTTTTCTAATATTGAATAGAGAAATTAACCATGATCTCGATGATTATAAATAAAAGATGTAAAGAATGATGATTCATGAGCATATGCACTCAAAACTCACCATTGTTAGTAGTCAACCTGTAACTATACTTAAACATGCTAATAAATTACTTGTAGGTAATCGGCTAAGGTCAATTCAAGTCGGAAGTAAATTCCCAACAGTATTTCATATATATTAAAATCAAGTAATAAGATAACCTTATCAACTCGCACGACAATATAACGCAAATCCATTAATCGAATAGTTTACATACAGTCAGCATTTACATAGAGGCTTAAATCGATCATTGTGCATATTTGATGATGACTATCGTAGTAATTTGTGATATTCTTAATCGTTATATATTGAAGTAATCATCAAACCCAACAATTCTAGTATTTATCATGATTTATTAATAACGTAAGATACAATTGAATCAACTGAATTCTATTAGATCGAGCTAAAGCAAGAAATACATTTGTATCAAGCAATCTTCTTACAGATATCTATTCAAATAATAATCATGATTTTACTGATAGATTATAAACTTCTAGAATGTTTATTTGTTTTGGTCATCCATATCAAAATGTAATGTATAGTATCAAACATTTATTTTCGATATTTGTACACTGAAAAAAATGTTCTTTTAGTGACTTGTAAGTCAACTTTGCTCAAATGTTACTGTACATAATAGAATGATATTCAAAATGTTGTAATAGAACAGCGATTTCATATAAATAAGAGAGAAAAAATTATGCTCATCCTACTTCTCGAAAATATTTCTTTTTTCAGAATAAGATAACTCTAAAAAAACGAACTACAGCTGATTGTAAAATTGCCACTTATACCTATGCACGTATCAGTGCTCGAAAGATATGACTATTAAATCAGACGTTGAAATTTTGTATTTTAAACGAAAGTCCATTTTTTATTTTTCGAGAAGGATTACATTGTACGGATATTGATCCTTCTACTATGTTATGGTTCATAGAGCACTTCAAATATAAGTAAATATACTTCACGAAATAAAAATAATGTTATTATAACCAATCATTGTATCAACAAATATTGTCCTGTTCACTATTTCTTTATTGAATACTTCCTTTTTCGTATAACGCGAAGGCTACTGAAACTATAACTCATTGAATTGTAGTCGAATACTTTTATGTCTATCATCACTCTATTTTAATAAAGTCTCTCACATAAGAAAATGAGGTGATATAAAATTAGAAAATCCGATATTGTATATGTTTCAATCTTATCGAAGCAATTCAACATAGTTCTATAGTACTACTGTAATTACTTTCACAAGAGAAATTACAAAAACTACGCAGTGTTTTCGAACATTTGATCATCAAAATACGAAATAAATATTGATATGTAGAATCGAAATGTAATGTATATTTTAGTAATTTCATATTACCACACCCAACTAAAATCAAAATAGGTAACCAAGAGAAAAGAACGAACGAAAAAGAGAACATATTGAAACAGAATGTTTCTTTTTATAAAATAGACATAAAACGTACTAAACCAATACAGTTACAACCCTTTACTGGTGTTGTAAGTATTCTATTTGACAAATATGAAGCCTTGCAAAATATACAGAAGTAAATGATGGATTGAAAATAACCGATGCGTATTCCCTTTTATTAGAAGGACTTCATATTTACATAAAAATTACTCTTCAGTAACAAGATCTTACGAATCGGATATGATAAATTTGTTTTTTGTGTACCATTTTAGTAAAAATATTCTTGGGTGTAATAGAAATAGCAGCTATTTATTTTTATGAGATGTTTTTCAACATGAAATTTATTTCATACAACATAACAATATTTACTTTTATTTATCGTCAAATAAATGCAATCAAAATACTAAATTTTTTAGTTCTAATATCACTTCTATATTTTGAATTTAAACTGAAATTTTATATTCGTGTAGTAAAGATTCGAATGTCATATTTTTCAGCTAAAACTATTTAACAAATAAAGTACTTGTTTTCTAATGTGGCAACAAATCGACATAACAAATTTGACTTTCGATTATGTCCAAGATCGAAAACTCTTAGTTGAACTTATTCCGATAAATTCAATATTCTAACAGTTAATATGCAATGTTAATTAAAATTGAAGAAGTATTGGCACTCGAATGATAACTCTTTTTCTTTTCAACTAATTAGATCTATTCTTTCACTAAGATTTTCAAAAAAAAATTAAACGTAGCAAATTCTTACATTAACAAATACAGCATTTATGTAATCAGTTGTCTTATCCACTTGTGTCATTAGATACGGTCGACTATTATCAGCTGAAAATAAAAAGATTTTTGGATTATTTCATTGAAATAAACAAAAAAAAGTTGAACTTACGAGCAAGAATTGTTTCAACTCGATTTTTATTTAAATTCGCTGGTTCAACTGCGCCTTGATATGAAAATTCGACGGTTGATTGCAATTGTTCCAAAAGCTATTGGAAGCAAATATAAGGAAAACTCTTGTTGTTTTTCTTTCTCTATTTCTTCCTACTTTATATTGACTCTTAATATCCATATATAATTTTCTTGTTGTCAGATATTCTTGTAATGATAAACTTATATCCATAGTTAAAATTCCTTCGATTAATGTTCGATAAAGAAATACATATTGATCTACTGTTTGTATCATATAGACTCGATTTTGTCTGATTTAAACAATAAATAGAATGAAAGTTTCATTTATTTGATTATATAGAAGTCCTCTAGTTTTACCTCATTCGATGTGTGAATTCAAGTATATCAATAGTATCTTGATGTTTAGCTTTTTCTAATAAAGCATCCAAAGCAATAAATGTACCTGAACGACCAACACCGGCGCTAAAAATTTTATTTTACTTTCTTTTAAACAAAAAGGGAACAAAGCATGAATAGAATTAAACCTGCAATGAACAAGAATTGGATTCCACGGTTTATAATCAGTACGAAAACGCTGACGGAAATCTAACAATGGTGTAGACAAGGACAAACAGCCATGATCTAAATTTGATATTAGAATATTAAATTGAACAATAAAATATTAATGAATATACCTGGCCATGATAAAAAGTGATACTGCTTAACTATTAACATGTCTGATGGCTAAAATCAATAGAAAATTTTAAATCATTCCAAAAATGATTGATTCAATCTTCTAATCGTATTTGAAAAAATACTCTGAACAGACTAACGAAATAGAAAACATGTTAATCTTCGACAAAGGTTAAGCTACTCGTTTAATTAAATGAAAAATATTTAAACAATGACAATTCAGATTGATTTATATTCAATGATAAAGATTACATACCTCTAATTGGTTGTATATAATCAATTTACGTATTGTATAATCAGCATATTTTTCTTCACTATCAATACGAATTTTAAAATCGTTAATTCGTTTTTCACCTTCATCTGGCCAATATTGAATACATTTATGCTACAAATTTTAAAAATAAACTCACATCGTTTCATTAAAAACAAATCATTTTATTTCTTACTTTTCCATCTTCAAATAGACGAGTGACCATAACAATTGATTGAATACGTAATTGCCAAATCATGCGAATAAAGTCATATAAAGTTGTGTCAGTTGGTGCTATAAAAATTCTTTTATATTTACATCAATTTCTTAGTACTGTATGAATTGTTCATCGTCTTGAAATAATTTACTATAATATTAGACTATATCTGAACTATCAAGATTTTACATTGACGACTTGCTTGCAAAGTAAATAGCAAAAAAAAGCAGTAAGCTGACATAAACTACTAATCTATAGATATTCGTTAATTTTTCAAAATTATTATTTCCCATTCTAAAAACCTTTTTTCAACAAAAAACTTGTTCAACATCAATGACGACAGAAAGAGATTCATAAATACTATCTACTTTTTTGAAAATGTATCTAAATGGGTATAGTTGAATCTAGTGGTCTGTTCTCGTATTAGAAGAAAACGCAGTCTACTTTCAGACTAAACATAATGTGATAAATAATCTACAAACCTTGAGCAGCTATATATAATTTGTTCATTCTATCACCATCTATGTATGATGCATTGATGTAATCAGTTGTTGGATCATTTGGTAAAGATTTAAGTACAACTCGAGAATGATCGTCTAGATAGAATCTATATTTATTAATTAATCAAGAATCATACAATTTTTATACAAACATGGTTCAATAGCATTGAATCTATTTTTCGATTTGTTTTCTGGTCGCAATGCGAATGTTCTAGGATGGAGAGGTTCTGTGGATAATTTCTAGCGAACGAAAAAATAATAAATTTCTACTCAAAATTCTATTTTTTTTTATTAACTTACCTCATATTCATCGCGAATTCTTTGTTCAGGAAATGTTTTTGGAATAAGCCAAGTTCGTAAATCATTTAATTTTATGGGATTCTGTAAAAGATTATTGCTAGTATTAACAACACCATCAGGAACTGTTCTATCTATTAAATTAAACAGAAATAGAATAAACTGAGCCAGGATAAAAACGTCTGAAAATCATTTAAAATATATTAATTCTAGAATAATTTTTTACTGAATACCTTATCAATGATGTCATTTTCAATCTTATCTTATCATTTATTCTAACATTTATAATTGTAACTAATGAAACTATTGGATTCGTTATTAATGAATGTCGAAACGACATTCATAACTGCTTCCATATTTGCAGGAAAAAAAGAAGAATTAAAGGTCTTATGAAATAACTCTATAGGTTTTACTCCAAACAATGCAACAAATAAAAAAGTATTAATATCTTAGATAAAAATAATGTTGTATCTCATAAATTCTTATCTTTTTAATGTTAAAGCAAGCCTGTGACGTAGAATCCTCTAGATTCAAATTCATAGGCAAAAAACATCGAAATAGTCTTCATAAAAATATCCTACTTATTTCATTTGTTGATAATTCATTAAATTGTAAAGTAGGAACTTTGCTTGATGAATTCTCTTTACTACGTTTACTGGGTACAATCATTTTTTTAAATCGTTTCCACAAAGGAATTTTATTTGATGAAGATGAGTTGATTGTTTCATCGCCTAAATTTACTGTTGGACGCGATAATATTGGTACAGCTGTTGTTGTTGCTGCTCGAATTCTCGGTGATATTGATGACTGTGGTGATTCCGATGAATGCTTTTGTGGATATTTTATTTCGTTTTCATCGTTACTTATTTTTGTGATCGGTGGCATTGGTAATGGAGCTATTGGTTGATAAAGTTCACCATGTGATTTTGCATGTTGTAATTTTTTTGTTACATGTCTAAATGAATATGTCTCTTCATCATTTGATGTTTTCTGCGGCAGTGATTGTTGTTGTTGCGAATGATGAAGATGAGTTTGTTCTTGTTGCTCAATCAGAGAAGGATTGGAATTGTATTGAGACAATGGTAAGGAATTCATCGGTGATTGAATACGTTCAGATCGACGACTGACTGGTTGATATTGACTGTTATCATCAATTATTGACACTGTTACACTACGTCGATTATGATTATTATTGATCTTTATTTATACAAAACGTATGTTTAGATATAAAATAGAACGATATACATGTATAGTACGACTCACTTGATAATTATCACTCGTACGATTTGACAATGGTCGACGAGTATAGATTTTGTTTTGTTGTGTTGCTAGTCGTTCGCTTTCTCTTCTTTTTCCGTTATCTCCATTTTTTTCCTCCATGCTATGTACGGATTAGTTCTTTGTCTTCACATACACAAAAACAGTCGAGCAATAGAAAAAGTCAAATCGGACAAAAGTTCAATCTAGTCGTTGTTCTTTGTCTTCAAACGACAACAAATAGAAAAACATAGTTCTCGTTCTCTCTATATTATGAAACTGACTCACCACACCACCTATAAGAAAAAAGAGAGAAGGCAGTCGAAAAAAATAACAGAACTCACACATAGAATGAAAATGGACGAAGAACGGAAGAAAGAAAAAAAAAGAACATAAAACAAGTTATACTCTCATCGATATTCATAAATAGGCAGCTGATGTTAATAAGTCATTCTTTTGCCATCAATACTAGAATCGTAACAGCAAGAAATAATAACTTGAGTACGATGGATTTTCAATCGAAATATTGTTCTCAGATTCTGCATTCTTTCTTAAAATATCACGATAAAGAAATGAATATGTGTAAGTATTCATGTATGTGTATCAAATTGCCTTTTTATCCTTCATCATCTCTGGATTTATGTATAAAAAAAAAAGAAAAAAAAAAGAACAGAACATTGGAGAAAAAGGATTAGTCAACAGTAGTCAATTAATATTATAGTTAAGAAACGTCCATTGGTTTAGCAGTTGTTGTATTTATCTCAGCTACACCAATATCATCATCGTCGTTTGTTGATGCACTGATGTTTTCTTCGACTAATGCCATCGTTTTTTGGCACCAATCTGGATGAACAGCTTGAATTTTATCAAGCACTTGATTAACTTGTACACAAAATGATTCAATACGACGATCCCATTGAGCAAGTTGTTCACTAGCTAGAAAAAAAAACAGAGCAAATATTTTATTTTTCATTTTAATTATCATTTTTTTAACCTTGAAAATGAAGAACCGATTCAATTTGATCAACAAAACCACTCAGACGACCTTCTGAAATCATTTGCGACGCAATTTTTTCTGACTAGAATAAAATAGAAAAAGAAAATATCGCTTTAATTGAAAATTCCGATGTAAATCAACTACTTTTTCGCTTAGAATGCCTAGCAGACCGCCTAATTGAGCAAATGTTATATTTGTGTATATCTTGCTTACAGCAACAAGATTATGTTCGATAACTGCTCGTTGAAGGATCGTATAACCTAGGGTACAAGCGAAGATTTTAATCGGTATGTCATTCAATAGGTTTAAAAAAAATGTAATTTTACCATCAGCTGTTGTCGCTTTCTGATGTGCAGCTAGAAGACTTTCAAATTGCTTTGCATCATGTGGGCTTATAATTCTTTCTAAATACCTAAAATATTCTCAAAAGTGTTATATATAATCAAAGTTAAGAAAAAATATGCTATCAATACATTTTATTTAACATGGAATATGCCTGTGATTGTTGAGATCTTTCGTCTTTAAACAATGTACCTAACATTCTCGATCGATGTGGACCAGCAGGTGCCAATATGGCACAGATTAATGCATTATTTAAAGCTCTCATGCGTTCTTCACTACTAACAATCGACTTAAGTGATAATTCATTGTAACGTTGTGCTGCTTCAACAAATTTTCGTTTATAATCCAGAATACGAGCATAACATGCCTAAATGAAAAGAAAATGTATACGTGAAAACAACAGTGTTTTTGATTATTATTATGTATCAATCAGAACTTCAATAGACTATAATTGACTTCTGTAATTAAAGAGCTCTTATTTTAATTGTACTGAATTTCCTATAATTAAGCTTATTTCAAAGAAATAAAAATCAAACGAATTAATTCAGAAATCATTCTTTTACAACTAGTTACATATCTGTTAAGAATAAATCACCGTGTCTTCGTTTCAAGTCTCAAAATTTTAGCTTTTATTTTTATTATAATATGTCCATAGCAAAGTTGGTAATTATCTTTTTCTACTACGGAAGAAATCTTGAGATTCGAAAAGTTGACGTTACTTAACATTTCTCTCAAATAAAATTTATTGATACAAACAATGGCAGAAACGCCTCTGTTTCTTCGGCATTATGAATCTACACAAGTTGAAATTCTTTTTCATATAGCTATACAATTCAATGGTGGGAATCGATACTTTTTATTTTGTGTCAAAAATGATTGATCGAACAATTTTTAATTGCTCTGTAAAAACAAAAGCCCTATTCAAAAACACAATACACATTTTTATCAGAGTTCGTTTGATAATTTGGCCTGTTTTACGAACGAAAAACAATGAAAGATATAAACATGGATCCACGTGAAAAAATTTATTGATACGTGTAAAACTGTCACCATCAACTCGAGCGAACATAGTATAGTAAAACAACGAAGAAGAAAACTAAAATCTTTGTTTTTTGCTAATTTACTTTCAATATCGCATATAAGACAGCATCCAAAAACGTTGACTCTACTTATCAAGATCTAGTTGTACTAAAAATTTCAAAATATTCAAATGATTCATTCTTTAGGACTATTCATGAGTCGGAGAGAAATTATTCATGGAACTAATCCATTGAAATTAGTTTTCACCCCACTAAACGAATGTACATAGATTGATTTATGATTAAGTGTTATTTTTATTTTAGTAAAATTAGTATTTTTTTTACGAACGAAATTGATATATGGTTACTATTGCAGAAGCAGCTATTTTTGAATTGACAGTTAATCTTTCATTTCTTTAGAATCCCATCAGAATCGTTAGTCTTCTGTGTATTTTGATGATATAGAATCAGTGATTCTAGTCCTGATCCGAAATCACTCCTTCTTATTGTAAAGATCTCACGTAACACGAACTTAAAATTGCAGAATTCTAGTTTTATTGATGATTCAAAATCTGCGCACTGATGTATTAATCTTTTTTTTTCCTGACAATGTGGCAGTTCCAACAAAGTACTTACAATGGAGAACATAGGATTCGCGAGTTCTTAGTGAAAGTGAACTAATTTCAATGACAAATCTTCATGGGACTCACTTTAAATTGATCAATAATAAATTCAAAACGTTTTCATCCAATTTTATGAAAAACTAATTTGCAGAAATCAAGCTGAAAAAACTTATTTTTCTCTTGAATACGTCTCATAAACAGAAAAAGAAATAAAATATAGTGATTTGCATACTCTATAGAGAATTTGCAATTGTTCATCACGTGTGTCATTTTGTAAGAGAGATGCACGATTGATAAAAACTTCAGCTTGAACTGGATCATCGTCTTCAAGATAAAGTCTTGCAATACGTAAGTAAGTTTTTAATTTATAATCAGGCGATAAAGGTCTAAATATAAAATTAAAAAGAATATCGTCCAATATTCAAAAAACGAAATTTGTAGTACTTTTGAGCCGATTCCAGTGATGCTCCACAAAGAACTTTGGCTGCTTCACGCCAATTTTCTTCATGTTCATAAATATCAGCTAGAAAATTTCTATAAAGTCCACCTTGATCTTCAAATGATATAGCTCGTGCAGCGATACGTTCAAGTGCATACAATGCTACTTCTTTTGCTTGTTCAGATGTCAAACGATTTAAATATGATGTACATAAATCTGTTAATAATTGACGTGATGCAACAAGAATAATTTTATCGTCGACGACTAAATACAAAGTAGAATATGAGTCAACCATTCGGGAGAATAATAAAACACCGACCAGCATCAAGAATTTTTTTAAAATTATCTATTGTTTGTGGTTGTTTAGGATCTTTGATTATTTCATCGAGAATTGATTTGAATCTAAACAACAAATATATACGATAGAATAATGATAATTATCAGATCGATATAATAAAAAACATGATACAATATTACATGACTTTTTTTTCTAGTAAAAATTTTAAAGTAAATTCGTAAAGAGTGATTGCAGAGCATTATTTCTTTGATTTGATTTTGACATCAGATTTTGAAAAGTTTATTTATAATATTATTCTCATTTTTTATTCAAGTATGAGAGTGGGCTGATCAAAATCGACGTAAATAATGAAGTGGCTCACCTGTCAATAAGATCTTTAGGCGAAAGACCTTTGTTGACTGCTACTTGAAGTTGTTCGACGATATTAGCCATAAATATCTGAAATAAAAAATACAGCTGAGTTTTATTAGGCTTCTTTTTGCAGTTAAGACAAAGTAAGAAAATTATTCGTTCGATCCATCAAACGCAACATTAGCCTCTGGTTCAACATAGAAAACTCCTTCGTTAATATATCGTCTTAGTTTTAAATAATTAGGATTTCCAATTGCTGATTTAGCTTCTTCAACATTTTGACAGATCGATTGAATTATAGAAAATTTTGCTTCTTTTCCTTCTTTATCTCTTTCTGTTGAACGATTGAGAAGAAATTCAATAAAGCCAGGTTCAGCATTCATAGCGTACAATGCCCATGGTGATCGTGTTAATTCAAATAAACATCGATAAGCAGCAAGACGTAAATCAACAAATGGTTGCTTAGCTATTTGAACAACTATTGTTAAAATAGAAAATACACGATTACATAAACGATAAATTTGTTCAGTAAAAGACGGTGCATTTGATGACGAATTCATATTTGGTGGCATATGAAATAAATCAGCAAGACAAACAAGTGCACGAATACTAAAATTCAAAACGAATGATAATATAATAAATAAAGACATTGTTATTTTTGTCTAAATTTTTTACCGCATATCAGATTGAGATGAACGTATCATTTGAACTAACTTTTCAATAAAATCACCAAATTTAGCATTTGCAAGAATATATTCTTTTCCATTTGATGTTTTGCCAATGAAACCAATCGTATCTAGAGAAATACGAATTTTTTCCGTTGAAACTTTTCGAAATAATTAATCTCAACTTTCGAAAAACCAAAAAAACATGCATAATTCTATATATTTAGATAGCTAATGAATTCTTGAAAATGTTCGGAACGGTCGTGCAATCGAAGGGGAAAGCTTCAGGAATTTTTTATTTTTCGCAATCGAAATCAAAGATTATCTATTAACTTGCTCGATCTACAGATTTATTAATATATTGAACAAATAATTCTTTAGTAAAGTCTCGACTTTTCAATGCCATCGATAGCCTAACGATATTTATCGATAGGCTTACTTAGCATCATTATTATTCTATATTAACATCATAGAAAATATTTTAAATCTACTATTAGACGATTGCGTTTTGATTCTTTTTTTTTCTTATCTATCAAAATAGATTTCTTACCTAAACCAATGACAATATAAGGAGTTGAGTCTGATTGAAGAAGGATATCGAAGAGCATTGGTAGAAATCGTTCGAGTAATTGATTTTGTTGATTATTTATTGTATTTGTTTCAATTAGCACAAGATAATTACGTAAATAACAACCGAAAAATTTAATAAAACCTGGTTTAACTAAATCATAATAAGTATTTCCATCTTTTGTTGATAATAATAAATGAAGATAATGTTCCATAACATCAGTTTTATTTTGTAAATAAGCTAATGTATGAGGTTTTTGCGTTAATGATGTTAACAATTCTAGACAATTCATTAAATATAATATATCATTATCACTATGTGTACAATCATATAAGAATGAATCGAGTAGATGTTGTTCTTCGGCAATATGTCGATAGATGCGTGGTTCAATTAAACATAAATCAATTAAATATTCATATAAACGAAGTTTTACAATTTCATTTCGTTTATTTGTTGAAAGTAAAATTTCTCGATTTGATTCGTGAAAATATTCATTTCGTAAATAAGTTTGAAATATTTCTTGATCTTCAATACGACTTATGGCATGAATCATTTGTTGAAGAATTTCTTTCGATTTTAACCATAATACTTGTTGATCACTATCAAGAAAAAGATGTAGAAGTGCATTAATGTGAGCATGTTGGAATACATTTTGTATAATAAAAAAACATTCTGCAGTGGAGCAACGGGTCAATTTTTCAAATGCTTTTAAACATAAAAGTTTGCCTCGTTGAGATAATGCAACTTGATTATCAAGACCAGTATTTAATAGTGGATACAAACTAGCCATTATTTGTTCAATAGATAGATTATTTATAAAATGTTCAATAATTGCACATAGAAGACGTTCGACGTCATCATCGTTATTCGATCGAAGTAAATCAAACAAATGTGCCCATGGAATATGTTGATGAACTTGTTCAAATTGAATTGATGACGATATATTGGATAATTCAATATGAATACGTTCAAGTAATTCAATACATTCAACATTTTTCGATGTGATCATTAGATCTTCGAAAAGACGAAGTAAATTACTATTTTGCATCTAAAATGGCAGATCAATAAATATCTACAAGAATAAATTTTCATTCATTTATTTATGAATTTAAGATTAGAGATGCAAATTTTCCGTAGCCAAGTCAAGTTTTAACTGAAAATATCTTTGTATTTTGGTTAGTTTTCTAACGAAAATTAGACGAAGGATGTTGCGTTTTGCAATCAATAATAGATGGAGAAGTTTTTTTTTAAAATTTAGTATTGATAAATTCAACAGAAAGAATTTCGCTGTGATATAATACGATTCGTACTTTCTTTCGTAACATTCAACATTCTCACTATGAGACTTATTTAGATTAGAGTTTAAAATGAAGAACAAAAAGAAAACCTAATATTGATAAAAGTAAAATTCAATTCTTTCAACAAAAATAGGAATTTCTTTGAAAAACATTAATAATATCAATCTGTGTAAAAGGATTCTCTGAATCGTTTGCTCATATCGTCGTTTTATTTCATGAATATTGTTCATTAATGTTTATTTTCAACGTAGTATAAGTTGCATATTGGAAAATTTCGTTGTTCTTTTTGTTAATCATCATTAATTCATCTAAATCACGAAATGATGAATACAGAATCGTCATTGTTCAAGTATAACATTTTGCATTGATAATTCATATTGAGATACAGTTGCACAGGTTCGAAGATGATAAAGTTCTTCGTCTATGTTCAATACATGAATTGCAATAATACAATTATTAATTAATTTCGTAAAAAAATTAAGTCAATTCAATGAGAAGAAATTAATTAACAACAAAGAAGTGAGATATTTTTTTGTAAAAATCCAGTAAATCTATATTTGATTTTGTCATTGATAAATCCATCAGAATCAAGTTTTTAATAACTGAAACAAAAAAAATTTTATGTTTCAAATTCCCAATAGATTTAAACTTAAAAATTTGAATCATTTAGTGTTCTAGCTTTTCAGGATTTTTTCTCTTTCGACGAATTTTTCGAACTGATTTTTCAAATCTGTAGACAATTAAAACTTTTCAAAATCTAGTCGTTAATTGCCTAATCTCAACCGATACATGTATGGTTTATTTAACGATAACATTTAAGAAAAACATTCCATTTTCACAGAAAACCATGTAAAAACTTATTTTCTTTTGCTGTAGATAATTTAAGCAAAATTTTCAAAATTCTTAAGTTGAGCTATAGACCACTTATAAAACAAAAAATTTTAGTTCGCAAAATTTTATCAACTTGATATAATTCAAATTAAGGTTTCAGTTACAATATACGAAGATAAGATCAGTGGAAGTTGAAAAAAATAATAGTGCGAAGCAAATTCAACTTTAGATTAAAAAACAATAGCTCAAGTTCGAAGGACAGCTGAAAGACAATGTGTCTTTCATGAATCCATAGAAGATTTTATCGGTTTCACTACGGCCAATCAGATATACAAGAAAGATTGAACTTCAGCTTGTAATCACATAAAGCCATACAATGATGAATTATTTCAACTAAGTTATTCGAAGAAAGGTTTCATTGGTTCTCATTATCTTCAGCAAACATTTTGATAAAAAGAAACTGAGAATAAGTATGTGAAGAAAAAAATGCTGACTTTTCGTAAAAGAGCGTAGAGCAAATCTTGTTTGAAAAAGAATTAAATTGATCAAGCGAAAGCTAATAAAAATGTACAAAAAAAAGGTACAAGTAGTACTATAATATTATAGTACATGTGTTGAATTTACCGAAGATCGGCAGTATGTTTTTTTTACAGTAATTAATCGCCTCTTCTGAACTAAAGCTTTTTAGTTTTCTTTGGTTTTTCATCAGAACGTACACGAGGTTCTTTAGATTCTCCAATCTAAAACGAAAAGAAAAAAAACAACTAGTAATACGACGAAAATAAAATACAAATACTTTTTCAGAATGCTTAGTTTTTGGATCATTGAATTGTGTAGTTAAACTAATTGCATGTTTCTTTGCCTCTCTAAGTTCGAGTTTTACAGATGCTAATTCTTTAGTTAATGATTGTAAATGTTCTTGTTCGACAGTTGCTTCAGCAACAGCTTTTTTCAGAGTCTACATAGACGATACTGAATGGAATATTAGTTTCATGAGATTATCTTTACTTCGATTTCATTTTGATGTTGCTTTTGTATTTTTTCAATCTCCTTTGAATGTCTTAAATGAATATTATTTCGTTCATTGAAAATAGCTTCATTGATTCTTTTATTGATATCTTCTTCTTTCTTGGGTCTTTCATTTTTCATTGCTAGTAATGCTTCGGATAGTTTCACTTGAAGTTTTTCATCATTCTCTTTTTCTAGAGCAGCCTAGAAAAATGAAATATTTCTATTTAAAATAATAACAAATATGAATGAATTTTTACTTTATATGTATGAAATGATTTTTTCAGAAATTCAAGTTCTTTTCTTAATTGTTCTTCACGCACGAGACTAAGCGTTTGTTCTTCATTTAAAAGTTTTAAAAAGTTTTTTTCGTGTTCTTTTAATTTCATTTTATTATCACGTAGTTGACGTTCTTGTCGTTCTTGAAAATGTGTCTCTTGATCTTGTAATTGATTGATAAGTGTTTCTTCAGCCTAGAAGAATACATGTTCTTTTTATTACAAAAATCAAATACGCAATAGAATACTTTGATTTGTGTTTGTTTATGTTTAAGTCGTTCTTCGGCTAGTTGTAATGTTATTTCATTCATTTGTTCATATAAATTATCAAAATTTGTTCGGACTGATGCAGGCATAGAAGCACATCTAGACAATAGCCAATAGAAAACAAAAACTGCCCATTGTTACATAAAAGAAACAAGATTTTTTCCTTACTCAGAATTTCCATCGAAAACACAATTTTCATTTAATGCATGCGCAATATCTTTATTTAGAACTGGATCGATATTTGATTTCTTTCGCTTTATTTTTACTTCTTGTTGTTTTTTATTCTACGAGAAATAAAGCAATTCAAAAAATAAAATTCGTTCTAAATTCATTTACATACACAAAGAAGTCGTTCCCATTGTTCGGATTGTAATTTTCTGAAGGAGAGACGAGATGATACAGGATTATTCAAACAAGAACTACTGAGAAGTACTTGATGAATCGAAGAATCCGTACTAAATAGAAAAAACAAAAAAATTTAATAATCTAAAATTTCATCGTGACAAATTAACCTGTTATGTGATAATGATCGACCGTATGGAACATTTGGATACGACCGTACATTGTCGATCAACCTTAATAAATAGATATATCAATTTATATAATAGAACAAATAAATGAATCCTACACAGGCAGACTCGTTCCTGGTTGCATGTTTAATATGTTTTTCGATACAAGAGAATGAGGGAAAATATTGTATGCTCAGAAAAATGCAAGCCTTTAAGCTGTTTTGTCGACTACATATATATATATATACTGGACGGGTGCAAACATTGAATAAATTAAACAAAAAATGGCTAAGAGAACAGAATAAATGCATTTCATAAAAAAATAACGGGCGTAAAAGAAAATAGATGAATGTTAAAGCAAGACAGCAGTAAGTAAATACGAACTAAATAACATTCATTCGCACTTAAAAAACACTAGAATGTCGATACTTTAAACATAAGATCACATTCCTCACTTTAAAACAGATCTTAACTAGAAGTACTGATAAGAGAACAATGTACTGAGAATTTCCGTCATTGAAAAATTTCTAGATGTTTACATAATTATGCATCACAATAAAATAGATGATTTTAGTAAATTTCTATTTTATCTCTTACAGAAAGAAGAGAAAGTACATTATGCGAAATTTTCAGTCTATATCGCTCATAAAAGTAACTAGAAATTTGGGTGTGACTATTGATAGAAAGTAAATGTATTACATATTTTTTCGCGAGACAACTTTAATTTCCTTTTTTCACTTACATACGAATAGAAATCTTATACTTACTGCGTTGTAATCATTTTTTTTATTTATTTAAGTATTTTGAACAAATAAAATAGGCATTTTGATTTTAGTTATCCACTTATCGTTCCCTTAATTATATTAAACTGAATTTACTAATTGATCTATACAAATTCATAGATAAAAGTTTGAGCGCATTTCTTAGCTAAAAGTTATATCTTGATGATGTATTCATTGCGCAGTCAAATTTATTTTCTAGATGAATTAAAACAACCTCCATACATTATTCATTTCAAGCGGCAGGCAATAATTTTCAAGTAGAATATCGAGATAAATAGTTAATAAAATTGTCGACTGATTATAATAAATACCTACTATTTAGATCGGTACCAAAACGACATTTTGTGTTGGAAGATGTCTATCATTTTGATAATTTCCAATCTTAACAGTTCAATTCAATTTTTCATCTCCTAGTTTCAAAAGTACGACAAGATTAAGAACCAATCAAATACAAGTATTTGACCTCCAATGTTATGACATGAAAATTAAGAAATATTACAATTGTTTAATTTAAAATGGAAAGTGTTCACGAAATTCATTCAATTATTTATTATAATTGTAAACATAAAAAAAACAATCAAGACAATTTATGATTGGCTTATTAGCACATTCTTTTATGACGACTCATGATGAAGTCGATTCCAGTTTGTTTATTTCTGTTTTCGGCCCATCAACTTCGTAATTGCGCTGCTTCTTTTTTAACGATGATTCAGTGCATTTTCCAATGCAATTATTCAACGTTTTGTATTTTACTTTACAGATTTTATGTTGCTTTAAACAATTATATATGGTGCAAAAAATGCCAATGGTCACCGAGCCGGCCCAAACCAAATTGACGGAATCGCCGCTCGAATCGATCGGTTCATTGGATACGAAAGTTGTACAATCTCTTGTAAGTTACTTCTATCTTTATCCTTCCTAGTACAATCTTTTGAAATATCATATTGTAGCCAAAAATGACCGAAGGTTGTCGCGTACCTGTTTATATGGATATTCAAAAGACATTTGGTAAGAAGAAAAGCTAACTAAATATTTAAAAATATAAGTAAAATATGATCTATAATCTCATAGTGCCCGCTGAAGTTGTTAGTATACGTGAACTCGATGGCGTTTACGAATTTTATATTCATTATGTTAATTTTAATCGACGTCTTGACGAATGGGTTACCGTTGATAAAATGAATTTAAAAGAATTAGCCCCTCCTTCATCATCAAGTACATCTTCCGCATCATCAAACAATACTCAAGAAGTTCCTGTCATCCCCCAACCGCGAACAGTTCCACCAAGTACAACAACAAAAAATACCGCTGCATCCAGTGACATATCAGCGGGCAATACAACAACATTTTTTCTCTCCGACGATGCGGATTCATTAAATAGTGATTTATCACGTGCAGCAACTCTTCCATCATTAACTAATTTCCCAGCAGCTACATCAGCAACAATAGCTCCAACAAAAGCACGTGGAAATGGAAATACACATCAGAGTGGCGCACATTCGGTTACAAAAGTGAAAAATATTAATCTAATACACCTGGGAAGATATTTCATTAAACCGTGGTATTTTTCACCTTATCCAGAGGTAAACTCAGTCGTAATCACAACGAACAATCATATAAAATTTCCTTATTTTTGCATACGTTATCTTTAATTTCAATCTGTTGAAGCGCATATTTAGAAGAGAGGATAACTGTAGACACCCCTAGTCGAACTTTGTTTTGCAAGCGTTTGCAATTCTTGACTTCCTTGATCAAGAAAGTCAAGAACTATGGACACATTTTGAGGCAAGACATGAGGCCTTTCGATGAGCTCAAGTTCTTAAATTTCTTGCTCTATCGCTGGGTATTCTTGCTCACGCGCTTGAATTTTTATCTAAGCGTTTCTGTTATTAAAGAACTTTCTCAATTTTACATTCAAAATAACTCAACTTGTAATAAAAATTTACAGGTGCACTTTTTGTAACTCATGCAAACATTCAAGCGCTTGTCTTGAGCATGCACTATGGGCACATCTTGAGCTCAAGTCTTAGCAAGCGCATGAATAAAAACGTTCGACTACGGACTCTTTTGATTATGTGCTTAACGATTGAATAGCAACGTTCTCTGTTATCAAGCAGTCACGCTAAATCTAGGACAGTACATTTTTAATTTACTAATTACTTTTTTGTGTTTGGGAAGTTAGCATATTACGCTGTGTTAATAGTATTTACTAAGCGTTGGAGAAAATTGTTTTAAAAAGAGCATATTTTGATAGAATCAGTATCTGAATGATGCAACGAGCTCATATGCCTGTATACTCATGAGTATTCCAATAGATATTGTATCGACTAGTATCTACAGACGTTTTCTATAGATTTCGTTGTATATTCTGTCATTAACATAAACGAAAACTAAATTCAAAATAAGCATTGAATTTTTTCTCAGAACTATGTCTCTCTCCTTTGATATAGAATAAAATATATCATCAGATACCTTCCAACAATCAAGTTCACGTCCAGTTAGTCGTATGAAAAGTAATCCCAATAATCTTTGTCCAACGATTATTTAAATGCTTGTGGAGCATTTTTCGATTAAAATAACATTTCAATTCGATATATTCTATTTTATATTGTTCTTTCAGGAATTTACAACATGTCCAGTTGTTTATATTTGTGAATTTTGTCTAAAATATTGTAAAGATCTTGATGCACTTAAACGACATCGAGTAAATGAAATACTTGTTTACTTTCGTTTTTATGTTTATATTATTTTTCTTATTATTTTAAAAGACAAAATGCACTTTAATTCATCCACCTGGTAATGAAATTTATCGTAATGGTACAATATCGTTTTTCGAAATTGATGGACGGAAAAATAAAACTTATGCACATAACATGTGTCTGTTAGCAAAACTATTTCTTGATCATAAAACATTATATTATGATACAGATCCATTTATGTTTTATATATTAACAGAATTTGATGCACAAGGTTTTCATATAGTTGGCTATTTTTCAAAAGTATGCTATTTTAGTTTTTATAAGAAAATAAAAGAAACGAAAAACACTCCTTTTTTATTTTGTAGGATAAAGAATCAAGTGAAGACTATAATTTGTCGTGTATTCTAACTTTACCACCCTATCAGAAAAAAGGTTATGGACATTTCATGATTGAATTCAGTAAGATTTATTTTATTTGCAACGAATCATTCTTATTGTCTAATTTTAAGGTTATACTCTTTCAAAACTTGAAGGAAAAATTGGTACACCTGAGAAACCATTATCTGATTTAGGTCTATTATCTTATCGTCGCTATTGGTCTGAAGCAATATTAGAAGCATTATTAAAGCATAAACCAAAAGATGGTGAATCAGATTATCCATCACTGTCAATAAAGTAAGCTTTAGAAGATATTTAAAATAATTTCAAAATATTATTCATCGTTTCTTTTCATGTAACAGTGATTTAAGTGAAATAACAGCAATTAAAAAAGAAGATGTTTTAGCTGCTCTTCAAAATTTAAATATAATACGTTATCAACAAGGTTCATATGTACTCTCAATAACAAAAGATTTATTTGATAATTATCAAGATAAACGACGGTTACGTGTCGATACAAAATGTTTATTTTGGACACCGAAAATAGCAACTAAACCAGCAAATCAATTTCAAACAAAATGATTAACTAAAACTTTGTGTTCGAGTAGAAAAAAAGAAAAGCAGTTTTTTGTTAACCTATATATTGTACAGAATGCTATACGTTCGTGTTTTTTTTTTCGTTTCTTATTCGAACTTATTTTGACTCTTGTAGATTCATTTTGTGTATTCTATTAATATATACATATATCTATATCTATAAATATTCATCATATACTCATAGATGTGGATTTTGTTGTTGCAGTAAGAATAATTTTTCTTAAGAACTTTGAATTTAAATGCAATCAGTCGTTGGTGATTTGTTTATGTAAAAATCAAATTAAGAATCAATGAGAAATAAATCAGTATATGTTCGACAGATTTTTATTATCAAATCAAGTTATGACTTTGAACATCGACCTTAATTTTAGTTTGACAATATTTGTGCAGTCCATGCTATGTAGGTAATGTGCAGATGTCGACAATAATTGACTCATTAGAAGAACCAATACTTTTCCGTCTAAATAAATGTCGTTTATAGTCTATTAAACTTGCAGTGAATATTACATTTTTGAGACTTATTAATTCTAAATAGGTTTAAGCCTAATCTTTGAACTACATCCAAAGTGACTGTTTCCAAATGCATCAAATAATACTGATAACACTCATGATGAAACTTCGAAGTAAACTAGTATCTATGGCATTTATTCGTAATCTCTATCGTACACTTTAATCGAATTTTTTAATTGTCTCATGATACATTCATTCAAATATTCATATTGATAGAAAATTATGAAACTGATATTGTTACAGATTTAGAACCGATGAAAAATTTTCAGACTGCATCTGAATGATAATAAAATAATTGTTAACAATATTTTAGATTTGTCTTTTGTTTTTAACAATGCGAAACTCTAAAACTAGGTCCTCATTAAATGTATCTTTATCAACTAATGAATCTTCTTTTCGATGGCAAAAATGTTCTCAATGCTTAAAATCGACACCGTGCACTGTCGATAATCATCAATGTTCCGAAGAATTAGATGGCTTATTTGTGGAACGTAATCGAGCAAGACTTCTGATCCAAGAACATAAAACTGGTCTGTCAAGAGAAAATTAAGAGGCAAAATAAAATATTTTCTTTTCTATTCTACTATAGACTATTTCAAAGACTTTACATTACCTTCATTTATGCATACGGATTGTATATTTATATCTCCAGAAACTATGCGTCTACTTGAAGATATGCATCGAAATGAACATGCTCTCCTTATAGCAATAACAAAAGATCAACAAAGATCATTAAGAATTGGTTTACTTTGGCCAAACTCAGTGCTAGCCGATAATCAAGTAGCTATTAGTCGTACTGTGATTGATCAATTTTCTGAACAACAAATGATTGAGATTCAAGCTATTCCAAAAGATCATATTCAAGATACGGCTAATATTACGTTGAGGTACTGTAAGATTATTTTTTAATAAAAATATATAGAAAAACAATGTTGTTAAATATTATGTTTATATGTACCATCAAAACATACTTCTTCATAGTTATATGAATGAACTCATGTCTGCCTTTATCTTTGAATTCAACTCATTATCATTTATATCAGTGCTTTACAAGAGAAATCGCCCTTAAACCTGTCATTGATTAAAAAACTATTATTTGCTATTGAAAGTGGAAACAATTTTTTATGAGAATATAACAAGATTTTATTCATAGAGAAATAGTAAGCTGAAATGAAAAGAACTTGACTCTACTGTTGTTCATTCATTTATTTATTAGTTTCCTCGTTTTAAGATTTATTTTAATTAGATCTCATTAAATAAGTTACGAGGGAATTTTCGTTAGCCATCCTAATTTAAAATTTTCATGGGTGCACATCCCATCTTGATAAGATATTTATACATCTGTCAATTCATTATTGTCTATCGAACGAACAAATATAAAATTCCTAACAGCTGCTAAATTTTAATTACATTTTCTTTTAGTTGATAACTTGACCTGCCGCCATCGAAAGCTCGCCGCTTTTTGAGAAGTTAAATTGCTTGCTGGTTACTAAATGCAGCTTGATTATTAATCTCATTTTATTGTTATCTCTAGAGTTCAAATAAAATATGCATCGAACATCATCTGAAATCAAGTCAAATAATGTTTTTTCATGTTTTAGTGCGGTTACCCCTTGCGAATCGTACAGCACAAATGAACGTCGTTTAATCACAATATGCTTAAAGTATCAATTAGGTCTGTTTATCATGTTTTTTTTTTATCATTTACTAATATTAACAATTGTTCTAAACCATAATTCTTCTAGCGAATCGAATAGTTTTTTATGGACAACAAATAGATTTTGTTTATATTGGTCAATCAATTACGTTTCGTATTGAACAACCAGATAATGACATAAATCTAATGAATTCACTTCATTCTCTTTCACTGGATGGTAATCTTCCAAGTTTTTATCGAATTTCTCCATCGATAACTTCAATTAATATACATTTTGAATCTACGACATTAAATAAGAACAATCAAGTTAAATCTATTTCATTGTCGGATATTGGTGGTTTGAAAAAGGAGAAGTCCGAGTTAATTGATCTTTTTCTTTCGTCCGCAACAAATTATATTTTACCACGAGGAATTCTTCTTCATGGTCCAAAAGGATGTGGTAAAACTATGCTTATTAATGCCATTGCACATGAAATATCAGCAAGCATAATTCGTATAAATCCATCAGATGTTTATAGTCGGCATTATGGTGAAAGTGAAACAAAACTTAAACAATTGTTTGCTCAAACAACGACGGCAAAGAATGAAAATGTAAATAAAAAATATTTACTAGTAGTTGAAAATATTGAAAGTCTTTGTCCGAAACAAGAACGTATAACACAACAATTAGAACGAAGATTAACAACAACATTTATTGAATTATTAGATCGATATTTAGATGGACAAAAAATATTTTTAATAGCAACAACAAGTCGACTGGATTCTGTTGATACAGATTTGAGACGTCCAGGCCGGATTGATGAAGAAATTGAAATTGGAATACCGAATCAGCAAGATCGACTTGAAGTACGTTGAAAATTATTTTCATGAATTTTTTCCTGCTGTTCTATCATAATTACTTATCTAATTATTTATGTTGAAGATTTTAATAGTCAAATTAGAAAAAATATCAAACGATCTTAATGATGAAGAATTAAAATTAATTGCAGAAAGAACACATGGTTTCAGTGGATCGGATTTAGAAAATTTATGCAGAAAAGGTAATTAAAAGAGCGATTTTATAAGCCAATGATTTTTTTAGTTTCGTATCAGCGATAAAAATTTTCAGATCTGAAACCGAAAATTATATAATTGCCAAAATTGGAAATTAGGATACTACTCGATTTTTGTATAGTTGCTGCGAGAAAGTGAAGAGACATTGTCAGTTTTACCAACTTGAGGATTTTTTCTATGCATCAGCTACTATTGCCTATAGGAGACCGAAATCGAGCAGAAAATTTAATTTTAAAATTCACTGCATATTTTCAGTTTTATTATTTTTATTTTTAAGGTCTAAGTTTTTTAAATGTGCAAAAGACTGAAATACGAGAACATTTACATGAAAGGAAATCTATTATTGTTTGTAATTCGTACTATCAGAAGATGATTTTAGAGGTTCTGAATATTAGTAATTTTCGAAGACTTAGTGACAATCATTTCGACATTCAATTGGAAAATAATTTGGTGAATAAAATATCAAGACTAGGTATTGAATCAGTTGATAACTTCTTTATTATATGCATTGAGCATGCTTTGAAATCATCAGTGGCATAGCGTGCATAACTAGGTTAAATTTCAGAGTTAAAATATTGCTACCAGTTGGAATATTATTGACTTCAACTCTTGAATCATTTTTCTGGAATATTCAAACCTTGATGATAGTTAGAATGATCCAAACTATACTATGCATTAGTTTTCAGTAATCTAAAAATAATTATTAAAATTGGTGATGACGAGTCTTTTTGAAAATTTCAAATAAATCAGTAATAGTCTGTCTCATATTGACTATATATCAATCGTTCTTGTAAATAGTTGTAGTGTTTACGAAGAGAGTTCATCAAGTATCTTATGAGTTTGATTTCAAATTTATCTACTCATTTTTTTCTTCTTCCAATTAGCAAACAATTACGCCAGAAAAAATAAACAAACAAACATAAATTTAAATATCGAACACTTTGAACATGCTTTAACTGTTATTCGACCAAGCAGTATGCGTGAAGTTATACTTGAAGTACCGAAAGTGAAATGGTCAGATATAGGTGGTCAACATGAACTAAAACAACGTCTCGAAGAAATGGTTGTTTGGCCGTTAAAATATTCTCAAGCGCTTGACCGACTCAATGTTCAAGTGCCGAAAGGTATTTTAATGTATGGTCCACCTGGCTGTTCAAAAACGATGGTTGCAAAAGCTATTGCTACTGAGTCGGATCTTAATTTTATTGCTGTTAAAGTTTGTTCAATATCAGTTTTCTTGTTTTTCTTCCAATACAATGACAATTTGAATAGGGACCAGAATTATTTAGCAAATGGGTTGGTGAATCAGAACGAGCTGTACGAGAATTATTTCGTCGTGCACGTCTTGCTGCACCAGCAATAATATTTTTCGATGAAATAGATGCTATTGCTAATTCCCGATCAAATTCATCGAATTCGTTAGTTTTCTATTGATTATCAAAGAAAAATTTTAAATACTCTTCTTTTCTTTTACTAATAAAGGCAGTCCAATGTCAGTGATCGTGTTATTGCTACACTTCTTATTGAAATGGATGGTATTGAAAAATTAAAAGGTGTAACAATTATTGCAGCTACAAATCGACCCGATTGTATTGATCCAGTATGTAGAAATGATATAAAAAATATTTACGACAATAGCAAAAAAATAAAAATAAACTTAATATTTTGTGTTCAATTTCTATAGGCATTGATGCGACCTGGACGTTTTGATCGTCTAGTTTATGTTCCACTACCCGATGAACAAACACGCCTAGAAATCTTTGAAATTCGATTTCGTTCTTCACCTATTCATTCAAATATTCAAAAAGAACGTTTAGTTGAATTAACGAAAAATTATTCAGGTGCAGAAATAGCTGCTGTTTGTGACGAGGCCGCTTTGATTGCTTTACGTGATAATATCGATGCTCCTTATATTGAATGGCAACATTTTGAACGTGCATTAATGTCAGTTAAACCAAGAACCAGTGAGGAACATATAAGAAGACTTGATGCATTCACAAAACAACATGGCAAATGATAAATGATATCTAAGAATATTACCAGAAGAATTAATTATTTAAAGCAAACGATCATATACATCAAAACTAGTAATACATATAAAATAGCAATACTGATAAAAGCCGATCACCGATTGATTGCTGCTTTAATAATAGATATACTTCTTTGAAATAAAAAGATTCATAGAAGATGACAGTCATATATTCAAGATTCGAAATCATTTTAATTGTCATCATCAAAAGTTTTCATAAAAAACCAAAAGAAAGACTACTGATATTATTCTTTAGTAATAATTCTCGATACACCTTATGGCTAGAAATACATATCTGCTTACCACATAAATCTTTTCATAAATGTTTCCAGCTAAGAAATTAAAAAATCTGTGTACATTATAGAGCCTGTTTCAGTCAGTATTAATGATATTTTTTTGTGCCTTAATGAATTTACACGTTTATTTAAAACTCGATCGAATAACTGTCATAAATAGTAATATAGAAAAGTAAATGAAAAAAAATTGAATCGTTCATTTTATTTCATGATTGGCATCTGAAACGTTGATTTATGCAATGAAATGTCGTCGACGACCAAATTCGAGAAGACCATCAGCACCCTCAAGCCAATTTAGGCATCCAACTAGTTGATCTAGTTTACACGGCAATGTTCCGACTATGGGAGATACGAGACTAAGAAGCGCATTTTTGAATTGTTCTATAACAATGCAAATATTAACCCGAGAATACTGGCGAATAAAGTATTAACCTAATATCCGAGCTGAAAAAGAGTACTTAAGACACGAACGAGAGCTGTTTGAAGAACTTCTCCTGTAGTTGACCCGATAGCAAATACTATTTGACGAAGATCAGGAAGAAGCTCTTGAATAATATTTGCTATTTGTGTTATGTTAAAATTATCACGAACAATGATGCAATGAGGTCATTCCTGTGATACTATTTTAAATTGATCTGATTGTTTATTTCTTGCTTTCATAATAATAAAAAGTTTTTCCCGTAAGTAGAAAATAAAAATCATCCAAGCTATCATGAAGAATATTTCACAGCAGCAAAAACAAAATTACAATTAGAAAACTTCAATAATTACTAAAACTGTTAAACAATTAATGAAAATGAAATATACTACAACACACGAAAAAAACAAATGAGATCCGATAGTTCAGAAATTATGAAAAGAAAGCATAACACTTTAAAATGTAATAAACAAAGAATAACATTTATAGATGTAGATAAATAAAGGTGCTCATTATAAAAATATATTACAAAGACTTATAATTCTGAAACATCGATATGTTACAATAGCACCATCATATTGTACACTAATGCCATCTAGCGCGAAATTTTTCTACCCAACAAAATGTTACATGTGTCCTTGTTGTTGTCTATTGCACAATTCCATTGTTCTAATTTTCGGTGTTTTCAATCAAATCGTCGTGTGTGCTTTTCTATATTTTCATCCGTTTGTGTAAAACAATAACGTCGACGACATCCATCATTATGTCTGAACTAACGATGCAAGATGAAAACAGTGTTACTGCCGAACAGAATTCCATGGTACAACGTATTGCACTTGAAGTAAAACGACGGGAACCGAGCTCAGTAAATTGTGTTTCTTTTCAATGTATTAATAGTTTTTTAAACTAACCTTCTTACTCTATAGATTAATGAACTTGTATTAGATAATTGTGCACGTTGTTATTCTATTCAAGGTCTAACAGTTGAATTTTGTAATTTACGTGTACTTTCAATAATTAATGTTGGCCTACAATCTCTTGCAAAATTTCCAACATTACCTAAACTTCGAAAGGTATTCTTTATTATTTATATTTATTCCAAGTTAAATCATTTTTTATTTTATCCAGCTCTATCTTAGTGATAATCGTTTAAGTTCAGGTTTGGAAAATTTAGAAGGTTGTCCAAATTTAACTTTGCTAATACTTGCTGGCAATAAATTTAAATCTATTGATGAACTTAAACCATTAGTAAGAGGAATTTAAAAATTTTTATGATCTGAATTTTAATCTTGTCATACATTTTTTTTCTTAAAAAGACTAAATTACCTAAACTATCAATTCTTGATTTGATGAATTGTGAAGTGACATCAGCCGATGGCTATCGAGAAACAATGTTTAATATGTTACCACAATTAAAATATCTGGATAATGCCGATAGAAGTGGAGGTAAGATCACTGACATTCTAATTCAATTTTTCATCATTCAGTTTTTTGTATTTAGTCGAAAAGGATAGTGATGACGAAGATGATGATGAAGATGAACTTGAAGAAGACAATGAAAATGGTGGATCCGATGGAGGTAAATGAATTTAAATTTTCAATGAAAATAAATCATTTTGTTTTTTATTTTTTAGAGGACGATGAAGAAGAAGATGAAGAATATGAAGAGGTATGATAGGTTTTTATTCTTGATTAGGTTCCGTCTCATCGAAATTGTTTTTTCTAGTGTTTCTGTTTTATCAGAAAATAAAATTACATGAAAAGTAGAGTACATTATTCTGATAACATTTTGTTTTGAATCATTGATTGATGATACCTCTTGACAATTCTAAAGAACTTTTCTCAAAAATTGATTAGAAAAAAGTCTTAGCAACATATAAAGATACCCATATCCTACTTTCACTTTTGCGCTTGCCTTTATCCTACAGTTCACTAATATATATATATATATAATCTAATTTCAATTGATTGCATTAGAAAAAAATTATTCAAGATCGTAAGAAAATATTGGGATGGAGATAATGATATAACCAATTGTGAGACGGATAATGCGATCATACATTATTTGATATTGATCTTATACTATATTTAGTCGTATCCCGTGTTAGTTTCATAATTGTTTTGCAGAAGTTTTGTTTTCATCTCTGTTTACTTGAGCATATTATAAGTGACTATGTTAGAATCTTTTGCAAATTGCGATTCTAGCTTTTAATTGATTGAATCCTACAAGTATTCAAAACGTAGATTCCGAACGTACACAAAATCCTCATTCAAAATCAATATTTTGTGAATTTTTCTTTCTGTCAATGTCCAACGCAGTAGTTAATATACTATAGATTCCTTTACTTTTATATTGCAAATCAGATAGAACTATGTTTTGCTTTCAATCCTATTTGTTATTACAATACGTTTTTAAATTCAATATAAAATAGTTTACAAAAATATTTATCGCAATTGAGAAATAATTTTTATTTTATTTTAGGATGACAATAAAACTGGTTTAAAAGCATTATATAATGGAACATTTGAAGAAGGTGATGATGATGACGAAGAAAGTTATGAAGGCAATAGTGATGAAGAAGAAGAAGAATCTGGTTTGTATATTAACACCATATTAAAAATACCAATTATCTATTTTTACGTTTATTTTTAGATGAAGATGATGATTTATCTGAAGGTGATGTTTCAGCTGAATCGATTGAAAGTAAATGTTACTATGATTTGTGATTCTCGACTAACTGTTCTTTTTTTGTTCTCTATTATGTAGAGCCATCAAAAGGTGAAAAACGTAAACGTGGCACAGATGATAAACAAGAAAATGCTATTGAAACTAACAAGAATGATGATGATGATGATAGTCCACCACATAAAATTTAAATAAATTCATTGTACCTTAGAAAACTAACAAAATAGATTGCGTCTAATGTCTATATTGTACAGAAACATCAACTATATTTTTTGTTCCATATATATGTATAATAATGAGATAGTTGTTGATGTTCTGTCTAAATCTTCTAAAGATTTCTCTATCTAAAATTTCTATTTCATTAAATAAAGTACTGTTGAAAATAAAACTAGAAAAGAAAGCAAACTAATTATATTACATAATCATTTGTATTTTCTAGATGACTGATATAACTAAAACTTTTCGTGCTTATGTAAAAGCTCAACAAGTAACAACTGATTGTAGTCTTGGTTTAAATAAACGCGTAAAAAAAACTGAAAAGATTTCAACAAGCTTTTTATCTAAAGCAAAGTTAATTCTTAATGATATTATAAAATTGAAAAGAATTCTACTTGATTCTCGTACTACATATCTAAGCCCATTTTATCTTCTATCATCAATTAATAAAATCATGAATGATGAACAACGTCATGACTTTGAACAAACTATTGAAGAACAAATAAAACAAAGCCGAGTTGATTTAGAAAAATTAAAATTATCTATTGGACAAATTTGTTTTCAGGGACAACGCCGCTCCCATTTTGAATTAGTCTGTGCTTATTTAGAACGTGATCTGGTTGAATGTACAAAAATCTATAGTGAGCAAAAATGTTTGCGATATAAATGTGAATCTGAAAGAAAAAAAATTGGACGTCTTGATAATGATGATCAGCGTATTCTATTCAATTTAAATAAAAATAATAATCGGAAAAAATCTAATGATCCTATAGATGGGACAAAATTAACAACAACTACTACAAATGAGAAAAAGTAGAATCTTTTTGAAAAATGAAATTTTTTTCATATTCATTTTTAGTTCCACTAATATAACTACGACTAACCAATATTTTGATCAAGGTAATCAAATTGAAAATAATGAAGAAAATCAAACTCTAGTAAATGGAAGTGAACTTCGTCAATTACAATTAGAAAATAATCAATTATATCATGATGTTGCTCAACGTAGTGAAGAAATTCGTGCAATATCAACACAAGTTGTAGAAATAGCACAATTACAAAATGAAATATTCGGCCACCTATGTAGTCAAAAAGATCTTATTCAAGAAGTCAATTCAGCAGCTGTTGTTACTAATGATGATTTAGCTGCTGCTATTATACATATTCGTGATGCAATTCGAAATATGGCACAAATGCGTCGTTGGGTGATCTTTTTCTTACTTGTGATGATTTTTTCACTTCTCTTTCTTGATTGGTATAATGTATAGAAAAACAAGTGCCATGATTATGCTAGTCAAACAATATTTCTTAAACTGAAACGACAAACAACAGAGCAGTTTGCTTCTTTTCTCTCTTTGCAATAAATATTCTTCGAAATAAACATTTTATTCTAATGGGAACGGGTTTTTTTGCTTTTATAGATGTCTGATACTAGTACAAGTGATAGTGATGTTGAAGATGACAACGATGATTTATTACCAATAGCATCTCATGTGAATATTATTCATGGTCTTAAAACTGTATCATGTTTAACATTAGATTCCAATGGTATGCGCATGATCACAGGTGGTCATGATGAAACAATGAAAATGTTCGATTTTACATCAATGGATAAAAATTTCCAACCGTTTCGAGCTATTCAACCATGTCCCGGTCGATTATTACGAGTTATTGAATATAAACCCAACAATGATATGATACTTATTATTCCGGGAGATTGCCAGGCAATTGTTGTTAATCGAGAAGGTAAACACGGATAACAGATTTTCTATGTTAATTTCAGTGTATGATTCATCAAAAATGGATGAATGAATATGTTTCACATTTCAAAATTAATTTAACTTTTATGTCATGTTAAAATAAAAATCAATAATAAATTATATTTAATTATGAGGAGATACTTTTTCTTATTTATAAACAAAATATATATGAGATGTTCCCGCGAGCAAAAGTTTCCTACAATAAAAATATTGGAGCCGTTTTCTAAGTAAAATAATATTGACTTTGTGCATACGCACGATGTAATTCTCAACTGTATTTTACAAAATGAACTATTATTTATTTTGAGTCACATACGAGAGTAAACAGTTAAGGTCTAACAAAAGTGAATCCTATTAAATGAATTATTTACAAATTTAATAGCTTAAACTTTTCATACAATTTAGCACATAGACTCATGATAACCATGAAATAATAATTCGTTAACATACTAAAAAATATAAATAACACCGACTCATATATCTTCTTAGTATGAGAAATCTAAAAAACTAGGTGACAATCAATTTATGAATACACAATATACTATCATAAATATAAATCCAAATTTTTCACATGACAACTTCATTCTCGGGTAGTACTCTTTTGTGATTGAATTATATGTCTGCAAATAAAATGTTTCTAGCAGATAAACTAATTAGAAGGTGAGCTTCAGACAAAAAATGCAATTAACACAACATAGTCAATAATGACCTGTCTTATATGAAATCTGTAACTCTGCTTTTGCCTGACAAAAAACTAATACTATATTGGCTTAATAAAATATGAAAAAGTTTCGTTGGAATATTTTTCGAATTATTTATGAATTGTAATTACTTAAAGGTCCCGACTTATCGAATTATTTGTTTTTGTTTAGCATCTGGAAAACATATTATATATAAAACTGTACTTGGTGATCTGTATGTAACTGATATGAATCGTACAAAAGGTCACAAGTCATTGTTAAATTATGGTTGCTGGAATCCATCATCGAATACTGACGAATTTATGACTTGTGCAGATGATTGTACTTTACGTATGTGGTCGTTAAGAAAGCGTGATCAACAATTGCATGTTATTCGAACAAAAGATGAATGTGGTCGTGACGTTCGAACGACAACTTGTACATATAGTCAATCATTATATGATGATGAAAATTCAAATTTAATTGCTGCTGGTTGTGACAATGGTAGTATACTTGTATGGGATCGTCGTAGATCATTTGTTCATGTTACATTTAAATGTTTAAATGCACATTTACAGAATCAATCAGTAACATCATTGAAATGGTCATATGATAATCAAATATTAGCATCAAGATCAACTGATCATACGCTTAAAATATGGGACATAAGAAAGTTTGATCAATGTTTATCATCGTGTGAAAATATTTATAATCATTTTTCAATGACAAATATATCATTTTCACCAAATGATAAATTTATAATTACCGGTGTGTCAAAATGTACGAATTCAAATGATGATGAAACCAATGGAAAACTAATGATTTTTAATCGAAATAATTTATCGAAACCATTGAATGAAATTTTATTCAATGATAGTGTTATTCGAACACTATGGCACCCGAAATTGAATCAAATATTTACAACAACAAATAATGGACTTGTTCGTATTTTTTATGATGAACAACGATCACCCATGGCTGGTGTTCGTTTATGTCTTAGTCGTAAAGAAAAAAAGTCGAAAAATCAAAATGATTTTGTTGCCAACATTGATCCAGTCATAGCGTCCAGTTTTACTTCCAATTCTATTGATGAACAAAGAAATATCTTTCCAGAAAATAGAAAGGATGAAAAAAAATCTTCTTCATTACATCAACATCTTGTTCAAACAATAGTAAAGCCTAATATTGTAGGAGAAGAAGATCCTCGAGTTGAATTATTGAAACATGCTAAAGAAGCTGAGAGTAATTCAAAATGGGTTACACCAGCTTACGTATATACACAACCTAAACCTATATTTCAACAACAAATTGAGGAGGAAAACGATGGCGAAGATCTATTGCCACTGTTAAAAAAACATAGAAATAAATAATATTAATATGTAAATATAATTATTGTTTTAGATTGAAATAAATTTCTTGGATTTGAGTTTGTAAGAATGCATCTTTCAGTAACGAAATTAGGCGATGATGGAGATTTGTTAACAATTGAAATCGCATCTGATCTTACAATAAAAGATTTAAAAGGTGTAATTGAATCGGAGTCGGATTTTGGAATGAAAGCCGAGGAAATGAATTTATACTACGATGGTAAATCTAAGAAAATCTAAAATTAATTCTTTATGTCGCTCGTTTTGTTCTTTTTCTTTATTCCAGGTAAATTACTTACTAATGAAAATCGAACACTCGACCAAGCGAATTTAAAAGATTATGATTTAATTACATGTCGACGCATACTATGTACGTCATCGTTGAGAAATTCTAATTGAATTGAGTTTTAATTTTCCGTATTTTCTTTTGAAATTACAATTAGTCAATATTACTGAGTAGTTTCGATGAAGTAGCAAAAACAACATATAACTTCAATTACGATCTTTTGTTGTTTTCAAACATACACCATACTAAAACGGAGAGATATGTCTGATAAAATGAGAAAGATCATTTTCGATAGAACAAATTCATCTTTGTCTTATTTTATCAATCAAGGTGCAAAGTGCAACTGTTGAATATCCAATTTTACTAAAATATAACAAAAATAGCCTCAAGTCACTCTTCCTATAATGCAAAATAGGTGAAAGAAGACTAGAAATTCAGATGAAGCTATATTATTGCAATTGAATTGTTTTGAATTAGGATAAAACTATTTCTCGAAAATAACAAATCGCTATAGATCTTTCATATTTGAATTTCTCTACGCGAGAAAAATTCAAATATGAAAAAAACAAAATTTAAAAATTATTGAATGCCAGTATTTTCAGTTCTAGAAAGCTTATTTCAAAAAAATAGCTGAATGTTATAAAGCTTAAATAAACCGAAGGAAATAGGATATGGTTGATCGCAAAATTAAAACTCAAAATCTTGTGAAAATTGATTAGAAGCAATGATTTTTTCAGCCGAAGCAATTGAAACTTGGATTTTTTTGTTAAAAAAAAATCATTATTTACGTATAAAAGAATGTGCTTCAACAACAAAACAATCTCAGTAAAACAAGGATGCTAAGATATTCACAAATTTAAAGCTGCACGTTCACTGTCCTTTGGTATCAAGGGCAACTTGCTTGATTGAATTATTTTTCTTTTTCTGTAAATTTCAAATCGAATTGCTCCATGTGATTATATAGAAAACTATCAACTAATGTACTGTCTGATGTTGACTGTGTCCTATCGATGAAATTCGAATTTCAGCGATAGTGCTATTGATTACCTTTTTGAAAATTTGATAATCATAGAAAAAAATAATCATTGAATGTCTCATTATTTATTTTAGCAAATGTACCTTCAAGCGCAGAAGGAGGTACTGGAATGCGTCTATCATTGAATCGTATGAATTTTTCTTTCGAATATTTGTCTTTAAAATTAATTTGATTATCTATATTGAAGCGCATAATCCTCAACAACTTTTCAATGAACTACGTTCTAATCCAGCAGTACTTGAACAAATTCGTCGAAGCAATCCACAATTAGTCAATGCCGTCGAACAAAATGACATGAGTATAAATAGGACCTCTCTGTTTACAAGAAAAATGATCACGATTATCTTTTGTTTTGAGATGCATTCATGCAATATATAGTAAGTCGTTTAGCACCTCAACAAATGCATCGTCCAACTGAACTTGATTTACTTGATCCAACGATACAACGACGTATAGAAGAAGCTATTAAGTAAAACAAAACACTATGAATAAACTACTTTCATTTTCAATTTGATCACTGTTTCGTTCAGTATGGGGAACGTTCTTGACAATATGGAACACGCTTATGAACATGCACCAGAATTCTTCGGTCATGTACTCATGCTCTATATTGTAAGATTGAGAAGCAAATGTTTTATTCTATTGAAAAAGAAAATCTATAAAAATTAAAATAGAATTGTAAAATCAATGGTCATCCTGTAAAAGCATTTGTTGATTCTGGTGCTCAAATGACAATTATGAGTAAAATATGTGCTGAACGTTGTGGGATTATGCGTCTTATTGATATACGTTTTAATGGTATTGCGAAAGGTGTTGGCACACAAAAAATTCTTGGACTTATTCATTTAGGTTTGTTTCTTTTAGTGGTTAGTTAGTGGTAGCTATGTAACAATAGTGCCATTCATTTATTTTAGCACAACTTGAAGTTGAAAAGCAGTTTTTTGCAACTTCATTAGCTGTTCTTGAAGATCAATCAATTGATATGCTGATAGGGCTGGATATGTTAAGACGTCACCGTGTAATAGATTGAAAAATATGATTTTATTTCTTCGGTTTTAGACCCATTTATTTTTAGTGTGTGATTGATTTAGATAAAAATGTTCTGCGAATTGAAAATAGTGTTGAAACAAGTTTTCTATCAGAATCAGAGTTGCCATCATATGCAAGATTATCAGACAATTCGCCTAGTACAGAAGGCACTACTGACAGAGCTGAATCTTTGTTAAAACCAACTGCAGAATCAAGTAAATATAAGAAAATCAATTTTGTATTAATCTAATCTATGTTTTTCTACAAATTTTGAAGGTCGAAGAACTATTATCAATAGTAATTTTTTGTGTGTTTTTTATAAATCTTACAGAACAATTAACTAACACAAAACACAAAACAAATCATGTATCGTATGTGTATGATCCTCTCATTGAAATTATATTAATATTTTACATCAATAGATAAAGAATTAATATCTTAGAAATATTTATCAAAAAACAAATTAATAATCTATTTTTCTTGATTTATTTTATAGCCGACAATCGTCGTCAACATCAACAGCAACAACAACAACAGCAATCAGCTCAGTCAGTAACAACAGCTGCATCATCGTTAACACCATCTCCGTTTCCCGAGAAAGATATAAAAGAAATAGTAAAGAAAGGCTTTACAAGAGAACAAGCCATAGAAGAATTAAAGTCAACGGATGGAGATGTAACTAAAGCACTTGTTACACTTATAACAAAATCTTTGACTATATATAAACGAAAAGATTAATTTTAATTGACTATATGCATATGAACAAATAAATGAATCAAGAAGAATTATTTTATTTCTCCTTTTTTTTCTTATTCTTGCTTTAGTTTTTAATTATATTTCCCTCTGTTGTTTTTAGTTTTCATTGATAGAAACGATTTAATTTTCTCAAATTAAGAATGAATAAATGAATGAATGAATGAATGAATGAATGAATATTAATCGAATGGGTTGTCAAGAAATAAAAATTCAACTCAAATATGATTCTACTCTCAATAGGGAATCGTTTAAAATGTCATCATTTTGCTATTCATAAATATGATAATGTATTACGAAAAAAGAAATAAAAATTTGCCAAAATGAATCGTATATATTCTTGATGTAAACTCTAAAAGTAAAAGTCAACTAATGAAGCAAACGACATTATGACATTCGTAAACTACTAATCGTACGTGTATAGGTTTATTCTGATTAAATTAGAGCCGATAAGGAAAATAAATATTAACTATCTATTGCTTTGCTACTATCTTCTGCTTCTATTTTTTTTTTGCTTTTTCTATTATTTGACTACTGTTACTTGGAGCGACTAATTTAATTACTTTGCGAATCCTACCCACAACTGAAGACAGATCGTCATCGTCTGATGAAACACGAAGCCAAGATAAGAATAACTTTTATTTTATATTTAAACATGGATAATATATTGGTTTCCTTCTATTTGTTACATAATATTGAACTTATTATATTGGTATAGTTTGAAAATATAAAATTAAAGATGAATGTAACGAAAATTTTCACTAATTGATTATTTATTTTTCATTATATTGAGGCAGAATATAAAATAGAAATAAAACGTAATAAAACAATTTAACAATAGCACCGACTACCAATACGATATATTGATGTGTATGTATGTCTTGAAGGTCATAAACAGATGGGAAAGCAAGATACATTAAGATACAGTTAACATGAATGAAATTTGCCAACCAACAATTTTGTCTAATGAAAAAAGAACAGCAAGTTGAAATTAAACATAAGTTTAACGATGTGACAATGAAACTGATGGTCTTTGTTGTCTTTCCCAGACATCTGTTACACATTCACAGGTTGTATAAGAGGTAGGCGTAGTTGCACATGCATCTTCGCTAGTTAATGTGGATTTACGTGTGTTATTATTAGAAGTAGTTGTATTGGGAATAATTGTTGCAGAAAAGAGCGACTTTGGTGACGATGAAGCCGAAGTGGACGATGAAAACAATGCGCTTTTGTCAGGATTAATGTTAGAAGATTTCGAATTTAAATTAATACTTGGCGATATCGGTAGTGGTGGTAATGGTATAGAAGGTAATGAGCAAGTTGGTGGTAGTTCCTCGTATGTAAATGGTGGTATCTTACGTTGTGATGATATATGTTGTATCGATGAATTTACAGTAAAATTCAAATGTTCTTCATTATGATTAGATGTTAGCTGAGATGATAATGCAGAATCACCACTTATTAGTGAATTTTGATAACAACAATAGTTTGATTTATTAGTTCCTTGCAATAAGTCATAGTTTTGTATTAAACGTAATTCACATTCATCATTATATAACAATTGTCGCGGTTGAAAACGAAAATATCGGCAAGCACCAAATACGAGACCACTACATGCAATAAAACTAATACACATCGTAGTAAAACACAAAATATGTTTTAGACATTTTACATTGAATTGTTTTCGATCAATTGATACTAGTGAACAATCATTGGTAAAACGGTATACAATAATACCCATAACACCTGCAAATACAAATAACAATAATGAATAAAATGCAAAACGACATGATGATTGTTGTTTTTTAAATAGTTTTTCATTTTTTGATCTTAAACGTTCATTTAATGTCCAATAATTATATGAATGATGTTGATATTGTCTTTTTATTTTTGATGAATGTAAAAGTGTTGTCGTTGGTTTTTGTGATGATATTTCATTGATAACGATTGAATCCACCGGTATTGGTGGATTTGAAAGTGATGATGATCGCATGAACAATATGTAACAATACAATTGAGCAATTTACAATTACCAATTATTATTTATAACATGTGGTTTATGTCTTTAAGGCTTGAAAGAAAAAAGAGACGGAAATAGCAGACGAGAGAGTACGTGATTTTGTTTTATTGATATGAAGAGCAACACGTTGTCAATACAAATCAATCGAAGATGTGAGAGTCTAGATCCAATAAGCAGAAGCATGCGTTAGAGACTCTCAAGAAAAGAGAATATAAGAATGATGATGATGATGATGATGGAAAGTGTAGTACACATAAGAGATAGGGAAAGAAACCGAAAGAGACACATAGAATAGAGACAAATAAAGTAATAGCATATTAGCCAAAGAAGGAAGAAAATATAAGCATTGTAAGGATGAAATTGACATAAATCGATGTGATCAATAAAATATTTCTATGACTACTAATAATAATTAAATGACATTTATGGAAATTTCCGATGATAGAAATTTAATATCCTAGACTTTTATTTCTAATCATACAAGATGCGATGACTTTCAATTTTCTTGTGTATATATATATATATATATATGGTTATATTTATACATCTGGAATGTAATGGAAAAAAAATATCTTCAGTTTTCTATCTATACCGAAAATAACTGGATGATCGATATGGTAAAAGATGTACGCCATAGTCCTATTAGTTGGTATGATATTTGATAAAGTATCACATAGTTAATTATTGCTTTTATCATTCTTGTCACTTGAATGTAATGAATCAATGAGAAGCATACGGATCATAAATAAGTACCTTTAAATAATTGCCTTCGTTTATTTCTATTATATATATATATATATATATATATATGCATACAAACATTTTCTACTTCCAAAACACATTTTTTGTTTTGTTTTTCATATCGTCAAAGAAAATATTTATTTCAAAGTGCTACTTATATATACGTATATCTGTTATCTCAATAATAAACACGTGGGAAGGTAGCGATAGAATACAGGTCATTACTATTAATCATTTTATGTAGAATACGAGGAAAAACTCGTGGGAATTATGATAATCGTTTTCTTTTTCTTTTTCTTTTTCTTCAAGTCTAATATTTTCTCATTGATCTTTCAACAAGAATCTTGTCTAAGAAGATGTATAGAGATTTTGTCGATCAATGGCGTTTGACTTATATATTTTTTTATTTCCTTTTAACCTAATACTAATGAAACTTTTCGTTTTTCTAATTTTTGTTTATTTCGTCATGTTTGAACATGACTATTTACATGTTCGTATTCTTGCTATTTATTGCAATAATATAACTTCTGTGAATACTTCAACAAGACTAACCATAAATCGAATTTCGCATTTGAATTCATTGATTATACTAAACTTTTGTGTATTGAGTTCTTGTTTATGTTCTAAATTGTACAACTGTCCATCAATACCAATATTATCAAGTGTTAAACAAAAGATAGATGAACGCTTTTTTCATTTTGCTATAGAACAATCATCAAAAAGAAGAAATCGACAACAAGATACATCAAAAAATAGACGATAATAGTAGTACCGTTCGAAGTGCTACTACACAAAAAACAAGTCCAACTTCGTCAAAAAGCAATAGTTCAAATATATCAAATTTATCTTTTTAATTTATAATTGTAAATATGAGAAAAATTTAATTTTTAACTAATGTGAAAAATTTGACCTTCGAAATGTTAGAACTGAACAAACAAAACGATAAATACGTAACGATGAAAAGCTTGAAAGATTTCCAATTGAAAGTAGTTAGATAAAGTAATGCATTTTCTTTTTGTTATTTTAATCTAAACTAAAATTGATCATTAGTCCATATATAATTCTTAGCAAAAACAATATTGATTTTAAAGACTGACATTTTATTTAGTGTCATTATTAGTATGTATCGACTTGTAAATATATATTACTATTGCTAGAATGAAATGTATTTTATATCAATATCAATATAAAGTCTAAGTATTTTCTTCTAAATTTGTCGTTTGAAAATTTAATTTCTATAATTTATAACAAAGAACTACGGTCATTATCTATGCAAACATGAAACAAAAAGAAGATTTGTATCCAATTAAATAGCACTTCAATTAGATTATTTATTATGTTATATTATAGTAAATATTTTTACATTCATCTAACGCTTTTGCCTGGCTTCTGCATTTATGGGAGGAATGAATCCAATTATCTATCATAACTAATTTACCGTTTATTGATTTATTCCTTTTCTCTCTGATAGAATCGTTTTTAATTACTCGAATTTTTTTCATTTTTTTTCAAACCATTGAACATTTCCATAATATTTAAAACAAAGTAAAAATAGGCTATCATCTCATAGTAAACTATGCAGTGCAAAGTAGTAATGCTTTCATTATTTTCTCTTGACTATTTACAAGACAACCATCATTTATTGTTTTCCATTAGAGTAGAGTACTTAAGTACTCAGACTATTTCTTTCTTATATACAATCTTTAATTTGGTTTTAGAGATCTATTCGCGAGTTTTGCACATGGAAAATGTTTTGTATATATATATATATATATACAAAACATTTTTCTATAGTGATCAGCATAACTTTTCTGTGTACATATATATATATATATATATATGTATGCGTTGCATGCACAAAAAAAAAGGTTACACGAGCAATTATCAAGAGGCACTGTTATATGTTGTATGTGTCTGCTACTGCCCTATCTTTTTAGCACAAGAAAACAACAACAACAAGAAAAATAAACTATGTACAATGATATGCAGAATGGAAAAAAAGAATAAAAAGAAAAAGAATTGAACTAAGCTATCGTATCGAAACGATAATATTATTTTGATCATTCATCGAAGATGATGGTGTATGATAATAATGAGGTGTTGGATGATGAGAATGCTGGTGTTGATTATGAGTAGTTTTTGTATGATTAGGTAATAATGATAATGTTGTTGTTCGAATAACATTATTTTCTTCACTTGATCGTGAATATTTAATAATAAGAAGACTTATTAAAAATGCTACTGAACCTGTTACGACAAATGTTATACCTAATACTTTCATCGTTTGTCGATTACATTTAAATGATGTTGATACTATTGATATATTATCATTTGTACTACTTTCACTAGTTGATGTTGTCAATGTATTACAACCATTAAAATGCATGATATAAATGAGTTGAGTTGCACCAATAATAATGAATAAAACAGAAAGTATAAGCATAACCATACCACATGGGAAAGTACATTGAAAGAAACGATAACAATAACCACGAACAATTTCGACTCGACGTCGTTTTATTGTATACTGGCCAAATGCTCCTACCATTGAATGCATCGTTAATTTTAGTATTGTGTGATGCAGTGTCGTGTAAGTGAATAAGTAACGTATTAGATAAAAGTCGATAAGAGAGAAAATTAATGTTGATGCCGATTATTCTTGAAGTAACCAACAGCTAGATAAATCCATGTGCTTTATCTAAAAAGAATTAAAGATAGATTCAAGTGGATCTTATTCAAATATCTTAATGGAAACTTTGATTTAGTATATAAAAAAAAAAGATAAAAACAAACACGATTAATATTTTCTTCAAACTTATCGAAAAACAAAAAAACATGAAACTTTTCTAATACTCAATTACACGAGTATGTATATGTGTATGTGCGTGTGTATATGTCTGCAAGAATAAAATCATAAATCATCGGTATCTGTCTTCTTCTCGTCTACTTTATGCAAATATATAAACAGCAATATAATATTCTCCATCTATGAAGATATATCATCATTGTCATTAACTAAACAGTGGAGTCATTTGAGATGGAGAGACGAGTAATTAGAGTAAATATATTGAAAGCTCGATTATATCTTTGTATTGTATTGATATGTGTATGTGTGTGCATACTATTTCGGACAACAGTCAGAAGTTCTCGCAATCGCTGAAAAACAAGGCTAGCAATACCAACACAGAAAAAGTGCAGCAACAGTAGATAAGTGCTTACTATAATTGTGTTGGCTTTGATTAGCTTCTGTTCGACGTGGCGACGAAAGAGACAAGAAGACGACAAGAGAGAAAAAACAACGCGCCACGATGACGATCGGAAACATTTGTATCATCCGGTAGGACGATGGAAAGCACAGAGGTACTACTATGAAAAGGAATAGAGCGAAATAAACAGATCAATCCGAATCGACAAGAAAAAAATAGACGACGAAGAAATCATCAATAAAGAAAAGCCATTTCTAGTCTGTTTTGATGGACAGGAGGACTTCGGTCATCAAAAGGAAAGAAAAGAACATCGAAGTCATGTTTATGATCTCAATGATCGACAGATATGCCGAATCTTGATCTATTTATGCGTCTGTCCCTCCAAATAATATTACCATTCACCTAATTATTTTTTACAATATGTCAAAGCGAAGATCATTCTTCTTTTCTACTTCTCTTCTCTTCTATTTTCTTCTATATTTGATTAACATCTTTGGAACCAAAGAATAGCTATGCTCAACATGTAGTAAAATACGATGAACAACTAATTATAATTTGGTACGATGATGTGACAAGAAACTAGCTGACAGTATAGAATAATCACACATTCGTCATCTCCGTCGATGATGATGTAGTACTTTCTCGCCCTTCCATAGGATTCTTTTTTTTTGAAAAAATAGAAGAAAATGAGCACAGCGACTATGCCGATGACGAAAAATATCGACTGCGAGACGACGGAGCAGCAGAAAATCCAACCACGTCTCTCGCTTTGTTATAAACAGACAAACAAAATAGACAGAAAAGAGTGAGAAAAACTTCATCTCAAAATATGAAGAGGCATTTACGCACGCTTCCATGCTATGAACGATGAAGAGTAGGGAATAGAGGAAAGACGTCGAGTATTACTACCCATTAATTTGATACGAGCAACATTCTGATTGAACACTAGAGTTACCATCATTCAATTGCGCTATGTTTTTCTTTCTTCATTATCTGCTCAATCAACCGTAATACATTTAATCATATACTCATCTGTTTGTTCTCACTCTTAAGCGCATGCTTCATTGCTTTCTCCTGAAAAAACTTAGATAAAAACATGGAATTACGATAATTTCTCTTGACATTACCTGTCGTGTCAAAAAAAAAAACATATGGACGTTATAGAGATAAAGATTAGTTGGCATCGTCCAAATGTTAACAAAATAGAGACAGCCGTTAGCATGTCGCCTGTTGTTATTGTCAATGTATTATTTATATATATATATCCTGGTTGTTTATTTACTCTTTTTTTTCTTACGTAGTAAGCTAGTTTTACCGAAATACTGCACCTACTCATTATGGCAAACAAGCGCACATCAAATGATAAATGAATGCAACCAATAAGACGTAAATAAATTAGACAAAAGCAAGCCGAATCAGAACTCACGATATCATCTAGAGATGTATATATTTATACAGTTATTAAGTTATTAGCATATATGTTTTATCGATTAGAAAATAAAATATTTTCTTCTCGACAGAAACAAATTATAAACAATGAATTTTCTATGTTGGATACGTTCTATCAATATTATTCAAATAATAGAAAGTTAGTTTACCTAAGTCTTAAAAAAGTGAACTTTTTAAAATCGGTAACAACACATAATTCATCGGAAAAAAATAACAATCATTTCCGACTAAATGACGTCAGAAAAGCAAGCAAATCGGTATTTCTTGATCATCATAGCGACTCTATGATAGCAAACGTTTAGGCATTATTCGCATTTCTTTGTCAAACAAAATTCTACATGTTTACGTAAAAATATCTTTAATTCAGAGACATTATTTTTTAATAGGAAAAAATATACCATTCTATTTGTTTTTTTTTCATAAATGCTAACTTCAGTGTTCACTTTTCAAAATACAAAACATATAAAGTACGTTTAAAATTAATTCAGTCCTAGACAAGATTCCTTCTTTTTTTAAGCAGTTACGTTTTCTTGATTCCTATTTGATATCCGGTCGTCAATTTACTATGATACTCAGGGCTTTTCTTAACATAGGATAAAAGGCGCTCATTCAAAAAGTATTGTGAGCTTATAATTTCAATAGAAATTAAAATAAATGCGATTAAGAAGAAAAAGTAACGCATAAACTTGTATATTCACATAAAAAAGTATTTTCAATAAACGTTAATGAATAATGTCGATGATAGCTCAGACTATTTAAAACATAATATAGTTTTCTGAATCACATTTTACAGTTTTAGTATAGAAAACTTGGAGCGGTTCATGAATCAACAATGACTTTATCGCGTAAAAGATAAGATAGAAAAAACTGATGTAGAAATAATAATCAGCATATGCGATGACGACACTGATAATGTTTATTATATTTGCAATATTTTTCTTTCTAGATTAAAGGGCTCAATATACATTTTACAGACAATTACATACACAAACGTTCTATACAGAAGTTCTAAAATAATAGAGCATCTCTAGATAATAAAAAACGAATCTTAGTGGTTTTAGTCTACAAACTAATAATATCAATATCCTAATGATATTCACGTATGCAACCAATGACGCGCTAAAAGACGACCTTATCTTATTATTTCGGCTATTACTATCATAAAGACGCGATACTCAAGAGAATTGTAAAATTTCGATTGCATAATTTGACAATGTCCTTGCTAAAAGGATATTTAAGTTTTTAATACTGTTCTTTGTCTAGAAATTTTCAAACAACTAAGTATACTTGATCAGAATTGCATATTAACTAAAGACAACTAATGTAAAGTCTTCAAAAAATAATGTTAAAAATAAAACTAAACAAAATTTTAAATGTAATTTCTATTATCATACTACTAAATCATAATATTTGATTTGCTCTGCAACGGGAATAAATAACATTAGAACGTAACAGTTAATTAAATAACATCTAGTCACAGTAGAAAAATTTGATTCACTATATTGTTCGAACATAATCGATTACATACTACTATTAAATTTGCGTACTACTCGATGCATACGAAGAATTATGTTTAAAAGAAAATTCTCACTTTTCAACAAAAGATATTTTTATAAGAAATACATCTTTAACTGTTATCAATAGGTAGACATTGTCATTTATAAATATATTTGGCACATCATAGCAATACCAGCTCTCTTCACATCATCTGAGCGACGACACTCTTCATATTAATATATTCAAGATTATAGGATTGATATCTATGAATTCAATGGTATATGATCGAATTGCTAAAATAAAAGTTGCTTGTTGCAATGTTTCTTATTATCGATTTAGAATTCAATTGATATTTTCAAATAACATGAGTCAGTAGTTCGATGCACAAACGTTATTGTTCATTTTTCTTGAATGATTATACATTTGGATCATGAATTATGTAATCTTTTGATGGATTGCATACAAAGGAAACAGTGTTACTAAAGAAAATATCCGAAAAATACATTTATATTTTCAAATGTTGATGCAGAAAAATTAGAATGAAGTTCAGGATAAAAAAAGAAACACAAGCAAAGTCTTGATTTAAATTAAAAACAAAGCATCAATATAGTCAATAAGCTAGAATTCAGATGAATTAAAACCATCTCTCTAGAAAAAATATACTCCAAGGATGTAACAAGGATTTTTTTCACTTTTTTCAAGATTTTTCTTTAAATAAAAAGAGAAATATCAATAAGGTGGAAATATAATTTAGTATATGCAACTATATTTGTATAGATGCATAGTAATAGGATATTCGCATCGCTAATTCTTTACAACAATCGTTCCCGTTACGTTAATTACACAGGATGCTCTACAATTTTAGCATATCTAATATATATTAAAGTTGATTGTCTCGTCGTTCATATTTACTTGTCTAACTGACGAGTGAAATTCTATTCAACTTTTCAAAAATCATTTTCAAAATAATCTATTAGACCCCAAACAGACCAAAAAGATAAAACAGAATTAACCACTAAATCGTCTAAAAAAGATGACTTAAGTGTGAATTAACCAATCACGTTGCTTAATTCTGTTTTATGTTTTTGGTCTGTTTGGGGCCTTATTATTCTTTCACCGAAATTAGAAAAGAAATCTGTTTTACAATCTTAGCACACATCAGTGATAGAAATATTTTCATTCGTGATTATTCGAATGCCTTTATGCTCAGTAGTTGTTTATTTCTACAAACCCAAATGATTAGTCATGTCGAGTATGCTTTTCTTTGTCATATTTATAGTGATTGCTAAAATTATTTACCATATTCATATGAAATTTGTTATTTTCTGAACTGATAAATTTGTAATACTTTCCATTATGTATGTTCCTAATGATTAACAGACCACATCGCAGACATTACAGGCTATGAAAGACAATGAAATAGATAAAATAATGTTTACTATTATAGAAATCCATACATTAACGAGTGGATTTCAAAGAAAAGTTTTGTTCATTTCTGTATCAACAATTATCAATATATAGCAGGAAAAAAGCAATTGTCTTGATGATTTGGCCTATAGTATTATCACGTATTTGGTATGATCATGTGGCTGGAAATGATTGCATTATTAAACAATTGTTCATAAAAATAATTCACTTAGCTTCATACCATTTCGATAGCTGGAGAAGGACTTGTACTCGTTTGATGACAAACTTCCGTACAATTTTCTATACATACAAACGACACTACGAGTTTCTTGGTCCCGAGTAAACATGGAGAATGTTTTTCGGCGCACCATAAAAAAAAGCTATTAATTTCATTACTATACTTCACTAATTGGAGACCAGTTTATAGATTTGTTCTATAAATGATCTTACGTATTTTATGTATCATTTCTTTTTAGAATAATCTAATATTTTCTCAGGTTATTAACTAATTGGATAATTCTTTTCAACAGTGATTTGCTCTTTTGCTTCCTATCTGTATGTCTTTACGTAGTAAATTGATTTAGACTTTCTCATCAAATTGAACAACAATTGTTCGTCATTATTTATTAGGACATTTTAAAGTCATGTGTTATTCTTTATACCAATAACTCTATCGTTTCTATTAAATAATAAAAAATATATTCTGTTCAAAATTTAAACTTAGTATTTTTTATGCTTATCTTGTTCTTCTACTACTACGATAAAACTTAATAAGATCACAATGAATTCAACCTGGAAATACTGTTCAAAGCATAAAATTGTTTATGTTATTTTTTAAATTTTATTTCGAGCGTATTAGTTTGTTATTATTACCAATAATAAAAGTCCAACCTGATCACCCAAAGAAATATACAAAAATTATTATTTTCCTTTTCAAAAGCGCATCATTTATTGAGCAAATATTCTTTCCTCATCTAATTCATAATTCATATTTATTGTTCCACTTCAATGTTTGCTAAAATCATCGACATCTAAGTAACTATACTCATTTAAAATGCAAATTACTTTTCTGCTCTTTCATAGGAATACATTAATAATAGAACTCTACTCATTTGTTTATTCAAGTAGATCGACGATGATATTACGTTTTTTCCCTTCTATATTACATTGTCTTGGAAAATTTGCTATTTTTCTATGAAAATAATTCCTATACTGTTCTCTTTACTTTAATACATCTGTATCTTTTTGAAGTGCTATTTTTTACTTAATAATAATCGATAATAAATTGGTGCAGAGAAGATGTCTACAATGTTAATATTGAATGAGAAAGAAAAATAAATCATTGCTTTTGTTAGCATCATTAACTATAATTTGTTACATGTCTCTAGGCATGCAAACTGACTTAGTACTATCTAAATCGGAATCGCATTCCAGAAGCGATAAAAAAAAATAAGTGTGTTAGTATTATTGACTCTCATCTTATGAATTCACCCATGAAATAAAAAGAAAAAAAAATAAAGAAATGGATCTGTCAATATAGAACTTCCATACATCACATCAAATCGATCATTGGAAAGAAATTGAGAAAAAAAAGAAAATAATGCATATTTGTATCGCGCAGTTCAAGGTTTATTATAGAAGCAAGGTCGTTTGTTACACGCACATAACTAAGAGAAAAGATTCATAAAATAATAGCTCGATCTCGATAGTCCCCTAGCACTATGAATATAGACGGACTGCGGACGGTATAACCAAAGAGAGAAAGAAGATGTAATTATAGAGTGCGTGAACCTCAGTACAAACAACATATTCACGTCCATCTGGGTATTTCTTTTTTCTCTCGTGCTAGTCATTCCGTAGCACTCGGATAGAAATGATGCTGTGTGTTAGTGAACGAAGAAGAGAAAACTATTGCGTCGTGTTCTTCTTTTTCGCCTTCCCTTTTCTTCTTTGTCGTTCTACTTTTTTTCTCTTTGCATTTTTTTGCTCTTGAGAAAAACTCAACACATGCGAAGCATATTGAACTTGATGCTTATTTGATGCATGCGTATGTGTATGCATGTGTGTGTTTGTTGAGAAAATGACTAACAGTAGTAACATTCATCGGCAAAACTAATTTGGATCGCCATCGTCATCGAACTCAATAATTGTTCCGTTCCGTCGTCATCCTCATATAAGGATTGCATGTGTCCGATCGTTTCTCATTATGTGAAGAAGAAAGAGTAAGAGGAAAAAAAGAACGACCACGACCACTACTAATCTATGCAAGAAGAAATATAGAAAGCTACGAGAATTTTATTAGTATTGATATACTGTTCAGCATAACATCCAATCTGCTACAACTTCTGTTCTCCCAACTGGTCAATCATTCCACTAGCAACAAAAGAAACGAAGAAAAAGGAAAAAGAAACAAGACGATGCTAATGAAAGATTTGTTTCTAGTTCTCGCAATACATTCTTTTATTTGGCCTATAATGATAATAATACACTGTAATTGTCTCTCGTCTACTACACAAGAGCAGCTTGGTGGTGAATAGGAATGTATTGAAATCATGAATACACGTCAATATGATCAGCAGTTACGTATATTTTGTGTCGTCATTGTTTTCTTTTAAGATCAAGCTCATGGAATGTTAGATTGAAGACTACTAAAAATGTCAACAAAATAGTAAGTAACACCTGTCTTGTTCGTTACATTTAATGTCTCGAACTTTTTTTTTCTCAAAGAAAAGATAAGGCACATTTAATTGAGAGTAGTAGGAATGATGTAACACAGAGGATGGGATAGCTATCAAATCATATCAATCTATGCTGTGTTAAGCCTGTCACAGTTGATCGATCGATGATTGTCCGGTCGTCTCGACAAAAAAAAAACTTCGAATCTCGTTTTTCTTCTCATTTCTATGACGTAATCATCTGTCATTCTTATACAAAAGATTGTTGGACAAGATTTAAAGATTAACAAGCAGCTTTGTCATATATAATATTTTTCCGTTACACGAGCATAAAATAAATATTTTTTTCTCTTGATAATCAGTGGTCGATTCACTTTTTATAAAACTAAAATTTTTCCTTCTAGTAAAATATGCTCTTTTCTCATTCATTCTTTTTAATTAATTAATTACTTATATATGGATTTACTTGGATTGATACGACGTTTACCTGAAATAGTCGTTTATAATAAATTTGATGATGATCTCTGTGATCGTTTAAATTATTCGCATACAGTAGCAATATTAATAGTATTTGCTATTATTGTTACAAATCGACAATTCAGTGAAAATCAAATCAAATGTTGGGTTAGTATTTTTTTCCCATCTTCATTTTTGAAGTAAACTAAACAAAAAAAAGTTCTAATTTTTTCTTTTCCTGTTCCAGGTCCCTGCTCAATTTACTGGTAGCTATGAACAATATGCCAATCAAATATGTTTCATAACCAACACATATTCATTTGATATGCATGAAACATTACCAGATGATTACAATCAACGCCATGAACAAGAACTTAAGTATTATCAATGGACTCCATTTATTCTTATTTTAATGGCTATTTTATTTTATATGCCACATCAAATTTGGCGTGGTTTTAGCCTCCGCAGTGGAGTTGATTTAAAAGATTTAATTGAAGCAGCTCAAACATATCGTTCAGCAAATATACGACATGACGATAAAATTAAACTACTTGACTATATAACTAATTGGGTTAATAGTTACTGTGCAAATGATTATCGTTTAATAAATATTCAAACAAAAAGAAGTCTATCAACAAGAAAAGCGAAACTAACTTGTATTGGACATCATGTTTTTTTTCCTATCGGCTTATATACCGGCAATTATTTAATGATAACTTATATATTTATTAAGTTTCTTTATTTATTAAATTCAATTGGACAAATCTTTTTATTAAATACGTTATTAGGACGAAATTATTGGTATTACGGTATTGATATCATATATAAATACTGGACCCAAGGAGTTGGTTTACTCTATACAGGAACTGGTTATTTTCCTAAAGTGGTATGTTTAAGTAGTATTTAACAAATATAAGAAATAATGAGCAGTGATCAAAAATTTCACAGAAATAATAAGATCTATATGACTTCTTATGAAGACATAAAAATCCGAACATTGTTCTATTAGCTATATATTCGTATACGAGAATAGACATGTTCACTAACTTATGTTTCTATTTCCCTGTTTCATCTCTCATTATTTCTAGAAAAATTTCGTCAATTATTCAACTTTCAATTGTAGCATTGTATTCTAATTGACAATAAGATTTTGTTCCTTTTACTTCTCATCATTTTCATTTGCATTCTTGTGCTTTAAGCATTTGAAGGTATGAAAAAAATATGTAGAATGTCCCTGTGGAAAAACAATTCTGAACACACGCATCGATACCATAATCACAGTTCTTGTTTGAACTTTTTTCTTTATATCCATTCAGAAAGCAGCATTATCAGCTACTTTGATCATAAAAGAGCGCGTGCACACGCTAGGAAAGGCACTTTTACACCTGGAAAGCATTCAACCATATTTTATACGAATTTATATTTAAATATTTAACAAATAAAAAAATTATTTATGGCAACATAATCCGAGATTCATGTATTTTTAAGATTCAATTAACTGCTTACGATATTTACTTAATGGATATTTTTGGAAAATCCAAGGGGAATCGCGATTAGTATGTGTAAAAATGTTTTCGGAAATTCTTGCGTGTTAGCCGCTTTAATCTAGATTTTATTTGCAAATCAAAGAAACATTGCTTAGAACAGAAAAACTTGAATAATATATTATTGTTATAGAAAAATTTCATCAATAATATTTTTTTTTTGAAGATAATTAGTCATGTGAAATTGAATCTCTCAAAAAAAAAGTAACTTATTGCAGTGTTTATTGTCACCTATTTGGATTTAAACTGTGATTTTCTTGAATGAGTATACATTTGGATTATGATTTGTGTAATCTTTTGATAGTTGCAGACAAAGGAAACAGTGTTGCTAAAGAAAATATCACAAAAATTCATTTACCTCTTCGAATGTTGATGTAGAAAACTTAGAGTGAAGCTCAAGATCAAAAAAAAATAGAAATACAAGCAAAGTCTTGATTTAAATTAAAAACAAAGCATTCATATAGTCAATAAGCTAGAATTCAGATGTATTAAAAACCATTGGTCTAGCACAAAGATTCTACAAGGATAAATTGGAAATAGTTCGTAGGATATAACCAGATATGGGTAACTTTTGCGTGAGAAAGTTTTGAGATCATAAATTGCATATCCTTCAATTGCATATTTTACCTAAGAAATGGATAGAATTCCTGATGCGATGTTGTTGTTAGAATACAATTGACAGAATGAAGCAGTGAAAGTTTCTTTATTTTACGAATAGACTACCAACAAGATTGACTGCTATAATGACGATTTGAAATACAGAGCTCTCAAAATTTTCCCATCGAACTCATAAAATAAGATGAAATACTTCGACGAACGTTTCTAGTTAGTGTTTCATTCGATACAATTATATATGTTAGACGATGAAAAAATATAGTAAGTTTATGAGCAACTAAATAAATTTTATATAAAATCTTAACATGCATGCTGTTGTGTTGTTTAGTAAATTAATAAACTACTAATCCAATATTAAAAACAAAGTTTGCAGTATTTTTGTACATTCCAGAAAAGTCGACATGCTTTAAATAACATAGCTATGTCACAAGGTTAAAAAGAAATGAAATTTAGTAATGTTTGATCACTTCGTGTAGTGGATTATCACTACATGCGCCTCGGCATTCGCCGATTTATTTATTATGTGAGAAACGATTAAAAATGCATCAACTGTTTGTTTTCTTTTTGCCTTTTTTTTTATTCAGAAGTAGAAGTTGATCACCAGTTATCAAAGACAACTGCAGGAGTTCTTTTATATACGCTCTGTGTAATAGAATGAAATGCAAAAAGAAAAAGAAAAGTTAATTGAGGAAAATTCTTAATGAAGCAATGAGGAATGTGTTGATCTCAAACATGCCTCAGTACACAAAGAAATTATTTAATCTCAAATTCAATTCTTTTTCTCTTTTTAGGTTTTATGTGATTTTACTATTCGTGAACCAAATCATCCAAAAGAATCTCATCGTTATACAGTTCAATGTGTCTTGCCATTTAATTTATTTAATCAACAACTATTTACATATCTATATTTTTGGCTTGTAATACTATCTCTGTTTAATTTTATATCCATAGCTAAGTGGATTTATCGTATGTCACCATATAATAATTTTAATTATCTACAACGACGTCTAAATTTACATATTTTAACTGGTTCGCAAAATACTGAAGTTGATTTAAGACGTAAATTTGTCTACCAATATTTAAAAGGTGATGGAACATTTATGTTACGTTTAGTCGCAAATAATGTTAGCGATTATGTATGTAGAAAAATTATTGTAGAACTTTATAAAGTATTTCACAAATCATTGAATTCCAATACAATCGGTAGTGAACCATTATTTAAACCAATATTAAATTATAAGCGTGATAATGATGATGATTATGATCATGATCTTGAACAAGATGAAGATAATAAACAGCATGATATTGATATTATCGACGAAGATGATAAAAACATAGATGAAACTATGGCTGCCGATATTCCACCATTACCCAATCCTCGACAAGGAAAAATATTTGTTGAACGCGAATCACTTCCAAATTCACCGTCAGATTTAGTTGGTTCAGAAAAAAATGAATTACAACAAACTGATTCTATTTCGACGCTGACAAATACTACCATCAGTCATACATGCTTGCGTAGTTCTTTAGTACCTCTTTCAAAAAATATCAATCGTATGTTTGAAGCACAAGTCGGTTCTTCTGAAACAGCAAGTCCTGCATATAAGAACGTCGAATTTGATCTAGAGCCAAATACAATAATTTCATCAACACTTTCCTCTCCTTCAGTACTAACTATTCAACATCTTCCAACATCACCAACGATGAAAGGTCCATCACCTTATGCAACAACATATTTAACAACGAAAAAACGAAATGACCATGAACTACCCTATATTGATGATAGTATATCGAGCAGTTCGACTTCTGGTCGATTGACTAGCCCAACTGGTGTTCGACAAACAGAAAAATCAACAACAAAGCTGGCATCAACAAGTCTCTTTTTTCGACGAAGTCATGATGTATAGTTTTTCTTTCTTTGTTTGCTTGTTTTACTTCGTCTTATTTTTCGTTCTTTGTTTTTCAGCAATTTTGTTGTATGTACACAGTGATAATTGTTGTTCTTGTTGTTTCTTATTTTTCTATGAAAATAAGCTAAATATTTCAGAGAAACAACACGTTTTAATATTGTCTATCATTTATTTCAATGTTTTTTGAAATATTTGATCTTATATACTATAATAACTAGATGGCCATATTGATTACGATCGCATTTTCGCATGGATAGAAACTATTGTATGCTGCATTATCTTATGAGATACGAGAGATTTAAGTTGAATATATTGTGATATTTACCACAGTAATAACCATTCAACTTTGATCATCTTCTCTTTATCATCTAGAAATATTTTGTTTTTCTATTAGCGTATTTCTATGAAGACATATTTACTTTAAATAGAATTTATGAAGGTGTTCACAATTTTTTGATAAATAAATAAAATTTTATCGAGAAATGTATATTTTCTCTGACAAAATGAGTTTGAAACAAGAATCAAGCGAGCATTTCTCATAATTAATTGTCGATATTATATATATCACGTTGGGGCTATGTTGGCTACATCTCATGTTTTCTATTTCCAATGTATGCTTGCATATCACTTCTATTATAGATCTGGTTTGAACGGAATAAAAATCAAATAGATAGATTCTATTTTAAGATTAATACACGATCAAGTACAGGAGAGCTCACACATCTATGTAGAAAGTTTCCTTAAATATCTCTTCTAAATTTCAAGTGATTTATTTGATTTTCCTTTTTAAATAATATGATGATCTATCATATTATCTTTTATGTAACATGATTCGGTTTGTAAAAGAATGTTTAAAATAATATCCGTTTACTGCTATCGACCGATTCATCTTTGTCGAAACATTTTAAAAAAGTAATTCAAAAAGTTAACAAGATAATTACATATGTTGGCATTGTTTTATTATCAGATATTAATTAATTATTCGATCCTATATTGTTGTTGAAATGGACTAAGCTATCTCAATAATTCGAATATTAGATAGCCACATATTTTCGAAAATATCATCAACTTTCACATCTTTTTCTTGTGTTATTTGTGTAATTGATTCAGGCTATTTTCTAATTATCACTATGTTGATTTTGTACAAGCATTCAAAAAGTATTCCTATCAAAGCCTGTGTTCTCTAGTACCAAGTCAAATCGGACTTTCCTTTTCCTTGCACAAAGATAGATGATTTGAATTTGGTTTCCGACAAATCTATGTTTATTCTGATGCTGACAGATAAAGAAAAATATCTGTTAGTCTGGAGATAAAACCTTTCTACAGAATATCATGCGATGTCACCTAAAAAAAAACATGCAAGCACCTTGAAATATCAAACTGACATTTACGTAAATTTTCCCTCTAGACTTTCACAATATTCTCTATAAGTACAAAAATGCTTTCGTTAGGTTACGCTTAAAATCAACTAGAACTAAACTTCGTCGTTTCTTCTATCGAATGATGCATTGTCAATAAAGAAAGAAATAATTCAATTGCTATCAAAATTAACACTAATGCACGATGAAGTTTCATTCATCAACGAGATAGTCTTCTCAAAAATATTTTTCTCTAACTAATTACAGGTAGTAGTCAATCTCTAATAATGTTACGAAATTGTGTTTAATTGTTGTCAATCGTTTTTATTTCGTGATAAACGTATAATTGTATGGATTAATTAAAAAGCAGTGTTAGATGATTTGTTAAAAATCAAAAAATAACACTTACAGTTGAATGACTAAATGAACAATTGACAAAACATAATTGTACATCTCTTCAAGCATACTATTAATATGTTCGTCTAAAGCTATCTGTTGCTTTTTTTTAAATATCAAATAATTGATTGTTTAATTTTCTGTTTTTTTTAATTGAGCAATTCAAATAAATGTGCTTTGCGATGATGAATCGATCACATGCATAATAAAACAGTGTCTCAAATGTTAAATAAATGAATCAATCATGTCAAAATAATTGAATCGAATACGAACATTCAAACCAGCAACACAAATAAGAATCCATGAAATGATAATTACACTTTTTGATTATTAATTATCATTAATCAGATGTGAAAGTATGGGCTCAAATGAGGAAATGAAATTTTTTAGAATTCATAATAATATTAATTGAAAACGACAAGAAGAATAGGAAATTCTTAATGAATATTTCTTAAATGAGTATGCCATCATGTATATTTTGATTATAGTGTTATTCAATGTTGTACAATCAATGTCTACTGTACCAAAATGTGTAGTAAGAATAAATCAATTAAAATAGTAAAATATCCTTCGATTAATTAGATTAAAAATTTCGCTTTACTCATCCATCTATTTTTCGATTTATGTACTTCACTAGAATTTGATATAATCTAGCTGAAACGAAAAGAATATTGAATATCGACATTTGTAATTCATAAAATTTACACCTATAACTACCAACCATAGGTAAACAATTTACTAGTACGAATTTCCTTCATCTTTTCTAGAACATCAATTCTAGTCTAACTAATATTTCTATGTCTATTTAGCATGTTATAAATTAATGTTATTCTTTGATTCAATTTAGAAAATTATGACAGTGAACATTGATTACGAATAGAAAAATACTTATGCTGCTTGATTACTCGTCATTAAATGATTCATTTCAATTCATGTTACTGTCTTGTTTATTTCATTAGTTTTTAGAAAAAAAACGATTACTGAATATTACACGCATAATATTTGCAACTCAATGAATCAAAGATATAATCACTTTTTCGGAATTTCACAAAACTCATCGTACTACTAAACAATAGATCAAACATGAATTCATGTGGTGAAAGTCCTCTGGAAGTTTCAAAGATTTGATGGACTAGGTATAGTGGAAAATTTCACAGAACATTTTCTTTTTATTATTGTGAGATTTATCTCGTTTTCATTCCATCATTTTCATAGATCCTACGTTCATTAACAGTACTAAAAAATAAACTTTTCTAAAATAATAAAATTCAGCTATGATCCACATAATTTTATTGTTGCGTGTCATATTATAATTTTGTCATCAGAAATATTTAATTGCATATTTTACATTAGATAATCTATTAAGACAGAAACTAATATAAAGAATAACCAAACTTACTTATATATAATCATTGTTGATGGCTAAAATAAATGTCATCCTTTATTTAAATAAATCATAGAAAAACAAAATTTATAAACTAAATCTAGAAAACGTATTTTTAAAACTAATGAACCAATGTTCGCTAATGAGTAAATTTTACAAGAGATTATCAATTCAATATACTGCATTTATAGACAATCATATAATGCTATTCGATAAAAATGATGCACAGTTATTTGAAAGTATATTTATTTTAATTGATACCAAGTCAAAAACAATGTGATTTTACCATTGATCCTGAACAACAAAGTAATTTTTTGTTCAAGATTAAGATAAGAATAGAAATTTGATGATCATCTTCTTCTATGAATGAAGATATTTTAAATTAAATGTAAATTTATATAAAAAAAGAATAAATTAATGAACATAATTGGTGTGTTCCGCAGTATTCCTATCAAAGTTGAATCAGCTGTCTTCCTATAACAGGAATAGACTAGTATTGTAGCCATGTATAATTTGTATTAGAAGTCGATGCTTAGATTTTATTCTAATTATAAGTTGAAGCGTGCTAGAACATCGCTTCCTTTACATTATTCAGAAAGTCTATTTGGTTCATTCTTTGTAAAAAGATGTTAAGAAAGTTTGATTGAATCTTTCGATAGATCATTGTGTAGAGTTCTCTGAGAAACCATTCGCCGGTTTTTATCTCTAGATGACATTATTTTAGAGCTATTATAAACTTCAGAAAATTCATATATTGTTACTACAAAATTGATGAGTGCAGGTAAAGATCTTAACATTTCTGAGTTGCAATTAAATATTCTTAAAAAATTAGATGTAGTACGGATGAGGAAAATATTTAAAAAAAAAGTTATGACCACATGGGTTTATGTGTGAAGAATTACGTTCAAATTTGTTTTTACAAATACATCTAGCATTCAAAGTAAAAAAATATTTCTAGTCAAATAGACCTCACGCACGAAACGAGGATTGCTGAACGAAAAATCTTTGTATAGCACATGCATCTGATAAAGAATAAAATCTGATATTTCAGACAAGTAGATCTCTCTAATGTTGTCCGTGTTCGTAAAAGAATGTTAACATTAATCATAGAATTCAAAACGGAACGATCATACAAATGTATATGACGCACTTGAAGATCAATGAAAATCATTTTTCATTTTCCTTGTTTTTCTTCGATTTCGCAAATCGCTTTTGAAAAGTCTTACACACAATGCGTGACGTTCGAATGTTAGCTAAAGAAAATTAGGTCGAAATATGATATTGTTCGAAATATTTCATTCCATGATATATGTGCATCTACAATGAATAATTGAGAAAAATATGTTTGTATCATGTTAAAACAAAGTTAGCAGAGGATTCACTTTGATCTTGATGTATCAAAAATCTCTAGTTAGATATGCTATTATTGACAGTTTTTGCATTTTATCAATATAGTAGATAGTCTTATCGATATATCAAGCATCTGTAATGATTTACTGAAGTACGTATATTGTCAATGGTTATGCAGTCGATATTCTTTCGTACATCAAGTTTTTGATCGAAGATTTTTTCCTGCAATTATAACTAATCTTTAAACAAATTCAAACCAAACTCGAAATCAATTATAACAAATTTTTATATTAAACAATATTATTGATGTAATATAGGCTATAATACTGAATTGCTTACTGCTTTTTGAACTGATTAATCATCATCATAGACATATAATGAATCAGTTTTTTTCTCAATGTAGTAGAGATTCATTAATCTGGAGTGTTTACTATTATTCAAACTTGATTCGATAATTTATCGAAGTGATTAAATTTGACTATTTTCTTTTTCGACACTTTTCAAAAAACATCATCTATTGCTTCTTTTATAAATAAATTCAATAGTATTAAGATGTTTATAGTTTTTTTTTTAAACTTTATTTGTGATCTGTTCTTTTTGAAATATTAGCATAATACAATATGTAAAAAATAGTACAATATGTAATAGAATATTAAAGCTATTCACTTGCTAATCAACACAATACTCATATTCAAATTGATCCTTGATTCGATATGATCAAAACTACAATATTTGTTAAAAATCGTTAAAGAAAGGATGATAGTGTGTAAATTCATTATTCGATTCACCAAAGTATTCTTATTTCTTGTATTAAAATCACATGATAAATGATTGCCAATATCTCAAGAGTTCATTTTGTAAAAAGGTCTGAATCAATCTTTCTATTGAACTTCCTACTTCACTGCAGATATGACAAATAAGATTTTTGAAGATTGACGCAAGAGGATAAGGATATCGATTGAGAAACTAATCGAGACTTATCGTAAAATAAACTCTCAGAATAACATCTGAGATTGCCTATAACTTGATTCCAACTCAAGAAAACGACATGTACTTCAGTTAGCAGAAAAATACTTCTAACGGTTCTTTTTCGTATTCAAAGAAAGATGAAAAAAACAGTTAATGAATATATACAAGAAGCAAGCGTCAAAGTTAATGATCAATTATTTAGTATTCAACGAATACATTCATTAGAAATAAAAAACAAATAATTCATGAATAAAAATTGAAATATAAAAATAGTTAAACTTTGAGTAATTTACTGTTCATATTTATCAATGATTACAACCATATTTTTAATGTTACAGAGCTACCATCTTTATTTTTAGCCCACATTGTTTGATTTTCTTGTAACATAGTCATCCATTTTGAAGTTGTCATAGATTCTTGCTTTATCGGTAAAGTTATTTCAAAATAACGAAGATGAATGAAGTCTTTTGAAAAACACTCAAATTTTTCACATAGACAAAAATCATCAACTGATCGATTTAATGTATTATTTATTCGTAGATAGAATTCATTGACATTTGGAAAATATTTTGGTATATTCAATAGGTTTTTCGTATGACCTGAATCAATTGATAGTTTTAACCGTGTGACTGATAAAATGGGTTTTGGCCAAAAGTCAAACGTTGGTACTTTACTTTGCGTTGTTATTGTAAGTGATATAACTTTGGGTAAATATTCGAGTAATTGACAGCAAGAGAGTAGTGAATAATTACACAATGATAGAGAACGCAAACGAAGTGAACAGATGAATATTTTTGGTGGTAATAAAAGTACTGTATCAAGTTGAAGATGAGTTAGAGAAGGAAATTTATTGAAAATATTTGTTATGGATAATTTTGGAGAATGATACTCAGTCTTGGAATATATAAGCAGACTCTGAATATTTTTATATGACATAGAAGCGTTCATTGACAATTCTTGATCGATTATATCTGCAGTTGTCGACAAATGAGTATTTGTAATAGGTAAAGTATAAATTGAGACATGTTTAGAATTCGTAGAAAGACATTGTATTATAATATTCTTTTGTAACCAATAAGCGCTGGAAAATGTTTCTCTTAGTAGAGAATTGAAATCAATGTCTAAATGAAATGTTTTATTAATTTTTTCTTATAAAATGAGTTATTATTAAATGTAATCACTAAAAAAGGAGAAATATATATTTTAATAGATAGAATAGAGGATCAGTTATCATGAATAGAATTAGCAAGTTTCATTGAATACTCAGGCTTATTTGATTTTACGACAGTTGCTCGTGATTGATCACTAAGATGAATTTCTATGAATATTGAGAATCTTTCAAATGGCAAAAACAGAAAATGATTGATTTCATTTTTAACTAAATGTAAAACTATAATATGAATATTTTTTCTTAAATTCTAGAATCAAGTATTACAATAATCATCATAAATATTAGAAAAACTAATGTTTTTTGGGTTTCAACTCGAAACTTTCTGTAACTTTCATATGTGAATCAGTTTTTGTGAAACGTTGCCGCATTTATTATTGTTCATATACTAGGATGACATTATGATAATAGTGTGTTCTCTAAATTTTTCAGATTAATCAGTCGATTATACACTTATATTGCAGATTAGTTCACTATATCAACAGATGTCAAACATTCACATAAAGCAATTGTCGTTGCGATCGGCCTCTATGAGCAGTCCAGAGTTGAGATTCAAATATTAACTTTTCTGTTGCTCGTAAAAAGTCCTACTATATTCATTTAGAAAATTCTGTAAATACTGGAATTTTTTTCAAAGCAATATACTAAAGGCAGGAATTTGTCTTATAACATTCATGATTTATTTGGTTCTACCGAGTCTATTAACATCAACTCAAAACCAATTGATCAGTGTGAGGTTTTTTCTTATTATAAATGACTAAATTTCAATTAAATTCATGCATAATATTAATGCACATGAGCACTTTGTAGTCCGTGTCTTGTTCGATTTTCTTGTGTTTTTCAGTGTTTTTAAAACTATGTTCACTTATACCTCAATATCAACTTTTCTTGATACAAATACAAACAGTGTCCTTTAGTTCTTACACATAATCTTGGCGTTATGAAATACATTTTATTCTCATGATCTATAAATAAATATATATCATGTCGCCGGCTTTGGTTTCAAATTTCAATTCTAAAACTGCTATTTTATTTTTTGAAAGAACAAAAAGAGTGTAAGAATATTGACTTTCGAGAATTAAATATCTGAAAATTAACATAATGAATCTTACCATCATATTTTGCTGTAGTATACACATTCGGTTCTATCGTTTTTTTGAGACGATCAATTGTAATTCCATCAAGTTCAAAATGTAATGCAAAATTTATAGTTCGATCATCATTTCTATTTAATGCCTTTTGCCATAGTGAACCATCAGCATATGGAAAATATTTGTCCATATAAATATCTTTCGTTGTTAATGTTTGTAGTGTAGCATGAAATCTAATATTCAATGTAAACTTAAAATATGACAATGCATAAAGATTCTCAATTATTTTAACTATTGTATCTTGTGGTATAACATAATCGTGAGACGTTAATTCTTCTTCTTCAATTTTAAGATCAAAATGAGTCAAATAAGGCACTTTCCACCAAAGACGTTCATATGGATACGTATCATTATTTATATCATGCGACGATGAACAACCAATAGTTATATTTAATTTTTCAAGATTTGGAAAACTATTAAATACAATTAATAAATCCTTAAGACATTGCACAGATATTGTTAATTGTTTAATACTCATAGATTCTTTTTTTAAAGAATATAGACTAAATTTATATTTATTTAAATATAATTTTAAAATTTTAAAGGAATTTGATTCAGTAAATAATTTTCCACAAATAAATTCATCGAACTGTACAGGCATTGACGATAAACGATCTTCGGCGATGTCAATAGCTAAAGTATGTAAATAATACATTGTATTGAAACGCCACGATAGATTTTCCAATGTTTCAATATCAATTTGATGAAATACAAGTTCTTGAAGTAATGGAAATTGTTGATCGACTTTATTAAATTTTTCTTCAAAAAGTTTTCCTGAATTTAACATCGAACAATTATTTATATATAAGTACGATACATTGGCGGATAAATATGGTAAATGATTATTAATCAAATGAAAAAAGTCCTTATGAGATAAATGCGATATGAAAATTTTTTCTCGATATGTAGTAATCGTTTTATTTACACGAGTGTTTAAATTCAGTAAACTGTCAAGAATATCAATTTGAGATAAATAACGACACATGAATAATAAAATCTCATCAGGCAAGTTTTCAAAACAAGTTTGTTTCGAAACGTGCCGTGACATTATCGAAGACATCATTCTTTGAGAAATTTAAATTAATAAACCGAAGTCATAAATTGTCAATAAAATCTGCATGAAATATTCAAAATATATTAAGTCGCAGATATTAAACTACTCACATTCTGATACTTTTTATTAATACAGTGCAAACATCCAACCCATGTATTTGCCGATAGATGACACTCATCATCTGAAAGGCATCACGCGCTTCATATGAGTACAACATATGCATTTGATTCGAGGAGATTTCTTTTCTATTTAATTTATATCTATGATGTAGTGACGAATCTGTTTTTGTATTTTTGATCAGTCTGTCGCGTATTCCTTTCATATTTTTTGGGAGCGTGAGGAATATTTACCTGTTTTACTATTGTTGCTAGTTCTTGTAAATTTTTCTCTTTCTCACTATCGTCTCTGGCTGAGGCGATCTCTGTTTTTTTCTTCATCAGCCACGTTTTAGTGGATCAGATGATATATTCACCTTAAAATTCCACGCTACATAACTAAAAATAGATACGCAAAAAAATTAGAAACCGATAAAAATCTTAGTAATGTATTATTAGATCTTTCATTTGAAAAAAGACAAAATTTCCAATCTCTGCAATCATAAATTTGTCATACATAATAGATGATAATTTTTTGTTTCTTTATCAAAGCTAGTGTGCATTGCATAGATTTACACTCATCTTTGACACAGGCACAATAATATTAAAAAGCAGATAAAACAATCAAAAAGTATAACTTCCCCACTCTCGAGCAATGTTTTCTATGAATTGTTGTTCGTCTCGTTGGTTTCAATATTGAACTCAAACTCTGTCGTTTAGAAAATTATGATTTCTCTTGTTGTTGTTTCAATACTATTGATCGTATTGAACTCGATTTTTCATCTGGTTCTGATTATTCGGAGAATATTTTATAGACCAATCGTTAAAAATAAATAAACAGCATTTTAACTAAACTTAATGAGTTATCTATGGGCAAAACGAACTATTCCTTCGATTGTTTCGTCTTATAAAATGTTAAAGTTGGACATTGCTACTGCTGAAGAAATTGTTTTTGCAACAAAGCATTCTCTATATGTAAGGATTTTAGATCTTCGATGGTTTTTATTTGATAAAGATTGATGAAGAGATCTACCAGTGACCATTACAAGTTTCTAAATTTTTGCGATTGCTTTTCGAATCAGAGAGAATAAAGATTCAATGAGACTGTTCTCCTAGTATTTTTCCATATATGTCAAACTTGAAACTTGAATTCAATTGAAAATTTCAACTTTTAAGCCAATAGCATTCTGAAGAATCGTGACTCACACATATATCGCTATGAGTTGAAAGTTGAAAGTTGAAATTTTCTATTTTCAACTGAATTCAAGTTTTAAGTTTGACACTACTGTATTTTTCATATAAGAGGACAAATCTGAAAAGTTAATCATTTATTTTTTACATTATTTTATCCGTGACACGCTCTAGAATCCCGATCGGCGTGCGATAGGTAACTATTTCAATCGATTTATTTTGATAGAATATACAGTAAATGTGGTTTCTCTCAAATTTGATTCATTACTATTTCATTGCAAAATTGGATCAATGAAAATTGCGTTTCATTCTATGTTTTTCTTTCTATTACAATTTTGTTTCCATTATAAGTATAAAAGAGATTCTTTGAGCAATTATTTTAGTCATATTTATCAGTTTGCTAAAAAATACTAGATGAACTCTTTTTTCTTTTTTGATGAATTCATGACATTCTATCTTTTAGATATGTAGATGATTGTGCATCGTCAGAGAATCATATGTACACATTCATTGAGCACCTATTTCTTGAGGGTTTTCGTAGAAAAAAACGATAAAAAAAAGTAAATAAAAATAGTTCACACGTTGTCTTTTCTGTGAAAGTTAAAGTTGAATATATTTTTTTTTGGTTGAGCAAGAGGACACACTTCTGAATCAGGAAGTTCACGATTATAAATATAAATTTCATCGATGACACCTGCATATGATCCCATTGAAATTTCCCCAGTCGGACAATCCATTTTCAAACTACTACTGCTGAATAAAATACAAATTGATAAATTGCTACTTCTAAATGAAGAAACTGATATTGAATTATAGAGACTGCCAAAAGGATAAAATCGTAATCTCGAGCTTCATGTCTGAACAACATGGGTTCATTTATTGTTCGAAAATATTGGATCAATGATTGAAATAGTAGCTCTATTGGATGTTTGAACTACAATGGATTCATTTGAAATGAAACCTATCATAGATAAACACTGCGTACCTGAAATTGAACTTGGTGATGGTAAATGTAAACGAGTACCACTTGAAACTGGTGGATTAAGCCACATACGTAGCTGTTGAATAAGCTTGATTTTGACCTACAGATCAATATCCATATGATGTAAAGTATGAATTCGATCAATTAAAATTAAATGCTTGATTAACTAGACTAGTAGTTCATAAAAGACCACTAGTAGTTTATTGATAATACGTAACATTCACAGAGATAAGTCCAATATCATTATAAGTATTAACAAAAGGCGAATGTCCTACCAAATATGCATCATGAAGAATTTCACTATCTATATTTGCCCGGTTGGTTATTATTATTTGATCCAATAATCCATTCCAAAAACTATTTGACGTATTATCAAGTGGCGTACTCATAGTAACGTTCGCAGATGAACCTGGATGAGAAGTGCCATTGGATGATGTTGCATCCGGTTTACCATTCAAGCAAATCGATTTTTTTCAGAGAATAATCATAAACAAATGCTACATGATGTCAAACTTGAGTTGATAAGTTTACTTGCCCATGAAGATCACCAGAAAAAGATCCTACATATAATCAGTTATAGTACACAATATAATGAAGGCACTTCTGGGTTAATTTAACTTGGCATCCATCCAAAGTGCTAAGATCACGAATAAGTACAATTGAATTAAGATAGATCCATGATTCGATTGTAAATCCGCGACTAATACAGTTTACACATACATTGAATTCATATGTTGTAATAGATTATTTTGAAGTAAAATAGATTAACCGATCTATATAGTAGTAAATGTTGACGCATTAGCTGTTGCACCGTGATACCTATTATCGGATACATGATTTGAATTTTGTTCAAATGTCCACGAAGCAATTGCTGTCACTTGAGTAACTGTAGTCATATTTATATATGTATTTAAATAACTTGTACTATAATTTTATGGGTATCAAACTGTAATAGGTATATATGTGGTAGTCAGTTATGTTAGTGCTTACTATCAAAATACTAGTCGCTGTTGTATCAACTATAGAAAAGCAACAATCGAATAATCTCTCCACAATATTAAAAAACAAGAGAATAACAGTCAGAAAGGTGTGTACTTGTTTTACTATTTGCAATTCCAAAGGCAAGTTCTATGGGAAGTGAAATAGCGAGTGAGCACAGTAGACATAGAAGATTTACATATGCAATAGTCCATAATCGAATTCAAAAATTGTCGGTCATCTCTAAGTATAAAATAGAAGGAAAAAATCCTGGTAAATATTAATTTAATGCAAACAATACAGTCGAACCTAGTTATCAGAGTTACCAGTGAGTATTAAAATGATTCAACAACAGGCAATTTTGAATTATCTATTGATCGACATGATGGTGTCTGTAGTATTCGCACTGTTTTCATTGTTGTAGAATGAAATTCTATGTCGGATATTGATCATGCCCTGCACTCTGGTTTTAAGAGGTCACATCGCGATATTGTTTGTGACCGCTCGATGATCTTATTAAAACGCAAAGAAACAAGTTCTTGTAATCCATTAGAAAAATTCGAATTCTTTTCTAGAATTTTCTTAAAAAAATTAATAAAATCTTATTATTAATAAGAGATTTAGCTTAAACTCTACTGTAATATCAATCGATGTTTGATTTACTTGATGGAGTTTTCACAGATCCGACGATTCATTCCTCACAGAAGGATTACTGCTTTGCAAATAGTTTTGCTCAATTAAAACAAGAGCAAGAGTGCATGAGTTCTCTAAAAATTTCATAAAATAATTATACTAGTGTTTTTAGAGATAAAAACGGTTTCTGTTCAATCAATATATAAATTTATGTTAGATCGAACCAAAACAACAGATAATGCATTTGAATCCAATTGTACAATTCATTCTCTTTGATAAATATATATATATATATATATATACTAGTGGAGGTACCCGATGAAAAGGGAATATAGTTAAAGTTTTGCATCTTCCAGCTGACTTTTCGTGCCGTGCATGACACGTCTTCTACACGACTGTTCCCACTGTGGGTGAGTTATCTGCAACAGAACTTTTCCTGCCGTACGTCAGACCTCTTCCACAGGACTTTTCTCACCGTACCTGCAACCTCTGCTACAAATTTTTCCCCACCGTGCGTGATGTATCTTTCACATAGCTTTTCCCGCCGTGCATTAGGCATCTTCAACAGGACTCTTCTCACCGAGCTCAAGCTGACATATTCACTCACATCCGCCCTGGACACGATCACTCTCGAATTTGCATTGAACTGCGTCATTTGATTAGAAAGTGAGTAAAATCGCGATGTCTTACGGCTTGGATGAAATTTCACGCACGCCTTCCCTCTCACTCCGATCAGCCTGCCGACTTTCTTTTGCACTCAAGAAACTGACACGGATATTTCCGTGACGCTATCTCTCACGACGACTAAATACATAGCGAACAGACTCATCAGAATCTCGATCCGTGTTGACCGGGGTGAAATTCCATCTCACTTGTTGCTTTCTTCATTCGATAGATATTTCCATCTATACGGTTCCGCTTTGTCTTATACATTCTATTCGTCTTTTTTCGAGCACCCTAAAATGTCTTGTGCCGAATGGCAAAAGTTCAAGTTTTTATATACTTTTGCTCTCAAGTCATGGAAGAGCAATCATGCGCGCAAATTCTCTGGAAAAGACATTTACTATAGTACATTTAACAATGAGTGGGGGGAGGCAAACACCCCCCCCCCTTGAGGTGAAAATTTGGGGTTGAAAACTACACTATGGCCTTCTCCCTGTCGAAAGGGTATTCTCTGCAAAATTTCATTGTATTTGCTCGCACCGTGTCGAAATGCATGAAGAACAAACAGACAAACTTTCTTCTTTATATATATAGATAGATGTTACGCACTTACTTGTAGTTTGCAATCGTTTTTTTGGTAGAATATTGTAAGGTTAGTTAATCACTATCCAATGTAGTCCAATATACTTCTATTTTTTGTTTGTGAACGAACTAATAAACTGACGTTTATTATGTAAAAGTGGCGGGTGTTTATTTATACTGATAGGTATGGAATCGAAGGGAAGATACTGGAAACAGGTAGAGAAGATAGTACTTGTCAATCAAATGACGCATAACAATCGCGAGAAGAGAAAGGAATATATCAGAAAGAGAACGACAGACGATGTGATGTAACACTGACCGATGGATGACAACCAGAAGATGGCGCTACATAACACAATATGTATATTTTATATGTTACTTGAATCGTCGAAGAATAAGGAACATTTTAGTGAATATATCGCTTTTTAGTGAAAAAAAATAGAAAAATACATTTATTTATCTATTTATTCTGAAGCAAAACACTGGAACATATTAATAACGTCATTTCATAACGTGAGATGAAAATTCCACTGTGATATGGCTTGGGTGAAGTTTCACCCAGGCATTGTCTCTGTGCCCTTATCAATAGTACCAACCCTCTTGAAGCCTTCCCCTGGGCTCAGGAAAGCACCGTGGAAAGTTTGGTAATGTTTGTTAATACAAAGTCATCTGGGTGAAATTTCATCCAAGTACCCCCCCCCCCTACTGGGGCGCCGATCTCCTCATGACCTTTCCCTGGGCCTAGGGAAGTGCCATGGAAAGTTTGGCGACCGTAGCTGTTACAGGGACTGAATGCATAACGAACAAACAGACAAACATTCCTCTTTATATATATAATAGAAGATAGATATATCGGGAATAAACGCTGCACGAGACTTATTGATTGTCCAGTTTTAGTTTTCACTGTATAGCATCATACATATTACTGTATTTTCAATAAAAAATTCGTTAAACTGTAAAATTTTACCATTCAACATGAAATTAAAATTGGATTCAGATATAATTTTTTCAATTCAATTCAAGTTAACCGTGAGCTGTTAGTATTCAACAATTTTACTGTCAACAACATGATTCTTTATGCAACATAAAAGCTTTATGCTTGAAGTTTTTATATAACTATTAATCAAACGTAGCCATTCGTTTTTTTCTCAAAGAAAAAATTTAAATTAAAACAAGAAATCTTCTTTTAACGTCTGAGAAATCGATTTGAAAATATTTTCTTTTTTGTAGGCGAAGAATCTTCAAAAGTAACATTTATTTATGATTGTAGAAAAAAGAAAAGATCATATGTATATATATATGTGTATCAGAAGAACAAAGGCAAATCATTATTGTTATCGGACGTAAGAGATTCTATCATCAGGAAAAGATTGCACAGTTTTGCCTAGAGATAAAAAATAAGATTTGTTCTATGATATGACAAAATAAATGACAAGAACTATATAAATTGATTTGAACAGAAAATTTTAATAAGGATCAATCGTATCGATTTGTTCAAGTAGTTTAGGCATCACAGGCTGTTGTCTAAATGCAACAGGAGAAGGAGATTAAAATAAAAGAATAGAATAAAAGATAACTGTACTTACTGTCCAATAGGTACTGACATAATAGGCTGAATAAAATGAATATCATTATCAAGTTTATCTATTTGAATTTCATTGATCTGTTGTTGTTGTTGTTGTTTTTTAGGTACAATATTTTCTTTTTGTGAATAATCTTCTTCCATTTCATCATCCATAATAACTGCAGCTACATTGGTTTCTAGAGTTGTTTTTCGTCGAGAACGATCAATAAATACTTCCGAATCTAGGTTGCATTCTTGTTCAAGTGTAAGAAACGATTCATCGTTTATTGTTGTTGTTGTTGTTGTTGTTGTTGTTGTTGTTATTGGAGTTGACATTTGTTCACTGAGCAAAAGACACTCAAGTCCTTTCAACATTCCTTCATCAGTCGTTGGTAATATTGTTTCTGGTACTACTGATAATGGCGGTGATATATGACAACGTATTATGGTTGTATCGTCATTCATGAAATCACTATTAGAATCATCGCCACTTATTGTTGCAATTGTATTACAACATGTAACAAATGAATTTGGCATTTGTTTACTCATTTGATCACGAAATATTTCTCGTGCTTGTTGTCCACAATCAAGTGACGCATAAAATTTTGTAACAATATGATCAAATGGTGTTTTTTGTGTTTGCTGATCATTATCATAACGATTAATATGTTTAGGTAAATGTTCTAAATGGTCAAGTGTTTTATGTACTTGTTCAGTGCGTTCGATTGTTGTATTCATTTGTTCAAGTGTTAATTTCAGTTTAGCAAAATTTTCATCAGATATTGAATGAGAAGCAAGACGTTTTTCAAGAGAAATATTAGCTGCTTGTACAAGATCATTAAGAGTAACTGTGGTCGATGCTGCTGATGATGTTTCACTAATTCTTGGATATAAACGACTTATTCGATTGGAAACTAAAAGATATCAATTTCATTGCCTCTTTTTTTCTGTTCAAAGAAAATAATTTACCATTTTCTTGTTTATTAACAATATCATGTACTTGTTGACATATATTTGGTAATAAACCAATATCAACACCCATGGATGGTAATGATGTTGATAGACTATGTTTAGTAAACCATTCTAGTTTATTATAAATATCTGAATTGATTCTCTTATGAAGATCTTGAACTAAATTTGAAAATATTTCGAATTGATTTTCATCAATAATTTGTGATTGATCAAATGATCCTAAAATTAAGAAATAATGAAATGAAAAATTAAGAATTCTTTTAGTTTTTATTCTATTTTTACCATCAATAATTTCTGTTTTTTCTCTAATTTTCTCTAAATAATTAATTAATTTATAAATACGTTCATCCAATTCATTTTTTGTTTTTTCATATTCAATACGTTCACGTTTTTCATTAGCTATTTTACTGAAAAACATCATATAATGCCGTTGTGTATCAGCTTTAATCATACGAATTTGTCGTTTGAGACGTTCTTTGGTTAAATCAACATTTTGAAAATTTTCATTTATTAGAAAACGTTCTTGAATATCAATTGGTTCTAAACGACGTATTAAACATAATTGTGATAAATAAAATAGACAAATAAAATAGCGTGGTGAACATGATGGAACTGGAATCAATTGAGGCCATGGATATTGTTGATAGTTTTCAGACTAAAATAAAAATAAAACGATAGTACTTTGTAGTTACTCATCTTGTTTAATTTTAAAGTCTATATTATTACCAATAATTTAAAATGTTGCTTTACAATTCGATTAAATTCTTGTTGTTTATCAATGGCCATTGGTGGAAAACAATGTGTTGTATCACGCAAATATTGTGTTTGTTGTGAATCAGATAGATATGTTAAAAGAAGAAAGTGTGTTACAAGACGAATAAGTTCAGTTGAATTTGATAATTCATCGATGGATATTTGTTGTTGTTGTTGGCCCGTGCGATAACGGCAAAATATAGATGAACATTCAATGCCAAGCAAAAGTAAATTTGAATATAGAAAACGTATTGTTAATGAATTTTCGTCAAGACCATATGATTCCCATAAAGTACCATTATTCGATTGAAGAATTTGTGTGGCTGGTGAACGACGTGGTGATGCTTTTGGTGTACTAAATCGAACAAGACCACGTTGATGAGATATTGGAGTCTGTTGTGGACGTACACGATTACGATTTGGTGTTGGCAAAGGTGGTCGTTGCATTTTATTTGACTTTCTAGATTATTATATTAGTGATGAACGAATAATGAGTGTAAATAGATAAAGAACAAGTAGTTCCGTAGAATACCAGCATTATGAAAAAAAAACAAAGTCACGGATTGGTTGTTTATATTGTATAATCAATTCTTACTGTGCTTACTTTTCTATTTTGCATAGTCATTCATTTTGTGAAAGCGCAAAATAATAAATGGAGCCTATCATGACTATAAAAAATGACCAAGAACTTGCCACAGCAGAAATCAATCCCGAAGCTTCAGAAAATATGTAAGTTTAAGATAAATGATCAATCACATAATTGCACTAATTCATTAATATTACTAAAGGAAACAATTGACTCTTCAGTATGAAAGATTGCATTCGAATTATTCGTTAAAATTTTAAAAAAAATCGTCACATTGATTTAATCTATTCGTCTTAATGATGTTTCTTGTTAAAATTAGAAAATTTCATCATTTAACAGCATGTAGCTATCTGTTGCATTAAATATAGTTTGCGTGATCGATTCATATAGAGTCAATCGTTTTTCCTTTGGCTTTTATTTTTTGCCTTCTGCACTCACAAACTCGGTGATTGTAAATAATTAAATTTATTTCCAGTATTCTTCTTCCACGAACTGCGTCTAGTAAGTTTATTTTTATTCATAAATGCCCTACATCTCTATACTGTGGCTTTTGTGATTACTCGTTATATAATGTGGTTCTTTGTTTTGATTTGTTATTGCACGTTTGCCTGTTTTGAATGACACGATTCTAAGAACAGCATAAAATAATTTATGAAATGTATATAAATAAATTTTTCTTCATTTATTTTAGAAATTATACGTCAAAGAAGTATTGATTATGTGGATAGTGAGAATAAAATTGAGAAAGGTTTCGTAATTGTTAATTTTCCTCTAGTCATTAGCCTCTTTGTTTTAAATAGCTACTCCGTCAGGATACTCAGTAAAAGAAATTGCAGCATATCGCCGTGGTAAACGAGTCGGAGATGAAAAATTACCAAAAAAAGTTCGGTATGAAAAAATACAGAACTATATGTATATTATATCACTATCGCTATTATCTTTATTTTCAAAGGAGTTTTTACAAGAAGCAAGATAGATTCATTACAACTTTAGAACGCTTAAATCGTCTTCATTCGAATAAAGATAGTGACGATGACGATGATGATGGTGATGGTGATGGTGATACTGAAATAAAAGGCCAAAAACGAAAAAAAACATCCACCGAGGAGTTAAAGTCAAAACAGAAACGAATCAATCTTTATACGAACTTATCATTATTAGTCAATGTTGTAAGTATTAATATAGAAATCACTTGATATTTTAGTCTTGATGAATAAAAATAAAAATAATTAGACATGACCAATAAATTTAAACGATACATTATACGACAGAACATGTTTATACGCTATCGATAAAGTTCTCTCAAGTATTGTTTAATAAGTTCTATAGGAAAATAATCATTGATTGAATCATCGATAAAACAAATATTCTAGATAAATATTTTCTTGTCGATTTTAATATCGTTTAGAAAAATCATTATGAAATAACCTTTTTGAATTTTTTGAGTTATTTAACAAGCCGGAAATTTTGAATAAAATTGAAAACATCAATCTTATTAATCTTTTAGTTTCTTCTCATAGTAAAAATCGCTGCTGCATTTATCTCACACTCATTATCGGTCATATCATCAGTTGTCGACAGTGCTGTCGATTTGGCATCTAGTGTTATTCTTTTTTGGGCTACACGTGCCATTAAACGACGTGATCCATTTATGTATCCACAAGGTGAAAAGAAAAGAAATTATATTTATTGTCTATTTTTATATGTGAACAAGTCTATCTGATTAGGTCGAACACGTCTCGAACCCATTTCTATTATTATTCTTTCGGTAATCATGTGTTCGGCAAGTATTCAAGTGATATCAGAATCATTACAAACAACTATGGATGATGTTCAAATGCTTCGAAAATATCCATCAAATAGTTCTGAATATGTACATCCAATTAACATGACAGCGTTTCCTGTATCTATTATGGGTATCACTATAGGTAAATCTTTTTGTTTCCAGTTAAATTTGTGTTTGTTACAATGATAATATTGACTAATTTCAAAGGACTTAAATTGATTCTCTTCTTGCTGTGCTCTCGTGAAAGTAGTGAAACTTTGAATGCTTTAGCTCAAGATCATCGAAATGATGTTTTTTCAAATGCTATGGCTCTTGTCTGTGGTATATTAGGTAGGATATTTATCTATTTTAATATTTAACTTCTACAATTCAATTTTTTCTCCAGGCTTTATGGCAAAAAAAAATCCGATCCGCTATCCTTCAGCTTTAGTATTAACCGATCCAATCGGTGCTATTCTCATATCAGTATATATCGTGATTACATGGATTCGTCAGGCCAATCGTAAGCTTTCAATTACTGTATTGTAATATTTTAATAATTAAATTTATAAAGAACAAGTCAAACGATTGACTGGGCATACAGCTACTCCAGAATTTCTTCAACAGATAACCTGGATTGCATTTCATCATTCATTGTTAATTTTAAAAATTGATACAGTTCGAGCATTTCATTTTGGCACACACTTTCTTGTTGAGGTTTGTTATTGAATAAAGTGATGTCTTTTTGTTTTCTGTAAGATGTTCATACTACTTTTATTCTCCCTTCAGGTGGATATCGTTCTTCCGGAAGATATGTCACTCAAAGAAGCGCACAATATTGGAGAAGATTTACAACAAAAAATTGAAAAGATTCCTGAAGTTGAACGAGTATTGAAGAAAAATACTGCTTCTTGTTTTTTGGTTATTTAATTCTTTTTTTTCTATCTCATTTAGGCATTTGTTCATCTTGATTATGAATTTTATCATAAAGCTAGTGATGAACATAAAGTAGTTTAAAAATCAATTCAAATCCTTGGAAAACCTACTAACAGATCTATGTTCATTCGTACTGTTTTATGATTATTTTTCTGTAATGTAACTGTTTGTCTGCATAAGTCGGTTTAACACTTTCCATTCCAATATTCTTATCTTTTCACTTCTTTCTTATTCTTTTTTGATTGAGTCATGCTTCCTAGAGAATTCAGTTGTAATGAAAGAGATTGTCTCGGTGATCATGTTCTTTTAGACAAAATACAAATGCGCAATTCATAATCGAAAATATGATTAGTTTCTATTACGAATGATTTATAATCATTCGTGTATAATCGAGTATTTAATTCGAGGGATAATGAAACAAGTAGCATGCATATTCTTTGTTTCATCTCAAGAAAACATCAAGCTTTTCTCCGGCACTTGATAATATATAAGAAAGTTGAAATAGTCGTTACTGTTCTTCAATGTAATTACTTTTATTTTACAGCAGCACGATATAGTAAATTGCTACGTCATTTTGGAAGTTATTTTCTTATGAAACCAATTTATTGCTGATATGATAACGTACAATTTCTATTCGTTAAAATAAAAATGAATAATTTGTTTGACAAGTAGTGTGAGATAGCTTAAAACGAAGAGAATACTGTTTCTTCATCTATCTAAATATGCACCGAAGATTAAACATGGATATTTAAGCACAGAAGCGACAAGTACCAGAAAAAAAACATCAAATTAAACACGAAGTTTAGTGCAATATTAATGACCGAGTATTTTACTCAAGGCATGAGGTTTCTATTTCTTGCCTCTTGCGTTGAATTTGTTGTTATGTTAGAATTTAAAATGTTTGGCAGAAAAATATTCGACTATATAGTTGTAATAACAATTAGTTATTTCATTTCTAATAATTAATGTTAATCATTAGAAATAAATTGATCATATAGTACTTTCCCATTTAAATTTTAATATTCAACCTCATCAACATAAATAATTCGATTCAAATTTTAATGAAAATTTTCTTTTTCACTTTGACTTCTGATAGATTCATGGATTTGTCAAAAGACTTGATATTAACGTTGACGCTTTTGATTTACATGTTCAACTTTTTGGTTCGCAAAGTTCTCGTGCTTAAAAATCCGTGCTAACAAGTTTCTACCATCAACAAAATAGTTATACCACCGAAAATATATTACAGGATATTCAATCGTGCATGCATAAACCTATGAATCATAGGCTATGATTAGGGCTGCATGAGATTGTTAAATGACCCTTAAAAAGATCAAATCAGCTTTCAATTCAAAAGAAGGAGAATACTGAGTTGGCGAAAAATCTTTCTGTTTATAATAAGCGCATATTAGTAATAGAACAGAGGATTTAAAAAAAATATTATCCAGATGTTTCATTCGAAATAAAACAGAAGAAAAGCAGACCATCCAGTATTAGGCGAGAATGTTTTTATCAATTTCTTAAATTCAAACAAGAAGTAAACTTACAGACCTAAACTCTACATTTAAATTATATATATATATATGAGAGTTTTCCTTGAATAATCAATAAAAGTATCGTTAAAGCTCTATAATCCTGCGCAACGAATATACACTTGAATAATGGTTTCTATAGTGATAACGCTCATTTTTATTTATACTTTAATTTTTTAAATATTAATCAATTAACTGTAAGTGTCTTTGGCCCTTGAGCTTTCTTATATTCATTAAAAAAGATACTAAAATTAGATCCTTTTCTTGATGGAAAATGCTTGAAGATTCTTAGTGACAATTTGAGAATCTGAAATACGTCCAACAAGTTTCTTTACAATATTGTTGAGATAAGTGAAGCACCAACAATCTATGTTCATCTGTACAACATATTCCTGGAAAAACTATTGTTTTCGTTATGCCAACGTTACTTTTCTAAACTTGCACAGGCAATTTTCATGATTAGAATAGCTGGCTATGATGTTTTTACGATGAATAAGAACATTTTTGAACAGAAATCTTTATCATTCTGGCACATGTATAAATTGAAATTAAATAAAAAATGAGAATAACTGGCACCTCAGCAAAGTGATCCACGGTGGGTATCATGTTGTATTTCATATAAATACTCGTCTTGTAAAGAATATTACAATATTATATTAGTTTCTTTAGTGGTAATTATTTTCATCCTACAAAATTGCATTTTCAACAGATTCGATAGCAAATCGAATCATTAATATTTAGCGTTCGAGCCTCTATTACTCAATAAGACTCATCAAATTGCTAAGTCTATGTGGAAAAATAATTTCTATAAAATTTTATGAAAATCAGTCAAAGAAACGAACTTTATTCATTTAAGATAAATGAAATTCATTGTATCTAATGCATGTCAGAAGTCTGAATGATATATTATACGAGGTTCAATCTGACATACATATATGTCGTAGGCCAATCTCAGATTCAGGCCAATCCTGGATTGGCTTAGGCCATTCTAAGATCAGAGATTGGACTAGTCCAATCTTGGATTGATGCAATCCTATTCATTAATATATCAATAACGTTTTAGATAAACTTTGGATTAGAGTCATTTTTTTAAATCATGCTCAGATAACGTCGTTTTACGTTTACAAGCATTCACGGAGAAACTAACTTTAGTCTCGGATGCTTATTAACAATTTTTCATAAACTTATTCCCCTAGAGAAATCTATTCATAACTCCTAATATTTTACTTGAATCTTTCCAGAAACTATTGCACAAAATAAATTGGCATCGTATGAACATGATTTCAAAAAATGACTCAAATTCAAAATTTATCTAAAATGTTATTGATATATTAATGAATAGGATTGCATCAATCAAAGATTAGACTAGTCCAAACTCGATCTTAGAATGGGCTGAATCCAAGATTGGCCTACGACATATATCTATTTATAATGTACAACACAATACAGTCTATCGCAATTTCATTTCATTTCAGGCAACTCTTATAGTTAGTGACATCTGTCGCACATTTATAAGAAAGAAATCGCAAATGAAGCAATATAGATCTTTTTCTAATAATATCTATCAATATAATATTTTAGTTAACTTCTTGACAGCACTAGTTCAAAAAAAAAGTAAAAGTCTTTATAAGATTTCTTATTGAAGAATCATTGAATGAGTCATTCAGTGTATCAGATATTGATTGTGTACAGAAGTATGTGTATGTTTATTTGATTGTAGTATCAGCTAATGCATTTACATTGTTACAGAATTATTTGAAACCGTAGTTCATGAATTTTAGATTATATTAACGAATATTTATAATAATGGCAGGCGAATATGATACAGCAATTACCGTATTTTCACCAGATGGACGTCTTTTTCAAGTGGAATATGCACAAGAAGCTGTCAAGAAAGGATCAACGGCTGTTGGTGTACGCGGCAAAAATATTGTTGTCTTAGGTGTTGAGAAAAAAGCCGTTGCTGTTTTACAAGAAGATCGGTAAAATTAACCATTCGCATCGATTTATTTATTTTATAAACTTCTGTATTTACTTTTTTTAGTACGGTTCGCAAAATCTGCGTGCTTGACGATCATGTTGCAATGGCATTTGCTGGTCTTACAGCTGATGCTCGTGTTTTAATGCACCGTGCTCGTATTGAATGTCAATCTCATCGACTTAATGTTGAAGATCCAGTAACAATCGAATATATAACTCGATATATTGCTGATTTACAACAAAAATATACGCAAGGACGTGGTCGTCGTCCATTTGGTTTATCAACATTAATTGTTGGTTTCGATTATGATGGTACACCACGTCTCTATTCAACAGATCCAAGTGGTACTTATCATGAATGGAAAGCGAATGCTATTGGTCGACAAGCAAAAACTGTTCGTGAATATTTAGAAAAATCTTATACTGAAACAACATACGAATCAACACATGAATCTATTAAGTTATGCATTCGTGCCTTACTTGAAGTTGTTCAGAGTGGATCGAAAAATGTTGAAATTGCAGTCATGATAAGACATAAACCATTAAAAACACTTAGCCATGAAGAAGTTGAAAAATATATTGCTGAAATTGAAAAAGAAAATGAAATTGAAGCTGAAAAGAAAAAGCAAGCGAAACAAATAGGTAGTACAACTACTGCACCAGGTTTAACAACACAAACATCAAAAAAAGAATAAAAACAAAGATCGAACATTTTGGTGAACAAAATTTTCTTCTTAGACACTTTTCTCTTCTTTCTTTTTATTACAATTATTGTTGATTCTGCTGTTCTGTCATTCCTATTAAAAACACACATAGACAAGAGAAACCAAGCTTATGCGTAAAACTTCTTCATTTCTAGATAAATATCATCGTATATTCGTCGAATAGACTTTAAAAATATCAAGTAGGTTAACAAAATTTTATTTATTTGCTTTGTCTTTTTTTTCTAATTTGTATTGATCTTTAATTTACTTGTTTGAAATAAAAACACATTGTTCGTTTTATCATAAGTAAATTTTCTTCGTAAATTCGATCTAGAAAAACAAAATAATATGAATATGATTCAAACGACTTTTCTTCTTCAACAATAGTGCTTATGTAATTTTTATTATATAATAATAATAACCGTTTCCTCATTATAAGTTAAGTTTGTAACAACAATATAATTTAATTGAGATTATATATATATCATCGAAATGATAAAAGAATGAACTTCTCTAGCCTTCTATTTTATTTTAGGATAGTTCAACTATCATCATGCCTCTATTAGATACTAATGCTATTGCTCTTCTTCATACACTTTTGACAACAAATTCTTTATCACGTCTTTCGACTTTGTGCGCATCATTACAAGCACCGATAGAACACATCTTATCAATTGTTGCTGCCCACCCATTTGTTTTTGCACGTCTTCGTGCAACTGATACACCAGGTGATGATCGGATTGCAGTTGTACTTGATCTTACGAATTGTACATTCTATGCACGTCCACCAAATGGTTGTACCAAAGATATTGCCTGTCCCTATTTACATTTATGTCCGTCGGTTGTTTTACCTAATCGACGTTGTCAACGACCACATGATTGCCCATTATCACATTCTCTTGACACGGAACATAATCGACGAGTTATTATTGAACGTGGTTTAGAAAATTTACCACAAAAAACTCTTATTATGCTCATTTTAGCTTCAGCTGATCCAAGTAAAACAGTAAGATGAAAAAACTAAAATCTATTGTAGAACACATAACATTAATAGCTGTCATTTCTTTTTTTTTAAATCTACCACTAGTTTGCAGTTTGTCATCATAAACCAAAACCATGTCGCGAATCTAATTGTGATGATTTACATTTGTGTTATTTTTACATGTGTTCACCTCATTTATGCAAATATGGTGACTGTAAAGCTGGCCATTCATTGATGACACAACGTAATATTGATTATTTGGAACGTCGTGGTCTTGCACATATTGAACCCATAGATGTTGTTGCCCTATTTCGTATTGTTGATGAAAATAAGTAAATAAAATTTTAATATGCCGAATCATACGGCTAATATCAATTTGATTTCTTTAGAAAGCGCTCTCATTTTTATCGATACCAATTAGAGCAACATCAACAACAACCACAACCAATGATGATTATGACATTAATGATGGATGAACATGGTCAACATCAAACACAGCCAATGATAATGTTTTGAAAATTTACTTTACGTTCTTTTTTCTTTGACAAAGATTCAAGTGAGAATGAATGTTTGACATAGCTCGTTTCTTTTTTGTTTTGTTGATTTCCTTTTTTTCTCGTTATCTTCTATTGTTTTGGTCACTTGTGTGATATTGTTGTTGTTGTTGTTGTTATTGTTGCTGTTTCCTTTTTTGCTTCTATACCTTATTCTCAGGTGAACCATATCCAGTGCAATACTCCAGTAACACGAACAGAAGCAAAGGATTGATTAATGCATTGCATCTAGTTTATTTCGCAGCTATTTTTTTTTATCGTGTTTTAGTTTTTTTTCATTAAAAACCAAAACACTGCGATTGTTTTCTTCGTCATCTGTATTAACAATGACGAAAAAAAAGATCGAACATCGATTACAAACATTTATTGAAAAAGAACATCTCTTTCTTTTTTTTATTTCGAACGCATAACTTTGAGAAGCAAACTATAATTGATAGATAATACTCATGTTTTTTCCTTTTTGCAGAAAATCAACTCTTTTGTTATTAATGAAATCATAATGGATAATGTAATAAATCTTATTAATCATTTACTCAATACAAAACATTCAATTGATACTGTAGATTCTATTATTGATCGTTTACAAATCTCGAAGGGCTATCTTTTACAATTACTAGACGATTATTCATATAAAGATTATTTTCAATTATTGAGACCAGCAAGTAATCGTAACCAAGCTACTGAGAAAATTGCTCTAACATTAGATGTAAGTATGACAGAAAAAAACATGCAAATTCTATGTTTTCTTTTGGTTTTAATTTAGCTCTTTTGTTGTACACATTATGCAAATCAATGTAAAAATGAATCGTGTCCATTTTTGCATTTATGTCCGTATAACATAAGACCAATGCATCCTAAATGTACGAATAAAACTTGTCCATATGATCATGAAGTGTTAAAAAGTATTCACAATCGAAAAATTATTGATGTACATGGTCTCGCTTTTATGCCGGCAAGTATTCTACATGAATTAACTCGTGCAAGTGCCGATCCACTTCGATCGGTAAACGACAAATTTATTTAGTAAAATACTATGTACTTTTGTTTCTTATTTGATTTGTCCAGTTTTGGGTATGTACCGATCATGGAAAAAAAGGTGGCTGCTCAAAAAAGTACTCTTGTGAAAAATTTCATTATTGTTATTTTGCGTTAATTGATGGTTGTACAAAACCATATTGTCAACACGCGATAAATGATGCTTGTCTTTCGTATTTTCGAAAAAAAGAATTAATTGAACAAAATCATGACGATATTTTGGATGCATTCAGAAAAGTTCTTCGACAACGGTATGTTATGTGTATACAAATCAAATATATTGCTTTAGAGATCAATGATTAGTAGAACTTCTTTAAAGTTACTTCTTTCTACATGCTAGTAACCATGAGAGAAGAGAGAAATTCAAATAACCATAGTAAGCGTTGCCATAGTAACTGAACTCACCAGACAGCTGACTCCTTTTTCAGAATTGCTTCACCACAAAGGTACATGTTTAACTGATAACAATTCTAATATGTCTGTCAATTTTCTAAATGATACAAACCAAAAAATTAGATTCAACATGTCAAAGATAATTGGTAGTTTTGTATCAATTTGAGAGAATCTTTCTGTAATTAATATAAGCAGCATGAACATATCAAGCGATAATTTTCAAAAATGATCAAAATCAATATCTATAAGCTTCGAGTAAAATGCATGATCAAGCATTGAGACTGTTTATTCAATGATGAAAATGCGCACAGAAGAAAAACGCTTATTTGCCAACGGAAATTAATCTTTTAACAGTAGTGATGTTAAACTAAGAAAAGTAAAAATAGTGAGTACATATGGATGAGACAAAAAAGAAATACTTTCTGTTTAAAATGCAAAATAAAATAAGATAACTTTGGTTCTTATCAATTGATTAAATTTGAAAGATATCAATAGTCTATTCACGATTTTTCACTTCAAGTAGATTAGTTTGTTAGAATAAAATGAAAAAAAAAATAGATGAAAATTAAATTTCAGCTATCGAAGGTTTTCACGAATGCTTTGTTAAATGAAATTAAAATATAATAATTAAATCATTTGTTATTTTTATAGAAAACCAGATTTTATTACTAAAGTCAGCACATCTAATATTTCATCTTCGAATTCAAAATTTTTAGTTTCAAATGATACTCAGCGGTAAGTTAAATAAAATCAATTCAATAATATATTAGACATATTAGTAGATGATCAAAATTTATTTCATTAGATATAAATCGATGTTTTTTTATAGCCTACTTATTTTTAGTAAGAAAAATAGGGAAAATTTTTATCAAATAATATTACTTTGCAAATATGTTCGACACATATTTCATTCAAAAATTTAAAAAAATAAATAACAAGAATTTTGTTTAAAAGCTTAATCATTTTCGTTTTTTTTAGTAAACCAGTAGCTAATCAACAACGTGGTGCAGCTGCATCTTCAACACGTTCCATGCCATCAGTATCGGCAAAAGAATTAGCTCCCTTTGATCAGATATTTTCATCGAAATCTGATACACCAGAACCATTGCCTGAACATGATACAGACATTCTTCTACTAGAATGCCATGATACAAATGAATATGATGATATTGAACATTATTTATCTAATGAACTTGAATGTCCAATTAAATTAATCATGTCTAAAAATATCTTATCAGAAAGTAAAGAAAAACTAAGGTATTTTCATATTTCTTTTGTTATTTTGTCAATTTCCAAGAATAATATGATTCTGTTTTTCCTAGTTCAAATCTTCGTACACAACCTATTTATTACTACTGTCCGACTAAAAAGCCTGCTGATATTTTTCGATTGCTTCGTTGGCAAAATACCGAAAAAAAACCAACTGAACCACTAATTGTCTATGCTAATGTACGTGATGCGCATGATGCAGCTGAACAAAATTTTGAAAATAATCAATTTTGCATATTTCGTATACATATTTTCTATGATGATATTACGAATGAAAGTGTATCATCTGGGTTTTGTCTTCGATTGAGCGACCCATCTACAATGTGCTTTGACCGTATGTGGGTTTATGTATACAATCTTTAGCCAACATATTTAGATTAGTTCATATATATGCTGTTTATTATTCGGCTATTTTTTTCCGAAACTGGAAAATATTTCTTTTCGTGTTCAATGCAAAACCGTGATAAACTTTTTATTCATACTGATTGTGACCACCATATTTTTGTAATTTTAATTATGTTTTCTTGTCTGCTATCTTGTACATGTTTCACTTTTTCATATCGCAACTCTTGGTTCATTTCTGGTAAAACAAAATTTTTCTGTGTCGAAAGAAAGTAAACTGCGAATTATATTGAAAAAAAGGATTCATTTTTTGAAATCTTCAGTGAAACAATACCAATATTAACATGAACTATTAGATTAGTTGACTGTTTGTGTTGTAAGAGCTCAATGAAATAATTTTTTTAGAAAAATACTTTATACTATCAAATGAAAATTCACTTCTGCAATGCCATGGGTGATCATAAAAAATGAAGGTACTAACGTTCAAAATGTATTTAGAAAAAAAGTTTGTTGCTGTAGGGATGGGAACATAAAAAAAAGGCCCTTTACAAAAGCCATGCGCTTTGGTTTGACCACTAAATTTACCGTTTGAGGTAAAAACAAATTCCTTTATTCCACTGAATCATCAAAGTGAATCATTCTCCAAGTACTTTATATCTCTTCGTCAAGAAAAAAGATATCTTTTCAAAATCTTGTGGATGACATGTTGCAACGCGATATATATTACTGTTACAAATATGAAAGAAGAACACATTGTATAATTGAGAATCTTGATAACGGATTCAATTTTCGTTCTGTACCAAACAATGTACAAATCTATGCTATGATAATATATTGATATGATCAGTTAGACTATATGTTAACTAAAATGCCAATTGTTTTTTCATCGTTTAGTATTTCTTTTAGTATCGATAGTAATACATATGTATTGATCAGTAATCATGCACAATTGAATGCCAATAAACACATAATCTCTTGAAATGAAAATCAAAGTTCACAATATTCACTATTCAGTTTCTTTTTGAAAATTTTACTTGTCTTAAATTATTTCTCTGTGCACTTGGAAAATTCATACCATGTGGACTGAAACTAAATCATCAATATAGACGTCTATCGTATGTCAATAAAACAAATATTCTAATTATCAGATAACTGTTCAATATCAAATTCATTGATTTGAGAATATACAAATCTACTCGAGTATGCATCTGTGCCAAAATGAAAAATGTTAACAAATATATATATATATATATATAAAGATGGGGATTATTAGTGACAAGTGGATTGCATGTCTTCACGAAAACAGCACTAACTTTCTCCATCAATTAATTAAAAAATCATTTTGATTTTTTGACGAATAAATGACATGTTTTACAATCAGAAAAATTTTGTCATAATATACGGAATAAAATTGTTTATTAACTTAAATATTTTGTTTTGAACATTGTGGTAATGTAATGCGTATGTAAAAATTTATTCCAGAGTTTGTCTTAATCTTTATTTTATCTTTTCTCAAAGATAAGTGTGCACTTTAAGTTATAATTAGACCAAGAATAATGTATCAAAAGAATGTTTTGATAAAAAAAATAGTATTTACGAATATTCGATGATTAAGATTTATAAATTTTATAGATCTAATTTAGACATTTTTAATCATTTACTGAAATATTAATATTAACTAGTTAATAGTTCTGATTATCAAAAGTATTTCAATAAACAAAAATATTTTTTTAATTTCAACTTAGAATTAAATCATTTTTCTTTTCGTGTGATTAATTCGATATACATTACATTCATATGTATTATTTACTAATATAATTAGCTTCTATTGTGTTGAATTAACTTTTAAATTTTTCATTCAAAAATCTAATAAAGATGTCGAGCCTGCTCAGATGTAAAGAATTCATTGGTCGCATATAAAGTCTTTATTGGACTGTATGCATGTTACAACATCGAACCAGTCCATGTTTGCCATTTGTTTATGATTTTATAGATATCAATATATTCTCATACACATCTATAATTAAAAAATAGCCACATTAGTCACGCGATTTGTCTTATTGAATACTATTACGTTAAGTATAAACTCACAAATACACATCACATTTTATCGTTCTCCGTGGAAACATCAACTACGTCGTTTCTATTTTTAGACAAAAACTACCCTGTTTATTGTTTATTCTAAAATACTCCTCTCTTCACATTTCTAATTTCTTGATGATAGATAAAAGAAAGAAAAATCTATTGTCAGTCCTTTAGTTATATCTTATCATTGTCGTTTCCTATCTTTAATAACATCTCTAAATGATAATTTTGAATAGATTATCAAAACAGAGTGAGGAGGTAGCGCCCTCTAGATACCAAATAAATTAATATCCTTTTGTTTAAAATATTGATCCAAAAAGAGTTCCAATAAAAATATTGATTATTTTCAAAGTATTTATTAAAAACAAGATCTTTCAAGTTTATTAAAACATTCAAACCAATAGAAAATATTCGAAAATATAGAAATAGAAAAAAATATCTAAGTTTTTTATTCTCTGTTGTATATAGACTGGTTTGTGTGCATGTGTACAAAACGTCGTCAGCCATATTCATCTAACTAGAATTGTCTTGTTCTACTACATCTTTTTCTTCTTTTGTTTATTTTATTAAACAGAAAAAAAATCTGAAAATTCTTATCTAAACCAATACAAGCAGTCCATCAACATTCCAAATGGCTTCATCTGCCGAGAATACAACACCATTGGTGAATATTATTATTGAGTATTTTGGTAAACTGAACAATTTAATCTTCTATTTTCTAGAATGCTGGTCCTACACCAGAAATGAGTGAAGAAGCAAAGTTGAGAGCTAAATATGGGGGTGCACTTCCTCGACAACAAAATATGTTAACAAAAAAATTAATGAATAAGGTACAAAATATCGATTCTGTAAAATTGTCATCTTTATTTTGTAATTTTAATTAGCCGAAGTATTTCGATTCTGGTGATTATAATGTTGCAAAAGCACAAGGAAAATTAGCGTCTAGTAAACCAGATTCAACAAACAGAACGACTAGTATAAAAGAAGCAACACAAACGATTGTACCTGAAACGATAACTGGTCATGAAATTCCAACACCTGAAACAGTTATGCCAAGAAAATTGTCGTGTGCTGCAACAATGACACCTACATCAACACCAACCATAGCGAGTAGTTCTATGCCACCACCATCCACACAATAAAAAGATGAAACATTTATTTGGAAGGAAAATTATCAACGAACAAAATAAAGACCTAAGTTTTTCCTGTAATCTCTTCATTTTTTTCATATTATTACTATCGTTCTATTTCTCTGTATATATGTGGGAGTATTTTCGAAAAAAAATTAAACAAACACAGGACCTTAATTACTGTTGTATTTTTATTTTATTAAAGAGAAAGTTCCAATGTTGATCCGAGAAAAATCTAGTAGTGTTGTCGCACAATTAAACGCTAAAGGTTATTGAGTTTTTACATTAATAAGTGAAGCGGGATAAATTTTAATAGTGTTTTGAAGCATTTTTCGTAAAAAGATAATTTTGTTAAAGCTTTAGTCAAAACATCAACTTGTATTTTTGGATTGAATCGATGTTTTTAGGTTTTAAGATTACTCGGAAATATTAATCTTTCACAAAAACATAGAATGTATTTGAGTATAAATTAAGAATAAAACATTTTTTAAATATTAAATATAGAAAGTCGTATCACAACATGTTTACAATTCTTCATTTCTGTCCATCTTATGATAACATACAGTAAAATGCTTTTTTAAATAGCAATTTGAACAGCATACATATTATTCATATCCTTGTAAACTTATTAAGATGACGTTTATCGACATTAATCAATTATAAATTACGTTTTTATGAATCGTTTTTCATGTTTAACTCCAAAAAACAATGGCAGCGATCATTAAAAAATCGTCGTCGCTGGGACATATTCTATATTATTAATCAAATTATTTATTTTTTAAAGTCATGATCAGAACCTGCTGCGTAAGTGTCATTTGATCGAATGTCTTTTAGAAATTTTTTAGACATATTCACCGTCAGAAATGAATTTCAAATATATATTTACAAAGTATTCTGCTTGAGTCAAAACTTGAATAATATTGTCATAAGCCTTCAATATATTACTGTTTTACACAATTCTAAGAACTGTTTGTATGATAGGAGAAATGAGAATTAGTAGAATAACGCACAATTGCTTGAAAATTTATGATAGTTCTTTTTAACAACAAAATAATTAATTATAAATTTGCTTATGCTTTGCCGATTAATCATAACAAAGACAATAAGACGTCCGGTCATATCAATACAATCATCGACTTCTATTAGTTTATATACATTGACTGTAGTTACCAATTGTATCATGAAAACTAAATCGTTTTCTAAATTCATTGAATGTTAGAATTTTAACTAAATTTGGCAATCATACTAAACGTAATTGTTAAGTACGATATAAATATTAAGTTATAAAATAGAATTGAATATTAAAATATTAGAGAGCACAAATATCTTGAAACAATTCTACCCACGGTCTACTTAATAACATCAGAGAATTAACACCGTAAAAAAATATTTGATACTTGTTATTTTTTTTGTTCCGTTCTACGGAAGTTCTTCTGCATAAAGTAAATTTCCTCTAAGATAGAAATTTCATTCTTCGAAAGAATATTTTTCTTATTCAAATAGTAGAAATAGAACAATTTATAACGACAACCTTTTATTACATAGAGTATATTTTCAAAATATTCTAGAATTTTACTTTTTCTCAAGGATACTTGATTTGTTGATGACAATGCAAGATTATCTGTTTAAAACCATTTTAAGATCATATTAAACGAGAAAAAGCAAAAGACAACAGTGATGATGATAATAATAGTATTCAATCAATAATATCAACATCACAGAAATTATCTACATTCTTAATAGATAAAAGTTATATAAGAGCAAAAGTAAAGCAAACTTTCAAGGAAGAAGAGAAAAAAAAGTTAAGACAACTTTGTCGTTTACGTATCGAAGATGATGCACTATTGTTTATAGCATAACGACGTCGTCAACGAGAAATAATTCAATTACATCTTGAATAAATTACGATAGAAAAACGAGAAAAAAAAGAATTGTTATATTTTCTTTATATGTTTTAAGTAAATATATATATATATATATATATATATGTATATATAATTATAACCAAATAATTTGAAGAAATGATTGCTGTTTTGTCATTATTTAACAGGATAAATGATGATTTGAATACCAAGGTGGTGATGTTGTTGAATCCTTGATATTTGAATTTTCCAAACCCATTGCTGACGTATTTGTACTCATTAAATCAAAGCCTAGAAGAGAAAAAAATCATGAAAATGGATAATTAGTCAAAGAAAAAAATACAAATCTTTACTTTGAGTAGGAAAAGCGTATGATGCTGTAGCCATCATGGATCCACCAAGATGATAATCAAAATGATGAGATGTTGGTGTATAAGCATGATGAGATTGTTTTTCATGATGAAACATTTGTGCAGCGGCTGCAGCTCCAATAGCTGCTGCAGTGACAACATCCATATCGGGTGACGGATGATGATGATAACGTCCTGTATTATTAGTATTAGTATTAGTATTAGTATTATTAAGATTTGTATTATTTGGTGATCCAATTGAATGCAAATGATTGCTTGAAATCGTTGATGATGATGACGATGATGGCGGTGTTGCTGTTGAATTCGTTGCATAAGGTGAACGATATGAATGATGATGATGCATCCAATCAGAATAATCATTTTGTGATGTAGGAAGATAAGTTGGATGAGGGTATGAAGTTGGTGATGTCATAAAATTAGGCCAGAAACTACTCGATGGATTCATCATGCTTGAATAACCATAAGATGAAGTTCGAGGATCTAATTATCAAATTTTATTATTATTTAAAAAAATCAAATCAAATGTAATACTAAAGAAATCTAAGAATAGTGTTACGTGTAATTTTACTTCTATCGATATTGATATAGAATAAATTTATGGTAATTTTTCGATATAAGAGTTATGAAAATATGTTGTTTTCTTTTTTAAAGAATTATTCTATCTTAGTTCATTACGAATAAGTCTACTATTATTCTCTACGAGTTTTTCATTGATTTCATAAGTGTGAAATTAAAACGAAAATATGAACAAATTAGTTGTTTCGAGAAATTAACTTTATTATCATATAATTAGACTTACCTCGTGCTGATATTGATCTTGTTGAATTAAATGAAGTTGATTGTTTAAGTGCCTTATCAAAATGTTCATCAATAATCGAACCTGATTCTCCGGTATAATATCGATAAACAATTGAATTTTCTGATGAACATTCAACAATCTTTCCATCGGTTAACGCTGTTCGCGGTGTCGATCGATGATTCATTCGATGTGATTTATTATCGAATGTATCAATTGATATGTTTGATGGCATTCGTGTTGATGGCTGTTCATCATGAAGATTGCTTAACATATGATCGAGGTGTGCTATGGGGCCATCACTATTGAGTGTTGTCGTCGAACTCGTATTATTAGTAGATAAGTTTTCATTGACAAGTGTATTAGTACTCATTAAGGATGTACATACATATATTACTAATCTAAAATAATTTCATGAATGCCAGAATCATTATTATCAATAAAGAAACTTAAAAATTAATTGAAAAAATTTCGAAACATCCTTTCATATTATACCAATGATACAACTTATATAACATCGAAAATAAAACATTAAAATACGAAAATGATTCTGTTTTATTCGACTCTCTATTCTATCTGATCACGTAGAACTGAATTCCATTGAGTATGTGTCATGTTGTTGATGCCAGTTTTTTTTTCTTATATTTTTGGCTCGTTCGAGCATAATCGTTATCTATCGTCGTTTGAAATGCATACCATCTTGGAACAACATAACGTCTCATCTTCTTTATTCATATACGCGCAGGCGCGCATTTTCACTGTATCTTACCCCTCACGAAGTAATTAGAGTGTAAGAGCTTATCGACTACCAATCGAATTCCATTCCGAAAATGCGAATGAGGGAAAAGAAAAAGAAGAAAAAAACGAAGAAGAAGAAGAAATAAAGATAGATGATTGATAGGGCACGCGTGTATGTTCACCAGACCAACTCGATGATCATGTTTGTTTGTTTAACGTTTGCCACATTCATAATCAATTCGATCATCACCTACACACATACACGACAGAGATTAATTTCTGTTTCATCTTCTCGGACAACAAATAGACATTTGCGCAACAATTTTGTGGCGATTCAAGAGAACGAGGTGACTTGATTGCCTTTTGTTTAATAGAAAGATTGTACAAAACATGTCGCTCATTATTGACACAACTTGATAGTAGTGGTGGACATTGACATTTGCTCGAAGATCATTACGATACACATGTGAAACAACACGCATGTATGCAAAACTCGTTACAAAAGAGCAAAATTCTTTTCGAGTTTTTCTTTTGCCATCTATTATTAATGATGGATAGTCTAGAAATAATTACAGTATCAGTATTTTCTTTTCTTTGGCAGATATGATCTATTGAATTTGTGTGGCCAAATTAATTTTGACTTTCCTTTTTGTTATCAGATTGGCGGTATTGAACAGTAAAAGTCATTTGTTCTATTTTTATTGACTCACTAGGTGTGTTTAAATAAATTAAGAAATAAAATGCTGATACATTCTTTTAGTTTGATATTAAATGATAGAAAATGTTCAATTCAATAGTTTTGCATATTTGTCTGCGAATTGAATAAAAAAAATGAAAGCATAAGAGAACTCCCGGTGTGATGAAGAAAAGTTTGATGTAATTAAAATGAATTTTATGATAAATGATATGTTTTCAGATAACAACGAAGAGTTCATTATCATTGATAAAATCTTAATGCGCAGCTGGCGTAATTAATTTAAAGTAAGTTGTAATTTCAAAACGAGAGTTGATTTTAGTTAATTTTCAAAAAATGTTGTATGCAATTCAATTATTGAGTCTAAAAGAGAAAAGAAATGTTGTCTTAATTCGAAATGTAAAGTTTACATTTATGTGTAATCTCTTGCGAACGAGTTTAACTTTGATCGGCGCACAAACATGTTATCTGTATAATAAAACAAATTAACTTGTTTGTTTTATATTTCATTATAAGTTTCATTGTTACGCCTTTATCGCTTTCAATACTAGTTAATTATTTAACTTGATAAAATAATTACAAATACATTTAATTTTATAGTTATGAACTGCATTTTACTTTTTGCGTGCTCTTTAATGTATATTTTTTAATCATCAACATTGGCAATTTGGAGAGTTTAAGTCGCATTGTCATGTGAAATCTGTTTAGATGATTGATTGCCAAAAGAGTTGAATGTTAACTATTCTATAAATGACATCATTTTCAACATTTCATCTAGTAAAATTGGTTTATTAATTTCTGTCATAACAAATAAAAACAATATGAATCAAAATTTTGATTCATCTTATTGTTTTTACTATTCTTTTAGATAATAAATAAAATTATCAGTTATTAAATCTATTGTTATATTAATAGTGACTGTCAGTAGATCCTATCAATTTCATAAATTATAATTGAAATAATTATACAGTATTTTATTCTCTTCTGATAGATTATTTCTATCGGACAGAGTTATGCAAAAAAGATATCAGCTTTCTATTAATTAATCAATATTCAAAATGATCGTATATGACTTTCTATTTCTTACTCTCCTATGAATTTATATTCATATAAATCTGAAGTCATATAAACATAAAATAACAATTTAAAGCATTTTTATTATTGATATTTATTTTTAGAAATCAACATTTTTATTTGTACTGCCAGCAAGACTATTCTTTCAGTAGTTGATTTTTAAATAGTTGTCCATTTGGATAAACGTATTTTGTTGTAACAAATTTTCTATCGATTTGTTCTAATCGATAAATGGATTGAAATATTCGATAGACAGAAGGTAATGGTAAAGAAATTCCAATTAATCCTTCAAAAACAAAAAGAAGAAAACAATGGTAATAAATTATTCATTTTTTAAATCTCTCAATAGATTGCATTACCTATTCCAGCAAGAATTGAGCAAAGAATTTTCCCAATCGGTGACACTGGCACACGTTTAGCATCGCCAACAGTTATTGTTGATATAGTAACAATATTAAATAAATCTTCAAGACGTGTTACATAAGCATGATCCCAATTTTTTTCAATAACTTGTATAATAACACCAAATGTAAAAACAAAAAATAATATTATGAAGCCAATAGACAGAATATATTTAATTGCATTGACAGTACCATAAAAAAGAATTCGTAACGATTTAACATACCGACAAAGACGAAAAAATCTACATAAACGTAATATCATTAAATATTGGAATAATTTAAGATTAAAAAATGGATCTTGTTTATCATCATTCGATATATTCATTTCCATCAAAATCAAATAAATCCAATTAATACATAATGTAAATAAATCGCAAAGATTTATTAATGAAATAAATGTTATCCATTTATGAGGTGACGAAGTTAAACGAAAAATATATTCGAATGTTATGAGAGTAGTGCATACTAAAGCAAAACAAGAAAAAACCAACTGGCCAATTAATAATAAAATGGTTACATTAATAACAAACATTGTTCAATTATAAGAATTCGAGAACCAACAGTTTTCGATGGACGAAAATCAAAAAATGTATTATCACAGTTAGTTGAATCATGTTTAATAGATAATTTATGACAAAAAACTTTATCCCTTGATATTTGTGGAATAAGTTCAATGGAAATATTTAAACAAAACAGTAAAGAAATAATTAAACAGTTTAATTGAATCTAAAGAAATACACTAGAAAAATTTTCGCCAATTTTAATAAAACTTACAACTTGAGCTTTCAATGAATAGTCATTATATTCTAATGAAATCCAAATAGCTCTGAGAATAGGATTTTCTGGTACAACACGATGGTCATGATCATGATGATGATGATGATTAATTAATTCTTGATTGATTTCAGTATCATAACAATGTTCAATGGTTTCATTATCTAATTGAAAATATTTTAGTTCTTCAAAAAATATAATTGGTTCATATATTGTAGGTACAACTAATTTGCCTGTTTCATAATAATTAATAATTGCTTCAAAAGAAATAATATGTCGATCAATAATGTATTGTTGTTTTACTTTGTTATAGAAAGACGTACGTCGTTTAGGGTCACCTAGATAGAAGAAAATAAAGTATTATAACTATTTTGGTTTTGAACAATTAACATAAATATAACCGAGAAGTGTATTTGGAAAACGATCAAGAGAAGTTTCTCGAATAAGAAAAATAGTACCAAGACAATTGAATTCAATTAAATTTTGATTTTTCAAAGAAGAAATATGAGAAGTAGTCATACTAAGAACTAGTGATTGAACATTTGTATCAATGATAGCTTCAACTGTTCTTCGCGCTTTTTACTCTGTCAAAATATTTTTTCGATCAATCATTACTAATATCCAATAAATGAATAATGTCGTAGTTACGATACTTACGTTGATTAGAAGCTCGTATTCGTGAAATTGATCTCTTATGTTCAACGAAATAAATATTTTAAGGAGTGACAGTCTAGGTTATTATTTGAATCTATTATTTTTTCAAATTTAGTGAAATACGTATATGTTTGTAGTACAAAACTAATCAATTTTGTTTATTTGTATGTTTGTGTACAGCTATTTCATTAATTATGACAAAAAATATTGTTCGCGTAATCCCATTATGATGAAAATATTAAACACAATTCAGTTGTTATTGCTTAGCGCAGCAATCGTTGTATTCTATCTGTATCAGGACAATCGTGTTAACCATAATTTAACCTAATCCTTGCAATATGCCATGGAAAAGTGTAGTTCATGTACTACAACGAGCTGTCATTCTCATTACGGTCTGTATAGAGTATCCATCGTCAACCCTGCTCTTTAATATTCCTTTAACATCATGCTTCAAAAGAAAAAATGTATTCTTCATTATTCGGATCTAATTCTATAGATAGTATGACATCTGTAAATAATATGATGAGTTTAAGATTCTTTTAAATTAACTATAATTTCAATTGAATTCTATTTCTATAGCAGAGATAGTGTTGATTTTTTTTTCTTCAACTGGAATGGAACCGAACAGAAATCGAAGGAAGAAAATTTATATGAAGTATATAACTACAAATAAAGACTTTTTTTGTAATTACAAGTCTTTATTCTTTATCTTTAGCAAAAAACTAATTAATCTTTTCACAATCATTAGGAAAATAATAATAAAAAGAATGTCACATGCATACTTTTCATATTTATCATAATGTGTCAGTCGCTTCTTAATATACATTATGTCTTTGGTTGAATACAATCTAGAATTCTTATAAAACTTACATTTTCGTCAAAAAGCAGAGCATGATCCAAAAATCATGTGTTTTCGACTGTGCATAATGTAACAAGCACAGGAAATATCTATGTTATTTAAAGTGTAAAGCTTATTCAGATGTTTAACTTTATGAGCAATCCAAGCAGACAAAAGTTTTCGAAAACGCGTTGAAATACACAAAAAAAAGGTAAAAAATTGAGAGAAAATGGGGGTGTCTGAATGACAATCGGGTCCTCTACGGTCAGTGAAAAGTATCTATTTTTCGCCCTTGTTGTGCGTTTAAACTCGTTTTCAGAAAATTTGATCATCTTGTGAAACGAAAGTTTAAATGGCATACAAATGAATTGTTTTATTAGATTTATTAATCTGCCATCAAGGACAAAGATTTCATGGTAATTAAGTATTGACAGCAATATATAACTTCTTTTTATTGACTCATGAAGTTATTCTTTCAGCTATCATTTATAAGAGTTCTAAAAGTACGAAAAATCTATCATTACTAACGTAAAGGAAATGTTCTATTTCATACTTATTATTTTTTCATATTATTTTGCATTTTCTTTATTATAAAGTTACTGTAGCGTTTCAATGTTTTATTTTGCTCGTTGAAATTATTAGTTGTAATGATTTGTCGAAGAATAGAAAGCAATTCACTAAAAAAGAGGACACACACACACACACACACATTTGTAATCTAGTTAGAAAGGGCAACATATAATGTTATTTCTTTATCTATGACGAGATTTATCATTGACAATAAAAATATTTTTCGCTGAACCAACAATCATATTTGGCCGATTTACATCTGTATCAGCACAATAGACAGCATTTTCAAGATCTGTTATACCACCGACCATCTATTGATTTTTTAGAAGAAAAATCATAAACAAAAATTAGAACCTTACTAAATATGCTATCATTACCTGTAATATTGAATAATCATAAATAATGGCTTCATTCTTATCATTACCAGCACATAAGATATATTCTTTCGGGCAGAATTTCGTACAATAAAGCTACAACACAAAAATGAAGGAAACAACAAAATCATAATATCAAAATAACTGACCATAGAAGTTGCATTGTTTTGAAAAGCATCTTTAATTAATTCACCAGTTGAAAAATCCCAAATCTGAACATAATTAATATAGGGACTTTCATTTTCTATATGTCTTCATACCTGCAATGTTGAATTTTTTCTCCAAGAACCAGTTAAAATAACTTGATGTTCAGCAATAATATCTAAAGCATCACCACATAAATGAGGACCAGCAAAATGTTTTTGTGAATGTGGTGCACGTTCATCCCAATAATGAACAGTTTCATCCCATCCACCAGTAAGAAAAACAGTTTCCATAGCTGGATGTGAACGAATAGCATGAATACGATTTTTATGACCATCCATACTTTCTCGGCTCTCTCTATTTTTTTAAAATTTTAATCACAGATAAAAAAAGAGAACTAATTAATCAAAACTAGATATCTTACGATGCTTGTGATTGTCGAATTAATTTTTTTGTAGTAAAATCATAACAATTAATTACACAATCACTACCTAGTTTCGAAAAAAAAACACAATAAATTTATTGTCTGTTCTGACAAAATATTTTACCAGCAACATATAATCGTGTATAGTTGCAATTAAAATCAAGTGTTAATGGCTGCCGTGATTTTTCATCGAATGTATAAACACATTGTTGAGTTGGATAATGCCAAACTTTAACATAGCCAGCCGTATCTATATAAAATAAAAATTATTTTTGAAAAGAAAAGAAAACTTCTCTCAATTCGATTATACTTACAAGTACCAGCTAACATTTTTTGGTGATCGGCTTTTAAGTCGTCTTTGCTTGCATAAAACTTGAGACATGTTACTGGATAACCTAATAAACACGAGAACATTTCATTATATACTATATTGCGAATAGATTTTTTTTTTCATTTACGTCTTGTTTTTGTGTCATCATCGGTGAGAACATATTGAAATTGACCAGTTTTTGAGTAGATCTACAATGATAGGAAGTAAATATAATCAATAACTCAGATCGTTCATTTCAAATCAACAACTGATTGAATGATTCTACGATAAATTAAATTTTCATAGATATGTGCAAAAGCATGATTTCATTTATTTTTGTACAAGTATATATTTCAATGCAGATATTTCCTTTTTGTTGATAATAAAATGACTACTTCACTGAAATATATATGCAAATAGTTCTTATCAAGAAAAAAATTATTTATAACAGAACATGAATAATTAATGAATAACATCAAAATATTTCAAAAATAAAGTGATAGAATCAAATGAATATTTTGTGATCTCAAAAAAATCAAGAATTACTTGGGATTTAGAAATTTGTTTTTTCTTCAATAAATCGAAAATGACCTATTTATATTACTGTATAGTACCTATTATAAATTAATAATATAAAATTTCTCGCTCGGAATACTAATATTGATATTTCATGCATGAATTAATTATAAACTCTGGATACAAAACACATTTCTTAATTATTTATGAAGCTAAATAGATGTTTTAGGTTTTATTTTCAAAAATGAAATCTGATCTAAAAAATTTATAATCTACTTTTAACATAAATACTATAGAATGGAAAAGAAAACTGTGATGAGATTGACTTTTTTTTGTATATTCAAATTTCCCGTAATACGTAAGAACCTGCTCGTTCCTTCTAAGTAAAACAACCAACATGCTTAAAATCAACTGAAGGCCACTAATGAAATGTGATAAATAGAAAAAGTTTTCTTTACAAGTCAATATTCAACATCTATGAAACTCACCTTAATCGTACCATTACCTAAACCAACAGCAAACACATCTCCAGTAGGACTGTATTTACAGCATAGTACGTATTCTTCACAGTCCCTATAATGAGATTAATTATTCATTTTTGTGATTCACTCAGGTTAGTTCGCCATTATCTTACACAACATTAGCCAATTCGAAATCACCTAACATTAAATGTTTCGGACGTTGATCAACTACTTTGGTAGTTGACATTCGACGTGTACGAGTCGCTCCCGAAGTGTCACTATTAGGGAATGAAATCGAAGGACGCCGTTGATCACCTAATTGATTATATGAATAATTATAAGCAGAGACAAAAGGATCAAATGAACAAAAAATTGACGGATTTCAAGGAAAGATTAACTGACCAACTGTTTTTGATGGTGTTGTCATTGTGCGTTGATTAATAAGCTTATGCCAAACTTTAAATTCACCTTTAGGACGATTCCTTCCTTTTGTTTTACGTTCACGTTTCTATTCGAATATGCACAATTTCAATTAATCAGTCACAAAATCATATTTCAATTTGTTATTCTTTGTTGTTTAAAGAGCAAATAAAACTGACTGATGGAATAAAGAAAGTGTTGCAAGAAAATTAAAAGAACGAACAAAGTGAAGAATGGTGAAGATCATCAAAACTGCACGGCAACCGAGTAACAAAGACGAGAAAAGAAGAGAAAAAAATGAGAAAAAAAACACCCTTATAGTCAGTATGAAAATCGACGACCGTTTTGATCTATATTACGTTCTTTTTTTCTTTTTTTTTAGCCATAGAAGAATATTGTATCGTACACATATTGTTGTATGAATTTATATTAATTATATCCTTGATTTGATCATTGTAAAATTTCACGTCGCACAAAATCAAAAAATATGACGATGACGCAAATGTTTATTTTAAAAGAAAATGTTTTTAAAAAAACCTTGATTGTGCGTGTGTACGTATGTGTAGATGGATATTTTTCTTCAAACGACTCGGAAGTGATTCAATAATCTCACTACGTTTATCGAAAACGTTAATTCAAGATAGATTATTGTAATGGTTGATTTCAAGTGCACATCTCGAAAATGAACCTCTCTCATCATTATCATCATCATAACCATCAAGATCATTTCAATCAACACAATAAGCGATAAAATTACCCAAGATAAAATCATAAATTTCATAAATAAAATCACGGATAATATTGTCATTGGCTTCCTGTTATGACATATTTCATTTTATCGTAGTTATGATTAGTTACAATTCGGATGTGACGTTAAATGATCGATACGGTAGAGAACGACTCAAGCGTCAAGTAGACGCACTATCACATATGTGTTGTCATCAACATGAAAAGTGTCGATAGATTGGACATAATGCAAGAAAAATATTTTCCATCATATTCGTGCATAGCATATGATTCTCTGATTCTAAAGTCATATGTTCTAGTAGCTAATTGATAACTTCTAATTTTAATCATTGATACTGTCGATCAATACAAACGTTTTCAAAATTCATAATCTCCTATTCACTACGATTATTTTTACAGATGTGAAAAATTTTAAAGAACAGGAAATGTTCTGATACAAATACAATGTAGTCTGTAAGAATTGAAATTTGAGTTATATTCTGTTGCTTTAAAGTATAGGACAGCTCTTGATTCGATATTAGATATTATATGTAGTTGAGTTGCAAGTGTGAAGCCAAAATATAATAGAGAAAAAGATTGTGTACGTGAAGACTCCAACTACAGAAATGAAACAGGTAGAATTAAGTGCATCAAAAATTGATAAAAATGAAATATGAGACATGCTTGTTGAAAAAGTGTCAAATTATTTCGTAACATTTTGAAATAGACAATAATTACCTGACTTAATTACGCGTTATAAAAAATGTTGGATTGATTGACATTACTTTAAACTTAACAAAATGAATTATATCTTATGGATTTTCATGGACTGATACAGTTATACACAACTGTATTTGCAATAAATTTATTAAACATATATAAGTTATATAAATTGACTTTTACGAAAAACAATTTAAATTAGAATTTAATTCTAATCTGAAATCTAGGATTTAGCCTCGATTCGTCCCAGTTTGGTACCATACCCAACTCGTCCCAATATATATTTTTCTTAGGTCGTCCCTGATTGTTTGCCAATTAATATAGTATGCTATAGAGAAAGAACTATTTATTATCAAAGAAAAATACGATTACATTAACGCTATTACTGTATTTATTGTTCTATTTCTTGGCCAGTTTTATTTTCCCTCTTATTTGTATACTGATGTCTTTCAAAGTTCAACGCAGACTTTGAACGTTCGCTCTATGTGAACTTAAGCATGATAGTTATTTGGCTTACTAGAGAAATAAAAGAAATTTTCTTTGCGCTCGTTGTTTTCCAAGCTGCTTTCGTACTGCACAGCAGACCAACGAGATATAAGGTATCATGATTATTATACTGAACATCATCCAATAAATGCTGCTAATCACGAAATTTCGAAAAATTAGATTCCAATTAAGCATGGAACGAATTAGGAGTCAATTACAACAGGACGAATTTGAAATGGGACGAATCGGGTAGCGACCGAAATCTAGTTGATTCAGATTTTCACTTGGAAAAAACTTATCTTTTCTGGCTGTTGCTTTTAGACGATAACATTTTATTTTGCTAAAATATAAAACTAAAGCCAGAGATTGTGATATTTTGTTTTCTATTAAATATTTTACTAGAAGCAAACAGGAAGATATAATGTGAAAATATACATGTATGTGAGAGTGTAATTTTTTCTAGAAACGTTATTTCATCATGCATACTAAGTATAAAATGTTGCTATATAATTTGTGACAATCTTTATCAGGTGTAAAAAGAATTTTATTTAATATAAAAAGTAGTTTCTTTTAAAGCATTCATACCAGAGACGTGCACAGGGCAGGACGGTCCTGTTGTCCTGGTGCCCTGTCCTACCGCCCGCCAGTACTAAGGTAGCCAACAGGACAGGCACGAACAGGAGAAAAAATTATGTCCTGTGCGCGTCTCTGATTTATACATTTCCTTTTCAGAAAATCCATATTTGTAAACATTCAATTAACGATTAATTTAATTTAATCTCAAAGAGAAATGCTGGTAAAATGCATTGACACACTCGTTTCTGCTGTTTATAAGAATAAATTGTAAAGTATTTTTCTAATTACTATTTCTTCATGTATCATTTCTGGTATGATTATTAGAAAAAAACTTTATATACACATGAAACTCAAATAGGTAATTGATAAGATGCTATAGATGTTGTTCTCAGCCTAATGCTGTTGCTACTACATAGAGAGAAATGAATAAGATACGACGATCTATATATTCTTTTTTCGTTGATTTCATTGTCATGTATTTGTAACATTATTTCTGAAGAATAAAATAAAAACAGAAGCAAAGATACCTAAAGAAAATATGAACATCCAAATCTTTTACGTGACTCTCGAATGGAACTTGTAGTTATTTACTGATGAATACACATAAAACTGATGACGTATAAAATATCAAATATAATTGATACAACTATTTTTAGTTTCAAATCAAATAATGACGAAAAAAAAAAGTCATTGTTTGAAAAATTGCATCTGACCAAACATCAGCACGATAGAGTATATTGTTTTTTGAAAAAGCACCTAATAAAAGATATAGTGAAAACGGTATTAAAGTAGAGAATATTTTCTGGTTGTTGAATTATTTGAGAATGATCAAGAGGAACCGTTGAGTCGATTTTGTTTTTATCACGCCTTCTGATCTAATATTCTGTAAAATGATGCTATTTTAGGTTTGATTTCAATCTACTATTTACTATTTTATTAATTCTTTATGTGATCATACTCATCGGTAAGTATGGCATTTTTACTTTTATTTTTATTTTCAACATAATGACGATAAACGAGAATTTTTAACAATATGGTCTTTAGCATCTGGAAGATGATCGACTTGATGAGCCAGTTTAGTAATGTTTCGTATGCCAGTATGGATAATTCGGTCGAGTTCTGATTGAATACTTTGAACTAATTCTTTATCTGGAAACATTTGACTAAAACGAGAACTAAATATAAATGAAAAAAAAACAATATTCGAATGATTTCACAGCTTAAAACAGATAAATTTTCACCTAAGCCATAAATAAAGATCAAAACAATCGAAAACTTCTTCTAAATGAACTAAATTGGCAATTGTATTCGGCGTTTTAAGTGGCCAATCTACATGTTTAGAGAGCCAATCAAAGGTAGCTGGTTCATTGAGACTGAACTGACGAGCATACTATGAAGGCAAACCGTAATATCGAATCAACGTCTTGAAAATGACAGATTCGCTTACTTTCAAGTACATAGAACAAACAAAAGTCATATTTTTATTGATTGGAGCACATGAAAATACATAGCGAACTCGAATCGGTAATGGAACATGTTCAATCATATCTGCCAGAAACTTCATATTTTCAATATTACACATAAAGAATAAATTATTATCTAATTGTGAAAGATTTATAAATGTTTCCTAAAATAAAACGAATCTATTCATAAAATCTAAACTTTCTTTTTTTTTTATAGACATACCATTAAATTCGACAGTGAATGTTTAGGTAGATAATAAGCAAACATTTCAATTTGTTCAGCAGTTGGATGTAGTCCAGCACGCTATAGAAAACAATAGGAAGCAATCAATAATTAGATCTCTTTTTAATCTGCCCAGAGACAAAAAATGCTTTTAAATGAGATAAGGTTTAGGTACCGTTCAATGTTTTATTTCAAGTTTAATTTTTTTTTATAGTTTATCTAGACTCAAGAATTTGAAAGTTCTCAAAAGATTTATGTATAATAACATAGAGATTTATTTGAATGAAGCTAAAATGATAACAGACGCATCTTTGCCGCAAGACATACACACATATATATATGTATGTCAAATAGCATCTTAAAAAATGAAGAATATCATGATCAATCATTTATTATTATTTTTTCTCAGCCTTTGATATTCGGAAATATGTCTTATATTCGATATCATAATGTAGATAATAGATTTCATTGTACACTCGTTAAATCTTCCGTCTTTTTTCTACAATATACACATGAAGCATGTAAAAAACTTAAAGAAATAATGCACAAAAAATAAAATAGGCATATTAAAACAACATTGAAATTCGCAACCTCATTCATATGTAACACGTGAGTGGAGCTTTGTAATACAAAATGTTCAGATATCAAATGACTTTTAAACGAAAACATACTTTGATGGTTTCTACTTGTCGATGAATAATATCTTTCAGTACCAAGGAATCATCATGTCGAAATGTTGTTACTTCACCATCCGGAAATGCAGTTGCGAATCTAATAGATAGAGTTAGAAATTAAAAAGTATACACATAAATAATTTTCTCCGTAGTTACCTTCCAGCTCGACCAGCAATTTGTAGAGCTTGCGATGTTGTTACATAATTTTTTTCTTTCTCACCTTGTTCATTTAATTGTGGTTTTGACAGACTATAGAAAATGACACGTTTGATACTTCTAGAAAAAATATCAAACAAAAACAAACAGATTTCAAAGAAGCAGAAAATATGTTAAATACATACAAATTAAGACCCATACCAATGGCATCTGTAGCAACCATGATTTTACATAAATCATTTGGATCATTAAAACGTTGAGCTTGTAATAGTTTAGTACCTAATAAAATATGCATATGATTTATAAACAAAAAGATAAACATGCTAAATATTACTTGGTGGTAAAGATCCATATATAACAGCAACTTCATGACCACGTCTTTCTAATTCGCGAGTTACATGAAATATATCATTTTTATTGAAGCATACAAAACAATCGCCAGGTTTCACATTATCGAATGTTTCTAGAGATGTGTAAAACAAAATATTTTACTCAAACCATTTGGTCATGTATATTCCTACAGCCAGGAGTGAGCAAAGACAGGCATTTTCACAAGTTTCAACCTGAAGATATATCAATCATCCTTAGGTATGGCTTCGAATCATGGCTAATGATATTGACAAATTGATATAGAATACAAGCGAGTGAAATGGCACTTTTATGGATAGTAGCTCTTCAGACACTCAAATAAAAACCTGTACTTTGTTAATATGAGACTCATTCCACATCGAATAATCGCAACTACAATGGAAAGGATGTCTAACATTAAAGAATTTCTAATTTACTATTTTACGTCATTCCTGTTGGGAAAAAATGATAGTTGGATATCTGAGAAGTATTTAACGTGATTGCATCGATAAACTCTGTCAAGAGCATTTAATAATTCAATTAATCGTAGTGAAAAACGTATTGAATGAGCATACGGAATGAAAGTCAGCATTGAATAGATTGCAATATATATTCTTGTTACAATTTTAATATTCTCTATTTTAAGTCAAATCTCTTTCGAACTCAATAATTATACAATCTTAAGACTTTTATTATTAATAATTTATAAAAAGGATCCTAAATATGAATCATAGTTCTCACAAGAGATACTATAAGATTAAATCAACTAACTAATAAAAAATAGATATTCATGATGTGAAGGGTTACCTACTGCTCGATCTAAATAATTTAATTTTGTTAATCGTTGATATTCTCGAATTTCAAGTTCATCATCACTGATAACCGTTAAGCCTTCTATTAATTCTCTCGTGGAAATTTCTCCACATAAATGAATTTCTTTTGCCTGAATACCTAGAAGAAAACAATGAAATGTCAACTAGATGATTTGATTTTACCAAGTAAAGCTCGTGTCCATGCCCAACCACGCTGTGGATCGCGAATCATTTGAATTTCATCAATAACAGCCACATCATCTATCAAAAAGTATTTAAATAGACTAGAGAACTGTCAAGCAATACGTACAAACAGTATTTAAATTGGTCATTTCTACAGTACATGCGATATGACTCGCCGCTTTCCCATCAGAATCACCAAAACGACGTTCTTCACCAGTGACTAAATCACATTTTGTACCCTAAAGAAAATATTCAATATTTCATAAATAATAAAAATAAAGTAAAAGAAAAACAATTATCTACAGCAGCATTTGTTTTATGAAAAACTTCAGATGCCAGTAATTTTAAAGGTCCACAATAAATTCCACTTTCACTATTCATAAAACGTTGAAGTGCATGATACGTCTGTTGAAAACCAAAAAAAGAAAGAAGAAATATTTATAATACATACAAAATGTAACATACTTTGCCACTATTTGTTGGACCAGCATGAAAAATAATTTTCCGCCGTAAAGCTCTCACATCTGGATACCTAAACCACAATTCATTTATTTTATTTATTCAAAATGATATTTTCTTTCTTTTTTATTGAATTTTACTTACCAGTCAGCTGAATTCCTTAAATCACTGATTTTTTTCAAATCATCCATACATATCAAATGAGGAAACATTTGTTGTGCATGCCGGAAAAAAAATGGAAACATATCAGTAACAATACCTGTGCATAACAGAATTAATTCACGAAAATAAAAGTTTCTAAGAAAATATTTACCAGCACCACATATGATATCATTTAATACGATTTGAAAGTCAACAGGTAAAACAGCTGATTGAATAAGAAATTTTCGAAAACTAACATAAGCATTTTTAAAGAGTTGAAGATCAAGGCCTCGATCAGTAGCTAATTTTTTAACGTCGTCATTCCGATAGAATTCATTTATAACACGCAAAAGGTCATCTAAAAATTTCTTTTAAATCATAGTCACCTGCAAATAAATGTTCATCTTACTTCTTTCAAGCTGCTTTACACTCTTACGTTCTTGCTCACTTTTTATATCTTTGTTATTGCTTTGTAATGAAAGTGGATCAAACTCATCCTTGAGAATCATTAATTTAACATCATTAGGCCGAAAATCTCGATTTAGACTATCTATCAGTTTATCATTAACATGTGTACGCAGTTTATATTGATGATGAATTGATGTTGATGATATTTCATGTCGTCTATTATCGTTAAGATTTGGCATGCGTTTGATTTTGTACGAATGACCATATAGTAATTTTGAATATGAAAACAAACGTTGATAAGAGTGAAAACAACACGAATCAATGGTCAATAATTGCTTTCTAGTAATATTCATCATGTTTATTAATGATCTATAATAGAACAAATAATGGATTAGTTGAAAAATGAATTTGTTTTTAAAATTTTATTCTATTCTAAATCGAATCTAATAAGTTTGGCTAGATTATATATTGGAAGAAGTACAATTCGTGAACAGATTAAAGAAAATATACGTGTTGACTGAGATGTGTAACAGAAATCAATAAAGATAGTGTAGAAAAGTCTTTTTTCATAAACATATTCAAGTTCACAATTTTTGTAAAAAACAAAATGTTCAAATGTGTCTCATGTACTTATATACGATTATTTTCTACTCGGTTTTGTAAATTTTTCTATATAAAAAATCTAAGAAAGCATCGAACATGACAAAATTTGTATATATCAATTCATTTTGATGCAAACTAATAAATGATTTCAAAGGTAATACAACAAGAATACTATAAACTTATGAGATGATGCTGGGAGAGTTCACAAACAATTTCGATAGGCGTTTGAACAGAATCGTGTGGCAATGGATTATTTGTGAGGTATTCCTGTGAGTATTTCAGTCTTGTACATTTCGTCCAATGATGAAATGTAATCATCGGTCTACGAAGAAAGAAATAAAGAATTTAGTATTCTCCTACTTGTCGAATACGTGTTATTTCTTTCTGTATGAGACATGTTTCCTGCAGTATGCTTTCGTCGAGTCCATGCAAACAAGTTCTACTTTCAATTTGATCCGATAACAAGTCAAAAAAGGGAATATGGTAAATTTCTTGAAAAATGACTATCATGCATTAAAACACAGAAATTCGTAAACCAAATCCTTTGGATCTTTCTCAAAGATTTTAAAAAAAGTCGGCAATATCATATCAACTGAATCAAAAGTTTAACATGAACAAAGAAGACTAACAAGATGAGTAAAGTGATTCTTGAAACAATAGTGCAAAGTATTGATTTTATTCTTAACAACAGTATATTACGGATTTCTTCAAACAGTTTGATTATTTTTTATTACAATTCTGGAATAGATCTCAATCGAATCGGAAACAAATAAGATAACATTTCAGATTTTTCTCTTTTTCGACAGTATTAAAGTTTATTTTCTGTCATTGAACTGATATTTGCTTTCATGCAAAATAATGAACAAATATTCACAAAAATAATCAAATAAAGATAGATTTCAAGTAAAAAGAGATAATTGGAGAACACATGTAAAAATAAAGAAATATCTTGGAAAAATTATTAATTTATCATGAAAACAATCTTCAACTATCTGTTATACCACAAGTGGGATAAAAAAAAATATTTCCTCTTTATGTCAATATAGAGAAGTTTCAATAACTAGGTCTATATTCTATTCGAAATATTTTCTTTGAAAATGATTTAATATCTTAAATATAAATCTTTGATACAATCATTTCTATTTTATTCATATCAAACTTTGTTTGTAATTTATGATCAATAATGATCACCATTAAAAGAAAAAAGAAATATTTCATATAATCATAAATCTATAGATGTTTATCTTTTTTCTCTAAAAACAAAAGAAAAAATAACAACAAATATTCGTTTCTTCTTGCTATAAAGTTGTCTATACGCGACTGTCAGACAGCATTATATATTTTTTTTATTGTCGAAAGACAAAAGATCCACTCTCGTCAGTTATAACATGAGCGAGAATAAAATGAAAAGAAAAATAGACAAAAAAAGTATTTTTTTTTTATTGTTGTTGTTTACGATGTTGATATAAATACTTAGTATTGCTGACAGTTTTGTAAATGACAACATTTATCCTTATTTATTATTATGTTTTCTTTGATTTTGATTTTTTACTTGAATTGCCAGCTGATTTTTTCTTCGCAGCTTCATCCGGTTCATCTTCAAAATCTTCATCACCATCATCTTCAACAGCGTCCATCGCTTCTGTACTATTCGCACCAGCCCCTTGTTGTTGATTACCGGCAGCTTTCTTCTTTTTCTTATTTTTTTTCTTTTTTTGCGTTGAACTTGTTAATAATTGTTTAATATCACCATCCATTTTATATTCTGATTCATATAAATCTAAATCAATTGGTAAACCTGTTATTTTCATTTGACCACTTGGCATAAGTAAAAGTGTAAATTTAAATTCAGCAACGAATTCGCCATCTTTTTCTTGATAAACAGGATATGGTTCAACAAGATCATGTTTAGCACATTCAATAACGCCCATACGTGCACGTTTTTCATCTTCGAAATGTCTTAATGTAAATGGCATCAATGAAAAGCGCTTTTCAACTTCAGATAAAAATACACGCGATGATTTCATACGTAATTGATAAATAAAATCTTTTTTCTTGTATACTGTTGTACGTATATCAGTTTCACGTGGTTTACCTTCACCAGATGACATAAGAACATCAACGGCATAAACTTCATGTAAAGCAAAATCTTGTTTTTCAATGTCACGTTTTTGCATCTCAGTTGGATTTTGATAAATTTTCTTTTCACCATCAATAATACCTCGTGACATTTGATATGACATCATACCTAAATTTATAGATTTTCATAGTTTTCAAATGAATATAGAAATATTATTTTTATACCTTCAACCGGTTTGCAATGAAAGACATTAGCAATACGATCGGTCATTTCTGTGACAGCCATATTATTTTCATTTGGTTTAATTAAACGAAGAGCAGCTTCAGCAGCATAATATGCAGCAAGAATGCAATCAGCTCGTCGTCCAGTAACCTTTTTTTCTCGCGTAGCACCAACAATAATTGTATGTGCAACAACAGCAACATAACCGTCAATATGACAACCTAAGTCAATTTTAACAACGTCATCATCTTTTAATATCATATCTGGATCAGATACTAATGGACTAAAATGACATATATAATTATTAATTGATAAGCATGTTGGAAATGCAATTCCTTTTTTAACATCTTTATCTTTTTTGAATACACGTGCTGTTTCTTCTTCTAAACGTTTATCTCCATAAATACATGTATCTTTAACAGATGCACCTGGTACGCATCGATCAATAACTTCACGAAGAATACGCTGTGTTATTTCTGATGCCATCTTATATTTAGTAACAACGAGATCACTAGCAATTGTTTCTTCTTGTGCTGTTTTCGATGATGTCGACTCGCCTGATGACGACGAGACGCTTGCTGAACGAGACGACGACATAATCGATGGATATTATTAGTTGAGAGAACGATATCTAATAACCGAAAAAAAAACAAAAATTACGAAAAATAAATTAATATAATCTGTGTTCATCTATGACGAAATAGAAAGAATTGCTTCAGAACATAAGCATACCATGAGAGATGATTTATGACCTCAATATGATTTTGAAAAATTGAATCTCCATGTGTGAATTATATTTAAAAGTTTTTATAAAAGAGTTTATTTGAAATTAAATTAGTTTTAAATTCACTTTTGAAAATATACTGAGCAATGAATACGTTATCTAATTGGTTTAAACTAACCAATGAGCGTTGATATGAATAAAACGCTGAAGGTTTGGATGGATTATTTTATTAAAAACATTATATTCGATTTGATGAGTGTTCGATAGTACAGTTGAACTATATTCACAACAAAAAAATAAATAATAAATAAAGATTTAAATTCTTTTTGTTTTTTCAAATAATTTGGTGTAATTCACAAAAATATCTTGAATTATCGAACTCGAATGACTACAGTTCCATCTTGACATACATATAAATAAAAAATCATTTTGTTCCTTAAAATTTCTGAATGCAAAATATGATATTAATCGTGGTACAATAATGCAGATTGTCAAAAAGGATCAATTACAGTAGACAAAGTAGAAAACGAAATGATCGACTCGTCTTAGAAAAATATTTTCTTTGCAAAATTACTGAATTATTTTTTAAGGTGATTTCATATGTCAGGAGAATTACTCACATTGTACCAGTATCACTTCTTTTGCTATCAAATAATGTAATTATATTCGAATATATTTTCATTGCTATTTCTATGTTAATATTAAATATTTAGTGAAGATTTGTATTAATGGATTTGATGATTGTACAAGTTCGTCGTATATTAACGACATAAGAATCGCTCGATCAGTAGACACAACCAAAACTATGCTATGTTTATCGTTTAGTAATGTTTATGGGTTCATTGGCTAAGTATTAATACCAGTAATTTGTAATAGAGCCCCAAACAGGCCACGTCTTCGAGGCCTGTAGGCCTGTCAGCATTTTATAGCTAAAACAAAAATGATGAGAGATTAGAAACAAGAGGTACATACAGANCTGACAGGCTAAGACAGGCCAAAAAATTGCTTGAACCTCTGATAAGTACTGGTCTGAAACTCGTGGTCTATGCCTATGATAGGCCGGTTATCTCCAGGTATAAAAGTACACTCGGTGCTCTGTATGTACCTCTAGTTTCTAATCTCTCATCCTTTTTGTTTTAGCTATAAAATGTTGACAGGCCTACAGGTCTCGAAGACGTGGCCTGCTTGAGGATCTGATTTGTAACACTGTCTCTGGTACATTGAGTTTAGATATTTTTCGTGTCTTGTGTTGAATTTTTTCAAGAATTTGTGAAATTAAACATCGATTAGCTTCATCAAATATAAAATATTATGAAAAGAATTACATTTGATTTTTTGAGAACTTTCTCTTAGTCAAATTTCATTCATTTTCTGTACAGAAATATCTACTGAATATTAGTCAGTAAGGATCAATCTTTTAGCAACGGTTGTAACAAAAAAAATACAGTGAATTGAAATAGATTCAATGTTTATCATATAAGAACATTGAATAAGATCAGTTTTTTTCATTGAAACAATCATAGCTATCCACGACGAATTATAGATGTGTACAATTTGATCAGGAACATTACATATTTGTATGATATTGGAACAGAATCAACATCAATATTCATAGGAATATGCTTGCTAACTTGCTAATCTTCAAATATTAAGATTGCTTTTGATTTGAAAGCAAAAACATCTTTTTATCACAATTGACTGCCACCAGAAAATCATCTTAATCGATTATTTGACTTTTTATTTTTCATAAGTAGTAAATCTTACGCATTGCAGAGGATTGAAAATGATTTCATGTTTTTATAACAAACACTTAATGAACATTATTTCGCATTGACACATCATATATTTCATGAGAACTAATTAGGAGAGTCAGTGCTATTAACTAACGTACTCATCTGAAGCATATCTAATAACATTTAAAGTATGCTTAAAAACAAACAGTGCCAAATTGTGGACAAATCGATGCAAATAATTTTTAACTCACATCGAGAGTGAAAAACAAAATATGACAAGATATTGCATCAAGATTCTATAAAACTCGTGGTGAAGTTTATTCAACTACTGAGGTTTATTTCATTGCATAGTGTGGATATGAGTTGCCTTCAGTAGTACGAACAAAATTCTGACTGAATTCAAGTCCATGGTCTAATGATAAAAAAAGTTGAATAAGTTTTGGGTTGGTACTTTACCCCTAGACACAGTAGATAGAAACTAAATGTAATTCTAAAATGCTTCAGATAAATGCACAAATATTTCACAAGATATTACTTTTTGCAAAAATACCTACAACTTTTAACCGAACGAAATAATACTCAATTCTATTTTGAATTCAAATATTTACAGGAACCAAATGTTCATTGTCATTGAAGACTTCCGAACTATATAATGATTATCAATCTCTATAATCAATCGAATTTAGCTTGAAAATCTGTACTTTGAATTTTTCGTAAATGGTTTTTCTTAACGAAATTTTAATGCAACGACCCTAATTCTTCTTAAATAGACTATAGATGTGAATCCTTCTAAAGCTTTTTAGTATCCATAATATCACGTTAAATGTGATCTCTCATAATTAGTGAGGAATCTATTGAATATTTTCGATTGAACTCTAACACGAGGTAGCATATTTACAAGGAGATACTATTTTTCTCCTTGAATTTATTTCATGCTAGGCATGCAGCATGAGTGATCTAATTTATTTGTTATTGTAGCTTTAGAATACTATAATAGCAACTTTGTTGTTTGTAATCATTTTTAAAATGACACTTTTTGACATAATATTGTAATTCTTTTAGCATCGATGTCATCAATTCTTCTATTTTGATTAAAACTTGAATAGTTTCAAAAAGTTAAGTTTTATCATGTTCTTACGATTTTCTTTTGATTAGTTTGCTCAAATCTTCGATATGTTGTTACTTTTTTCTTTTTTACAGAATTTTGGTTTCAAACATATAATTTCTCAAACAAAAAAAATAGAAAAAGTTCAAAAAGATTCACTATATCTTACAAAAAAAATGTATCGATCTAGATTTATATCGAAACTTTACTGTTGTCTTTTGAAGAAATATTACTGTTGTTGATGATTATTATTGTATTGACTAAACAGAATAATAATTGATTGTATCTGTGATTGATGCATTGGAGAAAGAAACAGAGATTGTTCTAATAGAAGATTCATGTCATCAATCCATTTGGGAAACGCACGTGATAATCGTTCACAATGACGAAAAACAAACAGATAGAACCAATGTTCTGATATAACGGTTGTTGATGGGAAATTATTTTGAATACAATGTAAATATTCTTTTTCAGCAAGACTGCGGCATGCTGAAAATGAATGATTGGATGATGAAATCATCTCACGATTTATTGTTTCTTCTTCGTATGATGTTAACGGATGAAAACAAACAGATGAAGTGTGTGTTAAACAAGGTTGGACTTCATTTTTCTCTGTAGACATATCGGATAAACAAACTATATCATTCTAAAATAAAAACAGAATCATGTTTCCTATAATGAATTGGAAGAGTTGTTTTTTTTCTAGGTACTAGCTCCTCTGGATTCGTACTAAACAATTCTAAAATGTCTTCAGTATCATTTTCTTGCGCTCTTAATAGTGTTGATATGTCTTCGTTAATAATAGTTTCTCTAGTTGGCGCCTCATTAATCGATTGGGATTGATTAATTTCATCCCAATACCACCATTCGTTTTTAAGGACGATAATACGTTTTTGTAATGAAAATTGTGATAATTTAACAGTTTGTTGAATTGCAATATTTAAATTTTTTTTATCTTTCAATGTTAATTTTTGTTCTTCGTGTGTTCTTTTTTTCGTCTAAATCAAACGAAAAATATGATGGTTTTCGATTTAATGATTTTGTTTTACTTTACGAAGCCACCCCTTTCGTTGCTGAGAAAATTTTGCCGTTCCAATAAATGGTAAAACCCGCGTTTGTTGAATCCAACTTCGTTCAGCAGTTTCACCAAAAAAGAAAACATGTACATAACTAGATTGCCCTAAAAGTCGTTTATTAAGAGAAAAAATTTCTAATGAAATATGACTTATACTTTGTTCTTCAAGAAATATTACCTTTATGACGAATCCACTCTTGATTTTCTTCCGTGAATATGACAGCAGGCCAAAACGGTGCTGATCCCAACTTAGCCCAAACAAGTTGTCCAAAATGAGCTGAAGTAGATGATGCTAAACAGACGAGAGAATAAGTGTGAATTGATACGATTTAGTTTGTAGTAAATTTATAATCTTTTAGCTTGATATCAATAGACTAACACATTGGAAGTTTTCATTATTTTTTATTATTCATTATGTATACATTATGAAAGTTTTTGTCAATTAAAATTTTTTACTAGATGAGACAATGTGCTTCATAGATTTTATTTTTTTGTTCGTTATAGAAATGTTTGATGTCTTTGCTTAATTGTATAGATTTATTTCACGATACTAGAACTATTAGAGTTCTTCTTTCAAATCAAATTTCATCTATAACATTGAAATGATGATAAATACATTCAAAACATAATATACTGTCTGAAAACTTCACAAGTGATATGAGTTTTAATTTTCATAGTTTTGGCATAAGTTACAAATAATTTCTGTCACTATTTTTTTGAGAAATATGCTTTTTCATAATTACAAATCGATAAATATCCTGTTTGCTCGTTTCTGCTTGAGCCTTTTGATCTGGTATTTTGCTAATTTCTGAAGAATTTTCATTGTCCTTTTTCTTTGAAACTGCAGATAAGTTTGCAGTGCTTGGAAAGGCTTGTTTTCTTTTTTGTTCTACCTAAAGACTTCTATAAGTAAACGATCATCTTTTTAGATATTGAATTCATCATCCAGTTTCTCTGTATTAATAGTTAGAAACTAATTTTGAAAAAAGGCTCTATTTAACCATCGAAGTGTGTAAGGCTCTTTCAGTAAAAAATATGAAATCCATACAATGACAATTTATAAATTCATTTCTTTTATCCCAAGAGCTACTTTTTATTTTTTACGCATTTAGTATTTTTCAGGAACATCGTCATACAGGACTGAAAATTTAAGTGTAGTATCTTCATTAGTCTAAATATTTCATGCGATTTGAATGTAGCTAGCATAATATCTAGATTTGAGAGAGACAATCTTAAAACTAACTAAATTTGCCAGAGGAATCAATGGCTATTTATAATTATAGTCCACATTCGTTAGCTTTTAACACACACATATCATTGTTCGTCACTTTATATATTGATTTCTGAAGATTAAGTGATAATATCAGCAAAAAATGAAGTTATCTTAATACTTTAATTTCAGTCTGATTAAACTTTCTGAAGAGAATGATATCCATAATTGAGAACACTATTGGTTCACTAATTCGATCAAAGTCTACTTCTTCTTACTGTCTAATGAATCTGTTGTTAATTTATTCTTTGAAGTCATTCTTTTCAATCTAAAATATAGAACGTTAGGTCTTATAAGTCATATATTTTAATTCAGATAAGATAGAAAGTAGACCAAAAAAATGAATATGAAACAGATAGCGTCAAAGACAAAAAAAAGATATACGAGCAAATCGTATCCAGAAAGAGATCGTATATACAATATTAGTAAATAAAAGAACAAAAAACAAACAAGCAAACGAATCATTCTTGATTATCAAATAGAATATTGAGTGAATCGACAATCTAAAAAGAATCAATCATAAATATTATCAATTATGAGACTCGGCAACAGATAAAACGCCAAAAAGAAGCATTTAAGTGTGACTTTAAACAACTTTAAACTCCGCACTTTACGGTCAATTTAAAGTTAAAATGCCACCTCTACTATCAACTATGTAATTCAAATTCAAATACTGATTTAAATAATCGGAAAAGTTCCTTCACAGGTGCCGCTTTTTATGAAGGTTTCACAGAAACACTGTATGACAAAGAATTTAAAAAACATCGAACAAGGTAGTTTTCAACTGTCTGAAGATGTTCTGCAATTTGATCTCTAAGCAAGAGTACTCTACAGTCTCTGTTGAGTCTACCCAGAAATTTCTAGGTATCATCAATTCTGAGAACTAAATCTAAATATTAAAAAAAAAGAGAAAAACTTCTAAAAAAGCAATTATTTTGCTTGTGCCTTTGCCGTAAGAGGGCTTATAAAGTACTTAACCAACTCTCATATTTAGATCGTCTCAAATGAGAGTGTTAAAAATAAACTTGATTGACATGTTCTAGAATTTGGCAAAAAAATCAATTTTTCTATGTGATTAGTTCAACAAAGAGGCCTTGTTCTAATCAATTTGATTCAAGATCCTATATATTTTATTACATAATTAACTAACCTCTTTTTTCGTTATTGAATTAATATCAACACTTCGATCAAATCTTTCTAATGCATCTATCCATGAAGATGAATTCTTTTTCATATCTATATTCAATTCATCCGAAATAACAAGAATACCATTGTCATTGATTATCTTTAAATAAACCAAAAAATTCATCAATATATTGAGAACTTCAATTCAACTTACTGAAAAATCATCTGTAACGTAACTGAGAATCGTTCCTAATCTTCGATGAAGCATTGTATCATCGATCTTGCGTATTTTAGCTAAAGAATAAACAAAATAAAACATGTTAAATATTTTCTATTCAGTAACAAACCAATTTCATGAAGCGGTTGCTCAGATAATCGTTTTCTTTTCGGTCGACGACATTGATTTTCAATTTGAGCTAAAATCTAAACGATAATAATATTGAAAAATATACTCCTATCAAGATTAATCGAACGAATTACTTCTTCATCAACAGTATCAAGTTTTTCATCATTTATTTCTTCTTGTGATGTCGATGATTCAGCTTGAAAACTTGTTTGTAGACATTCATCAATGCGTGTCAAAGATATTTTATTAACTGTTGGATGTATTGATGGCATTGATTTAGATTTAACAAGAAATAATTCTTGTTTCAGACGTGCATTTTCTTCACGTAATTCATCGATTTCATGTCGTAAATGTGGAGTTTTTATTCGAGGTACATTCGTAATGGTTGAAGCAAGACCTGCATAACGTAATGTATTGATTGTTTCATCTATAACAGTTGACGATGGACTAATTGTTGCTAACATAAATGTTTTTGCATCACCGCCAAGGCTATTTTTTAATAAATAAGTTAAACTTGAATCTCGATAAGGAATATGACTTTGTTGACGAGACAGTGCATCAATTACGTTACGTAGTGTAGATAACGATTGATTAATATGAATGCTTTCCTAAAAACGAAGAAGAATATATTTATCATTCAATTTCTGTGCAATTGTTTTTCAGATTAGAAAACATTTTAAAAAGATTCGTGCTGAAGCGTCTTTCTTTGTGAATTTGTCTAATCCTGAACATTGTCGAATGGATCTTTATAGCCGGAAAATTCTCTTTAGCACGAATTCATTGTGTAAAACTTTAGTCTTTTTGTTTCTTATGCGAGAACGCCAGTGAATGTGTTTTTCAAATAAGAAACTTTTGCTATTGATCTTGGTCCGAACCAAGATGATGATACAAAATTATGGCACTTATTTTTTTTAAATAGTTTCATTGAGACTTTGATTTATACCCACACCCTCTAGTTACTGAACTATAGAAGCTTGATTTTATTTTCTATAGTAAATATATCAAATTTTTTACTAGCTCATAACGTGATCTGTGTACAATCTAGTTATGTCGGTCATTTCAGTTAATAGTGAAGATTCATTAATTAATAGTGAAAAATACATTTTATAATCAATACAAAACGTATCTCTACTAATCTATATAAATGACAATATTACTATTACAACTAACACAGCACGCCTATAACTATCGCGAACATTTATATTTTTGAAATTCTTACCGCAAATCGATCATTTTTTCCTTGAGACCCATTATATTGTTGTGATTTTTCACTGCCAGCTAAATCAACAAAATTTAATCGCACAGCTTGTGCATCTAGTTCCTCTTGCGCTTGTTGCTTTGCACTTTTCTTTGATGAACTAGAATTTGTTGTACTTTTACCAATATTTGACACAGAATGTGCTGAATTTAATCCAAATGACAAACGCGTTGTTGTTGATTGTGGTACATCAATACGACTTATTTTAACAGTAAATATAGCATGTGATCTTGATGATCGTTGATTAGCATTTGTTGATGCAACTGAACGTTGTTGATTACCCATATTTAAAACATTTTGAAAATCTTCTTTACTCTTCACTTGAATATACTTTAAATCTGGAACATATGGACCAAGTAATGGATGTTCACGAATTTCAAGGGTACGTGTCGCATTATTTGATGAATTTGAACTTGGTACAAGTTTATTTAAAATATGTGTACGTGCTTGTTTTGAAAATGACAATGTAGTTGAAGATTTCGTTGAGGGTTTTTGATTTAATTGTTCATTTGATGTTGTTGGCATTGCAAGTAAATCTGTTACTTTTTCATTATAAATTTCAAGAAAACTTAATTCAAATTTTAAATGATTCTTCCCATTCATTGTTATTAAATCATGAATACTTAATGACAAAATGCCTTCTTCACATGATGAACCAAATATAGAATGCGATTTGCCTTGATAAAAGAGAAAAAAAATACAACGTAAAAAAGTGAAGTTTTTCTTTTTTGATTATAAATAATTACCAGATGCTGTTTGACCATAAGCTAATACAGTTGTATTGTATCCTAAATTAACAAACAGAAGAAAATTGTATTGAATTCATATTGATTTTTGAATACCTTGTAAAGAAGCAAGAACAGCTGATCGAATCATTCCATCATAAATAGTTTTCTAAATAGCGAAAAATAATTATTCCTAGAAGAAAATTCTTGTTTGTATTCACATTTTTTGCAGCAGCATCGAAACAATGTGTAAATTTAAATATTTGTGGTCGACTATTTTGTGTACAAATAACATTATTTTCAAATATTTGTACGGCTGATGTATCATCAATAGCAGATTCACTGTTAGAAATAGAAATAAATACAATTCATACTCAAGAAAAAAGATGTAGAACAAACCGTTCAAGAAATGGGCGTAGACGTATACCAGTAACAATTGGATCACCCTTAGTCAGTTTTTTCCCTGGTGTGCGTGGAGACGAAATAAGAGTAGTTGAAGTTGACGAGAACTGATCGTCTATGAATATTTATTATTAATAATAAAAAAGTGGAATTTCATTTAAATGAAAATAATTACGCGTCGTCAATGTTGATGTTCGCAGTTGATTTAAACGATGAGCCATTAGAATGATAAAGGATTCTATTCAAAACGATCTAAAATTTTCAGTTTTTTCGATATCAATAGCTATTTTATTGTTTTTAAGAGAAAATATTTTAGTTTTTCTTCAAAGATTCATAGACAATATGCTTTGCCGCTCTATGACGATCATGTTAGCGGAACAGTAAGAAAAGAAAGAATGAATATGTAGAGCGTTAACGTCGATGCATTGTAATCAAATCAAATTTAGAAATACGAAATAGATGGCGCCTCTGTAAAACTGCTCTTTGTCTATACGAAATCGAATGATTGTTTTTTCTTCAATTCTATACCCTAGTCAAACATCTTTTGGGATGCGCATGACATACTTGATGATCTTGAGCAAGAAAGTCATGAGCTATGGACACATCTTGCAATATTTCTTGACATGCGGATAATAAGAGAAATTTTTGTAAAAAAAGGCATCCAAATCGAACATTTTTCTTCTATAAATAAGCATTGTTTGAAGAAAAAACGTTATCTATATCAAAACTTTTTATAATTTTTTTGTGCACATACGCATGATCTTCTTGGGCAAGATGGTCCTGCGCTATGGACACATCTTGAGTTCAAGTATTGTCAAGCGCTTGAAAAAAAGAGTTCGACTAGGGTAAGTTATAAAAGATGAAATCTCAATAGTTCTCTCAAAAAATATTGATTTGTTAACAAAAAAAAACAAACAAACAAACAAATACACAATTTAAACATTTTGAGAAAATATTTAATTTCATTTGCTTAGATATTATGTTGAATATACTACATCTCGTTGAACCGCACTTTGTTCGTTGTTTGCGTTACTTGGTTTTGTGTAGCGTAGAAAAATCCAAAGGAATCTACTCATACCTACTTGATCAATCGGAAACAAATTTATGAAGGGCACCAGTTAAATGTACAATTTTATTGAGCAAATTCGTTAACCAAACTTTTCTTTTGTAGCAGTGAGGATGCGAATTTGATGTAGCGAGTGCGTCATTGATATCTTAGCAGCTGACAATAGAACAAATTTTTCTTTTGAATGCGCAGTACTGATATCCTGTATTACATTTTTTAAAAGTTATGTATTCGAAATATAGTTAGTATTTGAAGATTTTGTCGTCTTTCATTGATCTCTAAGTTAAAAATTACTTTTTTCGACCCATGTACACAGCAAAATTTTCAATGTAAAACGTAGTGGAATTGCAAGAGATACGTAGTTTCATTAGTTAGAACATCTCTCTATTCAACTAACCCTGAATCTAATCTATTACTTTCATTCACAGTCTCGGTGGTTCCAATATCGATTCAGGTATGGAATATTGTTTTATAAACTAGTTTCACTTGTGATATTCGCTTAGCAAAAGATGGGATACTAAGACTAAAGTTATTATTTGATGATTAATGAACATAATTAATTGTTTACAGAACTTTTTTTAAAATTCATACTACTATGGTTTATCTTTTTGACATAGTATACATATGAAAAAAGACATGCTTTCGGTTTTAATCGTTGAAAACATTTTCGAAGAATTTCTCTTCACACATAAGGAGTCTTGATTTTATGTGACAGATTTTATATCGCTATCAGAGAGTATCAAGCAAATCACATATTCAACAAACACCAACATCAGATGTCAAAAGGTTTTCATTGCTTTTCTCATTATTCAATCTGTAAAGAATTATAGAAGCGAGGAATGCTTCCTGACAAAGATTAATTGAAATAGTCAGAAAACTGACTAGTATGTAACTTGAAGTTTGGCATAATGCTGACAACTGCTTCTTCGTTCAAATGAAATTCTCAAGTCTTATCAGTTGATTATATTTTGAATTTGGATATGAAAAAAAAACAAGCACTATGAAATCTTAAGAATAGACTTTTAATAGATGATCATAAAAAAATTTAGGCAATTTTAATGATATGTATTGATTAAAAACATTGATAATACACGTTTATAATTGTGATAAAAAAAATTTCGATTTAATGAACAACAAAAATACTATTGAAATCATCGAAAAAAAATTCCATTTATTGAATATGAACTGTTTTATTCGTATTTATGTTTATATTCAAACAAATTCTTAATTTTAAGAGAAATATCAGTGCTTTTTTAAATATTTTCTTTTGAAATTCTGTTGTCGAGCTCTATTCCTTGGAAAACATTCCATATGTGTTCATACTTTGGAAAATATTCACTAAACAAAGATAAAAGTTTCTTAATTAGTTTATATACACATGATTGCTTAGAATATCAATCAATTACTTCTGTTCTCTGATTGAGAATTGTCTAAGATTTTATCGATCATTCGCACTTTCTTTCCTTCGTACAATGATTTTGTTGACAGTGATTAATTATACATTGACTTTTGCTTGTTGTTTATATAGTAAATGCAATATGACACGAGTGACAAGCAGACACTGGAAAAAATTTGACATTCTTGTTACCAAATCTTCTGGAGCTTTCTAATTTTGATTGAAGAAACTGAATGTTTACACTATGTACATTGAACATTAAGATCAAAATAGGTACAGATAATTTTAGAATATTCATTAGCTTGGTAGAATTATCGTTCTTTTTTACTACAGAGCATGAAAATAGCATAAATTTAACAAAGATTAGTCACCCGTGAACAAAATTTCCACAATAGACGATCTATAGGTAATCTAGGGATAGGAATAAGTGTATTTTGTTGAATGAGCATCCCAGCTATGTTTTTTTATTTTATTTTTCAAGTTTTCTCGTCTAGAAGTACCTCATGTTTTTTCTCTCATTAATGCCTTACTAAGTTTCATATTTCTTCTTTGACATTTCATGTTTAGTTATAGCGATGATCTCGCCTAAAACAAATATGAATACTTGGGAAGTTCGACTCATGTTTATTTGTGTAAAATCATTGATTATTTTGATAATACATCAGCGTACTCATCGGCTTATCCCGTTGATGTTGTCTTCAAAATATTTTATTTGCACATTGACTAGAAGAGTGTAGATAAACAAGTAAAACTGTTTTACAATAGCCAAACAAATATCATTTCAAAAATTATACAGCTTCAGGCAACTACATCAGGTTACATTTCATGACACGTCTGAATAACATATTTAGCTGTAAACAATTTTCTTTTGGCATTCAAGTAAATCTTTTCGATATTTAAAGAAAGAGCATTGAATGATTTAATCTCAAAGAATAGAGCTTATTGTTTTGCTATAGCGTTGAAAATTCAAAAAATTGCAAAAAAAACAACATTCTTTGTCTTTGACTATTTATTACTCAAGAACAAACCTGTGACTATAGTTGTGATTTTGTATTCATCATAGCCCAGTTTTTTATTCTCTACCTTGAAATAAGTTCAGGTTGTAAATATTTTTAAAAATAACAGCTTCTCTTCAAATATTTTCGAAAAGATCCACTTTTGTTTCTTTTAATTAATTTTCTCAGTGTTTTTTTCAATATGTTTTAGTTGATTTCGTTTTGTATGTTGATAATGAGTTAAAGTACATAATTTTCATCTATTTGCAAAATAATTTGAAACAAGACAGACATCAATATATATATATTACCTTACTACTATGAAATAACAGATAAATTTTGCTTTATGATAGTAATCTTTACGTTATGTTCTGTGTCAAAATATTAGTTTTTCCCAGTGATAGATATTGTTCACAAAATAAAATTCAATTGTACTTTCGCTTTTTATTCCAGTTTTTGAGATATTAAATGCAACACTTCTAATTATGTTAACAAAAGTCGAAAATTCGTATCAAAAGATAGACGCTAATTGCGATGGGTACAGCATAAGAAAGAGTAAGAGCTAAATAACCAGGTCTGCTCGGCGCTATGTATAGAACTAGAATAATAGAGCTACTGGATTTACTCAATATCAGCCAACTATTTTCTACAAGTATCTATCATTATCTAGAGTTTTCAGGTCGAAACCCATAAACTTCTTAATGATCATGCAAAAGAAATGTTAATCATCAGAAATACTATCTTTGATAGAGATGCTCGTGAGTAGTCAATTCGAATTTTTGCATGTGAACTATCAAAGAGACAATCAACTTCATCTTTTCAGTGCACCCAATGGTCTCTGAAATCAGGTAAGAGGAAAGATCCTTACTGAAATGTAATAGAAATTGAAAAAAAACTATCCCTATGAAGAGCCGCAAACCCAGAAATTCTAACTTTTCAAATTAAATAATACAACAAATTATTTTTGTGTAGTTTGCTTAATCAAGCAAAACATAGATGTAAAGATCGTTTTCTTAACTACAGTATACATATTGTTGTATTATCTGATCAAAAGATGTAAAAAAAAACCTATACCAGAATAGATAGACTACACATGCAGATACAATCGTTTACTTAATCTCATGTGACTTAGATAATATTTAATGAAAAAGTAATTTTCGAACGATTCAATTGAGTAGAAACACACGCCAATTGAAAACTTTCCTTTTTAGCTAAAAAGTAAAAAATGACAATATCTATTTTCATTTCCTATATATCATGTGCATGGGATCATAACAAAAATGTAATAATTTAAATAAATCAAAAGAATCTATTCATAAATAACTAGATAAGAAAAGAAGCGAAGAAAAATAAATTCAGCCGAGTTAATAAAATAATAGGTAAAAGAGATCTCACTGAATGCTTTTTCTTTCATTTATTTTATATTACACAAAATACAAAACTAATTTTCCCCATCACAAAATAAGCTATTCTCTCCATCGTGAAAGTGCACTGCGTACATCTTATTTGTGTGAACAACTGATAATGATAAACAACATATCAAATTCGACGTAGAGAGAATGTCCTACATTTTTATCAAAGATGCTACAGTAAAATTTCAGCCAATCAAATTCATCCTATACTATTTTATCTAGTGGCATCTGTATAACATTTCATATAAATATTTTTTGAAACCCGTCTAAAATTCCTTATTTGTATTTAAGAAAAACAAGTTTGATCAAGTTTGTTATAATTCTTCTGTATTTTCTTTGCGATTGTAAACATCATGACTGCAATAAGAACAGAACAAACATCTGACCGATGGGAACATATGAAAAAAAAAGAAAAGAATAACATGTGATTTTTAACATTATTAAATAAAAGTTGAGTGTCAGTCAGATGTTCTTTTTCAAAAGTTAAAAAAATTAACTAAAAGCTTCTATCTATCTTTCGAAACTATCATTGATGTTTTTCTTCTAGATTGAAAAAAACAAACCTAATCAGTTACTCACATGTCAAGCAACACGTGAATATACTAAATATCAAAGAAGAAAAGGAAAGCAATGTAATTATAATCTTCAAAAAAAATTTTTTTCAGCGTAACATGTATAAGTAAGAGACAAAACGACGAAAAACAAAGCTGACAAAAGCAACACATACTTCATGAGGCGGTGGTATTTACGATTATCAATGTTTTTATATCTTTATAATGGCAACACTACACACATTTCTCAAACGAACAGTCGGTCAACGTTTATCAAATATTAATAATTTAGGTGTTACTAGTGGTAATACAGATTCATCAAGTGACACTTCATTATCAACAACTGAACGTTTGAATGATCAAGCAAACGATGGATATAGTAGTACATCAACATTGGGTGTTCTATCAATTAATGGTGATGACTCTCTCCGACGTCCTTTACTGCATGTACATACAAAAATTCGCCAAAAAGAATTTCTATCACGTTTGATTCATAATACAACAGTAATGAACATGGAACACGAACAATCGATGAACGATAATATTTGTTTACTAGATAGAAAATTGCCCAAAGAACTAATTCTAAGGTAAAAGCTAAAATTATTTAGATTTTATTTTTACTTTTGTTTTTGTTTTTCAAATTTTAGAATCTTTTCTTATCTTGATTATAAATCACTTTGTCGGTGTGCACAAGTATCGAAAGTAAAAGATAAATATTTTTATTCATATCAATATAGAATTTTTCATATTGTAGTATTGGAATACGCTTGCATCGGATGGTTCGAATTGGCAGAGTATTAATTTGAAAAACTTTCAACGTGATGTTGATGTATGTTTATCATTGATTTCACACATATAATTTGTTTGTTTTTCTCTTTTTGTTCTTCAAGGGAAATGTTCTTGATCATTTAAGCAAACAATGTGGATCATTTTTAAAACAGTTATTTATTGAAAATTGTAAATTTATCACCGACAGTAATATGCGGTAAATGTCTTTAGTTGATCATTTTAATAAGTTAGATTTTATCTTTTAGAAACCTTGCCAATAATTGTTCAAATTTAGAACGAATCAATATGAAGCATTGTACAAAATTATCTAATACGTAAGTCGAAATTATCTATTTTCATTTCTTCTTAAAAATTGATGCCAGCCTAGATATATATATATATTCGAGAAGTACGAAATTTTTAGTACATAGATACTAAAACTTTGATCAAGACGCTATAGTTAAACATATAGCTCTGTAGGATGGATTTTTTCTCGAGAGATATTTTATAAACAAGAATCAAAGCAAGTTCCTTTAACAAGCTAAGAATCTCTTTAAGCATTCTTTTTACCAACGTAGTTTTGTTGTTTTTGTTTTTGTTTTTGGAAAACGCAATATCAGAATACAAGATATGACACAGATTCTTAATTTCTTATTCTTATATTTTAAACGAAGAAAAGAATAATTAGTTTCTTACCTCGAAAATTCTTAAAAATTTATTATCGAGTTACAGAACTACTTTATTTTATAGAATAATAAAAAGCAAAATTGAATTCGGATCTTATGAGAAAGACAATTTATTTTATTATTTTAATTGTATCAAATGTTTTTAGGACACTACATCATTTGAGTAAACATTGTTCCTATTTGGTTTACATTAATATGGCATCATGCCATCTTATTGATGATCAAGGCATTAAAATGCTTAGGTAAGAAATGAATTTCAATAGAACGGAAAATAAGATCTTTTCTTTTGAATCAGTTCAAATTGTTCGAATTTGGAATGGTGTGATATATCATGGTGTATGAATATAACAGAGAATGGTATTCAGAGTCTAGCCGAGTCATGTCCCAAATTAACAGTATTCAAAGCTGAAGGATGTACCCATGTAAAAGTTAAAAAAATAATAGGTTAGATTTTCTAGAAAAATGATTTATTTAAGATGAATAATAAAGCAGCTAAAGAACTTGCAATAAATTGTCCCAAACTTTTATTTCTTGATATAAACCGTTGTTCGGTAAGTAGATACAAGAACAAGAAGATTATTGATTACAAAGTAAAAATTCATCATTGTTGTTTTTCTTATTTTAGTCTTTAACTGACGAAGGTCTTTTAATTATTGTTGAACATTGTACTTTACTTGATACATTAATCATTGCCAATTGTAGAAACTTAACAGATAATATATTAGTAGCCCTTGGACAACATTGCCATAAGTTAAAGTAATATCTAAAATACTTTTGAGATGAACGAGAATTCGGTTGTATCGATATTTATGGATTGTTTCAGGAGACTTGATGCAACTTTATGTTCACAATTTACGGATGCAGGATTTTCAGCATTGACCCAAGTAAAATTTAGTATTATAGTTGCTAGAAGAAAATTATGATATCTTTTTGTTGTTAGGGTTGTCCATCGTTAGAAAGACTTGATCTTGAAGATTGTACAGCTGTAAGCAAAATGTTTTTTATACACTTATGCAATGATTTTATGCACTTCAATTTTTGTTGAATTCTTCAAGAGAAAAACATGTTTTTTTTGCCCGAGAAACTACTAAGACGAGCTACCAAAAACAATACTTTTGCGTTGTGTAATAATCGAAGACTTTTTTTTATGGTTCAAACAGTTTCAAAAGTTCATATTATATTGACAGCACTCTGTCACCTTCTAAAGAATCATCGAGAAATGATGTTGTATGTCAATTAAACGCAGCTGCACATTCATTAGAGTTAATATCAAGTGAGAGAAAATCGCATGTCTATCTATTGCTCAGCATTTAGAAATACTAAACAACCATTCGTTTCTATCTCCAATTGACGAATCTGATCTAAACCTTTTGAATTCGGATTCAATTAAATCGTACTTCGATAATCGTAATGAGATTTTCCTACTCAGCATATCATATTCAATTGGAAGATAAGAGAGTTTTTTGGACGCTTTGTTTTAATTCAAAAGCTAGCAAACTTAACATGTTTTTTAGAAGACTAGGTGTCATTAAATCTTCATTCTCAAGATGTGTATTCGATTTATTTCCGGAATAGTTTGAAGGGCATGAACACTTGGCAGTTCATTACGATTATTTCTTTGTTTCCAAGCATTTTCAATGTAGTTTTCGACTAAATTGATCTTGGCTACTATTTAAGCAATAGAAAATTGGCGGAACTCTATTATTTATGAGAGTCAAATAGTATGTTTTTGTTGTTATAATGCCGTATACGGGTAGTTCCTAAATCCAATACGATATGGATGAAAATAAAACGAATGAGACGCATCTAATAACGTTTGTGTTCCATTTAAATTATATTTACCTTAATAGATAATTAGTGTTTACTTATTTTGTGACAATTATGATTTAATATGATGTTAACTAATGTTTAGGTTACAGATGAAACTTTACGACATTTGGCTAATAATTGCCCTGAGATTAAAATTTTGGTAAAATCAATTTCAAATATTGTTTCCTTTTCTGAAAAAAATAATATTTTATATTTATTCTCATTGAAGACTCTTTCACGATGTGAACAAATCACGGATGAAGGCGTTCGTTATATTGGTTCAAGCACTTCTGCTCAAGAAAAACTTCTTATTCTTGAACTAGATAATTGTCCAACTATAACCGACACATCTATTGATCATCTACTTGCTTGTCAAAATCTTAAACGTTTAGATATCTTTGATTGTCAACAAGTAACAAAAAATGGTATTAAAAAAATACAAGTAAATATATGAATTATTTCGATTTTACTTTAATCATTTATAATATCATCTAATTTACTTGCTAGACATATTTTCCTGATTTAAAAGTTCATGCGTATTTTGCTCCACGCACTCCAACACAGAATAATCAACATACAACATCATGCCCATTTTGTTGCTGTACATCATGTTCAGCATGTACATCCTCATGTTGCACAGTTTCTTGAATTTCTATCTATTTGAATATGTACATAAACCTTTTTTTCTCTTTATCTATTGTATATCTATAAGCATTTTGTTTGGTTTTTTCTCATTGTAACAAAGTTTTTGGCGGATTTATTTGGCAATCGTATCCTGTGTATATATCTATTAGCATGAACACTTACGAATTCATTCGTTTAACAATCAGTATATTCTTTTGTTTATATTATATTATTATTTTAAATAGCATTTTTTTCGCACAGTTTATGTGGTGGTTTTGCAAAGAACAATTTTCTCTTTCATTTTCTTTGTCTCCCATTTCTTGCTTATTCTTTAAAAGAAGCCAAAAATAAACTTGTTTTTGGTGACATTCAATGCCGTGCAAATTTACGAATATTATTTTTCTTAGGGTCTCAAAAATATGGAATAGCGGAAGTTGCGTATCGGGAAGGATGATCACGGAAAGTTAACCAATGGAATAATGACGACAGATAAAATAATAAGCACAGGAAAGTTAAGCATGAGAGAAACGAAACTTAAAGATACAGTAGTATATTGACTGACTAATACATTTCTTTACGTTCTATGACAAAAATAAATAAATCAGCAATTATAATGTAATATTATTAGCGATTTAGTACGGCTGAGTTTCAATGTCTTCGTGACAATTTAAAATTAGATGTAATAGCCGTTTTTCAAAACGTTCATTCTTTTTCGTGTTTAACTTCCCAATTCCCATTTTTCTGTAATATCTAATTGACGGTCATTGCTTTCGAACTTAGTGTGCGATGAACGGATACATTTTTGCACAGTATCACTATATAGTGATTAATCCTAAAACAACTATGCCCAGGACGAACAATCCAATAGGTGGATTCGATCGGTTCCTGCAGGATTCTAAGCAAATCCCGGGTTGCGGACCCACTCACGGATCCATAGTGTTGGAATCCGATCGATTCTTGCAGGAACCAGTCAAAACCCGATAGGTTTCTTTAGGACCTCGTTGGAATCCGACTCCTGAAATTCCTATCGAATTCGGTTGTTGGATTTGGTCGGATGTTTACCGGATTCCTACACTAGGGATCCGTTAGTAGTTCTTCAACCCGGAATCCCATGGGACTTTGTCGGCTCGCCGAGCTTTATAAGATCCGATCCATTCACCTGGGTGACTCGATCTCTGTATGATGAATTCATTGATGGTATTCATTTTTCTCATCAAAAAACATTTACATCTGATGGTGCGACTCCAAGGCAATGCAAGTAAACCAATGATGATAAAAAAGCAAAGTAAAAATTTTTATTTTTAGTATACCCTTTCATCATATTCTTTTTTCTTCTCATTTAATTCAGATCATGAGTGTAGTAAAAAGAGTATCTAGCTTAATTTCATTATTTTTTTCAACATTCCAACATGCTTTTATCAATATTATCAAATGTAATTGGTATGCTTTTGAAAGAATTAAGATAATCCATTTTTTACCCTTACAGCTGCCAGAATATTCTACACAGAGAATAAAAAAAGGCTATGACTTTCGTTCATTTTAGGTCAGAAAAATGAAAAAATTTTCATCCTAGACGATGAGATGAACATTTTTTTAAAATGCATTTCAAATTGCATGCATGAAAATGAACATTTTAATCGAGAAAATTACAACAATTTGGTTTTTTATCAAAGTCATTAAATTATTTTGATGAAAATATTTATTTTCATGCATGACATTGAAATAAATAAAAAGTAATGCCTGTTTCATCATTTTAATCACGTTTTTTTTCATGTTTTTATTACCTGGGTACGACATGTAGCCATTAAACGATTCCAGCACAATTATTCGGTGGAACACATAGAATATTTTATTAAGATTGAACGAAAACTTTCTCCGTCTAAAATTAATATTTTATTTTATGGGGATTCTTGGTACTGATAAATCACAATAACAACAATATATCTTTCGATTAGTACCACGTATTCAATATAATAATAGTGAAAATACACATACAGTTGGTCTCACGAGGGTATGTTAGTGAACATTTTGAAACTAATTGATTTCTTATTGAAACGTAAGAGAGAAATTCTTAGACTTTGGTTCTTTTACTTTACATTATTCAAGACAATCATTTCGACTGTCTGAGCGAGCATCTTAAAAGGATCTGAAACGGCTATAAAACGCTATAATAATGCATTCATTTTTCCCTTATTTCGCCATAATCCGTCCACTCGTTTTACGGACCATTTTTTTCGCTAGAAAACGGCTACCGTTTCTAACATTATGCTCGTCGCTTTCGGAGCTGACGGAAAACGGCGCCGTTTTTCAATGTTTTCTACCATTTTTACGGCAGTTTACGCACCGTTTTCTTGGATACCCACGGCGAACAGTCCGGCCCGAAAACGGCCGGTTCCGGGTAGGTCCGTTGATTTTGTGGAAGCAGTGTTCCGGTTGGAAGATTGTCGCATTTTTTCCGGTGATTTCCGATCAATTCCTGCCGGACAGCACCGGAACTTGGCAGGAATTCACCGGAAAAGTCCGGCCGTATTTTTGACCGGAATACTGCTTCCATGTTCCAGCGATTTCCCGTGTTTTACTGCAGAATATGGCGACTTTCCCGCATATTCCCAGGAGTATCCTACGGGATCCGGTGGCCGGAATATTCGACCTGAGTATGGGTAGCCCTGCGAAAATGTATTGGAGAAATCTGCTATACAACGTGCGATGTAGTTTTATTTCTTCTCTCAAACGGTGAAAATCGCCGACTTTCCATCTATTCAGTATCAAAAATGGTTTCAAAAATATTCATACTTCTATTAAATTGAAATGCATATTAATAAATTTAGTTACTTCCTGTAGTTCCTATCAAGCTTATTTTAAAAAGGCGAATTGCACTCTTAATAATATAAATAAACAAAAAGTAAAAGTTTGCTCAAAAAGAATCATCAGCTTCTTCAAGAAATGAATGTTTTGAATTTGAATATACGTGCTAATAATAGATTGAATTAAAGGATTTCTCTTCTCTGTGTATACTTGATAATTTTAGTCGTCTAATATAAAACCTATGCCATACTTTTATTGTCGCGCTAACTTGCTCTAATTGCTACAATAGTATAACAGTTTCAACACACTGGATCACTGAGATATTGAGTATTATTTAAAATATGATGATAATTCTCATACAAATAACAAAATATGGATTAAAAGTTTGACAACACAAATGATTCTGGAATAGGACACTTTTTCTTTCTATTGACATGTCTTCAAGACTCTTATATTTTCTACAGATGCAATATGGCGTTTGTTGAGTGCACCTTGAAGGGTTCTGCAGGTTGTATTGATACAATCCTTGTTGTTAACATGGTTAATTCAATTCTAAATAAAATCTGTCTAATCTGATATACTAATTAGTAATAATGACGTAATTTATCACATGTCAGTTGAAGTGATGAATATTTTAATTTCTATTAAAATCATCGATGGTACTATACCCAGGCCAAAAAATCAAACACAGATCTTGTAAGATCATATAAGATCAGAGGTACGATCGTAGAGGATCTTACTGTCTGATTGTTTGACCTGAGTAAAGATAGTTTATTTCGATTATGCTGCTGTGATTGATATAACATTTTTATGGCGTATCGTAGCGAAACTGGATGTTATCACTGGAATTTCATTTTGATATAAAGTTGTCGGCGCATACATTGATGACTTTAATGGTGTAAAAAAATGATGTATATGTTATAATAACGTATCTCCCGACAATATTTGTTATCGATTTTCTTATCTTACAATAACATGAACTTATAGAGCCATCTTTCGATCGCCATAGATAGTCGTTTTTATTAAACCAATCTTGGCTGGTATACAATATTCAACTAATTTCTGCATATTGCCCAATACTAAATTCATTTCTTCCTTTAATAATACTTTTCATTGACTCAATTTGTAAAATATTCTAATTTTTATTAAATATAATTTTTATTTAGTCATTATTATTACGTTAAAAAGAATTGCATTACTCTTACTCAATAACAATACCATAAAATCGGTTCTATCACTAAACGTCATCATTACTATCAACCAATTCAATTATCATGGAAAGCAACGACGCATCTGTATGTCCACTATGTCGCCATGAAAAAGTTAAAATATTTGCAGTTGGTGAATGTTCTCATCCTGTCTGCCATTTATGTTCAACAAAAATGCGTGTTCTTTGCGAACAAACGTATTGCGCCATTTGTCGACAAGAAGTTCCTCGAGTATGTGTATAAATTCCTTGAGATTTTAGCTTTTTTTTATCAAATTTATCGATTATTGTTTCATAGTAATTGAAATCTGTTTTTCTTTTACTAAAGGTATATTTTGTTTCGGATCTTTCTACAATTCAACCCACAGTAGATCAATCTCGTTTTATACCTATTGATGAAACAGGTGATTGTGGAATTTATTATCCAATAAAAGCAGAATGGATTCGTCGTGAAACAGAAAAGTTGCTAAGAAATTTTTGCCCATTTTGCTATTCGGAATATGAAACATTTGAAATACTTCGCGAACATGTACGACGTACACATCGCTATTTTTATTGTGATTTATGTGTAGAACATTTAAATTTATTTCCACATGAAAGAAAATGTTATACACGTCATGATCTTGTTCAACATACAAGGTGTGGTGATCGTGATGATACATCATTTAAAGGTCATCCATTATGTGGATTTTGTGATGATCATTTCCTTGATATTGATCAATTATATCAACATATGAGAAAAGAACATTATTATTGTCATCTATGTACTGATGATAGTGTTTATTATAGGTTAGTTTTTAATTAATGACAAAAGAAATGATTTTGAATTTTCATTTTCTACTTAGTGATTTCGATTTACTTCGTGATCATTATCGGTCAAATCATTATCTATGTGAAATAGGACAATGTAAAGATGTACAATTTATAAATGTATTCTCTTCTGAAATTGACTTTCGTGCACATCAAGCAGCGCAACATAGTAAAAACCGAGCTGAGGCAAGACAATTGGGTACGATTCCAGTAGAATTTCAATCTGTAAGTGTACGCGATCGAAAACAACAACAAGATCCAGATCATAGAGGTAATTTTAATTTGTTTTATTATCATATAATATGTCAAAGGTTATAAAACTCTTTATTTTACTTGGTATTTATTAGGAACATTCAAAAGTGGAGAATTTAAAACACAAGGAAATAATAATTCGTCTAAAAATGAGCGGTAAATTTTCCATTTTAATTGATTAGATTTAATTAAATATGTTTCTGAATAATTGAATTGATACTTTAATTATCGAATTGCCAATAATATGCAAATCAATGTTATATTATAAAATATATTATTATATTTTAGTGATGCTACTCAACAAGAACCAGCTGTTGCTGTTGCAGTACCTTCGATTGATGAATTTCCAACCTTAGGTGAACGTTCATTGACTCCACAACAACGTTGTGCTTGGGTGACCGATTCATTTAGACGGATAAATTCATCTGATGATTTTCCTGCACTTGCCAAGACAACTAGTAATGCATCAAACACTAATGTTAGTCAGCCTCGGGGAATTTGGCGAGAACAACAAGCAGCAGCAGCAGCTACATCATCATTATCATCATCTACAACTATGAATTTAGCAGCAAAAAAGGGGTCACAACCAGGAAAAGCAACAAACGATGGAGTAGTTTCAGCAAATGTAAAAGAAGATTTTCCAGCATTACAAGGAGCTATTAATTCCAAGATACCTGCACCCCTATCGATGTTTTCAGCTTGGTCAACTGCTAAAAAATCAGCAAAAAATTCTAATGGTAAATAGAAGAATATAAGTTTTTTGTTTAACCAATATCAATGCTAATTTTCTTATTCTAGCAAATGCAAAAACAAATCAACCACAAATGCGTTTGAATATACACCGTTTAATGAATGATGATGATGACGATGAATATATCCGGCGACCAATGGCTTCTTTAACAACTAGTACAACAGCAATGGCATCATCAAATATAACTGTAATATCATCATCTGATCTATCCAATACTCCGAATAATGAAAAAAAAGATAAAAATAAAAATAAAAAACAATCTCTTCCAAATGCTCATGACTTTCCAGCATTATCATCAACATCAATTACGCCACAAAATAATAGTAGGATAAATTTAGTTTATTATAGATGAATATCAATTATTTCTCTAGCTGTATCGTCTAATGTTTGGATACCTAACGGAACGGATTCATCGACACCATCCTCTACAAAACAACAGAAAAAGAAAAATGCTGCTATGAGTAAGAAAAAGTTTATGGAAGAGTTACATTCAATGGCAACACCACCACCTTTATCTTCGACTGATGATTTTCCAACTATTGGCTTAAGTCAACTGGGTCAACGTTTAATAACTGAAGAAAGCCAAACAACTGTAACAACTCAATTGAATGACAAGAAGCCTCCAGCAACCTTACCAACATCAAAGAAACAGCAGAAAAAAGATGAAAATAAACCAATAGATCAATCCAATAAGAAAGTAGGCATTTTAAATGATCAAGACCTTATGAGAGTCGACTTCGTCAATAAAATATAATAAGATAAATGTGATGCTAATAGTTTTATCAATTGTTTTGTTATATTTAACAATATGACTCATGAAGATTTTTTTTTTCATTTAGACACCCTCGGCAACAAAAAAAAATGATTCAGTAAAGCAAGAAGTATAAACTATCGTTTGATTTATCTTCTAAATCTAAGTATATTTCTATTGTAGACAACATCGACTGAAGACAAAACTTCAACAAAACCTGTACTTGATCAAGTATATTCATATATATATATATTCAACTCTACCGTTAATTAACCTGATTTTCATTGTTTTATAGGCACCACCAAAGCCGCTAGTAAAAGATGAACCTACTCCTCAAGTAGTACCAGCTTTATCATCTGTATATTTATCTAAATTTAATTAAAATATTAATTTATGCTTATTTAATTATTTATTTTAGTCTATTCAATCTTCGCCTAGTTTACCTAAACCAATTACCCTTCCTCCACCACCACCTGGCTTTACTATGCAACTTGCTGTTACTCCACCACCTGGCTTTAGTACACTTCCATCTTCTCAACCAGTTGCACCTTCATACATCTTCGCATCCTCTTATTCAAAACAAAAGGATGAATTTCGTGCTAAGCTTTTTAATTTGTTCGACGGTGATATGAATTTATTTATTCAATATGATCAATTTTGTGAAGCATTTTCTCAAAATAAAATAACTTCGAACGACTTTATCACATATACGACACAATTATTTAAAGATAAACTTGATGATTATTTACTTGAATTGATTGTTATTATGCCAAATATTGAACGGCAAAATGAACTTTATTCAAATTGGAAGAAAGATAATGATTCAACAGTTTTAGTAGCAACACAAAGTAAAACAAATTGGACCAAGAAAGATTCTAATGAAAAAAATATTCATTTATGTCGTGTTTGCCAACAAATCATGTTTGAATCTGATATTGACGAACATAATTCTAATCATACGGAGTTCAACACCCAATTTCCTTCATTACCAGCAGCTGCGGTTCAGCTCGGTCGCGGAAGAGGAAAGAAAAACAAATGATTCAATGAAATGACATTATCTTGTTACAATTAATTGCTTACGTTTAACAACAAAACATAACGGCTATAATTTTTTTCTTTTTTTGTTATTTATTGTTATGCCATTGATAGGCCCATTTCAGTACATTAAAAAAAGAAAACGAATAAAAATTTTTTTCTTGTGTGGTTGGTTTGGTAGGTCATGGGTGATGATAAATAATTTTAATTGATATTCTATAGAAAAATAAATAAATGAGCAATCACTATTTACATTACTGTTCTATATAAAATATATTAAGATCATCAGCTGGTCATATCCTTATAATTAGAATGAAGACCAAAAGTATAAAAATGATATTACGAAATTCAATTATTAAACAATAGTGTTTCGATTGTACTAGTCAATCCATGATTTTCACTTGTGTATCTCAATATATCGAGTAATAATGTAACTAGTATGTCAAAAGCATTATTTTTATTATAACTAGCAGCTTATTTTTCATATAATACATAGTAGTAAATCATGATTAATTAAATATCATACGAATCGATATTCTCGAATTGCAGTATTCGATCCGAGAATACATAGTTCATGATGACATGAACCTTTTTATGTGCAATAATCATCATGTGTACGGCTACGTAAAAAAAATAAAAATTGACTTGGATATATTCATAGTTGAGCTGACTATTGTAGAAAAAATAGGAACTCCTGTAGAGTCAGTATCTGAAAAATTTAGACATTATCGGTTAATTACTATTTCACAATTTCTTGCTTTATTTAAAAATACGCTGCGTTTAGTGACGAGGTTTATTATCTCTAGAATCTGCGGCTTGATCCGATTACATTTTCTAAGACTATTATGCAGAAAACTGATGAGATTTTTTATGATATTGTGATTGTTTACTGTATGTCCTAGGAGACGTGACATTTATCTTTTAGAATAATGTTGCTTTTAACATTATTCTCTTGTAATCATAATTCATAGGTACAATGCTATTTTTTTTTTTGTAGACATTTTACTCTTCAAATGTCAGTCGAGCGTAATTAATAGGGCAACAGAGGAATACCTTTATCACGCAACAAAAATTAATCAACAGTGGTGTATTTCCAATTATTCATCAGATATATTTGTTGATGCCAACGTATTTTCTCTGAATTGCAGCTTATCAACTACTTATAATTTTCTTGTTTAACTCATTTTTGTTTTTTTTATGAATTTAGTATGATAGCATAAAATAAGTAAACTAGACGTTCAATATTGTTTGTATTAACGCAACCAAGAGTAAGTGAAGAGAAAGAAAATGCTCAGGAAAAAAGCAGAATGGAAGAGACCTTTTTCCAACATTGAATAGTAACAATTCAGTGATCATCCGAAATCAGTTTGAGATTCGCAAGCAGCATGCAAAATTATACTAGATGAACAGATTTTTTCCATCGAAATTTTATACGAAGTAGACCATAGCGAGTCAAGTTTTACATGTATATGGTTCAGCAATAGTGTAATGAAATATTTATGACACGATGTAGTTGTGCGTGTTGACTGACTATAGTATGCACCATTACATGAAAATCAATTTTGCATATTCATAACCCGGGAAAACATCTCTTTCTATATTATTTTCTATAGAAGTTTATTCCATTTTTCACTTATCATTATTTGTAGCAACATTAAACATGTAGAGTCTAATCTATGTACTTTTTTTTGGTATCATGCAATGCATGACAAGCATGTGGCCTACACATAAAAGAAATGAAACAGTCGAGGTTGTAATCAATAGAAAATAGACCAGCATCTTCACATATATCTTAAAAATACTTGAATGAAGGCAGCTTTTAGTAAAAGATGATTAGTTTTTTGCGTGACAAAAGCTTACTAAAGACATCTAAAGATGAGACTTCGTGAGTTGTATCATCGGTAAAATTGTTAGGATGCTCCGCTGTCATCGCAGGATGTAGGTTCAATTAATGTATTAATAACAAAATGTTTAAAAAAAGTAAAGTAGGACTTTTCTCAGGATATTTGTGTATGTCCTATTAGGTGAAAGAAATTTGCTTCAATTTTGATGTGTAATGTAATTACATTCAACGGATTATCAAACTCCAACAGCCGCATTTCAAAGCACAGAATCATTTTGTCGTAGAAAATTTTCAAGAAACGAGGGAAAAGTCAGAATATAATCCCCATTAATATTTTCATTAGTTTTTTACATCATGATCTTGAGGGAAGTAAGTAGATTGAGGGAAAGTTTTTCGAGGCTATCAATCTTATCACAGTTAACATATTTTAATAAACCAGTAAATTCTGATATAGCATATATATATTTGAAATGTACTAGAATGACTAATTGTTTCAAAATAAACGTATATTCTTTAGAAAGAAAAAGTAAGGAAACACTAGACTATTCTTTCAAGCTCGACGAAATGTTTTGCAGTACGCTCTAGTATTTTAATGTTTTCAAGCAAATAATTAATGTCGCAGTTAGAAACAATCTTTGTTTTTCTATACTTATCGTATGAAAACTAAATGAATTTTTAAACAATCATACATTGAAAAACGAAAATTTATCTTTTTTTTGTAACGATTCATTCCATAAGTTTACTAGAATTTCATTAATTCCAAAATTATATCGTCATATTTAACTACATGTAATCATTTGTTTGACAAATAATTTAGCTAGTTTATAAGATTCTGAGTACAAAGAAGCAATATTAGTTCATTAACAAATATGATAGTCATCATGTATTACTGCTTCAGAGCATTGGCTCATTGCTTTTATAGTTATTTGTTACGGCTGAAAGCGAAGCCACTATTGAAATCAGAGCAATTATATTCCCAGAACGTGCTTGGCCACAATGATGATATGCATAAATGCACAATTACATATTGTAAATATTGAAGACCTTGTCACATTCTATTCTTATTATACGATGTAAATGTCAACGAATGCAAAAATTCGACTCCTGTTTCATCTGAAAAACGAAGATATTGACAAGTCATCAAAGAATGTTGACACATTGAAGTTAGGTGTAATTCAAAACTGCTGATGGAAACCGAACTATTACGGCGAATAAAGAAATTTGATGATGAATATTAACAAACAAATAGATGTTCATCAACGTCGTCGTTATCATTCAAATAAGCATTACATATTGTTGGTAGATGTTACTTCAATATTGGATTGATATTAGTTTTATGTTAGAACAGACGATGAGACAAACAAAAACAATAGTTTAGAGCTCTAATTTGTCATCATCATACATACATAAATACATATAAACATTTCATTGTCTGCACTTGTAATGAACTACTGTGCTTGTCATTTGTATTAAAACAAGCTGATTGCATTCATTTATGTGAGATATTGACGGATGTTCTGTGAAGCATGCTTGCCAAGATAGTTAATTAAGTAGTAAGGCTCCTGCTTTGAGCATTCTATTATCATCACTGTGTTAGGGAAATCTCATTCCGCACGATAGAGTCTCAATCACATCTCATAGTAAAATACGTGCGATGCAACATGCGTAATGATGATGATAATGTATATTTTCTACATGTTCTTCCTTTCATAGCTTTCCATTTCGTAGCACTAAGAGCACGATCACATATCCTTGTGTTTTGCTTAGCACACATTACCAAGTGGATATGTCGAGTCTGTTTCAATCTCGACACGGCAAATAAATATTTATCAGTTTATGAAAATAAGAAACATTCATGTAAATGTACACGCATCCAGATGAGATGTCCCATATATAAAATGACGCAAGCATCTTTTATTTCAATTGATAAAAAAAATAACATCGGTAGGCAGATAATTGAAAGTAGGAATAGAAATCATAACAGAAAAGAACACAATAGCCTTAAAAATAATAGAAGAACTCTTTCTCTGTGCTTTTTGTTAGTTTCTGAATGATCAGGTAAGTGATACCGTTCAATAACAGATTAAGATAATTTTCTGTTAACTAGAATCATCGTCGATCACTAATTAAATCAGAAAAGTAAATTAGATTTTCGAATGTCAATTTATCTCTTTTTTACTCTATCAGTTGTTTTTTTCATCTAACTATGTGTCGATATGCAAAAAGAAACCTACTGTCGTGATTTAAGTCAATGATGTTTCTCTTCAGTGAATAGAATAGTTAGTCAATATAGTAGTCATTGACCCTGATCGTTCTCTGTGTCGTCGAATGAACACAAACGGCAGTATGTGTTCACATAATTAGACTAAAACGATTATATCGAGTGTGTATGAGAGTATGTGCTAAGATATTTTTTTTTCTCCTATTCTATAGTCGAGAAAAGGATGATAAGATAGATGCAGAGACAAGAAGAAGCAAAGAAAACGAAGAATAATAATAAGAAGAAGAAGATGAAGAAGAAGAAGAGGAGGAGGAAGAGGAAGAGGAGGAGGATGAAAAGGAACAATAAAACAGAAACAACAATGCAGTTTGGAAAAAAAGGGAGGAGAAATACTTTTTTTTTTTTGATTGATATAATATTTTTTCCGAATGTATCTTGTTATTCATGCTGCTGTTGTTGTGATGAGACAGACGTTGACAGCACTATTCAGTCGTAAATCAAATGATACCCTTCAATGACTTTGCGCGTGCCTACAGATTTATCGCTTTGACTTCCTTTGAGACATCATTTTTCTTCAATATTTTTCTTTCCTGCCTAAGTACTCTATTATCGAGTGCTGTTGATCTTTTTCTTCATACACAAAGCTAATCTCACTTGATTTTCAATTAACAATCACTGCTGTCCTTCTCATATGTAGATATTTGTACACACACGCACAGTGAGAAGGGATTTTCTATTCTTCTCAACTTATGCTTTGCCCTATCAATATAGCAATCAATCAGATGAGGTGTCGAGCTTCTTTTTTTTTTCGTCTTCGAATTTATTCCACATGTGTTATGTAAAACAGGAAAGAGCAAGTCTTCCGTAGGTGACAATAGTTTCATTCAAGTTTTCCGGTCTTGACGTGAGCATCAACATAATTTTCTTTTTTATTTCAATA